TATTTATATAGTAAAAGATTTACTTTATAATAATATTAAATAAAATTAAGTATTAAATAAAGTAGTAATTTAATAAAGAGAATATTATTTATAAGATCTTTTTATAATAATTCTACTATAATATAAGCTTAATAACTCTCTAAATCTATAAAATAATTATAAATTAAGATATATAGATAATTTCTTCTTTATTAAATAGAAATACTTTAAGTATAATATAAATAGCTTATCGCGCTAACGATAGTATTAAAATATTATAATTTTTTTTAATATAGTATTTCTTTTTTTATATACTAAAACTTTTCGCGTTAGATATATTTTTCTTTAATAATTTCTTTAATAAATTAAAGTATTTTAAGTTATAGAATAAGAAGATTATCGCGTTAACGATAATTTTAAAATATCGCGACTTTTTTTAATATAATATTCTTTTTTTAGCTATTAAAACTTTTCGCGTTAGATATATTTTTTCTTTTTTTATTTATAAATAATTTAATTCTCCTCTCGTATTTTATATATATTTCTTAATTAATACTTATTATTCTTTATTTAAATTATTTAATAATCTTATTTATATTCTTTAGACTTAATATTATACTCTCTCTCTATTAAATAATATATAATATAAATAAATCGTTATCGAAGACTTCTATTTTTATTTAATTTAAATTCGCTTAAAGAAAAATAATACTAGCTCTATAAAGAATATTAATCTTATTATTAGCTTTAATCTATTTATAATTTAGCGAGACTATAAATAGTATTATATTAATAATTAAAATTAATTTCTACGCGAAGTATATAGTTATTAAATTAATATCTAAAATTAAATATAAATAAATTTTAATAATAATTAAATTATTATAACTAACGCTATTTAAAACGTAATCTCTTATTTTAATAATTAACTCTTCTTTCTTAATAATTATAAAGATATCGATAAGATTATACTTTAAAATATTATATTATAAAGAATATAAAATAACTCTAAGATAGCTATTACTATAGCTTTATTTAATATTATCTTTATTCTTCTTTAAGATAATACTATTACTTATTCTCGCTTTAAGATTTCTTTTAATATTATTATTTAGTTTAATTACGATATATCGATAGAATTTAATTTAACTTAATTATTAAAGGCGACTAAGCTTATTTTCTAGAATAAGATCTCTATATAAAATCGCTATAATATCGAGGCCGTTAATTATATACTCTAAGATATTTAAAAGAATCTTACTTCTTTTAATAGTATAGTTATATACTTTTATAATAATTTTTATTAAATTCTTTTAATTATTAAGAGTACTAAGTTAGATTATATCGCTTAAATTATATTAAAAATATTCTATTTTTAAAATTATATTTAAATCTTTAGATTTATAAAAAATATAAAGCTTCGAAACTTTAATCTTATTAATTAAGATTAAATTAATATAAAGAAATTTATTTAAAGGCTATTAGATATAGATAATAATATCTTAATAAGCTTTAAAGAATAAGAAGTTATTAATTAATCTATCGAATAGCTATTAGATAACTCTATTACTTAACTAATTAATACTATTTATAATAATCTTAATCTATATTAAATAGCTAATTTCTATATATTTAAAGCGATTCTTTATACCCTTAATAAGAATATTACTTAATTTAATAATTAAGTTCTTAATAAGTTCTCTAAAATTAAAATCGTTTATAATAGTAGAAATTAAATCGTTAATAAGAAAGATAGCTTCCTTCTATCTACTAAAATAATAAATATCTTTAAATTAATCTCGCTTCTACTCTATTATTTAGAGTTAAAATAGAATTATATAATAATATTATTAAGGAATTTAAAGTAGCGTATAGATCTATATAATAGAATACGTCTATAAATTAAATATATTAGATCTAAGATACTTAATTATTATATTCTTAAAGGCGAATATAATAATAAATAATATTATATATTACGTATTTCTCTAACTTCGTCTAATTCGAATAATCTATATACTTTTTTTTAATATATTTAATTTCTAATTTAATTAGTCTTTAGTATAATAATTAATAAGTTTTAAAGTTAATTATTATAGTAGATTAGCTTATATTTATATCTCGAGATCTTTATCTATAGTTAATTATATATAGCTCTAAGTCGAGTTATTAATAAGATCGATTTATTAATTATAGTTTTAAACGATCTATTAAGAAGATAACTTACTTAGTTAATAAGATATATTAAAAATAAGATTATTAAGTAGATACTTCTTTTTTAAATAAGAATATAATTAATTAGCGATCTATAGTAATAGAAATAGATTATTTATCGTATAGAAAGTAAGTATATCTATAAATCTGAAAAGTTCCTATAAAATTTGAAATTGCTGATCGCGCGTTTGTCGCGGAAATTATAAAATCCGCTGAATTAGTAAATCTAATTTAAATCCGCCTAAATTCCGCCTAATCAGCAACTATAATCTACTTTTTATACGCTATTCGCCGATTTAATAAATCTAATTAGAATTCGCTTAAATTCCGCCGATTTAATAATTGTTCTAATCTTTTTCGCCAGTTCTATCAGTTTAATAGCAATACGCACGAAAAAAGAAAAGTTCTAATAATCGATATTACGACGATAAGATTTTATAATAACGAATATTAACGTTAACTTAAATTTAGCTATAGAATTAAATGATTTAATAAAATTAATCGCGTAAGTAATACTCTAATATAGTATATAATAATATATATATTAATAATAATATATATTAATGCCATATATATATAGAATAATACTTAGAGTATATTAGAGTATATTACGCAAAATTTTTAAAGTTATTAAAATTTTTTAAAGTTATTAAACTAATAGAACTGGCGGAAAAGATTAGAATAGTTACTAAACCGGCGGAAAGAATTAAATATAGATAAAGTCTACTAAATAGACTAAATCGTGCTAAATTATGCTTATGGTGCGAACCCGACGAAAATCGTACGAAAAGAAACTTTTCAGATTTGCAGATATAGAGTTTAATTTAACTTAGAATTAGAGTTTTATCTTCTTTATTAATTTCGTAGTAATAGAAGTAAATTAAAAACGCATAGTAAGCGATTAGAGTTCGATTTAACTTAGGGCTAGAGCTAAAATTTCATTTAACTTAGAAAAATCCAACTTTATTTAACTTAGAAAAATGAAAAATCTAACTTTATAAATTTAATTTATAGATCTTTAGTTATTAACCTATAATTAGATAATAAATAGCCTCTATATTAAATAATAAAAGAAGGCTATAAATAAGTAAATAAATTTCTTTATTATAATAAATACTTGAAAGCTTATTTCGAGAATAAAGAATATGCTAGTTCTTATTAATAGATAGATTTATAAGATAAAGAAGAAACTTAATAACTCTATTCTCTATAAAGCACGCTAAGTAGTTCGAGATTTTAAATAAATCTACGACGTTAATTATAATTAGACCTTCGCCTTAATAATTAAGTCTATATTATTTAAGATACTATTTATAATTATAATATACTACGATTTAAACTATAAGTAAATAAATATTATTATTATATTTCTTAATATACTATTAAAGAAAATTATCTATATAAAATAGTTTAAAGAATATAAGAAGAAAGATAATAAGGTATATCTGCTACTTAGAGTACTATATAATCTAAAGTAATCGCTATAAGAATAATACTTTACTCTATAAGACTTTCTTATATCTAAAGAATTTAAACTTATTAAATTTAATTACTTACTCTTTATTAATAAGAAAATACGACTTATCGTTAGCGTATATATAAACGATATTTAGATTTATAGTCTAAAAGAATTAAAATAAATATTAAAATTTAAATAAGACCTTTATAAGCGATTCGCTATAACTAATCTCGAGTTATACTTATACTATTTAAATATAAAAATCTAGAGAAATCGTAAGAAGAGAATCGTTTAAATTATTTAAACGATATATCTAAAGAAGATATTATTACGATTTAATATAACTAACTATATATCTATCTTTATATTAATAATAGTAGATACTTAACTATAAGAGAAACTAGTCGATAAGACTAAATTAGAAGTTATTTAGAAGTATTAATTAATAGTAGAATCGATAATATATTCTATAATTTAGACTCGCCCGAATATCTATTTTATCGTTATAATTCTTTTACGATATAATTATAACTCTAATTCGAAATATATTATAGTCGTTAAACGAGTTATTCGTTATTTAAAGAGAATACTAACTTATAATATTATATATAAAACGACTAATATATTAAAAGATTATACGAATACTAATTAAGCCTTAAACTAAGAGACTTATCGATTTCTTAAAGTTTATATATTCTTACTCTACGATAGAATAATTAATTAAACGTCTAAACGATAATAGTTTATTATATTATTATCTTATAAGACTAAGTATATAACTTAGATCTAGATAGTAAAGAAAGCTATTTAATTAATTAGACTTTTAAGTAAATTAAATATTAACTTCGAATTATTTAATAGATTAATATTAATTAAAGTAGATAACTAGAAAGCTATTATATTAATTAAGAACTCTCGCTTTTACTTACGTATAAAGTATATTAATATTTAATAGTATTTTATATGAAACTAAATAGAAATAGAAGTAGTTATATTTAAATAAGTATTTATTAACGATATAACTACGAATAAACTTATTAAGGCCCTTACTAATAATAAATTCGCTATATTTATAAATTAAATTAAATTTAAGAAGAGTAAATAAGGAGTAGTCTAAATTCGGATTATATGAAAGTATTAGAATTAATAGTATTTTTAGCTTATTATTTAAACTATATGAGAGTGTTGAAATTAGTTAATAGAAGGCTAGCATATCTATACACTACTAAGTTCCAAAGAGGTATTATATAATTTTCCTTTAGGGGGGAAAAAACCTTTAGTATAGTTTTACCCCAAAAAAAGGTAGTTACCTTCATTCTTCCTATATACTTCTTCATAGAACATAACAATGAACAACTATACTTCAAAAATGAACACCGTTGTTGAGAAGAGCATCGCCTACCGTCCCAGCCTTGGTAGAGCCGGCATCGGAAAAGACCCAAAATCTTCACGACGCCGACCGCAGACGGACCACGTTCGCCCTATCTCCGGCAGGAGAAGCGCAGACAAGGATGGTATATGACCCTTCCGAGAAGCCCAGCTACGGATGAAGAAGAGGGGAGGCTCCACGAATAGGAGGGGAAGCAAATGAGGGTCTTGTTGGTTTTGAAACAAGTTGCAAGATCCTGAGATCTCTTTATCAATCTCGCTTGCGATATCTGCCACGAGATATCTTCACTACCTCCACCCTTGTTCTCCTTGCCCTATGGAGATGATCCTATCATGATGCTGGATCGAAAGATGGTTCGAAGGGTGGCGCGCGCCTTCATGCATGTCCTCGAACCCTCTTCACTTCCCTGTGTTTCCCTAGGCACGCTGACTTCACCAGGGGTCAGGTCTCTAAGTTCTAGTCACGCCGAAGACATTGACTCTTCAAGCTTCCCGTCTTCTCAACCCCTCAGTGGACTACCTACGGCCTCATTTCCCTGACCAATCGGAACCTGGGCGAGGAGAGGCGCGTCGTCCGTCGACATCAAGTACGGCATCAAGAACGAAGACTGATGACCTCTTTGGTTGCCGGCCTTACCTCCAGAAAAAGCAACGCTCTCTTGGTTCTTTTTAGCACGGAGAGCGTGAGACCGCAAAGTCCTTTAGACATTCAACTTCGGCTTCTTGCCAGCCCTTGCCGGCCAGATTGTTCCCCAGGTGTGGATATTAGGGGCGGTAAACATTTCCCCAGCGTCGCCATACATGGATTTTGAAATCTGAGGCCGGCACGGCGAGCATGGCTCCAGCGTTATTTGGGCCTCGACCATGTCTTCCCCTCTCTCTTGCTCTAACAAGATCATGCTGTAACCGAGATTGAGATAGATGGCCTGGCCTCCAGCTATTGGGGAGAGAAGATAAGTACCATCATCCCCTTCGCTTTGTTCCCTTCTCCAAGGCACATTATGCGAGTTGCTTGAGTCACTCTTTTCATAAGTCGACTCCTAGTTGAGTCCCACAATCGTTACTCTGCTTCTCGGTACATATTTTGTCCACTTGAGCTTTAACATTCGATCTGTACATTCTCTGTACATCTTACTACAGATTTTCACAATGACTTCTTACCTAACGACTCTCGCTATTTTGGTACTCTTTGCCAACCCAGCTGTAACCCAATCCGGCTCCGGCACCACAACGCGCTAGTACTGGTAAGCCACCCCTACCCTTCACCCATCTTTCCTAACTCTTAATTTTCCAGGGACTGTTGCAAACCCTCCTGCGCCTGGTCCATGTCAGGGATCACCTCCGCGGTCAACACCTGCGATATCTCCGACAGCCCCTTGGCAGATGCCAGCGCCCAATCAGGATGCACAGGAGGAACTGCTTACATGTGCAGCGATCAGTCACCCTGGTCCATCAACAACGACCTAGCCTACGGCTTCGCAGCCGTGAGCGGCAGTAACCCGAACTGTTGCTCTTGCTACCAGCTTACGTTCACGAGCACCGTCCTCAGCGGAAAGAAGATGATAGTACAAGCGACTAACACTGGGGATGATGTCAGCAGTACGCAATTTGATCTCGCTGTGTGTCCATCCCCTCTTCACTTTCTCAGATAGTGGCTGATAAGACAGATCCCTGGAGGAGGCTTTGGACAATACGATGGCTGCTCGACGGAATGGAAAGCCACTTCCGCTGTCCGGGGAGCACGATACGGCGGACCATCATCCAATACCTGCTCTTCACTCCCAAGTGCGCTACAGCCCGGCTGCGGTTTCCGCTGGGATTGGATGCAAAGTGCTGACAATCCGACGTACATCAACCACTCCCTGGCCTATGAACGAACTCACTTACTGACAACCATCAGCGTCGATTGGGAAGTCGTCACCTGCCCTGCCGAGCTCGTCGCAAAATCCGGCTGCTCCGTCACCGGATACAATTCCGCCAACGCCCCATCCGCTCCGGCCTCCTCTCCAGCCGCACCCGTACCTTCACCCAAAGCCCCCACTTCTTCCCCACTTGCCCCAGTCGCCAGCAAGCCGCCCGTGGAATCCCCAATCGAGAAGCCGACCACCAGCCCTAAAGCAGCCGCTCCCGCCACGACAATCTCCCCAGTCGTGGTTCACAGCCCACCGCCCGCGGTTGCATCGAAAGCCTCTCTGCCGCCCAAGCCGGCCAAGGCGGCTCCGGCTCATCCTCACTGGATCCCCGACGAGCATCAGAAGTCGGCCGAGGAAGAGAAGGAACATGCCGAGTGGACGCCTCCCGAGCGTCAGGAGTGGGCCGAAGAAGAGGGCAAACGAGACGACTGCGACGCCTAGGCTAGGTCATCTGGGCAAAGAAGGCCAAACGCCGTTGGCAATCTTCCACGTTCGTGGTCAAGGATCGTTGATATTTTTGGGGGTTGAGTGCAAACATTGTTACTTCCTTGTATGTAATTTACCGTTGGGACCTTGGAGACCTTGACCTGGAGGCTTGTGGCCAGATGTCGTTCTCTTCTTGTACATACTTTACCAGTGAATGTTTGAAGGCCCTTTGCTTTAGCGCCGGGGCTCTCGGCCACTCCATTCTTGTACAAACTTTACATTGGAGTCAGCGGAGACTTTTTTGCGAGCTGTCAGAACTTTGAATGGTACAGACTTTGAGCCTGAATAAATGTAGGCCTCTCGCATTGCGTTCTAATCTACCCCGAGAAGACAAAGGATGATGAGAGCCAGTCGCGCTGCACGTCGTTCTAGTCTAACACCAATTACTCGAACCTGCCATACCTTTGCGGTGAGGAAATCCACGGAGCGCCCGTCGAAAAGGTTTGAGGGTGGAAAAAGAATCAGCCTCAAACACAGGTTTTACTTTTCACCCACTTAATTGCACTGCACGGATGAAGAAAGGGTTTCAGCAATGATGCCTAAGCCCCACACGTTTCGTAGACAACTCAGCTGCGCTCGCACAGCACGGCGAAGGCGGAGAGAGTACGGTGTATATATTTCAATGCAGATGTGGTTGGAGATCTCTCTCCCTCTTTCTCTCTCTCTCTCTCTCTCTCTCTCTCGCATGTACCCACCTTTTTTCGGTCTGGCCCGGGGCGGGAGGCTGAGGCGGTGTGGCGTAGTCAGCTTTTACGAGATCCCTGACACCCTGACAACAGAAAGCGGAGTCACCTTCAGCCGAGTATGAGTAGAGTACGGTATATCATTTGTATACGTTATTCTTATTATTCCCAGCACCTTATAGATATATCCATCCCCGGGCCTTTATGGATCAACCTTTTTACTTTACTTTACATTATCCTTCATTAATATCGTGACATAATAATAACAACAACAATTACCCCTCCCTTAGTTGACCCATCTCTTAAAACTCTCCGGCTCCCCCTATCCGCCTTCAGGTGTTTCACGCCTGAGGGAGACCAACTCACAAGTGAACAACCGAACATCTACGAATAGTGACACCATATTACAACTTGTGGAAGAGGCTGAGAGCCTTCTCTCTGGTTGTATCACTCCAATAGCCTCTCATACAAGATGCGACGATAGCATTGACTTGAGGGCCATTCCAAACGCGCACGCGCACCTTCCTAACATCACGGGCCAAAGAATCCCTCGAAGCCACCATGGCAAGGCCGTTTGACGAGTCGCTGCCATACCAGCACATTGGGAGCAGCATGTCCTCTCAAACATCTCTAGCTGGCGACCGGGCATGGAAGACGTCCGCAGATGGCTCCTACCCATCATCATTAGCATACGATGTGGGGCAGTCCATGAATCCACCTCGTTTGATGAAGAATCCTTCAAAGCGGAGCCAGAAGCCGAAGCTGCCAAAGATAAAATCTTCACCCAGTCACGGCGCCTTAGCTGCCGCGAGGGCAAATCATGCCAAGCTTCACCGACGAGGAAATTCGGCTTCCACACAAAGTCCTACTTCTCCAACCTTTATCCCGGACTACCTAATGCAAACCGCGAGCCCGGTCATTCCTGCCAGTGCGCACGCAAACCTATACTCGACGCCCGAGACGAAAGAGCACAAGAGCAGCAAAGTGAAGGCAAAACCCCTTTTACGGAAATTTACTTCGCGAGAGCAGGTGTCAATTGATTTGTCTCGGTCAGCAGCAGAAAATGAGGGACTAGGGATATACACATCATCAGAGATCAGTGGAGCCCCAGATTCAGGGTCCGGTCGAAGAGGAGGATACCATAACCGCACGACAAGCGCGACCTCACAACTCTCATCCACAACAACATCAAGCAACCCTCGCTACGGCGCACAATATGTGCATCCCATGCGACAGACTCCTCGATCCTACACACCACCCATAGCAAGCTCATACAAAACATCACTGGAGAGCGACGCGCCAACTGCCAACACTTCGATCAACACTTCTGTCGAAGCACCGTACTTCGAATCAGACTCACGTTCAGCATCACATACCGCCGGGGCACCATATGCCCCGCCACCTTCATCACGACGACCCACACCTCTTCACATCCGCACTGGCTCAGCCGCACGCCTAACAAGCTCTTCACAAACCAATCTACCAGGCACGCCATCCTCACTTCGGTTTAACACCGACTCGGTCACGCCATCAGACATGGTGGGTCCAGCTGGGAGATCATCCCTCGAAAGCGCCTTCCGCATGCGCAGTCGCTCGAACCCTGCAGATGTTGACCCAGCAGCTCAGAAGGCAATAGTGGACATTAAGCGTCAGGAATTCAACGAGAGAGAAGCTGCAAAGGAACTGAAGTACCAGCAAGCGGAAGCGCGGGCGCAGGAGAAGGAAGCAAGACGACGAGAGAGGAAGGAGGAAGAAGAGCGAAGGACATCAGAAAAGAGAGAAAGGAAACGAGCGCAGAGCAATGCTGCGAGTGAGAAGTCAAGTTTTTTGATTGCAGGGGAGCCGCATGAAAGCTTTCCTTCGGTGCAAACACTGCGGCAGGAGTTTCCTGTGGCAGCTCAGCCGATGGGAAGGAAGAGAGGGGATACGGCCGAGTCGGCAGGGAAGGCGGGCAAAGCGGTGCATAGTCAGTGGACACTGTTTTGGTTCAGGTTCAAGACTGTGTGGTTGAGGTTGAAGAGGAAAATGTCGAAGTCGTCCAATTAATAGGACTCTTCGCTCAGGGAGTAATTGTGATGAGCATGGAATGCGTTTGGTGCAAGGGGCTTTCTACTCTATTCTAGCGGCGGCGTTGGATCAAGGCACAGCGGTCACCGCATATGATACCAAGTTCGTCATGATTCATGTTTTATAGAGGTTCAAGCAGTTGAGATCTTGAAGTCAGTGCAGGTCATTGCTTGATTACCGAATTTTCAGGTTCATACCTGAACCACCGTTCTACATATTGAGTTCACAAATAAAGAGTAGTTTCCAGGCATTTTGGCTACAATCAATCATAGACTGCTCGAGGTAAAATAAAGTACTCACCTGGCTTCCTCAACATTTGTTGCCAATTGCCAAGACCTATATCTTGCCAAGGCTTGGCGCTATCCCGAGTACGTTCGCCATATCCACACTCCATACAGTTTTCGTAACACCACCACATTCGGGAGATACAGCAGTTGGCAAGATGGTGTACGACTGGGAGGGAAAGAGAGATACCTGCTTCAATATGTATATCTCTGAGAACAAAGGGTTGGAAGAGATACAAGCGTTCTACCGCGAGCAGGGTTTCAATCCCAGGTGAGTGCTGTACAGTCGACCATATCGACCATCGACTCAAGATCGTCCGGCAACCTCTCGCTACTCCCTTCATTGAATCCTCGAGCCGTACTGCGTGCTTTGCAGGGCTCAGAAGAGCGATGTTTATCCGAGCTCGAGGCTGATGCTGATAGCTGCCACAGCAAACGAGCCTTTCAATGCCGCTTCAAAGAATGGGGCTTTCCAGCCAAACACCACCCTGCCCATCGAGGTGAGGATCTGGCTGCCAGGATTCGCGAGCTATGGGAGGTCAACACGTCGAACAAGCAGATGCTGGCGATCCTACGCGGTGAGGGATGGGATGTCAAAGAGCGCGAGCTCACCAAGCTCCGAAAGGACCACAATCTACTGCTACGAGAACCCAACCGGAACGGGAACGGAAGTGAAAGGAGGCAGAAGCGCAAGAGAGATGCGTTGGGGGAGTTGGCTGATCGGAATGGGCAAGACGAGCCTGCTGCGTCTCCGGAAGAGCCGCCTCGAACGCCGTCTCCAGGACCAATTCTGCCACCCGAAGTCATTGCGAAACGCGAAGCACGGCAAGCCAGACTACTAGCAGAAAGCCAGGAGCGTCTCAAAGCCGGGACTCGACGTCGTCGTACGAAGGTATGGTCTGGTCTACCGCCAGACCCTGTACAACCTCCTCGATATCCGTCAGAGCTGACTATGGAGGAGAGCAAGATTGAATTGGGACTCGACAGGAATCTGTATCATGAAATGCGGAATATCTTTGAGGATATCTGCCGAAGCAACAATGTTATCAAGAAGACTCTCTGTGGCACGGAGACGTGGAAGACTGTCAAGGAGCAGCTCATCAGCCAGTTCGAACACTTGCAGCCTATTTTTTGGGGAACGGATGCCGCGGATCTAAACCTGACACAAAAACCCATGGCGTTAGATCTGATATGCATGGATGTGACGAAGAAAATTCGTACAGTCGGCACCCGAATCACCATCACTGATGCAAAGAACATACTAGGCGTTACGCCGCAAGAAGGAAGGGATATTCGATCTGCATTTGACGCCATCCTCAAGGGCGATCACTTTGTCAGCAAGCTTGAAGTGCCCAAGGAGCACTGGGATGCGCTCAAAGATAAGTGGATAGCCGAATCGCCCAGGCTCCAGCAGATCATTGCGGGTGGAGATGCAGACCCGGATCTGCCGGCAAAGCTGAGGTCTCTCGAGTCTATTGCCAGTGATGTGCAGAAGCGTCATCGTGATTTTCAGACAAAGAAAGATCCGACGCGATTGGCCAAAACTTCAGCAACGTCGTTTCCAGGAAGGGGACCACCTCCACCTTCCACTTCCACCACTCCTGCGAAGAAGACCAATCCACCACCCGCTATCAATCCAGCCGACCAAGCAGCAGATTCTCCCGTGCAAGCATTCCTCTCCGGTGCTTTATCCAATCATCCTGTAAACGGCATCAACCCGGCCTCATCGTCCGCAAATGACATGACAGCCTTCGCATCCCAAGCTCTCGCCCACGCTCCATATAACGACTTCACTGACTTTACCGGCATGCAAATTGACCCTACTCTCCTCGAAGCCGCCGGCTCCATCCCTCAAAATCTCAGCAGCAATCATGCTCAACTTGAGAACGACCCTCCAGTCCGAGTCTTTTTCCGGCCCTCCTCCACCTCGCAGCTCAAATACCTCAGCTCGGCCCCCAAAGTCTGGCTGGGTGTGCTGCAAGCACCTTACACAGTGAACGGTCTTCGCGCATTGGCTCTCAATGGGTCCGGGTTACAGGGGAAGGCAAGAGTGGGGAAGATTGAGGGCGTGGCAGAGGGAGACAGTGGGTGGGGGATTGATGAGGACGATGAGTTGGAAGCTTATTTGGGGTTTGTGAAGGGTGGGGGCAAGGTTACTTTTGTAGTTGAGTTTCTGTAAAGGGCCGGAAGCTGAAATGAATTGAGCGGTTGAAGGGTTCGATCTGTGACAGCTTGCTCGATGCAGCAGGTAAATATCCAAGCTTTCATTCTGCAGTAAGGTATCTAACCCTTCAGACGGCGCCACTGATGGTAATATTATCTCCTGGTGCCTCTACTACTTCAGCAGACAAGCCAGTTTTACAGGTTTCATAGGCGAGGAGGTGGCATTGAAGCTTAAGAGGCAGGAAGATGGCTGTATGTCATTAGCATCTCATTGGCGGTTGCGGCGGGTCAGTTGCAGGTAAGCGCGCGGGTGGCGCTACCGCCGAAAAGTGTTGGCATACCGAGCCGGCGAAGCAAAATAGGATAGCTGGCATCATCGTGGTTGCCGTCTAGCATGATCTGGCGGTAGCATCTACCGCAATACGAGTGCGTCGATGAGCTCTGTCTGTGTCATTAATTAAGCCTCAGTGCTCCCTCTGGAAGTAAGGAGCCATGCATAATCGTTGGCTGCGCTTCATATGCTGTACGTCCTCTCAATCCGCAGCTCTTGTCCCATACTGACTTTAATGTGCTCACTGCAGTATCAGTATGGGTCTTCTTCATTACGACACATGCCGAGGTCCTCAGCGACCCCGACAGCAACCTAGTCAAAGAGCAAACAGCGGGAGGGAAGTCTGCCCTCAAGGCACACGACAGCCCCGAAGCTGTATCCCGATGGCAGCAGGCGAGCGCCGAAGATGGTAGACAAAGTCGGGGTACGGAGAGCGCTCATACTTGTCTCGATGGAAGCTGATTCCTCGTGTAGCAACGTCTGCCGTTCAAGAAGCCCTCCGAATACTCCAGCCCCTTCAACCATCTCGAACTCGGTTCACGAGCTTTGATAAGACATCCGGCCTGGTCGGAACAACTTTTTACTACGCAAAGCAGGCATTTGTACTGCTTTTCATGAATGGACCACCAGAAGAAGACTACCTCAGCCCACAGCCCGAAAATTCGGCTCTCAGCAAACCCCTGGCGCAAGCGGTGAGGCTTTTGGAGAGCGCTGCGGTGGAGAAAGAGCCGGATGCAATCTTCTTATTGGCCGAGATGAGCTTCTTCGGGAATTACACGCACCCTCGAAATCACAAGGAAGCCTTCCGGAGATACCATGAGCTGGCGTCGCTGAATGGTAATAGTTCAGCACAGCATATGGTCGGGCTCATGTATGCCACTGGAATCGGAGGAGCTGTCGAACGGGATCAGGCGAGAGCTTTGACGTATCATACATTTGCCGCGATGGGCGACAGCACCAGGGCGCAGATGACGACGGCTTATCGGCACCATACAGGGGTTGGGGCTCCGAGGAATTGCAACGAAGCAGCGTATTGGTACAAGAAAGTGGCAGACAAGGCCATTGCGTACTCGAGGTCCGGTCCTCCCGGTGGAATGTTACTGCAAAAAGACTCCTACAAGATTGCAGATGAAGATGGAGGCGTGTATGGAGAAGGCGCCAGTGTGGTCAGCTCCGGAGTGTACGCCAACAAAGCTGGGCCAAATTCAGATGCACATGCGGACTTTGATGATGTGCTGGAGTACTTGGACCTAATGTCAAGAAAAGGTGACTTGAAAGCCACCTTCAGTCTGGGCCGATTGCACTACGAAGGATCTCGAACAATGAAGAGAAATCTCAAGACTGCAAAGGCGTACTTTATGATTGTGGCACGCAAGTACTGGCAAAAAGATGGCTCAATTCGTGATGAAGATCAAAGCGTCGCTAAGATTGCTTCAAAAGCAGCAGGCTACATTGGGCGCATGTTCTTGCGTGGGGAAGGCATGGAACAGAGCTACGAGAAAGCCTTGACTTGGTTCAGACGCGGGGTTGCCAATGGTGATGCATTGTGTCAATACGAGATGGGTCTCATGCATCTCCACGGTCTGGGAGTAAAGAAGGACCCTGTGCTCGCCTCGGACTATTTCAAAGAGGCTGCCAACCAAGACTTTGCGTCTGCCCAAGTCAACATGGGGCAACTCTTCCTCGATCAGGGCGACATCAATACTGCCTCACGCTTCTTCGATCTGGCGGCTCGACATGGGCACATAGAGGCCTTCTACCATCTAGCTGAAATCAATAACAACGGAATTGGCCGAGAAAGATCCTGCGGTATGGCAACAGCGTACTATAAAATGGTCGCAGAGAAAGTTGAAGACATCCACTCTTCTTTCGATGAAGCTAACCGAGCCTACGATGAGGGCGACACCGAGTCAGCTTTGATCATCTACATGATGGCCGCCGAACAAGGCTACGAGTCTGCACAAGCCAATGTCGCTTATCTTTTGGATGAATACAAGTCAATCCTATCCTTAGACTCGCTGATCCCGTGGAAAAGACGAAGGTCGTCTTTGCTTCGAAATGCGGCCTTGGCTCTGATTTACTGGACTCGTTCAGCAAAGCAGTCAAATATTGATTCAATGGTCAAGATGGGCGACTATTATCTGGACGGGTATGGCATCGAAGCAGATATGGAAAAAGCGGCCACTTGTTATCAGACAGCTGCCGAGACCCACCAGAGCGCCCAGGCTCTTTGGAACCTTGGCTGGATTCACGAAAATGGCCTGGGCGTGGAGCAGGACTTCCACCTAGCGAAGAGATTCTATGATCAGGCTCTGGAAACGAACCAGGAGTCATATCTACCCGTCAAGCTAAGCCTGACGAAGCTACGGATGCGGAGCTTCTGGAACACCATCACGAATGGCAAGGTCAAGTCGATCCAGTCTGAGCCAGGTAAGCCAAATCCAAAAAGCTATTAATTACGTGGACCTTAGACCCTGACGCGATGCAGAACCTAAGAAGGAATGGTCCCTCAGCGAATGGATCTCCAACTTCCTCGAAGAACCCCATCCCTACTACCACGGCGCGGACGACGATTACGACGAACCCCTTCCCGAAGGCATGCCCGGCGGGGACGACGACTACTACGCCGAGATCGACGACAGCATCCTCGAGAGTCTGATCATCGTCGGCTTAGCCGCCGCACTGGCCTTTCTTGTATATTACCGACAGCAAAGGCAGACGAACCACAGGCGAGAAATGGAGACGCAACGGGGCAACGACCCGGTGCGGCCCGAGAATGGCATTCCGCCCGAAGAGCGATTACCCGGCCAGCAGGCGGACGGGGGGTTCTTTCCCCCGCCTGACGATCCGAACTTCAGACGGTGGGTTGCCGGTGGTGTTGGGCATTAGCCTCAGCACAGCATAGCATAACATAGCGTCGGCGTTGGTGTCGGCGTTGTCTACCCTCTTGGACGTGTAAATCACCGAAAAGGCGTCAAGCATTTGTACCATACCATTTTCGAGTCTCTCAGAGTAGTAACATAGCAGCGTCTCCTTCTTCTATGATCGTTCTTCTTCTTCTCTCTGTGATTCCATACAAAGCATCGCAAAATAAAATATCTCTGTACCCTCTTAAACGTGTAAATCACCGAAAAGACGTTAAGTATTTATATTATATTATCTTTAAGTCTCTTAGAGTAGTAATATAGCAGCGTCTCCTCCTTCTATGATCCTTCTTCTTCTTCTTCTTCTTCTTCTTCTCTCAGTAATTCCATACAAAGCATCGTAAAATAGAATATCTCTATACCCTCTTAGACGTGTAAATCACCGAAAAGGCGTTAAGCATTTATATTATATTATATTCGAGTCTCTTAGAGTAGTAATATAGTAGCGTCTCCTTCTTCTATAATTCTTCTTCTTCTACTTCTCTTAATAATTTTATACAAAGTATCGTAAGATGAGATATCTCTATACCCTCTTAGCCGTGTAAATCACCGAAAAGGCGTAAGTATTTATACTATATTATTTTTAAGTCTCTCAGAGTAGTAACATAGCAGCGTCTCCTTCTTCTATGATCGTTCTTCTTCTTCTCTCTGTGATTCCATACAAAGCATCGCAAAATGGGGTATCTCTACTCTGCTCTGCTCTGCTCTGCTCCGCTCAAAGCCAAATTCGCCATCGCCGACGCAATCCCAAACCCCCACCTAGTGTAGAGATTGGAGATCCCAGCATCGCAATCGGGGTTCCCATCTCCGTAAAAGAAGAAGCCAGATGCGATCCGATTGCCGCAGCCAGATTTCCACATGCCCCAGCCAGACAAGACCCAATCGCCAGCCCGTACCCCCATCAAATCAACCAACCCACCTCTGCCCCACCTCATCGAACCCCACGACCGCCAGCTCGACATTCAAACTCCTGAGCATCACATCCATCGTATAGCCCCCTCCCCCTTCCTCCCCATCCCCATCCCCATCCCCATCCCCCCACCCTCTTCACCCCCCCCCCACCCATCCCCCCCCCCTCCCCCTCCCCCCCCCCATCCCCCCATCCCACCCCCCCCCCCCCCCCCCCCCCAACCCCGCCCTCTCCTTCGCGACCCCGAACACCACCTCGGCCGCCTCCCGGCTCCAGCCCCTCCACCGGCCGATCAGGGCTTCCAGCTCCGCCTCGCGGGCCGGGTGCCGTTCGATGCGGAGGGCCTGGGCGGCGGTCTCGAGGGCGGCGCGGGCGGCGAGGAGGCGGGCGCGGAGGCGGGCGTGGTGGGTTTGGAGGGGGGCGAGGGGGGAGGGGGCGTGTGGGCGTGGGCGTGGGGTGGTTGTGGTTGGGTTTGGGGTTGTGGTTGGTTTGGATGCGGGCGGGGGAAGTGGTGGTGGGGGGGAGGAGGTGGGTACTGTGGTTGGATGGGCGTCGGGGTGGGGAGGTGGGTCCTTGGTTGGGGGGGAGGAGGCGGCGGCGGCGGGTGGGATTGACTTCGAGGGCGTTTTGAAGGGGGATTTGAAGGGTTGGGAGAGGGTGTTTGTGGCGGTGTTGAGGCGACGGCGTTTCGAGGGCTGGACGGGCGACATGATTGGTGGAGGTGGGAGTATTCTATGTTGTAACAGAGACTGTTACGAGTTAAGTGTCATGGTTGGGAAGACGTCAAAAGTACCTTACGTGATGTGTTAGGATCGGCGCTAGTGACGCGCTTAGGGTTTCTACACATCAGGGGCAAGCTGCTTCGCTACATCTCGCACCTTTTAGGCAAAATATGGGTTTAAAGCAGTGGAGATACTTGAGCTGCAGGTGGGCTGTGATCAGAGGACTAACAACAAGAATGGACGACTCAGAATTTTCTCGATTATAATTACGTATTAGATGCAACTATGAGATATCGCTTTTCGTAGATCACTTTGGAGATACCCTCGTGTTGGAATACTCGATCAAGAGCAGCCCAATGCCTCCTTGGCGTCCATAGCAGCAGCGGCATATCCGGCCAAGTAGGCAGGGATCGCAATGTTCTCAGCTTGTAGCGTCTTGATCTTGTTCTCGTAGTAGTTGTACCTCCTGTCAAGTACCGCGCACTGGCTCGATGTTGAAGACGCGCTGGCACTGGTTGAAGAAGATGTTGAGGAGCTTGAAGTACTTGAGCCAGATACCGAGCTTTGAGTAGTAGGCGCTGTGGTAGTGGCCAGAGTAGAAGCTGCGGAAGCGACTTTGTTGCTGACTACCACGGCGGCAGCAGCCGAAGAAGATGAGCTAGTCGTGCTGACGCTGGTCTTTGTGCTTAAAGTTGTGGCAGTAGCCGAAGAGCTCGCCGTCGCTCTACTATAGACACTGCTTGAAGCTGAAGAAGCAGCGCTGCTTGCTTTTTGGCTCAAACTTGAGGCAACATTCGAGGCGGAGCTGGCTCGGGAGGCTGCAACGCTTGCGCTGGCCTTAGTGCTTGAAGTAGGGGTAACACTTGAGGCTGAGCTGGTCTTAGGTGTGCCCGAGACGCTAAGAGAGGCCGAGGCAGCGCTGCTCGAGCTGGCCTTGGTGGCTGAATTCTGGGCAGCAGTTGACGAGGACCTTGCTTTAGCAGCGCTGGAGATCGCGGAAGAGGCAACACTTGATACTGCTGAGGATGCAACGCTCGGTGTTGAGGCAGCACTGGTTGTGCTGGATGCAACGGCGAGTTTGTTGTTGACGAGGACATTTGCGGCACTAGTTGAAGACGAGCTGGCCTTAGCTGTGCTGCCGGCCGCCACTGATGAGACAATACTTGATGTTGGGGCAGTATTTGAGCTGCCCTTAGCTGTGCTGCTGAGGACGACCGAGGATGAAGAGCTAGCTTTGGCCGTGCTGGATGCCGCTGAGGAGACAAATATTGAGGAACTGGCCTTGGCTGTGTTGGACACTACCGAAGAGGCGAGACTTGGGACAACAGTTGAGGAGCTGGCCTTAGCTGTGCTGGACACTACCGAAGAGGCAAGACTTGGGACAACAGTTGAGGAGCTGGCCTTAGCTGTGCTGGACACTGCCGAGGAGGCAACACTTGGGCTTGAGGGCGTAATACTTGGAGATGAGGCGGCCTTAGCTGTGCTGGACACTGCCAAGGAGGCAACACTTTGGCTTGAGGGCGCAACACTTGGAGATGAGGCGGCCCTAGCTGTGCTGGACACTGCCGAGGAGGCAACACTTGGGCTTGAGGGCGTAATACTTGAAGATGAGGCGGCCTTGGATGTATTGGAGACTGCTGCAGAGCCAACGCTGGAGCTGGAGGGAGCAGCACTTGAAGATGAGCCGGCTTTAATTGAACTGGAGGCTGCTGAGGAGGCAACGATGGAGCTCGATGATGGGATGACGACAGAAGATGTGCCGGACTGAACAGCGGCTTTGTCATTGACTGCAACGTTGGCGGCAGCGGATGAGGATGTGCTACTCTGGGACGCGCTGGAGCTTGATGCTGAGGAGCTTGAAACCTTGCTAGAAATTACAGATGAGCTAGAAAAAATGGGTGCTGAAGAGCTCGAGCTTGTTTTCGTCGATGACATAGAGTTGCTAGACGCTTTTGTAGATGAGGAGCTTGGACCCACGGTAGATGAAGAGGACGAGGAGCTGGAAGACTGAGTCTCTTGTCTGATAGCCAAAGCCCTGAGGGGAAAACTGGAGGTGGCGGTGATCGTGTTTGTTGAGTTTTTCAAATTGCAGTAGTTGCTATTGTCAGGAGCCCATGTGAACGCTGTGCATTTACTTCCATCCGAGAATATCTCACTGTCACATATTGCCGCGCAAGCCTCAAGGCTGCTGCTGGTTGTTTCTACATTGTAGGATTCGCCGTTGCTTTGGGTGGATGCATAACCACAAGTGATGGCGTAGTTATCGTAGACTGTACCGGCAGCTGAGGGACAGGTGACGCCGGAGCTGGCACTAGTGCTGCTAGAACTAGAGCTTGTGGTAGACGCTTTCGTCAATGAAGGGCTGGAAGTAACGGGAGCCGCCGAGGAGCTTGTCAATGCTTTCGACGAGGAAACAGCACTGGATGGTGTACTAGATGCGGTACTAGATGCGGTCCTAGATGCGGTACTAGATGCGGTACTAGACGGTTAGTGGCCGCCGAGGTACTTGTACTTGTCGACGGCTTGGTAGAAGAGCCAGCACTAGATGGGGTAGTAGACGGAGTCGTGGCAGATGCCGACCCTGATGAAGAGCCAGATGCCGCCAGAGCAGGAACAGCCGCGCCAGCAAGGACAAGGAGGTAGTTGAGCTTCATGTTAACGGATTGGAACGAGGAATTAATGTAGGAAGCTTTGGCGAGAAGGGAGTCGATTTGTCTTTGCGGTCGAAGTCACCTTGAAGCCTAGATATTGGAGAAGAAGCTTACGGAACCATTGGAAGAGAAGGATCTCCCTCTATATATAGAGAAGCAAGAGTGTGCTGATAGGGTATAATCATGGTGAATGGAGAAGCATAAGCCTGTGAACGCCGCAATGTCCCTCTGGAATGCGTAAAGATTTATTTTAACATTGGAGAATCGGATCGTCGGTCAAGGAAAGGAAGGTTACCAGCCAACGGCACAAGCCATTTGACAGGAGGGGAAGCCGTCTGACAGGAGGGACAGCCATTTTGCCAGGAGTGAAAGTCACTTGACGGGAGTGAAATTCAGTTGATAGAATCGAGGTAGTCAAGAATGTGTATACAGCTCAAGTGGCGCAGGGGATGATGGAGAGAAAGCTGGACATGATTGAGGCTTGTCCTGTGTAGCGCCGCAGGCTTCAAACCCAACCGAGGTGGGCTGATGGACCGAGAAAACTGTCAAGAAAAACAAAGACGTCATGGTCAACTTGAGAAGGACTGCAGTGGCTGCCGGGGACAAGTGTTTGTGATCAGAGTTCAATCCTCGACGTCCAGTGGAAAGTGGAGTCAGACAGGCGATTGGGAGAATAGCATTCCAACATTCTGCTGGGCGTAGGTAGGTACTAGTACGTCAGTCATGAACATACGGCGAATCTCTGACTCTAACCTGTATAGAGCTGCGGGCAAGGGAGTAAGGCTTCCTGTTTGTGCTCATCGACACCGACGCCAATCCAAGGTAAGCTGTCTCTCTGCTGTGAGTTCAGAGCAGTTCACGAAGCCCAAGCTAACCGTATTTGGCTAGTGGACACTCCTGATAATATTACAGAGACAAAACATTAATAAAAGCCAAATGCCGTACTCGTAGAACATGTGAAAACTGCCTGGCAGTTCATTATGCCGTCTAGAAGGGTTGGAATGCTAGCCTTTTCCACACAAGCATCTCTGACTTTTGCTTTTCTAGAATACAACCAATTTCAAACTTCGAATCAAAGGCTGGAAATCCCCACAGATTCCACTAATCCTGCTTTCCTCTGCCCAGCGCCCACAGACCCTTTCCTGTCCTCAATCAACTTGGCTGAGAAAAGCCAAAGGAAAGACACGCATCCGTATCTGCCACACTGAAGTAACTCGTATCTGTATTAGGATCGTAATACAGCACGCACTCCCATGTCGCATTTGATGCGAGATAATGTAAGTCGAAGGAATAATAGACGGTGTTTTCGGTAGATGTAGCACTATCGGCGATATTGGCGCAATTGGTGGCGGCATCACACATGTCAAGAGTGCCTGACATTGAGTTGTATATAGGAGGAAAGTCCGCTTGATCATTGCCGGGATTGTCGGTGGCTTCAATGGTATATTGGCCGGAATAGTATTCAGTGTATGTAACTGTTACTCCTGCCGCAACGGCGATAGAGGTGCACGATGGATCAGCAGTGATGGTGGTAGGGCAGGTGGCAGTGCTGCTGGAGGAGCTGCTGGAAGAGGTGCTGGAAGGGTTGCTGGAAGGGCTGCTGGAGGGGCTGCTGCTGCTGCTGGAGGAGCTGCTAGATATGCCACTGATAGATGTCGAGCTTGGTGTAGATAACACGCCACTACCGGTACTACTGGAGGAAAGCGAGGTGCTTGACGAAGAGCTAGAAGAGGTTCCGCGTGGTATTGTGGAAACGCTGCTGCTGGTAATGCTTGAGGTTGCGGATGTCGTCGAGGCAATGGGATTAGAACCAGTGACAGTATTTGAATTGGCGTTTGATGTACTACTAAGAGATACCTGGGGTGTTGAGATGCTCGATATCGTCATCGGTGTGGTCATGGAGACTGTGACGAAGGCCTATAAGTAGTCATTGTCAATCCCGAAATGAAAGACTGTCGGAGAACATTAATACCGTTGGTTGTGTCTCAAGGCAGACCCCAATACAGCAGCTAGAAAATTTGTAAATGCGTATTCTTTGGGCTAATCCAGACTCGCGTACCACACACCACGAGCGAACTCGTGATCAGAGGCCTCCAACTCAGACAGCAAATCGCACAGATAGTTATCTCCTGCAGGGCATTGGACGTCACGCGACGTACGGAGACTGGTAGCAATGCGATCCGTCCTTTTGTCGAGAAGCGATGTCGTGGAACAGTATCCAAGAGCAGGGGAAAAGCCAGAAAGCGGCATAAACGTCTGATAGGCCGGCAGAGAGCAGACGGCAGGAGGAGCTTGAAATGCCATATTTAGTGTTCAATCGAGCAACAAACTGTGATGGAAAGAATTTTCCTCCAGTAGAAGACTTTAGAGATTCGACATGAATTTGAAAAGGAAGAGGAAAGAGAGTCACGGAACTTAATTCAAAGGATAGTCGGAGGAGAAATCAGCAATGGTATGGCGCACGCAATATCTCTCAAGCCATTGAAGAAGACATACGCCCAATGCCCCACTGTCCGGGTCGAAAAGTTAGATGGGTGAAGGCGTTGTGTATAGCAACGGCTACTACATGATGAGCATAGAAGCTCATACACTATCGCCTCTAGAACAAGCATAGTCGAGATATTGTAATCCTGATGAGACCACGGAGCCACCTGGGGAAAGTTCCCGAGACGCTCGTTCTGAAGGCTTTACACCCCTTGGATCATGCTCCACATCTTCAGGATTGGTGGATACTGTAGGAGATAGATGTATATCCACGGGGGTCTCCTGTGCACCCAAAATAGTGAAAAATGTGCAAGCCAGGCGACAGCTACGAGTAGAGGACTTATAGCAACAGCAGGTCACGGTGATAGCATCATAGTCACCTTTTGAACATAAGCAGCATCAAGAAGGCTATGTTGCGACTGAGAGGAGGCTGGGATTACGGTATGGTACCTTAGTTGACTGTGTGCTTGGCAGCGCTAAATAATCTACTGTTTGTAAACTGGGGATCCGATGCGATACTTCTGAAACTCTGCCAACGTAGAGTATGGCGTATGTAATAATACACTTAGTATGACCGAGTATATATAGAGGAGATTTTATATTGAGAATCCGCCGCGCTAGAATTCGAGGATCAAATATATAAAACGAATAGAAGATATTATTTCGAATCATCTATTCTATAAGGTTCGAGGAGTTATAGTTAAGCAATTCAGGTCTCCCTCGTGAAAGACTTAAAGAATTAATCTACGGGTGAAACACTGAAAATGGAGCTAATGATTATACCTGTATTGACACTTAGCGTTGGCTGAGGTTTACGAAATGATGCAAGACAAACTTTCCACACTTTCCACTTAATTCAGCTTCACCTTCTTCTCCAAATCCTAAATCCCACACATAATTCTTCGGCAACACCAATTGAACTTTTTCTCCGCTCTTACAAAACCTCCTGCTTATACAGCCTCCAAATAGCCAACATGACGAGTCGCATCCCCACTTCGACCTCAATCACAGAGTCCTCCGTCATCGCCGCCCCTCTTGCCCAGGTCTGGCACCTGATCAAGCTCCAGGACTTTCACCACTTCTGGACAAAGCTTGACAAGAGCCACCACATTAAGGGTGTCTCTCATGAGACCGACGTTGTCAAGTGGACTTTCAAGGATGGCACGGAGCAGGAGGTGAAGCAGGAAGAGCATTCGGTATGGCAGATGCCTTCTCCCACCTCCTTCCGTTCAAGATGCTGTATTGCTGACCTGGGTCTTTTTGTTAGAGTATTGACCACTTCATCACCTACTCCGTCATCTCCTCCACCCCAGCTCTCACATACTCCAGTATCATCTCCACCATCAGATGCTATGCTGTGACAACCGGACCGAGCCAGGGGTCAACTTTTGTGCAATGGTCGGCACACTTCTCCTCCGATGCCGATGCTGGTATGAATGAGCTCCTCGAGCCAGTTGCACAGCAGAATGTCAAAGCTAACATAACAAATAGGAGTCATTGAGGATGCTAAATTCAAGCGCAAGGAGGCTCTGGCTGACCTGGCCCATGCCGCCGTGGGAAATAAGTGAAAGAGATGGGAGAGAATATCAGACGCAAGGATGACGGATTGTACGATATGACGGCATGAAATAGATGACACAAATTGCTGGCAAGACTGTGCATAGGCTTTCCAACATAAGGGCACCACCAACAAGATTTGCTCGGTAATCCCTGCACCTCAGTCCAGAATCGAAACAAATTATAATGATGCTTGATCTGGGGGTCTTCGGTACTGTGGGGAAGAGGGCACATCGTAGCCCTGCTATCTCTATTTGCACATGTGGCAGCAGAGGAGCCGGACAGGCTTGTCCTTGCAATGCTCTTGCCATACCGGTTTTTGCAATTGATGCCAACTTGATGCCACTCTTTCTGGCACTCTACCAGCTCTCCAGCTTGGAAGGTGTGTCGCCTTCTTGGTGTTTGTATCGATGTGTCTACTATGAAGCCGCTATGCTTGACCTTGACACTGCTCGTGATGATGCGTCCGTCCTGGTGCCAATGTTTATCGATAAAGGCCAGCCCCTTGTATTCTAGCATTCACTTTAGCAAGGACGGCACCTTCCTAATTCACCACCATCGTTGCCAAGCAACGGTTTGTCAATTGTCAAAGGAAAGGAAAGAAATGAGCCTTTCAGAACTCAACACCTCCGTTCACGCGAGCTAGACAGGACCTCTTCATCTTCTTTAACAACACCATGCTTCTGTTAGGGCCATAGCCCACAAATAGCTTCGTTTGCACTGTCTCCCGACCTCTAGCACATCACCAAACGCTTGAAATATTTGCTCGATCGTAGTGAGCACCTCGACTCAACTCACAAGATGCCTCCTCTTTCAGTCCTTATCAGCGACGGTGACCCGTCAGACGCTTTTCACGATCAGTTCTCTACTATCATCCGCCTTGAGTCACGTCTTCAGGGGGATTATTCAGAAGATGTGAGCGGACCAGCCCACCAACGCTGGGTCGTGAAGCACCTGACCGAAGTGGCCCGAGCTCAGGGTTTCCCTATGCAATTAACTACACAGGCAACGGCATTCAATGTGCACGCTGGAGAGTTCATCACGCCTCCGCCGGCACAGACAACGATATTCGGTCACTCCGGATATACTACACCTTGGCACGAGAACTTCAATCTTGCCGACCAAGGGGTCTTTGACTCCTCTGGCCCTTATTACCCGGCTGCACAGAACATCGCATTCCATCGTCTCTCACGTCCTCCAAGCCCCTATCACCCCTTCGATCCTGCTGAGCGAGCAGCATATCGTGCGATAGTGAGAGCACAACTACTCCAAAGCAGTGGCCAGCGCGTAGAGAGTCAGCCTCACGCATCAAGTGAATGTTTCGACCATACCTCGGATTCATTCATCCGTTCAAGTGACAACCCTCCGCGTTCTGAACCTCCCACCACACCTCCCAACAACTTCTCGGGTGTCCGATCTCCTTTTACCCCTCCCAACCAATCACCCAGACTTCGTGGTCAAACAGCACCACCAGAGTCTCCGGAGTCTCTGTCCGATCTCTTCGCCAACACCACAATACGCGCTAGTACCGAACCTATTGCTAAGTCTAGAATGGGGTCCCTCACGGCACCCGACTGTTACAAATCCATCGAGGTCTATGCCATTGACGTTCAAACCGGAGACTACATTCAGTCCGTTAAGAATCCAGGTACGCAACGCGGAATGCTTTCTTCCCCATCACTAGCACTCTCACTCCATTCACTCCTTTCACTCAGCTTCATCGTATCATCTACACAACCCCGTGAAAACCACAACTGATCACTAACTCTCCAGCAGGCGAAGTGATGGACCACTATCCCTGCGAGGACCTCGACCATGAGCCCATCGGCGAGAACGAAGCTCGGCCCGTCAGCCCCAACGGCGGTCTCCGTATCCAATTCAAGGGCGCAGACGGCTCGACTCGTACCAAGGTCTTCAAGGGGCTCGACAAGGTGCGGGTTCTACGTCAGGTTGCAAAGGAGAAAGATGATGAGGAGAAGGAGGTCAAGAAGGAGGAGAGTCAGTGAGCCGTATCGAGATCAATCGTGAGAGCTGCGGGATGAGAATGGCAAATTGGGGGGGAGAACAGGCGGCTGTGGACGATCGATCGATCAATGCTGCGAACATGCCGGCTTTCTTAGAAGCAAAATGCAGTCACGACAGATTAGAACGAATGATGAAAGCTACTGGATAGATAGATAGTAACTGCAATTCTCTCTATTGAAAACGTCTAATGTACAGGTGCATGCCCTCACGTAGGTTCCTGTCTGTGTGGACTCAATGATATCTCAATCTTGTGAATCGCTCATCCTCACATGACTGCCGAGAATAAACAGCCAGAGACACCGTCACAGCTCTTCCCCTTCTTCTCAAGATGATGACAGCGCCAGGCCTGTCAAGATATCCATCCCTCGGTCTGCATGATCTCACCGTCCTCGATCCAACCATCGCTCATGTCCGCCAGGGAAAAAGAACACCAATCCACCTCACATACAAAAAAGGCGCCAGACGGACGGCACAAGAATGGGAAAAAATTCGTTCACGAAGGCGAAGGCGGAGGCGCAAACCCATAATGCCATCGACTTCAGTAGCAATCATACCTCCTGCACTGGAAAAGTTCCCTCCTTCATTCATTCATTTATTCATTTATTCACTCACTCAATCATTCCATCAATAAAGCCCACCCCTCCAGCCCTCCACAAACCTAGTCACCTCGCCCAAACTCTTCTTGCAAAGCGCGCACGCGACCTCGGCCCTCCGCGCCGCCTGCCTGGCCTCCTCGAGCGCCTTCTCCGCGTTGCGCGCCTGCGTGATGCCCTCGACCATGATACTGCCGAGCTGGAGCAACTTCTCCTTCTTCGGCGAGGAGCGCTCCTTGCGCGAGAGGTCCAGGAGTTCCATGGCCAGGTGGGTGGAGGTGGACGTTTCGGTGGGGCTGGGCGAGAAGAGGGAGGGGGTTGCTGGGGTGGCGGGGCGGGTTGCGGTGGAAGGGCGGGGAGTACCGGCGGCGGAGCGGGCGATGGAGGCGAGGGTTGGGCGGTGGATGGGGTGGACGTCTGATATTGGTGGGAAGGGACTGCCGGAGGCGTTGACAGTGGACTTAAATTTGGGTTTTTTGCTGGATTTGAGGGGCTCGTTTTCGGAGGAACGCTTGTGGAAGAGACCGCGCAAGATCGAAAGGCTGCCTTTGGAGGCGGATGCTTGAGATTTGCTGGACCCGCGAGCGGTGGAATCGCGCTTGGAGGCGTGGTTGGAGAGGTCGAGCTGGGACGTGCCGTGGCCGCGAAGAGAGCCCAGATCGTTTTGACGACGAGCGAAGTCCTGAGGCTCGTCTTTGGGTGGAGTTGGCGGTCCGTTGTCTGCCGTCAGGGGCGACACCGGAGAATTCTTGGCCGTGGTGAAATCGGGGTGGGCCATACGGGAAGAGCTACGTGGTGGATGGCTGCCAGAGTCGAAGGTGTCCTCCAGGGGACGCTGCTCAGGAGTCGAGGGTAAGTAGGTAATAGATGTATCATCGTCCTTGTCTTTGGGCTCCTTTGCGGAATCTTTAGCTGCAGTCGCGGTATCTTCAAAGGGGCTCGCTTCGTCTATGAGCTCGTAATCGGTCTGAACGCCATTCCCAATGTGAGGGCCCTTCGGGAGGAGCCCGTCTTTAGGCTCCTTTGCGAATTCATAAGCTGCAATCGTAGTATTCCCGAAGGGACTGCTCGCTTCGTTCGAGATCTTGTAATCGGGCTGAATACCATTCTCGACATGAGTGCCAATGGGCAAGAATGCAGTAGCAACGGGTGTCTTATCATTCGAAAACCCAATATTCTCAAGGGGAGGGATCCAGGTCTCCCCCCCAGCTGCAATTGACTCTTGATCATCGACATCATTTCGTTTATCAGGGCTTGCCTGAAGCTGTGAACGTGCATCGAAAAATGGGTCATTGAATGATGTACCGGTAGAAGAGCCTTTGGCAGATACATCTGTGCTTTCATGATTTAGGCGCGGTGTCAGCTTGTGAGAGCCATTAATTAGATGGTCAATGGCGGGTGAGATCCTGCCGAGATCTGCACTCTTCACTTTCTTCTCCCTAGCTTTGGTATCGATTAGACCAGTACGAGAGTCCCGGTGAGAGAGGCCTTGGCTGGAAGAGGGGCGGTCTTGCTGATTCTTTTTCATCATAGTACGGTCGAGCTCTTTGCTCATCTTCTTGTTGAGCGGAATCTTCTCTCTCTTGGTATCAGGACCCATGATAAATCGTTCGGCAGACGGTGAGATCTTCAGAGTTGGGCCGAACTCAGGCGAAGCAGTGGACAGACGCTTGAGCTTGTAAGCGTGCTGAGGAGACTCTTCGATAGCTTCCAGAATATGTGCACCATAATTGTCGACTAAAGCTTGGGTAGGATGACCCGCCGAATACGTCTGATTGAGGTACTTTGCCGTGTCCGAGGATGAATCAAATGATGTCTGATCGAGGTCCTTGACCATGTCTAAGGATGGACGTTCCTCAAAAATGGCAAATTCATTGCGAACTTCCTTCTTCACTCGGCTGACCTCAACTTTGTTCAGGTCCGTCACCTCGGCTTTGCCGCTGGTTTGTCTTGGCATGTTCGACACCAGTTGACGAGGCACAGGGATAGAGCTCTTGGTTGCGGGTCCTTCGAGGGGAGCCTTCTCAGCAGACTTGCCATGCTCGCTCCTAGGAATAGCGGGTGCCGGACGGCTTGGTATTGTCTGGCTTAAAGATGCAGTGGGAAGAGGTGGAGTCGGTTCTCGGAACTCGCTTCGAATGCTGCCGCGACTGCTTGGGCGACGAGGATGAGTCGGGCGTCGGCTACCAGCTACAAATTGCGCTGGGGCTCGATTGCCACCAATTGGCTCCTTGGATGGATTGGTGCGAAGCGGGTGCGGGACAGGCTTTGCGGGTGGTGTTTGGGAACGAGGGGCTTGGGCTCGATTGCCACCAACTGACTCCCTAGATGGATTGGTTCGAAGCGGGTGCGGCGGTGTTAGGGAACGACGGGCTTGGGCCTCTTTGCGGGCGCGTAAGCTATCTCGTCGGGTGGCGCCCAAGGCGGGCTCTGGAATTGCGGTAAAGTCTGTAAAGCCGACGACCTTGTTCTGACCGTCTTTGACCAGCTGACCAGCAGAGAGACGAGCACGAAGCGAGGAAGTGCGCGTCTGGCGAGGTTCGATTGCAGGTCTTGACTCTTGTGCTGACTTCTCGACAGCTGCCGCTCCAGCGGAAAGAATGGAAGGAGATTTGGATGTTTTCCGTGGAGATTTCGCAGGCACAACCGGTCCGGAATCATAGACCCCATCTCGGAAAGGGTCGTCGATGTGGGTGTTCAGGGCAGCCGTGTCCTTGTTGGCGTTTTCAAGATCGCCAAGATTTGGCGAAGAGATCTCCTTGCGAGGGATCTTGTACATCACTGAGTACCTAGAGACGGGAAGCTGCTCCTCGTCTGGGACTTGACGAAGGGTATTGCCAAGAATAGGATATCTCTCCTTCTGGTCTGACACCGCTTGCTGTGTTAACTGCGAGCCAGTCTCGCGCATCATCTCCTGGAGAGTTCCAGGACTCGTGGGCCGCTTTGGATAAAGGACTGGCCAGTCTTCTTCATGCACGGCCATACCAGGAGGTGAGCGACGGCGAAGAGGCTTGTCGCTAGCGTCGATGAGGGTTTTGGACTCAACGAGTTCACCAGGGTAGGAGGTTTGACCTGTGGGAGGATTGGGAAGAGGCTTATCCGTGGGTGAGACCTTTGGCGGCTGCGTCTTTATTGACGGGGGAGTGTCTAAGACTCTACTGTAAGATGGTGTAGCAAGCTAATGAGGTTAGCAACGTGTCTGGTGAAATCCGAAGGACGACGTACTTTGTCTGGGAAGCTGATCGTTTTGGATGTCTTGGGAGGCCCTTCTTTCTTGGAGCGAGGTGTGCCATCACCTGTACGGCGGAAACCGACGCGTTTAGCGGCCGACTTCATCCACGCATTACTACTCTCTGCCTTGCTAGACTTTGTTGCTGGTACAGGTGTAATGCCATCTGTTGCAACGGACTGTAAGGAAGAAGAGAAGGTTGGTGTCATGAAGTGTGGTGATTTGGGTTTCCCCGAGCTCTCTTTCTCGGCAGGTTTTTTCACTGAGATTGGCGAATCAAGGGACTGATATCCCATGGAAGACGTCGATTGACGCTTCATGGTGTTGCCGGCTCGTGCTGTGATGTCGGTCAAGGTCCCCATGTTGTATGGAGGCATGAAGGTTTTGAAGTGCGTGCAGAATGATTTCAAAGGTGTTTAGGCCAAGCGTGTGTCGAGATCTTACGAGTAAGTTGCAGTATGAGAAAGGAGTTCGGCTGGTGTGGAAGGTAAACAACCCGAGTCAAGGTGGAGACGCGCCGGATGTACACTCACTCAGTCATGGCCGCTCAACACAAATGATCAGCCTTACCAGATACACGTACATTCTTTCTTAATGACATGCGAGTGGCAAGGTGTCAGCATGGGTAGCAGTCGGAATGGGTAGAAATCTTCTAAACTTCGGTCAAGACAGCATCAGCGAGGAAGTTTCTGAGCTGTCTAGAGCTCTTTCTGGGGAACTTCAATCATAGCCAGTTCGATGCTCAAAGTCGACGTGAGAACGAGGGGGTTTGGCGACTCAGACTGCCGCTTTCTTTGAGGTTGCACGGCTAAATTGCTAGCAATGATATGCCTGCCATATTGACCCGAGTGCTCCAGGTGATGGATATTGGCCTCTCTCTCCGTATAAGCAACCCTGTGAATGCCTACCGTATATATCATAAATCTTTATCCGCTCCTCATCTCCACGTCGTCCCTATGATCCACAGAACCAAGCTTCCTTTTGCTTGTACTTGCAACAGGAACATCCCCGTCACCACTTCCAAACTCGCTGATCTCCCATTCCACTTTTGTGCGGCCATCTGAACTAGTTTCCCGCCCTCTTCTCCTTTTGATCCTCCCCAGCTCGCTTCCCTGGATCATCTCCTCGAACCAAGGAGTGCCCCGTACTTCACGACCTTGACCTAGGTTGGCCACCTGTCTTGATCCACCAGCAGCCATCTGTGCCATCTCGTTATCCTCGCTTCCTAGACCCCGCAGAAGTCCTGCATCCTCCAAACGCTCCATGCTGTCTCGCCTAAGACTTCCAATGTTCATGTAGATCCACTCTGCTTCCTCCGGAGTCTCTTCACTCCAATGGCTGATAGAAGTACCGCAAAGCCCACAGAAATGCCGCTTACTACGTGGGGCATGATGTGGAGTGAACACACGTCTAATGGTGCTGGGAGCTTCATCTGGGAAGAAGGCGTAGGTGGTACTGTGGATTTGAGCTAACGGAACGCGAAGGGAAAGAGCTTTACACCGTAAGTACAATGACCGTAGCCTATCAATGATAACATACTATGCTCTGCTCTATCATCATAGAGCACTTGTAGATTTTCGAGCGAATTCGATGGGACTTGGATGAAGTAGTGATTTCGGCCACAGGAGCAAGCCCCACTGAGAGGCGTTCTTTCATCCATGACTGTCATAGACCAGAGTAATCAATGATGGTATTGAGCGGAGCATCAATGCGGTTGTAGATGAGATGACTTCGAGGGGGAAAAGGTGTTGGTCAAAGTGACGTTTCAACCCGCGGAATCGTTCCGCGTCTTATGGCTTTCTTGCGAATAGCTTCATGTTTCCTGTAGTCTGACTTTCAACTTAACCATCGAGGCCTCCCACGAGCTTGCAAGATTCATGGTTTGAATCGGCGTACACAGTCCTTACCTTTGTGGTGGGAAGAAGTAAGCCACTATGGCGCAGAGCTACAAAACGCTGAAGGAGAACTTCGTCTCCAACCTGTCTGGGGGAACCGTCTCCGAGATCAATTGGGTGACAGCTGTCGCTCCAGTGAGTCTCACACGATGTCACACTGATTTCTACAGCTAACATAAAGCTTTAGGCCGCATATCTACTATGGGCAGCCCTCCAGTCGCGTCAAGGCTACTTCTTGGAGTACGGTCCGCCAGCTTTCCTCACAGATTTGCTGCTCAATGTTGGAGGTATACTGCTCGCCCTGACAATGTACTCCTCGAATGCTATTCTACTCAATACGCTCCTGGTGTCTCCCGCCGTCCTTCTCTGCGTCCTACCCTCTACAACCAACTACCGCAAGAGAGCCTCGAAGCCTCTTGCGAACAAGCCAGCGGAGTCTACAGGCGCGAAGGAGGAGCTTGATCCGCTGCCCATACGACCGTTTATCACGATCTATAGAGGAGGCATGATAGTGGTTACATGTTTAGCAATACTTGCGGTGGATTTTAGAATCTTCCCCAGACGATTTGCGAAAGTCGAGACTTGGGGAACATCTCTGATGGATGTTGGCGTAGGTTCCTTCGTGTTTTCTGCTGGATTGGTTTCTGCTAGACCGGTTCTACAAGCTCGTTTTGCAGGCATGAAATCTTCTTTCCGCTCGCAGCTCCAATCTGCTTTCCGGGCATCGCTACCTCTGCTCGTCTTGGGATTCATTCGACTGTACAGCGTCAAAGGTCTGGATTATGCCGAGCATGTCACAGAGTACGGTGTACATTGGAACTTCTTCTTCACTCTGGCCTTCCTGCCACCATTCGTAGCTATCCTACAATCTGTGTCTGCATTGGTACCTTACACGGGATTGGTGTCAATCCTTATAAGCGGCCTTTATCAAACACTCCTTGAGTGCACCCGGCTCAAAGCTTTCATCCTCACAGCTCCCAGGACGGACTTTATGAGTCAGAACCGAGAGGGAGTGTTCTCTTTCTGGGGCTGCGTAGCCATCTTCTTGGCAGGTCAAGCACTCGGCTTTGATGTACTGCCGCGCAATCCGAGTCAGACTTCAGCCACAGACTCGGACTGGCAGCAGAGAAAGCGACTGCTCAAACGTCTGGCGGTGTGGTCAGCTGTATGGGTCTCTTTATTCTATTCAGTGACTTCTTACAACATAGGCTTTGCTTTCCAGGTTTCACGCCGTCTTGCTAACCAACCGTATGTCTTCTGGGTGTCAGCCTTCAATTGCGCCCAAATCACGGTCTTTTGCCTCGTTGAGACGGCGTTCTTTCCTGGTGTCTACAAGGCAGCGAATCGAACATTGGAACGAAGGGAATGTGAGAAAGCCACTAGCCGAGTACTGAGAGCTTTCAACCGGAATGGACTCGCTATATTCCTGTTAGCAAATCTTCTGACGGGGCTGGTCAATCTGACACTTGATACCCTAAGCATGAGCAGAATAGGAGCTATGGTTGTGCTCGTAGGGTACGCAGCTCTGCTCACGGCTGTTGCTGTAGGGCTCGATGCTTGGAACCTGTCGATCAAGCTGTGAACGATGCTGTTCATCACTTTAGAGTGCGGTTGCTTCTTCAAGAAACCTTCGTTCCTGGGATAGATCGCTCAAGCGCACCACAAGTCAATGAGTCTTTTCCATTTAAATGCGCAAATGCAAAATACTTCAGCATGAGTCGTGAGCGTTATATGGGGAAAGAGTCCCCACCATATGATCTTCTCAAGCTGTTATCCTGTACTCTAAAGTGACAACAACGCATTCACCTCATTGGGTTCGCCGATTCCAGGACCACCAATCCAACAGCGATTCGGTTTAACTTCAAGGCAAGCATACAATAAGGTTCGCAATCGGAAGCAAACATGGACTTTCCCCCGCAAGTCGAGGCTACACCCGTAAAGCCTAGAGGAAGCACTCCGCTCAGAAGTAATTTACATTTTCGATACGCCCAAGGAAATGCTCCGCAAGATTCTTCTCTTAAGTGCACCGCATCAGGCATCTCTCTCTCTCGCTGGTGCATCACAATGAAAGATTGCGGTCAGTTGCCTGGCGTGAGCGGGCAGCGGAGAAATCCCCATGGTCGACGACTGCCACAGAACGTCATTCCCAGCTAGGACTCCGTGCGATCGGATGGGGATCCTGTGGCATTGTCTATGAACAGCATGAAACCAGTTATGTATTGAAAAAGCGATCAACAATGGAGCTCTTGCGGACGATTGTCGGATGTGGAATGATTCAATCATGCATAGGACGGTCGAAGAAGCTTTTGCGCGCTATGTTAAGCGGGTCGGGCGACCGTTGCTTGTACATGTGCTGCGTTGTCCTGGCTACATTAGTAAGGAAGACTAGAGGTGGTGGGCGGTCAATGAGCGCCTGTCCCCGAGGGAATATGGTTATCCAGAGAACTTGCTGCGCTCGGAGCGCATTCCTCCTGTTCACCTGACTGCGAGGCATGCACTCATCAATCAGTACTCCCCAGAGAGATTGGGAGTAGACGTAATATTTCAGGATAGCAACAAGGACCGTCTTATAAGGCTGTACATGGGTAGACGGCGGCACTATCATCCATATCAAGGAAAAGGTGGACTATTTTCGTCTACGGAACTTTAAGCTGTGCCTGGATCCATTGGAGGACTTGGAACTCGATACTCCAATCTATGCCCTTCAGATGGCGGATGCTCTGGCCATCAATTACTGGTAGGCACGAGTCGACTCAGCAGATATCGATTTTGTTCTTGGTGGAGCCCCTTGTCTTGCGCAGGAGCCGCTCCCTGCCGTCGCAGGATCAAAAAAGTTGAAAGAGAACTCCTCTACGGATGTGGATGCGGTACAGTGCCAGGCCACTACTACTCATGTGTGGCTGCTCGACTCCAACCAATGCAAGCTAATTTCTATGGATCAGCAGGGGGTCGATCAAGCCGTCAAGCGATTCGTCGACAACGATCCACATTCCCCACGCCCGTTTGCTGCCACGGGGAGTACCGATAAGGGGTTTCGGAAAATGTTTGCAAGAAGGTACTTGGAGACTAGTGGAAGCATCATTGGCGCCGATCAGGGATACCGGGCGCTGCCCAACAATTTCATCGGAAAAGTCGTGGAGACTATATGCATGTACGCCTGGAAAGTAAAGCGGAAGCAGCCAAATGATCGGATGTATACTCCGAATACGAAACGGCAGCAATCATCGACTAAACCCAAGAACGACATTCTAACCGTGATGCTCACTAATCCCGATGCTTTGCCAAGACCCTCTCCCCTTACTCTCATCCTTATTCGCGTCTCGTTCCTACACTTTCACGTCGGCCCGCGGAAGGACGCCCTTCTTCTCGTCATCATTGCTGGAGGCATAGCTCGAGGCCGTGGTCGTGCTAGAAGATCTGCGTTTCGTGGTGGCGTCTTTGATCTCATCTTCGGTTGGCATTGCTTCATCTCCAACGTGGGCATGGATAAGAGGGTTACTTGACTCAGTGGTGGCTCGTGCGGAGGATGGTGGGATGTAGGCCTTAGCAGGCAGAAGCGGGATCGATTGCGAGGAGCTGCTCCTCTCGGGGAGGTGTCTGGAGGGGAGTGACATGGCTAACGCAGTCTGCAATAGGTATATGTTTCTAGCTGGCGATTGAAGTTGCGTTTCGGCCGTAGTAGAGGATATGTGCGTTGGTCAACATATGGCCCGTCCATACTGGCTTCGATGTCCTTTTGACCTGTGCTGGATTGAGATTAAAGGATGTACTGTTGGGACTGATTGTGGCTGTGGGTGTTTCGGGCATAAGCACGACTGTTTGTGCGGCAGGATTCGCTCCGCTCCTTCTGTTTCATCAATACTTACTTACATAGTGTGATAAGTTTCGGCTAGGCTCGCCATCGGCTAAGGTACTAGAATATGCATTACTTTACTCTAACTCCGTACTCGCTCTATCTAAAATGACACATTTTGTCAAGAAAACATGATCTGTGAAAAGCAACGACGATGGTCGTCGTATCCTTCGATGCTCGTCTACAATTGAGCTTGACCTTGAGCTTGAGCTTGACCTTCAACACATTAGCACGCCGATTCTATCCTGTTCTGACTCTCCACATTTCTCCTTTTGCCTCGAGCATCACCAATCAGATGTCAGACGCCTTCAGACCTTGATGCTAGCCGCACTTGGTCAGCCCCGACTGCACCTCAGAACGCAGGAGGTCGCAGGAGGTCAACGATCGGCAGGTGCTAGGTAGAAGGGAGCAGAGCAAAGGATTGCGCAGCTTTAGTGAATCGGCTGTCGCAAGCTCGTTGTCGCAGAGTCGAAAGAAAAAGACATGGAGGGAAAGGGAGGAGAGTTCAAAGCACTACAGTAGTGAACTGCGAACTGACGGTGTTGAAGTTTGGTCCTGACTCCTGCATATGCAATTGGCTAGGACTACCTAAGGAGGCTCTGCTGCTCCGCTGATACCTCCGCACGTTTCCGAGCTAAGAGCAAACTAAGGGACTACGTAAGGGGCAGTAAGGTACTAGTACTTTAGTATGATACCGGTATAGTACGGTACCTAACATCTAGCAAGCAACCTAAGTCTTCTCACTCATCTCACTCATCTCACTCTTCTCACTCTCATCCAACTCTCTTCCCCAGCCCTTATGCGACATATGCGCCATGACGGACATCACATTTGGATTTTATTTTTTAAATAACTTACCCTGCACCAGCCTGCATGATTGCATCTCACTTTCTCTAGCAGCTTATGCAAGAACCCGCGAATCCGAAAACCGAAAACCAGCCAAAAAGACCACACATTATGATCATTCAAACAAGTGCCCGTTGACATTCACCATCAGGTACAAGGTACAAAGGCACAAGGTTCAATCTGCCCAATTTGATTTGCCCATGTTACTTGCTACTTACTACGTACATTCGAACAAGGTTCCAGTCGCCCTACGACACGATAGCGGAGTCTGCGGGAAAGGAAAAAAAAAACGCTATGACACGATATGACATGACTCTCAGAGCATTCGCACCATCAGGCCATCACCGACGAACAATGGTTGAGCTCTTGATACGTCTTTCGCTCCTGAGGTCTATGTAGCTATGCCCTACACAACCTTATCGACTACGCTGGACCTGATCTGAGACAGGAAACGGCGGCAACGACTGATGCCGGACATCCATAAGGAACCGAGTGAGGCCGACAGCATCAGATGATCAGATGGGAATCATTGGATACATGCACCTCCAATCAGCTACTTCCGGCAGCTAGAACACTAGAACATGAACTAGAGCAACCTTCCATTCATGATACGAGCACTCGCAGATTCACAGCTACTCACAGCTTTGATATCGATGCGGGAGACGGGGACAACGCAGGGACCCTTACGGGAGTTGGCAAGCTCTTCCCTGCAACCAATCTTCTCAAACATGTCATTTTCTAATGCTCATACGCATTCTTCCTCTGTTTGCCTTGGCTCGCCCTCTCCATCATGAGTCCGCTCAGATATAAATCGAGGAAAGACTCCACATGCCATAACCGCTCCTCTGACTATCCACCATCTCCTCCTCCACCTTCTCCAAAATATAGCGTCCTACTATATACCCTTCTGGCAATTGCTCCTTCCATCTTCTCTGTCGTCTACCGCATGTACACTACTTTCCATGCTTCCAGTATATTTCGGCCAGCTGCATCCTTGAGCTATCCGCCGTCGCCTCATAGCTCCGCAGAAGCTCGTTCGCCTCGTCGTTATCTCCACTATCGCCACGCTCCTCGAGTCTATATATTGCCTGAGAGCCCCGGTCTCGACATCCTCGCTCGAACATCTACAATCCTCCCACTCACTCCACAAGTCCGGCGCCGGGTGAGTTCTTGACATGGGCATCCTATACATCCATGGAATGCTGACGTTACGTTCAGCTTCCACATCGTCCCTCATCATTATACTCGGTTCACAAGGCCCTTTAACACCTGCACCCAAGACTACTTCACTTCAATCATGCGTACCTCTTCAACCTCCGGACCCGTCAACATGTGTCGCCTCCTGATCCACAAGTACTCATGCGGACACTCCAAGACGGACGTCGCGCCTTGCGCTGGGCATAGGGGTGGAAGTTGCTCGGGGACGACCGAAAAGACGGTCTCTCATAAAGAGAAATGCGCTCGCTGCGGTAAATGTTGGTTTCCAGACATGCAGTCAAAGCGACGGCGTGCTAACAGACACATAGGACTCGGCTGCGAGAGCTCTTGAACGTTTCACGCCACCGGCAGGCAGTGGCTAATCTCTTGTTCTCTTAGTCATGGGTCCTCATCCAAACTTGTCATCACGGCAGGGCGCGATTGCAATCCGTTGAGCGTTGGTTGAGCAGAAGCATATAGGCGGCATGTGTGGCGCGAAGCATTCTCGATGGAGCAAACATAACGGGGTGAAAGAACATCCTCTGGGCGGCCAGCGCTTGAAATTCATTCATCCATCACATCGAATATACCCCTTGGTTGGTCTCGTGTGCGCGCAGGGTCACAGGCGAAAATCAGACGGGTCTTTGCATTCTCAGTTTCCTTTCGTTAGACGGGAAAGCTGTCAAAATTGGACCGCGATCATTTTATTCATCCATTCATTCACTCATTGTATCCACAATCTAGCAGTGCAACGCGCATTCCGAGTTTGAAACTTCCACCACTGTGATTTTGGCCAAGTCAGCCAGGCGCCATCTCAGACCTCAGACGTCGATGATGAGCATGATGCAGGCGCCCTATGCAAACAAGCAGGCATTACGAAATGGGATTGCCAAATCCAGCAATGCATGCATGTCGGCAATCTAAAACAAAAAGAAGGTCATGAGATCGATCTCCCAGGCTGGCTCGGCTCGCGGCAGGTAATGTGGGACCCTTTCTTGATGCAGACATTGCTGCCGGAACCCAACAACACGTTTCCGGCGCAATGGAACATGCCATTTGCTTCGCTCGAGCACGGTGAAGATGCTTGGAACCCCGGGTGAGACTTGAGGGAGCAAAAACCTTGGAGCAGGAAATGGAAAAGAAAAATGGAAAAGAAAGAAAGTAAAGAAGAAGAAGAAGAAGAAGAAGAAGAAGAAGAAGAAGACGAGGGAGGAAAATTCCAAATCCACCACGTCACCTTCTCATCATGCAGGGACTCGCTTTTCCCCAAAGGGACCTTGCCGACTGCAAACCCGGTAGCCGTAGCCTTTGCCGCATCGTCCATAGGTTACGTGCGCGCAGCGTCCGACAACGAGGTCCCCCTCCCCCCTGCATACAGGACCGAGCGTGGCCGTGAGAGCGAGAAGTCGTATGGTGTAAGCCCGGCCCGGAGGGTCTTGTCTCCGAAGGGGGATATAATTGTGATGAGTTGAGCTAATGAGGTGGAGAAAAAAGAGGAGATTAGATGGATGGATGGATGGATGGATGGATACATAGATAGATTGATTGCTCGATGTATGTATGTATGTAAGTATGTATGTATGTATGTACGTATGTATCTATGTATCTATGTATCTATGTATGTATCTGTGTATCTAGAGCGGATCAATGGATGAGATTTGTTCTTTCTACGATAAATGTACAGTATTTGGAATGAAGGGGAGATTTGAACCCATAGGGATGACGGTAGTAGTAAATAGACGGTGGACTTGCTTGCCCAAAGAGACCGCAACAATCTGCTAACGGATAATAGCTAGGAAGAGACGAATAGAAGAGTTAAGAACTGTCGCCGGAAATACCCCCCCGGAGATAAGCACACCCCTGCTGCTACTTACCCAACCAACCCTGCTCTCTCTTTCTCTCTCTAAACCCTTCTCCCCCCTAAAACACAAACCATGTAATGTCCATCACGATCGACTGGCCCAGCCTGACAACCGGACCCGCCGGCCTCGCCCTCGCCGACTCCATCCGCGACTTCATCCACGACAAGTTCCAGCAAGTGACCCTCCCGCGCTTCATCCGCTCCGTGCAAGTGCACTCGTTCGATTTCGGGGAGGAAGGCCCCGAGGTGGAGCTGAAGGACATATCGGACCCGTTCCCCGAATTCTACGAGGATGATGACGACGACGACGACGACGACGGAGAGGAAGAGGAAGAAGAATCTTCAGAAGGGGAGGAAGCGGTCAGCGGAGCCGTCGTCGCAGCCGCAGCCTCCACCGCACCGAAGCCCCCAATCAACGCACCCTACCGAGCCCCGACGACCGTGCCACCTCCAGCGATAGACCCCCGCCTCCCGAACCCGACCCTTCGCGCCGGTTTCCCGTTCCCCCCGCCGCCGGCGGACCAGATCAGCACGCCCTTCCTCTCGCGCTCCAGCACGCCCGGCCTCCCCATCCCGGGCGGGACGTCCAACTTCGGCTACTTCCACCTGCCCCTCGGCGCCGCGCTGTCGGGGACGCAGACGCCGCTGTTGCCGTGGGGCGAGCAGCAGCAGCAGCAGCGTCCGCCTTCGCCGCTGCGGCGGGAGCGGGGGCACGATGCGGCGTTCGGACCTGCGATGACGAGGGGGGACTCGAACACGCGACGTCGTCGTCGTAACCAGCGGAGCCCGAGCCAGGGGAGCTATACCGCCGGGCCCGCGGAGCCGCACGGCGGGGGCGGGGATCCAACGACGACGACGGAGGAGGACCGGTCGCAAGACCTGCAAACGACGCTGCACATATCCTACAGCGGGACGGTGGCGCTGTCGCTGACGGCGGAGATCCTGCTCGACTACCCGATGCCGTCCTTCGTCGGGATCCCGCTCCAGCTGCGGATCACGGGGCTCAGCTTCGACGGGGTCGCCGTGCTGGCGTACCTGCGGCATCCGGGCGCCGCCGGGGACGCGGAGAGGCGCAAGGTGCATTTTTGCTTCCTGGGGCGCGAGGACGCGAAGGCTACGGTTGGGGATGAGAGGGGGGGTGGGGATGGGGATGGGGAGGGGGGGAAGGAGGGACCGGGGGGACTGTTGAGGGAGATTCGGGTCGAGAGCGAGATTGGGAGGCAGGAGGGTGGGAAGCAGGTGCTTAAGAATGTGGGCAAGGTGGAGAAGTTTGTGTTGGAGCAGGTGAGGAGGATCTTTGAGGATGAGTTCGTCTGGCCTAGTTTCTGGACCTTCTTGGTATAGATACCCCTCCGCTCTGATCACACATGTGCGTCCCTACCGTCCACGCGCAGGTGTCTTGACCTCCTATCGCGGTTCCTGTCCCATCCGTAGGCGATAGAAGCCATCACCTCCAGCGCCATACGCTCCACCAACACTTCACCTCCAACTGCCCACCCGAAGGACTGAGCTCCTCCCAGTCGTCGTATCCCACCTCCTCTCCCTCCTCCACCAACACGAACCCCTTCTCCCGCATCCGCACTCTCAAATCCTCATGCTCCGGTGGCCTCTCCCTGCGGAACGGCAACTCGACAACGACCCTCGCCCTCCTCTCCTCGTCCCACCGGAGCAGCGTCCCCATGACCTGGACGATCCACGACGGATGCTCAGGCGCATACAGCGAGTCGGCCGCGAGTATGAGGTCGAAGCGTGCGCCTCCGCGGATGTACGAGTCCGGGTCCGACCAGTCGAGAGGACCGGCCGTGACGGCGCTGGAGGCGGTGAGGGATGCGTTCGCGGTGACGTTGCGCTGGAGGTTTGGGAGGATGGAGGGGAGGTCGGTGAGGAGCGTGTGGGCGGAGAAGAGGGCCGAGGCCGCTAGGCCGACGAGGCCGGTGCCGGCGCCGAGCTCGAGGATGCGGGGGCGTGGGGTTGGAGGTGGGATGGGGTGACGGTGAGGGTTGCTGGGGGACTTGGTCGGTGGAGGGGGGTCGAGGGGGTCGATCTCGGCAGAAGGTTTGATGCCGGGGAAGAGGCGCGGGAGAAGGGTGGGGAGGCGTTTGGCGAGTAGGTAGGAAGCCACCCATGTCTTATGGCCGAGATTGTCGTCTGTCAGAGAAGGTTCGTGGAGTCTGATGTCGAGAGTGTCCGATGAGTCTTGCCCGTCGATTGGGATCCGGAAGGTACGAGAGATTGATGGCATGGCTGTGCGGCCTGATCGTTCCGCGAGTCGCTTGCTGGCTGCTTCCCATACTAGCTCTCTGTCGGTATCTGAAGGTATCCAAGCCAAGGGGCTTGATACGATGCGCGTCAGGTAGGACGGTACGCCGTCTTGGCTAATTGAAGCTGGTCTAGCCTCGCCGGATTTTCCTTGCCAGGACGAAGGGGCAACGGCGAGCAGGGCGATAGCAGAAAGGAGGGATTGAGGTGAAGGTTTGCTGTAGAGCTGAGGGAGATCCAGGACTGAAGAAGAGGGACTTGGTTCAGTGTCAGTCCATAGACAATCGTATTGATTTGCGGGGAGAGCTTTACTTACCATGTAGTGGGCCCGCATCTTCATCGTCTGCTGGAACATTGTCTGCTGGAACATTTGAATGCAAGCCGTGGTTTGCAGCCGCCATGCTGGCTACAGTACTTGAGCGGCGGAGTGATGGTGATGGGAGCTAGATCTTTGCTATTTGTATGGATGAGGGACAGTACCTACTCTATTTTGGGGGTTCGAGAAGTCTGCCGATCCCCCACAGGTTCGCGTGCAAGGGGTGTTTTCCTGGGACGATATTCACCACATGGCGCCCATTCACAGTATCTTTGACTTTGCCAACATTTGGGACACATATCCCTGGAACGTGCAGACTTCCCCTGCATGGAAGGTCGTGCTGGGTTCACTCTAAGTGACGACAGTCCGCTTGCTGCCCGCCCCCAACTTGTCCTCTCCTTCTGCAAGGCCTGCCTTCAACGGCTCCATACCCTTCCTCTGACTCCTGACGCGCGAACATGGTCCTCGGCCTCCTGGCCATCGCTGCGATCCCCACCACCATTGGTGTGGCCGAGGGGATCTCTGAAGGGAGGAAAGAGAATGATCCCGAGACCGAGGAGGAACGTATGAGGAAGTTCCAACTTGAGTGTTTCTGCGGCGCCAATAGTCAAAAGGCGAAGGAGATCGATGGCGGACACATCGTCCTCAGAGGAGAAAAGCTCTACATCGTACCACGACATTCGTCTAGTACTAGCCATCCATTTGAAGGTTTCTACATCGAATACCCTGATCCCGAGAGACCCCGACCTCTACCGTTGGGGTTAGTATCTACCATCAGCAAAGATCCACCCATGTTGAATTGGATGTACGTCGACAAGAATACTCGGGAGGTCAAATATGGGAATCGAACTCAGAGCAGAGCGCATATTGTTGGATCCTGGGGCTGGGATGCCGGCGAAGAGGGAGGTGCTGGAGGGCTCACGTTAGCAGGAGGAGAGGGAGCCGTGGCTGTGGAGGGAGATGACGGATGGGAGATCAGATGGGAAGATGAAGATGGGAAGGCGGGCGTTGAGAGGAGGCAAAAGCTGACCATTAGTTTGGAGAGAAAGATGCTGGAACCAAGGGAGGAAGATAAGCCATTTCATGCCAGGGCTAGTGAGAGAGAAGACGACCGACAAACAAAACGGACGAACACAAACATCGAATTAACGAACACTACCTTTCAGAGAAGCAAAAGGACCACAGGAGAGCCTGAGAGGGTGGACAAAGCTGTCAAGAAAGGTGCAAAGGAAAATCACTCGGCGCCGAAGCTAGAGATCAGGGGCACGACTGTCGAGAGACCCCTTGCAAGGAAGTAGGCGGCTCAAAGAGTGGACAGATTGCCTATTGCATGAGCTCTTTGGGCTCTGTTGAAACGATTCCCTATATACAAGAAAGCCGCAATGCACCACCGGCCTGAAACTATGTACTGATGCTACATTAAGATACTGTATGTACATACACCAATCCAAGATACCACATTGCTAATGTGAAAATAGTTTTCGGATCCTCATCCCTTGACCAGGGCGTATTTGCTTCTCCCTCGAATCGTGGTGCCGAAGTGGTAGAAGAGGTACGGGACAGGCACCAGCAAAGCGCTCAAAGCACCCAAGATGGTCAACGTCCAATGCACTCCCAGATGCTTGTAGAAGGGAATGGCCACTTCAACCATTCCACCTGCAGCCACGTATCGAATGAATGTTACACTGGCAAGCGCACTCGCGGAGTATGACTCGTAGCTATCAATGATGTATTGATAGCTGCTGATGAAGACGCACAAGATGCCATATCCGAACAAGACGCTGGCTCCAAGAGGGGACCAATAGGAGATCCACGAATAATCTGTCCATCCCATCCAGAACATGCTGATCGGTATAGCTGGGGCTCCAAACATGGCAAACCATAGCCTGAACTCCGGTGGAAGTTGGGTCCCGCCTTGCTCTTTGATCTTGGCAAGATCATTTTTGGCCCATTTGTATATGATGGGTACAAGGAGTGAGGCAAGGCAAAGTCCAATCCCGATACCTATGAAGACAAGGCCAGTTATTCCCTCCGAGAAACCATACGTCTCGGTGAAGACGAAGGTGTAACCATTGAGAAAGGTGAAGAGGATGATATAGATGACTGTCAGGTACAGAGCAATGAGGATGATGATAGGCTCGCTGAATGTGAGAACGAACGGACGGTAAAGGGCAGTGCCGAGTCGTCGAAGGAAAGAAACGTCTCGGATCTCGATCTCAGCTTTGTACCGATCATCGCCAGTCAGTTGCCGCAGATGTGTTGCTTTCCACTTCAACAGAATTGGAGCGTATGTCTCGGGCTGAAGGAAAATAACGAGGGAGAGGACGAGTCCAGAAATGATCAGAGTGATCCAATCGCACCACCGCCATGAGACAAGCGATGATTCTCCGACGAAGCCGCCAATGATCGGACCGAAGATTGGACCCATGAAGGCAGCGTTTGCGAACACGGGGAAAGCATAGACCCGCTCCATGGGATCCCAGAGATCTGATATTGAACCGCCAGCGCAAACCAACGGAGTAGCGGCGAAGCATCCAGCTATGAAGCGGAAAGCGAGTTGTGCGCCAATGTTTGGAGCAAGTGCCGATGCCATGATGAAGATCATGTACAGCGAGAGTGTGGCAATATAGACTGGGTTCCGGCCGATAGTTTCCGAGACTGGTCCTGCGAACAAGGCCCCGACACCGAAGCCGATCAAGAAGATGCCTGTTGCGAGAGATTCGGTGACCTCGCTGACTCCGAAGTCGGCTGTTGCTTGCATGAGAGCAGCGGAGTCGACGCTGGACGCGAAACCGACGATCCATCCAATAAAGGCGATGTTGAGTCTAGACGTTGTCAGCTTCAATTCGGACAGAAGCGTCTGCAGTGTACTTACGTCGCAGCAAGTCTGGTGGGAAAGCTCCAATTATGCGGATTCATCATGTCTTTCTCGCCTTCATAGCCAACAACGAACACCCTACCGTTCCCACCTTCTTTTGTGCTCCGATCTCGTATGTCGATCCCAGTCAGCGTTGTGCCCAACGCCGTTCCCATGCTTTTTCTCGTCGGTACCGTCGATGCCCTGCTCATATCCTCTGGTGCTTCTCCACCATGTGATGCGCGTCTGCTACTGGGCGCAGGCTGTGTGGGTGCAAAGCCTTGGCCCTTTTGCTCCTCGTTCTCCGAGTCATGCGTCTCGACGTGGTCCCGAGAGTCGAGTGGTTGAGGGTTGGATTGCTCGCCTTTCTCTGGATCTCGTGTGTCGACATGGTCGGGCGCATCAGTGAATCGGGGCGTGTTGACTGCATTGGAAGAGGAAGGCGAAGTGGACTCTGATGTGTCAGAATTCGCCAATGCTTCTGCTTTGGACTTGTCTCGCTCGTACTGCCTTGTCACATGCTGTTGAAAGCGGCGGTATTGGAAAAATGACTGCATGCTGTCGCGGATGCCTCGAACAGCCCTGAGAAAGATTTTTGGCTGTGATACAAGGGGACCGGAGTAAGGGGCCAGAGTACGAGAGCAGAGTGGGAAGCGCCAAAGCAAGAGAAGCGCCGTCAAACAAAATCAGAGGGGATTGCCCAAAGGCGAAGATTGGCATGAGATGGACATTTTGAAAATGCTCACCTCAACAAATGCATCATCCAACCAGTGCTTATCCGTCATTGTCCTTACTTCACGCTAGCGGCAGACTTTCGGCATTTAATATCCGGACATTTAACGAACCACGAAAAGATTCAATTCACGATAGCACCACAAAAACACGAGCTTCAAAGAATGTTGCTACTATGAAGTCGCAGCCTGTTTGAAGTACTCCAAGTCCTTCACTAAAAATATCTTTCCAAAAACAACGAATGGGATGATATAGCAGCACAAAATCTCCCGGATGATCTTCGGCAGTCCGGATATAATAAACCGGCCTGAGTACCCAAGCAACGAGTAACGACATCAACGTTGTGATGTCATAAGAATGGGACAACGGAGCGACATGCAAAGTATAATCTGGGCTCAGATGTTTCAACCATTGCTGGTACTGTCAATCCACTTCCATCAACCCAAATCCCAATCGAACTCAGTCTTCCCAACACATCGAACCCACATACCTGCCCACGACATCGCACCGAGTACTCACTCACTCACTCCGTTCGTCGAGCGTTCCACTTCTTTTCTTCGCTTCTCCTCGACCCACGACGGTAACAGTTGGCACGCATCAGATATAGATATCGTACAGACTCGGCGTGGAAAAGAAAATCAGATCGAGCTCTCGTGCCCGGTTGACGAGGGTTTTTTTGGATCCTTGGGTCCGTTCCCGGGGCGCGTCGGTTGGAGAAGTGATTTTGATGTTGGTCGATGTCTTTTATCGTACGGGGATTGGGAGGGATGATGCGGCGGATGACGAAGGCCGGGTTGGTCATCATTGTTGGCTTGTGTGGTGGATGGGATGTGTGAATGAGCCGTGGTGAGGTACATTGGTTTTGCATGCTTTGGGGAAGAGGGAGATGTCCGAGCCTTTTTCATAGCGGGAGGAGGTAAAATCAAACAACCATCAGTCATGCCCACAGTAAGATGTGTTACTTCCAAAACAAGCAACGCGTGGCAGACACTCCCGCCGTCTAGACTCTAAGCCTGGCTTATCATACACACCGCGTCGACCCCCCCGTCTAGAATTTATAGACCTGATCCTGCCGGTACCCCAACTCCTTCAGCATGCCCGTCAGCTCGCCCTGCTCCGCCACGCTCTTCTTCGCCCCGCTCACCGCCTTGTACAGGCCCGGCGGCCCGCACACGAAGATCTTGACGTTCTCCTCCCGGGGCTCCGGCAGCACCGTCTTGAGCAGCTCGGCCGTGATGTGCCCCTTGCCCTGCGCCCAGCCCTCGGGCGGCCGGTCGAGGACGTAGAAGGCGCGGAAGCGGTTCGGGTAGGTGTTCTCGAGGTCCTCGAACTCGGGCTTGAGCAGGATGTCGGCCTCGGTCAGGTTGCCGAAGACGAGGGTGACCTTGGTCCGGTCGGCCGGGTTCTTGAAGATGGCGCGCGCGAGTTGGTACATTCTGTTTTTCGATCCCCCGAGCGGGACTGTCAGCGGGGGACGACTCTAGCCGTTATCATTGCAGGGGTGTGGGGCGAGGAGAGGGCAGGGAGGTAAGGTGGGTAGGTGGGCCTTACGGCGTGATGCCCGTTCCACCGGCAATCAACGCGATATGATCATGCTTGTTCGCCTCCCACGGGTACTTGGGGATCGGCCCCTTGAAATCCAACCGCTGATCGGGCTTCATGGCGTGCAAATGCTCGCTCATCGGCCCGTTCGGATACACCTTGATGACGAAATCAAGATACCCCTTGGCGTCCTCGTCGCTCGTAGGCGTATACGGCCTGATGACCGGCTTCTCCATCTCGGGCCCTTTGTACTTGGTGAGCAGTGCCGACGCGATTGAGAGGCCCGAGACGTCATCGCTGTTGGGAAGCGCGAAGCGGAATTTCTTCGTGTTGTGATTGATCTCCTCCACGGACTCGAGTTTCAAATCGACAAAGCCTTGGTCTCCGCCGCGGAAGGCTTTTTGAGGCGCCGAGGCTGACGGAGCGGGAGAGGAGGGCACGGTCTTGCGTTCGTCTGCCGAGGAGGGAGCATGCGCTTCGGGTTCGGGCACGGTCTTGCGTTCGTCTGCCGAGGCGGGAGCATGCGCTTCGGGTTTTGGTTCGGTGATTCGATAGTAGTAGAAGCCTCCTCCTAGTACGCCGGCGCCGACGAGGAGGGCGTAGATGGCGTTGTTTGAGGAGCCGGTGCTGGCGGGGCCAGGAGGCGAAGCATAGCGGCGGACGTTCTGTGAATGTACAGGTGGTCAACGTGAGAGGCAGAGGGAAAATGTTCGGCCAGTAGCCATTGAGTGGTCCAGTTGGGGATTGAAGCTCTGCTAGGGGTAGACACTTACACTCCTCAGCGGCTGCGCTGATCTGAAGACTTTCGTGGCTAACATGGTGAGCTCTGGTGATGTTGACAGAGCTGAAGCTGTTGTTGCATTCCAGAAATGAGTTACTTGATAGAGCGAGGACACCAAAGACAAGCGACATGCCGCGAGTGAAATATCTATTGGTGTCCTCGCTCTATCAAGTAACTCACTTCTGGAATCCACGAGGAGAGTCCTCAGTACGGTCTCGGATGACGTACTTGGGCTATACCCGATTGGGTGGATTTGTTCACTATTGGTCGTGGGATCTCATGTATGTACTTTATACGACAGCTATATTGGAATTGTAGAGGATACATCCTCCGGTTCAAAATCCGTGCAAAAAGGTCCTGGTAGATATTGAGCTTCTACTTGCAAATCTATATTTGTGCTTCTCTCACAAGCCCGTCGACCATCAAATCCTTCCACTACTTACTGTCAATACTTCCGCCAACCGAGCAGTCTCCTCTCCAGACTCTATAGAAACCCTCGCCATGAAAGTCCACCATACCCTTCTATCGGCGGTGTAGGTTAGTGTATGAGGGAGCACCGGTCGATGCTCACAAGTATTGCCTAATTGCAGTAATAGCTGCGACAGACTGGACCAATGTTGGTGTCGACGCTGATAGAATATCCTGCATCGCCTGACATTCCCCACGGCAAGACGCGCAGTATGCTTGGAGAACAGATACTGCGGTCTAGAATCGTACGGAGCCTGATTGCTGCACCTTCCCATGCAGGCGGAGCTCTTCAACCAACGCTGATATCGGCATAACCGATCGGTGCCTGATCATCAGCAGAGTTTTGCTCCTCTGGAGAACTCTTGAATCGTTGTGATGCTTCAGGAGTCTCGTTCTGCACAACCGTGTCAGTCGCAAACTGCTCTTGAGTGTCCAGAGAACGATCCTGTCCGCCAACTGCGGGCCCCGTATATTCCTTAGCACTCCCAAACGCCTGCTGATCTGCATGACCGCCAGACCCAGCTAGCACCTGTGGGTTCTCAGCCGCCGTCAATGCTTGCGCCATATCCATCATGCACTTCTTCAAATGCGCCGCATCGTACGCCAGCTCTTCAATCGCCCACTTCAGCTCATCCTCGCACGTTTCACGTCCTGATCCGGACCTGATTGGGTGTCGGGCCTAACATGGACAGTATCCAGCAAATCCTTCGCTTCTTTATACGTCCTCCAGAACGCTTCGATCTCTCCTGGGTATTTTGTCTTCTCGACAGGAACCTCCCATTCATCCGGTTGGGCCTCGATCTTCGCAAACCACTGACTCATTAGCTCTTTTTTCTCTTCTTCTTCATTGTCATGATTGATTCCCGCAAAATGCACAAGCAAGTCTCCTCCATTGATCTCGGTTTCGGCGCGTTCATCGCCCTTGAAGCCATTGTACCAGGCTTGGGGCTGATAAATGATATGTTTCTTATGTGGTTCTTGACCAAAAAGGTACTTCAGAGCGTTCTGCTCGATGTTGCCTGCAATGTCGATCTCGGGACGAAGTCTAGGAAGCGAATATGCGTCGGAGAGGAGTTCGACGCTCCATTCGTCAACGCGGAAGAAGAAAAGTCCGGCGTTGAAGCCATCAAGGTTCTTTGTGGCCATGAAATTGATGTCGGGAAAGGTGTCGGGAGGAAGAAAGATTTCCCACTTTATATTTGGATTAAGTATCAAGGTATCTGCGTCATACCATCTGCATTGAGTGTTGGCGTAATCCTACAGCAGCGACACGGATCAGAAGACTTACATCACCCATTCTGCCCGCTCCTCTCTTGGCCTCTTCAATTCTCCAATTATTAGATTCTGGACGTGCAAGACTTTGCTGAAGATGAACTTGTCCCACTGGCCTGCTCCCACAATCTCCCGTCTCAGTACATGATTTCCGTAGCCCCAGCGTTTCGCGTGATCAACGTGGCTCTGGAGGGTTCGCTCGTTGAGTCCGATGTACTGATCGCCGAACATCATGGTCGCCTGCAAGATCCTGGGCCGCATCTCCTCCGAGACATGGCCGGTACGATGTGTAGTCTCGGGCACAAAGTCTGCGGGAGCTGAAGGATTATCCGAGGAAAGGGCAATCTGCGGAGTGCTGGCTTTTGAGTCGAAGATGGTCGCCTCTGACGTCGTCGACGGTGGCACGGCGTAATCATCGGGTGATGTTGAAAAGTGATCGTGAGTATAAAGAAAGAATGTACAAACAAGACCTAAGAAAGTCAACAATGATTTTGACGAGGCAAGCATCATAGCTAGAGAGAAGGTCTAAGGCGCAATGGCGGATTATCACTCAGAGGAAAACAATCCTATCATGTACATGTAGCGTAGCATGTCAACTGAAGGATGCAAGGTCTGAAATCACGAGAGCGTTCAAGAGAGGAGCCTTCCGCACGATATGAAGGAGGAGGAGGAGGAAGATAGGTAGGTATGCAACAAAGGACTACGCCGCCACATTTTGATATTAATACGGGAACGTGGTGCCAGGTGCAACACGGTTCGGCAAAACGGCCCTTACATGGAGTAAAGAATAATACGGTAATAGAAGTTGATATGGGACGGTAGAGTAGCACAGTAATGAGAAGTTTAATTGCAGCGCGATCCGGGTGAATTGTCTTAGATGTGGTGGTTACCCGTTCAAGATGCGGCTGGACTGAAATTGCGTACTTATCTAGATCTCCTATGCGGCAGACTTCAAGGCCGGGAGTCTGCAAGCAAGTGTAATAATAATATGTATAGAAATCAAGAGTTGAAGCAATAATGGCAGCAGAAATATGGCAAAGGACAGAAATTCGCTTGAAACATTGGGTTCGGTAGATCCAAAAATACAACATAGGGGCCCAACATTGGAATACGAGAATGCCAAAGTCAAACCCGCAGCACTGCGCTAGAAACTAAAATATGACTTGTTGTACGTTCGAGTTCGACCGTCGTGTTTCCAAAGGGCGTGCCACAAACGTTGTGGCCCAGAGGTGCAGGTAAAGTAAAGTAAAGTAGGCTCGGTTCCAACAAGCCCCAATACGATAATGCTGTTCATGCGCTGTTTTTCAACATGGTCGTTCATTTGATGTAGGTACGGTAGGATACTTATCTGGAATGATCGATACCAGATTCTTGAACGCTGGGTTTGCTGGAATGATCAGACGGCATAAACAATTTGCACCGTGGTGAATGTGGTAGTCTGTATACCTAGTTAATATTCTCTGTAGACTTCTTTCTTGACTTGACGTTCATCAGACTTGCGTCTGACAAAGCCTTACTCGCCGACTCGGGTCGGACAGCGCTTAGCGATTGGAAAGTGGAATGAGAATCCTTCGTCGGTAGTCGATACTCGACGACAGGGAGTATGCCAGGTAGATCATAACCGGTACTCAGTATGCGGGGTTACGTCACTTGGTCATGGGTACAGTCTTGCCAGTCGAGGATACTTGTTAGAATGTTCGAGGGAGAAATGCTTAGATTGAAGCGATTCGGCACACTTTCCTTTCTCAGCTGTTCGCAACTTCAATTTTTCGTCCACGAGCGAACGCATAGCTTTGCTCGACCATCCGACATATCACTGCTATCCTAGTCGAAGAGTAGTGTGCTGCTACAAGGTTACGACATCATCATGCCTGCACGGGCGAAGAAGTCTACGAAGAAATTCGAGAAAAACCACCTCAAAGATGCCATCGAAAAGCGCAAGGATGTCGCCAAGATCAAGCAGCGCCAGCAGATTAAAACCAAGAAGCAGGCCAGGAACGCAGCTGACAAGGCTAGAGCACCTGATGATGAAGACAAGCCTGCGGTACCGACGAAGGCCAATGGATCCGCAGCTGCTGATTTGAGCAAAATGAGTGTCGATGACTTCTTCCAGGGCGGCTTCGACCTCCCGGAACAGAAGACCAAGGGGAAGAAGGCTGTCAAGACAAAGGAGGTAGCACAAAAGACAGGGAAGAGGAAGCGTGAAGACGAAGATGACGAATTAGACGATAGCGTCCCAGAGAAGGGCAGCCCTTTCGCCAGCGAAGACGAGATGGGCTCCAACCCGGAAGATGGATTAGAAGCACACCAGGACGACCTGGATGCGTTGGCCGAGAAAGATCCGGAGTTCTACAAGTATCTTAAGGAAAACGATGCTGAGTTGCTGGATTTTGGTGAAGATGCAGACCTGGCAGAAGTCGATCAATTGAGCGAGGAGGAAGAGGTCCCGAAAAAGAAACGGAAGAAGTCCAAAGACAAAAAGGAGGTGCAGCAAGAGGCCGAAGATGACGAGTCGGAGGTCACGACGGCCATGGTCCGCAAATGGAAGACTGCAATGGTGGAACAACACTCTTTACGTGCCATGCGTCAAACTGTGCTCGCATTCAGGGCGGCTGCTTATGTCAATTCGGACGATGACAAAGAGCACAAGTATTCCATCTCAAGTCCAGACGTCTATAACGAGCTACTTTTGACTGCACTCGAGCATGTCCCCAAAGTGCTAAGCCACCACCTACCAGCAAAGGAGTCAAGTTCCGGCAAAGTACGCATTGCGACTGATTCGAAGAAGTATCGAACCCTTACGCCGCTACTGAAATCACATTCAGCATCTATCCATCACCTCTTGGAGAACCTATCAGACGCTCCAACCATGAAAATGACCTTACTATGTCTGATTCCCCTCCTGCCATACCTCCTATCATTCAAAAAAGTCCTCAAAAACCTCATCAAGACAACCGTCCACATCTGGTCCGACACCTCAACTGACGAAGCCACCCGAATCACCGCCTTCATGCTCATCAGACGCCTCGCTGTCATAAGCGATGCCTCCCTCCGCGAAGCAGTCCTCAAAAGCACCTACCAGGGTTTCGTCCAAGGCAGCAGAATCACAAACATCCATACCCTCCCCGGCATTAATCTCATGAAGAACTCCGCTGCCGAACTATGGGGACTGGATCCCAACATCGGCTACACAACAGGCTTCACTTACATCCGCCAACTCGCCGTCCACCTACGAACCAGCATCACGCACCCCACGAAAGACTCGTACAAGACCATCTACAACTGGCAATACACCCATAGTCTCGATTTCTGGTCTCGGGTCCTCTCGACGCACTGCTCGAACCCCCTCCTCAAATCTCCATCGGCCTCCCCCCTTCATCCCCTGATCTACCCTCTTGTCCAAATCACCTTGGGCGCCCTCCGCCTAATCCCGACACCGACATACTTCCCCCTCCGCTTCCACCTGACCCGCTCCCTCCTCCGCGTGTCCCGAACAACATCAACCTACATCCCGCTAGCGCCCGCACTCCTCGAAGTCCTTTCATCCCCCGACCTCTCGAAGCCGCCGAAGCCCTCAACCCTCCCACCTCTCGACTTCTCCGTCGCCCTCCGGGTGCCGAAATCCTACCTCCGAACCCGCATCTACCAAGACGGACTCGGGCAGCAGGTCCAAGAACTCCTGGCCGAATTCTTTGGCTGCTGGGCCAAACACATCGCCTTCCCCGAACTCATCATCCCGCCCACGGTGGCCTTGAAACGCTGGCTCCGAACCGCCTCGTCCCTCCCCTCCAAGGGCAACAAATCCGCAACCAACAGAGCCGAGCGCGAAGGCAAGGGCAACAAGAACGCCAAACTCAACGCCTCCATTTCCTTGCTCCTGCAGAAGCTCTCAGCCAACGCGCAATACGTGGAAGGGCACCGGGCCAGCGTCAGCTTCGGCCCCAGCGACCGCCAGGGCGTGGACGACTTCCTTCGGGATGTGCCCGTCGAGGAGACGCCGCTGGGCGCATTCGTCGACGGGTCGCGGAAGCAGAGGGAAGAAAAGGAGAGGCTGTTGAGCGAGAGTCGGAGGGAGGATGAAGCGAGGAGGGCTCGGGGGGAAAAGGAAGATAGGGATAGGGATGCGGATATGGAGATGCTCGATGGGGTTGAAGAGGATGAGGAGGAAGATGTTGACGAAGAGGGAAATGCTTCCGAAGAGGATGAGGATGATTAGCGTAGAGACAGGAAAGAATAAAACGTCAGGCAAGCTGCCGTTTGAAAACGACCGTTCGATTTGCGGCTCCGGACCGGTCGATGGTTTTATAATAAGAACATTGGTACCACCGAGTCAATACCCTGACCGTATAGATGAGAACCGTATCAGTAGTACGCTCCATTGACGAGCCTTAAAAAAAAAAAATTAAAAAATTACGAGATGAAATCCGGTTCCTCAATTCTGTAAAGCGTAAAACCTATCTATCTACCAATGCAGCTTATGCAATAATACAGCTCTGCCCACTCCTCTCCTGATGGAATAGTCGAAAGGCCTGCAGTCGGACTATCCAACCACGCCGCCGATTAAGCTTGGTGATGTCCACCACTTGTCCACGAAAGCACGTCCGGTCTTCTTCTGCCGCCGGAAACAGGAAACAATAGTGTACACGAGTACATCGCAGCGAGGGGAATCTAGGGTATGTATGCGACCCTAGCGCCAGTGGAATGCGATGGAATAACTCCCCAACACCCTGCAAATCGAAAGTATTGACACAAAGGAAGACGGTACTGGTACACAGCCGGGCCTCGAAATCACATCCCGCCCCGGTTGGTCTTCTTACATGACCATCTCGTTGGTCGACATGTCAGACATGTCAGTCCTGCTGGTAGGATGAGGGTACGGATTCTGGATCTCGGAATCACAGTTTGGAGAGTGGTTCTTGTGATACTTGAGGCCGTTGAGATTCTTGTAGCGTTTCCCACAAGTGTCACAACGGTATGGCTTGTGCTTTTCCATGCCCAAAGTACCAGGATAGGGGTCCAGAGTTTCGGGATCGACGATGGAAAAGGTGCCGTTGTTGTTGTCTTTGAGAGTTTGAGTGTTGTGGCCGTGCTGGTTGCGATTAGTAGAGGTCAGTGTAGAAAGAGAGCTTGGAATGCTTACGCTCTTATGATACTTCAAGCCATTCTGGTTCTTGTATGCCTTCTCACACCCGATAACGGGGCAGTGGAAAGGTTTAGGCACACCGCCATCAGCTGAGGGATCAGGCACACCGGCCAGCTTTTGTTGTTCTCTTATCGTCTTTGCGAGCTCACTATTCTCGCTGTATTGCCCATCGCCGAGCTGAGTAGCCGAAGTGGGTTGAACAGGCTGTTGCGGTCGGTTGAAGCCACCGTTGAGGCTGAACAGTCTTTTTGCAGGCTCGTCGATGCAATAGTCGCCCATACCGCCGCCATCATTGCTAAAGTCGAAGCCAACATATCCTTGATTCTGACTCTGCATGTATTGCATGTTGCCCATGTTCATATTTCCCAAATTGCCAAGGAAGTCTCCCTCCAATTCGCCAGGTGTACCGGGAGTTGATGATTCAGGTGTATAGTATTGCTGTTGCAGAGGATGCGCGCTGGGATATGTGGTCAGAGTAGGAGTATTCACCGACGATACCGTAGGATTGTTGTAGTATAAAGTTCCGTTCCTGCCAGCCGACACTGGAGTTGTAGGTTGAGAGTTCCGTAAACCCTGATGTTGTTGCAATGGATTACCCATGTTCATGGTATTGATATCCAGGTTTGGTAACCTACTCGAAGCAGGTTGACCGAACTGAGACCGCTGCGTTATCCTGGCTTGATTTTGCGCTGGATAATTTGTCTGTTGTAGGTTTGGAAAGTCATCATCCATTTCCATGTCCCCCATGGCGTCGTCATCTGGTTCGATCTTAGGCTGCATAGGCGCGAAGCCTCGGGTTACTTGCGCCGAAGGTTGGGCCTGTCTTGGAGTGACTGGAGTAGACGAGCGTTGAGGCGTTGCTTGTCCTTGTTGCGATGACTCGGCCTGCTGCTGTTGTTGTTGGTGTTGTTGCTGAGCTCGACCCTGGCTCCGTACAGCGTCCACCGTTGTAGCTGCGATGGCAGCCTTGGGATCTGCTCGAACGGCTGATCCAATTGGAATCTGCTTTTGCATCGAGGGCTGCACTTGATCCGTATGGTTCTCCTCATAATGTTGTAGTAATTCGTGGAGCGAAGGAAGCGTCATTCCGCAGCATGAAAAGTCTCGCATGAAGTTGGCCTCCAACTTGGGAAGGTAGGACGAAGAATGAAATGACGGAGATTGGTAAGCGAAAGGGGAAGTCCCTTGCATGATGATACTGGACAACGTTAGCGACGCTGTCTGCCAAAAGTATTGTGCCGTGGAGACATACTCATCGCGAATCCAACTTCCGACCGAATTACCACCCCAGCTCATGCCAGTGACCATGCTACCGGCGAGACTCTCCCTCCGTGGCTTCTCTCGGTTGGAGGCATTCACTGATATGGGTTGCGCCTCGCTGTGCTGAGACGCTGGTGTAGCTCCTCCAAATCCTCCAAATCCCTTGAACGGCGTCCCACTCATGTCCATTGCGGTGGTTGGTCGTGCCTCGTTGCCAGAGGTAGATTGGAGAGCAGAGGTGAGATTCGAGGTCTGGGTATTCCGAGGGGAAGCGGCGCGAGAAGATGTGGCGATGTCGATGGGTGTGGTACGACTCCCCATATTTAGGAAAGGTGCCGGGTCATTGAAGAGTGGAAAAGTGGTATCCTCGAAGTCGGAATCGAGAAGGGTCGAGTCCACGTAGGAAGTACCGCCAAAGCCACTGTGCTTGTGGTGCCAAGCGAGCCAGTTCTCCTTCTCCTTGTCTGCTTTGCGCGGTAAAGCAGCGCCAAAGCCCCTTGGAGTGCCTATAGGAGTCGTCTCTGCCGTCGATGAGCGTTCGCGATCGCTCGCAGCTGGCGAAAAGTGCAGAGGTGGTGGGGTGTCTTGGGAATCCAGCTTTACGACGTTTGTGGGTTTGGGACTCTTGGGAAGAATAGGCGGTGAGTGAGTATTGAGGACTCGGACCAGGACAGGGACAGGGGGGGATAATTGTAGATGCTATTAAAAAGAATATATACAACTCGATGTGCTTGCGAGCGTATTACTTCAATAATGTGAATATGAATGCTATTGTCGCCTTGTTCTTATGAGTAAGTTATGTAAAGTAGAAGTGTGAGTGACGCAGTGAGACGGGGGAGTTTCGGGAGGAGCGAATGGCGATGGCGGGCTTCAACTTTCAAGCTCAAAAAATAGAGTTGAGCCGCTTCCAAGCGGGTACCGTTCCAATGAAAGTACCTACTAGTCTATTGCAGCATATACAACAGTACGAGTACTTACCTCCCTTCTCAACTCACTGACTTTAGGCGGAAGGCAAAAGAGGCAAAAGAGGCAACAATCGGAGTGAGTTGGTAATTGAATATAATAATATTTTAATATTCAGCTGTCAGTGTCTTTGCCAAGTCGGAGTTGAGCGACCGCAAGGTAGAAGGACATCGCCCCTTCAAAAGCATAGACCTATAGCGATGACATACGAGATACATGGGACATTGAAAGGGGCATGACGTTTGTCCTCGACTCCAATACCTTGATACTTCATACCGTACTGTACTATTTGACTTTGACGGCACGCGATCATCATCTATTTCCCACGTTGTTGCAGGGCTTGCAAAGGTTATATACATCCCGCCCGAGTTGGAGGGGGGCCGACAGGGCTTCCTGGGCGAATTTGTCGGCTTTAAGTACCTTACCTTCAAAAACAGGCCTGCTGCCGGCAAAAGTAGCAATTGTAGCGACAACAAGACCAGACCTTGAAGGTATGTAACCAACGCTTCCTGCTAGTTCTCCAACACCCCTGCATAGCATATGACTATGACCTATGATCGAGTCTACAACCTCATTACGAGACTGACACAGGGGCCAGATTCTTGTTACGGCGGAGATGGAATACAGTAGTGGCCACCCACCTCCCAATCCTCTGGAGCCAGCTATCAAATTAGAGGAATCTTCCAACTCAGACTTGCTTGACAAGACTGTCCATCCCCAGCAGCTTCCAACGGCGGAAGACTCTGCTGTGACCAAGGCGGAGAAGTTTGAGAGACACGGCATTGCCGATAATGTAGAGGAATCGCCATCAAAACGGAGAAGATTGGATTCGGAAAATGGCACTCAAGGCCCCATGGGAAGTGAAAGACAAAAGGGCGTTGTTCCAATCAAAAAAGAGTCAGTATCTTCAATGCAATTCTATGAGTAGCCAGCTTACGCGGATCAGGTTCCTTTTGCACCCGGCTGGTAGCAAAGGGAAAAAAAGTGCTGCTGTTGCGGATGATGATGCCGCCGAAGGCGCTGCCCATGTTGACCAGCCTAAAGGCGGCGAAAGGGGTAAGAAAAAGGAAAAGTCTCGAGGCCAGAATACGAACCGAAACTTTGGAGCCTCAAGAGACGAAGTGGGTCTATGTGCAAGTCGTGCCAATAGTCCGGAGTTCTCCCCTGGTGAGTGTCGCTTTGGAGACAGTTGCAAGTTTGAGCATGACCTCCGCAAGTATTTGAAGGACTGGAAGAGAGAAGATCTAACGACGTTTGGCGGGGTCTGTCCAATATGGTATGTTTGTTTTGGACCAAAAGATTCCGATTTCACACTATATTTCGAGTCGCAAGCCGTGTTTCAGAAGCAAAGGGCTCTGTCTAACCCCTCAAAACTGTCTCATCACGAGATCTTCCCTGGAAGAAGAAATGCTGACTCTGCACTTTCCATAGGCAAGCGAAAGGTAAATGTGACGTTGGATTCAAGTGTCGTTTTGTCGGATCACACATGAGGGAGAGATCTCTTGAAGACGGAAGAAAGGAGTTGATACTTACCGAAGAAGTTGGTGGTTATAGTGAGAAAGAGCGTTCTGGCGTTTCAGATATTGGAACCATCAACGAGATATCTACACAGGCAAAGAATGACTTGATGAAACGCAAATTCAAGACCCCCAAAGCGGATCAATACAGTCAGTGGATTGAGAAAAGTGGGAAAGAGATTGACGAAAATACCCGCAGAAATGCCAAAAGCCGATGGGAAGAAAGCGATGAAGACGCTCTCGGATCAGAGATCAAGCCCGAAAAGACGGAAATCGAAGACAACAGAGCACGATACACCGAACCTCCTTTTTTACCATCCGAGAAACGCAGGATCTACTTTGGGCCAGAAACCCCTGTGCTTGCTCCTCTGACTACGCAAGGTAACTTACCTTTTCGGCGTTTGTGCGTTGCTCAAGGCGCTCAAGTCACATACTCTGAAATGGCCATGAGCCTGCCTTTGATACAAGGACAGAGGTCTGAGTGGGCACTGATGCGGGCTCACGAGTCGGAAGCCACTCCGCCAGCCTACCAACCCAGCGACCCCGTTGTAACGGACTACAACAACACAAAAGACTTCAAGTTCGGAGCTCAAATCGCTGCGAACAAGCCATGGCAAGCGCTCAAGGCCACGGAGGTCTTGACTCAGCTATGCCCCTATCTACGGGTGATTGACCTGAACTGCGGATGTCCAATCGATCTTGTCTACCGTACAGGAGCCGGATCTGCTCTTCTCGACAGCCAAGGAAAGCTAGAGAAGATCGTTCGCGGGATGAATGCCATCTCTGAAGAGATACCAATCACGGTGAAGATCCGTATGGGTACGAAGGACAACAAGCCGAGTGCCCTGAAATTGGTGGATCGGCTAGTATACGGCGGCCAGGAAGCCCTCGAGCTTGGTGGTGGGCCTTCTGGTACGTACATTTTCGGAACCACTCCTTCCTGTGTTGAACCAATTTTACGACTTGCGAGACATTGTTCGGCACCAAAACGCTCTAAATATTCCTTCGAATTGTCTCATTGCTTGGGATCTTACCTCGAAGACGGAACGCTGACCCCGAAGTCGATATAGGAGCTGCAGCGATTACACTGCACGGTCGAAGCCGACAACAGAGATACACGAAAAATGCTGACTGGAAGTACATATCTGAATGTGCTGCTCTCATCAGAGATTACAACCAGAAAGGAGAGGATCTCTCTGATACTGTCCGGGAGGCGGATGAGAGGTCACAGCCCGGAAGCAAGGTCTACTTCCTCGGCAATGGTGATTGCTATTCTCACGTCGACTACAACACTCATCTCGAAGAAGCGAAAGTCGACTCGGTCATGATTGCACGAGGTGCACTCATCAAGCCTGTATGTACAATTGTCGAGGGAATTATTCCCTACACCGGGCCGTTCTTCGGGTCGTAACCCATTTCACGGTAGCAAAAGGCTGTTACTGCCCCTTCGAGTCATCTCATTGCAACGGTCTTTGCCGTGAAGAAGGGATGCTAACTCCGAAATCTTTATAGTGGATATTCGAGGAGATTCAACAAGGGCAATACATTGACAAATCGGCCAGTGAGCGCCTTGCCCTGGTTGAGCAATACGTTCGATACGGTCTGGAGACATGGGGCTCTGACGAGATGGGTGTTGGGATCACCAGGCGATTTTTGCTTGAGTGGTTGAGCTTTGCTTATAGATATGTTCCTGTTGGGATCCTTGAGCATTTGCCACCGTGCCTGCAAGACCGACCGCCTGCTTGGAGAGGGAGAAATGATCTCGAAACGCTTCTGGGGAGCGACAACTATAAGGACTGGATCAAGATCAGGTGATTCCTATATATAGAAGCCTCCCTTGACGCAGATGCTGACAATATGCAGTGAGATGTTTCTTGGTCCAGCGCATAAGGATTTCAATTTCCAACCGAAGCATAAGTCGAATAGCTACGAGATCGAGGCCGAGGGTTAGTTGCGTTGCTACAATCACTCAACCCCCAGTTCAGACATGATATCTAAGACGGAGCCCTATACGTTTTTAGCAAGCGAAAATGCAAACCATGGAATATCTTGATTTATATGGTGGATGAAGTATATTAGAGGCTTGCAACAGCTTTATAAAAGTCTATTACCTAGATGAGAACAGGATAGATAGAACGGCAGAAGACTTTAGCACAGCATGTGATCACAATTGCATCGAATGCGTAGTATTGTCCTCTGCCTGTGAATAATCTACGAGTAGGTAGAGTCTGTAGAAATATTTAAGGCAAGGTGCTGATTTGTCGCCTAAAAATGATGCCGAGGCCGCTTCGTGTCACTTGTCAGGTTGCCATATCGAGCCTTCCTTGTTTTCCCCAACTCAACACCGCTACTGTTGTTCTTTTCTTTTGGCACCGAGAAGGAAACACTCTACAACATTGATAGTTACTTTAGAATCGCGTACAAAAAGCAAGGACGTATCAGAAGTTGAGTAACGTAGCAACGCCAAAACTACATCATAGCACGTTCCCGGTTTTTGACCCGCCACGATGACTTTGTACTATACGTTGGCAAGTAATCTCCCTTCTTCACCACAACAAACAGCTTTCAACATCATCCCCAATCGACAATCCCCATAATCCACAGCAGCAATGCCTTCCCTAATCTATGCTCCGGTTCATACCAATGCCATCCTCTTCCTTCATGATCCGCTGCTGACGCAATGGCTGCCTAGGTGTTCGCACTCCTGGTGTTCGAGATGAGCGTCTTCGGAATGCTCATCGTCCCTCTACCATACTCCATGAAGCGCAAGCTCTTCAACTTCATCTCCGAGAATCCGCTCATAGCGAAGCTGCAATATGGCATGAAGGTAGCTCTGCACTGGTACCCATGTGCGTTTGAAGCGGCTGACACAACGATAGATTACGTTCATCTTCATCTTAATCTTGTTCATCGACAGTGTGAACCGTGTCTACAGCGTTCAAGTCGAGCTGGCCAAAACCAAGAGCAGCCAAAAGTACGTCTCAGCCACATAACCAAGCCTAGGGTATCACTAACATCCAGCCAGCTCCGCCATGCTCGAAGGCTCCGGCCGCATGGAGGTGCAAGCCCGCAAATTCTACTCCCAACGCAACATGTACCTTTGCGGCTTCACCCTCTTCCTCTCCCTCATCCTCAACCGCACCTACGTGATGATCCTCGACACGCTCCGTCTCGAAGAGAAAGTCAAGCGCTACGAAGGTGACCCCAAGGCTTCAGGCAAGGACTCTGACAAACTTGCTCAGGCAGGTGGTGCTGGAGAGATCGGAAAGCTGAAGAACCAGTTGGCGCAGAAGGATAGGGACATTGAGGCGCTCAAGAAGCAGAGTGAAGGCCTGAGCCGTGAATATGGGAATTTGGGGGATCAGTACAGCAAGCAGAATGCTGATTCCACGCCCAAGAAGGATCGATAGAGGATTCTCGGCAACGCCCATACGTTGGAGCTTCTTCGACAAGACAGCTTTCGTGCTCAGAGCTCGGCGTTGGACGTGGGAAGAAGAAGTGGCATAGAAAGGGCCATGGAAAGCTACAGAGATCGTGTCAATTGGATGGGTAGCATCATACTTCCTGGCCGTACATCCTAAGTATGCATAGATGCAGAAGTTGAGAGGCGGATAGCGAAAAGTTCAGAGTTTCTTGCGATTCTCCAACGCGTAACATTTCCATTCCAGAAATTATCTTTCCCCTTTACGTGCCAAAAACCTTTTCTATGCGTTCTTCTCGTGTCCTTGTCTCAGTAGCTATAAGCGTCCGAAATGACTGGCAATATCAATGTTGGCACCTTTGACGTTGACCCTACCAATGTCATCTGGACAAGTGTCTCCATCTATGACTGTCATCCGTACAGAGATAATGTCCTACTATCAAGTCAGGCCGCTCGGCATCGCTACCTGTGCCCTGGAGCTGGTATCATCCCCGCTCTCGCCGCAAGCCTACCCGAAGAGCCGTCGATAGATGCCCAAGCCGTCTCGAAAACTAAGAAACAAACAGCTCTTTTGCCTCCATGATTGGAAGCATGGGAAGCATGGGAAGGGAAAGAGAAGACCCGTGCACCAGCACCACCCTGAAGATGTGTAGCTCCCGCTGGGCGCTTACAGCTCGCTCGTCCAATCAGAAGACTCCCAAGTGCTCCAAAGCGTGTGATGTTTCGATGTGTGCTGTCCCCGCTTCTCGTCCAATAGAGGAGCTAATAGCGACTGTTGCGGAGGAGGTTTGAGCATTACATTCTTGCGTCAGAAGATAGGACTGCGTTTCAATGCAGGATGCAGATCTAAAGCCTTTGCTGACAGCCTCTAGAACTTTATCATTTCACTATTGACCAGAACTAACTGACTATTATCTGCATGCTGCAGCCTTCCGACAGCCTGGGAAATGTCCTTTTTCGCGTTGGCGTGGGTTGGTGTTTCGACTCCTCCAGTCACATTGCGGCAAAGCAAATGTACCTAGACTTCTTGACAATCCTATTCAATGACTGGTACATCTTCAAGCCAGCGACGTCGAATGCAGTCATCATCCATAGAGACTGCAAGCCTTGACCGAAGAGCCCCACCAGTACACCAGCTTCGAGTATCCCATGATCAACGGTCTGCATATCGACCTGTAGCCTTATTCTCGACTCCTCCAATGCTGCCCCGCAGATACTTCTAGCCTTGATCATCCAAACTGCTCCCACATCATCAGCGCCCATCCCAACAAGTATCTCAGGAAGCAATCGCTCGCCAATAAGGCCAGCAGCTTCTATGATCGCGCCGAGTATCCTTTAACAATGATGGCGTTGAAATCGCCGATGCTGCCGTCCCCAGATCGCAACCTCATGTCGGCTTTCTCGCCGTACTCGGAATCGCCCACGTCGCCAGCGCCGTTCAGATCTCCAATTACGAGTACCCACAGCCGGCCATTGTATGCCCGCTCTCTCCCAATCTACAACCAAGCTGACGTGTCAGGTCCAACGAACACGCCAGATCCCTCCATCCTCCCAATCAATCTTCCCCACTAGCCTCAAGTCCCAGTGACATTCCTGACCCCTCACCTATCGCTACCTCTTCAAACGGCACCGACACGACCGACATTGACGATACAGGCATAGAGAATGAAGATTTAGATCCTACACCAATGCCACCAGAGCCCCCAGCGCCCTTAAGGTCTACAGAACCGGCATTGAAGGTATGCCCGTCGCCTTGCCCATACAAGACAAGCAACAGTAGACTTAAGACTCTCTAGCTCGAAACTGCCAACGCGGCTTCAGATGCTCGAAAGCCACGATCAGACGATGACGAACAACCAAGCTCGGTCATACATGCCCCGCAAGGCTTCGACGCATTTGTGAGGTCCAACAGGCCAGCCCGAAGCTCAATTATAGATTGCTAATTGAGTCAAAAGCACCGACAGTCGCCCCCTTCGCTACATCGTTCCATGCCAACTTCTTCCCAAGCATCTGACATTGTCATTGTACCGCCTCCGGAAGACAATGGAGGGGACAAGGTAGATCCTGCATTGCACGAGCATGGCTACCGATAGTAATATGTTTGCAGAAATTCTCGAGCAGTCCGAGCTCGCCGCCTCCCCTACAAACTTCAATAGCACCAATTACAAGAGATTGGTCGGCTACCCCTAGAGCGCAAACAAGACCAGAGGCAGAGGCGCAGACATTAGAGCCCAAGAAACCTAATAATACTTCACGGTCGAGCTCGCGGTCGAGCAATCTCGAAGGTAGTCATTAATGCCATCTATCAAACGTTTGGGCGCTTATTTGAATCCAGATATACCAGAAGCATTGGATACCGAAATTAACGATGACCTGACTCCCAACCACCACACTTCCCTTTTTGATCACACCGTCGAACGGTTTCAGGAAACTGCGGACGAAGTTGCAGCCCTCAAGATCGCGCTCAGCGAGTGTTGGACACTATGCAATACATTAGCTGGCTTGAGCTATATACATCGCGAGAGGATCTTCAGTGACGAAAGGTCGCATTTTAGCTTCTCCGCCAAAGGTGACATGCAAGAACAGGCCTGGAAATCATGTTGGAAGCTTTGCCAGAAGCTGTACGAAACACGAGACGAAGAGATAGCCACTCAGGTCCGACCCACACTGGATCTCTGCCGCGACTTTTGCCAGTGCCTTTTTGAAGTACGGCGGCGGGACAACGACGTCGCTGACTCCGTCCTACGGGTCAGCTTCGAGCTCAACAACCATCTATACAATACTCACGACCGAACACTGCCGGAAGCCTTTCGAGAACGGACCTTGGACTTCTACATAACGCTCTGCCACCGTCTGATGAAACAACGCTCCGACCTAGCCCGAGAAACAGACTCCCTTCTCGAAGCCTGCTGGTCCCTCGCCGAAATGCTCTTCAGCCTCCGCCAAAACAAACGAGAAGGCAAACCCGCCGATGAAGAACTCCTCGGCTCCGCTGTCCAAGCGTGCTGGGAACTCTGCGACCTTTTCAGAGAAGGCTGGACCCAGATACGACCGGACCGCGGCACGCCTCGACCCAGCCAAACGACCTTCACACAGGCTTTCCAGCAAGCAAAACAATCACAAGTAGCCGCCTCCTTCGCCCACGTCCCCGATTCATATTACGAGTCCGAAGAGGAGGACTTTGGCCGTGCGAACCCCGAAACCCCCACCACCGTCTTTGAAGACACGGTGCAAGATTCTCCAGACGAAGGCCCCGTGCCCAATATACTGGTTCTCGGACCCTCAGACCAAAATAACCGCCAACAACCAGGGCAACACCAACCGCAATGGTCCTCGTCCTCTAGCAATTTGAGCGGCTACTCCCAATCCTCTGGGCGTACGACCTCCTCAACTTCCACAATCATCAACCCCGCCAGTGGCCTGCCCAATGCCGAAGACGCACGTCTCACATGTCTGAGATTGCTCATCGTAAAAGCAGCTGCAAATACAGGATTTCAACGCTCCTCCCCCACCACCCTCGCCTCCTTCGTCAAGTCCGTGCCGTCCAATTCCTTCGGAACGCAGCCCTGGCAGTCTCAACTTTTACAAGATTACAAGAAAGCTGTGGCGAGCGATCCAGCATTAAGGAATCCTGGGCCAGTGCGAAGAGCCAGGGCTGCGGATGTAGCAAGGAGTGTGAGGTGGATGGTTGGGAGTCATGGGCAATATACTTGGCTGAAAGATTTATTTAGGTTGGTGTTTGGATTCCAAGTTGAAGATGCCGAAGGCAGGGAAGGGGTGGTTATACAGAGTTGATGATCTTCTTGGGTGTTTGGGGTAACGGCTTTGGATGATGTACAAGTATGACGAAAGGGTTGGGGTCAACGTGAGGGCTAATGCGTAAAGCAGGAAGTTCGATTTGGCTCTTGTTGTCTGTTCTTTTGTGTTGGATACTTTATGCAGCGCTACTGAGCCTTTGTCCTCTTTCAATGTGGGATTGGGGAGATTTTGGAGCAGATATACCCATTTTGAGAACGTCGTTCTTGAAGAGCTAACTTATGCACTATTTCTCTCAAAGAGCGATGAACGGAGCTGCGTAGCGCTTGCCAGACGCGGCTACCTAAATGTAAATACTGATATCTCTCAACACCCTTCAGACATCAAAGTCATCATTCGAAGGACTAGCCCCCAAACATAAACGTTTTCCGGACCGCATACCCTCACGACACCATGTCTCCTCCACACTTTCGGTCCGACGAACTTTGGAACTGCCCACCAACGGCCGGTCGTGATGGGCCCATGTTAAACCTCTTGGAACACCTCAAACCCTTGGCAGCAGTTGAGGCCCCAAAAGTAACTACTGGAACGAAGGTTACGGACCGACCAAATGATATCCGCACGAGACTTCCTCACTACCTCGAGTGTCTCGATGACCGGTACGCTACCATTCGAACATGCCGCCGCTTCTGCCACACCTGCGTCAACACCAAAGCAACCTTTCCCGCCTTTTTCGCAAGACGCTACGAAGATGGCTGCAGCGGAACGGTCAAGAGCTCTGGGATGCCATCCTCATGGAATCCGATGAGGGGCACCTCAAGCTGAGCGTGGAGATAGCGAGGTGGAGCACTCAAGAGGTTCGGGCCCTTCATGAGGCAGATAGCAAGGTTGTGGAACCACTTGTCCAGTCCGTCGCCGCGAAGAGAGGAGCAACACATCGACAAGATTGCCGCGCAGCACGAACCTTTGATGGGCTACAGATCTGTGACGGAGACGAGAGCCAGTGTGGTCTGTGTGCCGATCTAACGCTCGCAAGAACGAGTCTTTACAGTTGTGTCATCTACGGTCACCTTTTCCACGCCGATATCGAAGAATCGTACGGGCCGGGCAGCTGCCATTGAACGTCGGACTGCTCGGCTCTGAACTCCGTCGTCATTGGATGCGGAATCGGGTATACCATTACGAATGGTATGTACATTTAGGAGCTGTCCTTTCCTAGCTCATACCGTGTCATGACTCGTGAGACATACTTCAGGAACAGAAACGACCTTGTGCCTGTCTCATTGCTCTCTGGCTTTTGCCTCGAAGAAGGAAAGCTGACTCCCACAGGGATGGAAATGATGTCACGTGGTCTGGGCTGGATATAATGGGCGACACTCCTCGAATGCTCAGAGACCATTTTGACACACAACCTGGCCATGAAGATGTCGGAGAAGAGGAAACAAAGCGGCGTTGCAGCCTCTTCCTCCGCGGACATCATGGACCATCAAGGCCTAGACACTTTGCGATCCCTGTCACCTAACGGACCTCTGGCCAAAGATTTGGCCTCCAGTATTTGCTCCCAGGTCTGGGCCCTACCACCCGAGACGGTGTCCAACGAGAGGGTGTGGGATAGTAATGATCTACGGACGAGGAAACAAATTGGATGGTTCTCAAGGGGCCTACGACGAAAAAGAACATGGCAGACAAGGTCCTTGCATATGAGCAAGGCAACCCACCGGGTCCACCACCCTGAAAAGGCCAATCCATATGTTTCATAGCAGATGCTTTTTTAGACTTCTTATGCTAGCATACCGAAGGAAAATTCAGATATCACGCATGCTCTATTCTATTCTCAATCTCTAACCACCACACGTAAACCCCCAACCCCACCTTGACCCACCCCGCCTCACCACTGCACATCCATCTCACTCTGGATCTGCACCTTGATAGCCCCCGTCTTCGGATCCGCCGCCGTCTCGAACGCCCGGACGGCATCCTCAATGTCGAACCGATGCGTCACGAGCCGGCCCAACTGCAGCACCCCGCTCTCGACCAGCCGGATGGCGCGCGGCCACGTGTTGGCGTAGCGGTACTGGAACTGCAGGTCGATCTCCTGGGTGCTGAGGCGCATAAAGGGCAGGCGCATCTCGGGCTTGCCGACGCCGATGACGAAGACCTTGCCGCCGAACTTGACGCTGTGGACGGCGGCGTTGACGCTGCTCTCGACGCCCGTGCACTCGAGCGCGATGGCCGGCTGCACGCCCCCGGCCAGCCGGACAATGGCCCCCGCCGCCTCCTCCTCCCCGACGCCCCGCTCCACCAGGAACGGGCGCACGCGCGGCACGAGCTCCTGGGCGAAGGCCAGCCGGCCCTCGTCGATGTCCGTCACCACGATCGGTTCGGCCCCGGCGGCCGCGGCGCACAGCAGCGTGATGAGGCCGATGGGGCCGGCGCCGCAGATCAGGATCGGGTCCCCGAGTTTGACGCCCGCCCGCTCCACGCCGGCCAGGGCCACGCTGAGCGGTTCGAGCAGGGCGCCGTTTTCGAAGCTCATGTCGCCGATCTTGTGGCACCAGACGGCCGGGTGGTTGACGTAGCGCCGCAGGAGGCCGTCGACGGGGGGCGTGGAGAGGAAGCGCATGTTGAGGCAGCCGTTGTAGCGGCCCGTCAGGCAGGGTTCGCACTGGTTGCAGATGATGTCCGGTTCGATGGCGACGCGGTCGCCGGGCTTGAGGTGCGTGACCGAGGGGTGCGTGGCCAGGATGACGCCGGCGGATTCGTGGCCGAGGATGTGCGTGTCGGTGACGATCATGGGGCCGATGCGGCCGGCGTGCCAGAAGTGGATGTCGGATCTGTGCGACGTTCGAGATCAGTCTGGGGTTTGGAGAGGAAGGAGAGGATTGAGGAGGAGGAGGAGGAGGAGCAGCGGAGGCAGAGGGGATGAATGTAGGAGAGATTACCCGCAGATTCCCGTGCTCTTGATCCCGATTGTGACTTCGCCATGCTTGAGGTCTTGTCCCTTCTTGACGCTCTCGAGTGTAGGTCCGGACTCGGCCACCCAGAGCTTGTGCTCGGGGTCTGTGAAGACACCGACGTTGGGCAAGCTGATGGTCTCGGTCACGGTAGCCATGGAGGCCTTGTTCTGAGGACGGAGGAGGCTGGTGGGAGAGGGACGAGGAGGAGAGGACAAGCTGGTGAAGGGTGCTTTCTGGTCCGCGAGCACGGTGGTGGAGGATGACGTCTTGCTTCCGGCGGTGTTGTGCAAGCGTTCGGGCGATCCAGTGGTGGTGCAGGCGGAGCTAACGATGTATGAGTACCCCGCTGAAGGCCCCGAAATTGCAATTCACGGGAGAATTGTATTGCTTTTTCTGGTGGAAGGAGGATGGTAGTAGTAGTAGTGGTGGTGGTAGTAAACGGTGAACCAACCAGAAACGCAATTGATGATGCTGCTGGGCTTGGGCAAAAAGTCGAGCGAGGCCAAAACGGCGGGGTACCGTAAGAATGCGGGCCATCTCTTCGGCTAAATCCCAAGAATCCTAGGGTAATTCAAGCGAGTAGGCAAGAAACCTAGGATTTTTTTTATTTGCTCTCCCGCAAAGGAATATAGGAAGATGGAGGACAAGGAAGAAAGAAAGAAGCAAGCAAGCAGCAGGCGTAGACAAAGAGAAGAGGAGGGGAAAGGACAGCAGACCAAGTAGGAGAAGTAACAAACAGGACACCCTCTCACACGCTCCCACACGCGCGACATAAAGCATGTTGCGCACCCCCACGTCGTTGATTGGAACGGCAGTACAGCCTGCAGACGCCATTGTCCATAGATCTCGAAGAATACACCCAGTCTAGCTGGTGCCCTGCGTGAGAAACGCCGCCAAAACAAAGATGGCCGGCAATCTGGATCGACGACAGCTGCGGCCGCCTGCCTGGTACTCCATTCAACACGCCCTCTTCCCCACACTGAAAAACCAGCAGATGCTTTCCCAATGCCATGCAACTGCAGCCTTCCCATTTCGTAAAATCGTTAGATAATCGTCCCCTGCTGACTTGACTTACATAAAAAGCTTCATCGAATCTTCCGGCCTGCTTTCACTTGGACAGTACGGGCACTTGAACCTTGACCCTTTACTTAATCTCGCCAACGATTCTTGCGCGACAACGTGTCCGCAAGGCATCATCATCGGTGGATTCTCGTCTGTCGTCTGCTCTTTCGACACCGGGCAAACGAAGATAGAGTGAAAGTGGTAGGCAGGCGGAAGAGGTATTTCAACCTGAAACAATTAGCAACGTTGCCCACATATGTGGGTTGAGAGTAAATGCGTACTGGGAGCTCATGCTGCGTCGTCCATTCTGTTCGCTTCTCTTTCATAATGGTCTGGAGCTTAAGAAGAGTAGGCAAGGCTATCGCACCAGCTGTGGCAGCAATGTACAGAGGAGAGTCCGCGGACAAGCCAAGAAGCGAGCAGAACTCCCGAGTGAATGAATTGGCCAGGTCATCCCAAGCATCCTCATTGTGGAAAATTCGTCGATAGGGAGACTGAGCCAGATTGGGGCAGAAGGCCATAGCGCCACTGAGCTGTTGAATCTCTCGGAGGTAGCGTCCTTGGAAATGGGCAAACTCCTGACGAGCGTATCCAAGCGCTTGCTGTTGTCCAAAAAGCAAGCTTCTCGCGTCGTCCGGATTCGAGCCTCCAGTGAAGAGCCAAACAAATTGTAGCTTTGAGAGTTCGAACTCCAAGTTGCTTCCTCTTGTCTCCAATGCATCGGTATTTTCCCTGGCCCATGCGATGGCAGGTAGAAGATTCTGCTGGTTCTTCAACTCATGCAGGATATGGTACATGTTGGCGAACTGTTTCCGAAGCGATTCTGACTTGAGGGAATCTATTCCCAAATCTACCTCAAGGCTTGCGTATGGCTTCGGTGTACCGGAAGAGAGCTCTGGACGCGGAGGGTTATTGGTAGCATCGGTCAGAAAGGTTGAAGCAACCGAGAATTGGCCCTCCCTCAGGAGGTGCATGGCAATGGCGCGATTGATCAGTGCTGGGTGTGAGGACAGAGCGTCATAATCGGTCGTTGGCAGGGGCTTGTCTCTGAATTTCTGTAAAGACAACTCTCAGCTTGTGTTTCGTAGAGACCTAAGGAAGTGCTGTTTACCTTATCCAACGCCTTTGAATAGTTGCCAAGTCCTTTGTAGACATCTTTCAGGTCGCTGTTGATAGCCTCGAATGATTGCTTGACGGGATTCTGGAGCTTGGCTAGTGTCACTGAAGCACTATTCTGGTCTTGAAAGTAATGATGAGCATGTTTCAGAGAATCCTGCCCGAGAGAACCAATGAGAAAGAGCAGAACGTACTTGCTACTATTGAGTCTCGTGCCTTGACTAGGAGATCAATGGTCTTCTGTACATCTTCCACACTCTTCGAAAGGTTGCCCTTGCGGGACAGCTTCTCATGCTCCTCGAGTAGTGTTTCCATAACTCAGAGAGTAAATACAGGTCCTGCGAGTCAAAAAGTAGTGTATTGAGAAGACACGAGTACTTAGGTCCAAGGGAGCAACTTCAACGCCTTCTCCCAAAGGCTGGAACTGGAGAATCGATTCATCTGTAGTGTTAGTATCTGGGAGAACCGGCGGAGTAGCTTTGAAGAGAAATAGGAGCTTGTCAGGAAGAATAGGTCATGAGGTGAAGATTGATTGCGGATGGCAAAAGGGCCGATATTTATCCGGGCTTTCCGGCGACCACTGTCTGCGATCGTTTTGCGCCGCACAACACTCGAACTTTTCAAAGATGTGCCGGAATATGAGAAGTTCTCAATGGTTTCTACTCTATCTACGCAGAGTCAGGACTGCAGGCCTATCACCCACTGTTCTCGACGCAAAAGGCGAAGTATGAGGCTTGCACAAGAGCTTGGAGAGAGTGATTGGGATAATGGATAACGATACAGAGGAAAGAGATTTTGCGACTGAAAGTGTTGGAGCGGAAGAAACAAATGGGTCTCCCAAGGACCCTACAAACGGCGACTCCACCCCTCAAGCAGCGCATCAACGTCTTGTGTTCACGGACCCGGCGGCCTTCAGATACCTTGAAGAAGATCCGTCCACGATGGTGCTAGAACGGAGACGTCGACTTACAGGCTATGAGCTCTACGTAGTCGAGCAATGGGCATGCTCAAGGGTTCATCCGACATTTGTCATCACCACCTACACAGGCCTCGAGCAAAACTCGGTTGTCGTAGGAGTCTTGAGTGTCCCAACGAACGAGCAAGCTTGGTCACCCCGTCTTCGTGTATACCTCAAAGCGATTACAAAATACCATGCAAGAAAAAAGGAGACACCTTTGGGAACGCTTATGGTCACAAATCTGAGCAGCTTCCCATCTGCGTTGACGGTCATCGCGGTGCCAGCTGGAGACATCAAAAAGCATAGGGAAGATTTCATAGTCAATGAAAATATGAAACGGATGGGATGCTCGGGGCGAGCAGGCCTCAGCCTATCTCCGCCAATTGGGGCGACGCAGGCCAAATTCATGCAACTCTACCATACAAGTGATCGCATTCCGCTATACAATGCTGTGATTGAGCTTGTCAAGCTGTGTCAGGTGGCGCTATTGCTGTTCGGGAAACTGGCCCCCGAGTATGCTGATGGGTTACTTTGTGATGTTACGGAGCAAGCCATCAATGATTGGTGGACGGAGCTAGGAACCGAGTATTTTAACATTGACCCCAGCGATGGCATATTGGGGCCTACTACTGTTGCGGCTCTTCTTGGAATACTCATGGGGGCCCGAAACAGGCTCAATGCTGCTGGAGCACCTGTAGCAAAAGACGTTTTTGACATTGTCAACACGAAGAGAGGCATTGCTCACTTCCAGAGGTCTCAGAAAATGGAACGCACCAGAAGATTCGATCGACAGACGCTGGATAGGCTGCACAGGGTGACTGCGAAAGCTGCTAGTGGGAAGGGTTGGACGGTACCACGAGCAGTCAAGTCTACTGCGGCAGAGCTCAGTGGTAAGGGTGGGGAATTGGTGCATGGACGCGAGAAAGCCAGCATTGCTGAGATAGAGACTTTGGACATCGAAACCTTCGTCCAGATGGGCTCAGGAGAGAGATTTAAGTGGCTGTGGTATGGCAAACCGCGGAAGAACAATGAAGGTGATGTCTTTAGTAGTCTAGGAGGCGATGAGGGCATGATCCTGAACGATAACGAGCAGGATGGAGGCAAGAAGCGCGATTCTGTTGACGAAGATACATCTCTTCGGCACGTCCTCTCTGATCGTATCTACCTGAGTCCTTCGATTGGATCACACACGAGCATCGACCATCCAGAAAAAGACCAGGGCTTGCGGAAAGCCGTTTTCAAAAACGTCAGTGGCAAAGCGACTGACGCTCGCAGTGGCTTGGGACGAATCAGAGATGTAGTTGGCATGAGGGGCCTGCGTGGACATCATCACAAGAATTCCAAAGATGTTGAATTCCCTTCTGACGGAGATAGTCTCAAGGAGAAGCCAAGGACCAGTGTGGAGGAACTTGGGGAACCGGGACTGAAGACACAGGCTTCGTCAAATCCAATCGCTCAGCCTGACAGTGGCGAACAGAGCCTAGTAGGCTCTCAGAAATCGTCTAGAAGCGGGAGCGGCTTTACAGAAGATAAGCCACGCCGTGAAGAAAGGGATTCGAAGGATGGCTTCAAAAAGGTTGTCTATTCCGCCGAGTTCGACAAATCTGCTTCGAGTCTCGAGTCGCCGTTTCATGATCAGGGTCCTACTGATAGATCGGACTACGTGAGCGCAATGGAAAATGCCTCCGGCGTACGACGTAGGACTGAAGGGCGTGAGCCGATTGTCGATTCGAGAAACGGCTCACTTACGTTCGAGGACTCAGCAGCTATCAAGAAGATGCGAGAATTCGAAGGGCAATTCTACCCTGCATCTTCATCTCCATTGCGCACTATAAAGAGCCTTCCCAAGCTTTCAGCGAATTCTCCAAAGTACTGGGATCGTCGCTGGCCCCGCCAACTCTCATTTACAGCAATGGTGGATGTCTTGGCCGCGGGCGTTGACAGTACCGCTGAACATGACAGCATTGTTGCGAGGAATGATGCACACACTGCCCTCTCCTTTCAAAAAAGCTTGGCGGCTCAAGGTCGTGTCCTGGGACAACAGCTTGAAGACTGTGAAACACAGATAGCATCTTGGGTCGAGCAGAAGGTCGACCATATCCAAGTCTACGAGCAACAAGCTGGCAGTGATCAAGCTAGGCTTGACCTGATCTACCATCAGAAATTCGATGAATACAACGCTCTTCATGATGCTTCGGACGATCTTTTGTCGGAAGAACGATCGAACCTGACCGACACCGTCAAAGACCTTGAAAATTTGGGCGCCAAGCTGGAGTATGAATTGAGCGCTTTGGAATCGAAAGTTGAAGATGTCGAGAATGGGGTGGCAGACTTTGAGCGCCAGGTCCTCCAGATTGAAGCGAGAGCAGAAGAGCTTGATGGACCGGGCGAGGCGAAGGTTTCCTGGGTAGGGTGGTTTCTGGGGATGGTGAACGTGTAACCCTCTTCGGTTTGATCTCGCATTGCATGATACCCTCGGCGTACTGCATACCTAGCGTTGATCCAGCAGGTCTAGTAATACAATATATATGTACATATCGTGTAGTGAAGATCCTGCCGTGACAATGCAGTTTCCAACCCCTACCATCGTTCCCGAACAAGATAACCTTATGCTGTCACCACCATGAGCAAGAGCACCATCCCATCAACGCTCAACGACTCCCTCCCTCCCACACCCTCAGCACCTCCAGACCCTCTCTCTCAACGACCATATTCCCCACCCTCCCCGCATCCCCACCCTCTCACATCCCAAACCCCCCCATCCCACCCCCACCCGCGCCCCCCTTCTGCGCGGCCTCGCCCTGCATCTTCTCGCTGACCTTGAGGTTGACCTCGAAGAACTTGCTCACGCAGCGGTCCAGGCACACGCTCTCGCCCTTGTTGAGGTCCGGCTCGCGGTACTCGGGCGGGATGCACTTGGCCGTGCAGGACTGGGAGAGTCTGTTTTGCACAAGGCAGGCGTGGGTGGTTAGCTCTCGGAAACCCGTCGTTGTTGTTGGGGTTGGGGGGGGTGTTTCAAGGGGGAAGGTAAGGTAAGGAAGGTACCTGTTGAACATGTCCGACACCATTTCGACCTCGGTTTCCGCGGCGGCGATCTTCTCGGCGGAGGAGAGCTGGGGTCGGCCGCCGAAGAGGAAGGACATTTTTGAGAGGAGGGGGGACGTGTGAGCCGGCTTCGTGGATAACCGTGGGGGGAAGGGTTTGTCTCGACAAAAGGGTTGTTGTTCGAGGAGAAGTGCTGAGCTTTCAAGCTCGCGTTACTGGCGAAGAAACTTCATCCAGCCCTACCAGTATCGAGTCTTGGCCGCCCAGAAGACTAGCATTTGACTAGTGTAGATCATAGGGTTAGGGCTTGTACGCAGTGGAAAAAGTAAACCGTTCGTACACTTTGAATACTACCACTACTCCTTTCAGCCTTGATGATATCTACAAACGTATAATTGTGGATGTTGTTGTCTGGGGGGCAGGCTGAACGGTGACGGCGACCAGTAGATCCGATGCTATGGGAAGTCCTCGACTGACCAGAACCAAACGGCGTTCAGGCAAACCTCGACTAAAATGACGCCTTCTAGCCTTTTCCGTTTCCAGTGGACGAGAGGTAGAGAAAGGCTTTTTTGACAGCTGGTGATTAGGTAATAGAACTAGAGACACTCGAAGGGTTCTTTGATATCGCTAATGTGTGCAAACCTTGCCAAAGTAGGTCAAAGGCGCGAGTTCTTCTCGGCATTACATGTTGGATTTCATGGATGTTTGCATAGATGGCCGAGTGGTAGTGCTGTTCTTGCTCTCTCCATGGAAGCGTTGCACGTATCCGAGACACCCTAAAGTACACAAGGTGGTTAGTTCCAATTCGGAGAGACAGTGGGCGGCCCTGGCGTGTAGGGGCTCTTTTGAGGCGTTTGAGTTGTCAGGATGAGTTGCCCGATTCTATCATTCTAGTGCCATCTTCAGAGAAGGTAATAGAGGAAAGCGTGACAATCTAGGCAATGATGAAGAAATTGATATCCGCATAGAGTAATGTCAGTGTCCAGCTAGTGGCCTTGATCGAGGCGTGGATTGCGGGGAAGCAGATGGAACGTCGAAGCCTCCGTGCGAACTCACTTCGCGGACAGAACATCATGGAGACCTCGGTAGAAAGATGAACACATAAGCCAACAGAAGCAAGGAAAAAGGCAACATGGTAGCAGCCAAGCTAAAATGACACGGGTTCACAGAATGATCGATCTTGTTCACGTCGGATCAGGCCAGATTCCAAAGCGGTAAACGAGGGGGTCAGAGCCAGTGACTTACAAAGAGACAGCAAGCGGAGATAGTTCAGGAACAACGAGTATGTACAGATGCCTCTGACGTGGTAAGGATAAGGGTAAGGCTACTTGTGAAAGTCAATGGATCGAGGTGTCAGGACTCAGGTACCTACCGTATTTGCCTGGATCAAATAGAGATGTGCCATAGGTAGACCATGGTCGTTGGACGGTTGAAGCTACCTTATGTTGTACAAGTCAGACTGATTGCCGAAAGCCAGTCGATTCTTGGCCCTTGGCCATCTTCTTTCTTGCATAGTATGATGGCACTATTATTGTTTACTGTGTTGTGTTAAACCGAAGAGCCAAGCGCTCATGCGTGGATCTGATCATAGGATCATTGAGGCTCCAGGGTCCAGAGCGACGATCATAAAGCTCGTGTGATGATAGGGCGGCGGTCATCCTAGACCTCATTGGGGGTACGAGTAAGATACATCTCAGGTGTCTTGGCATGAAAAGTCTACTGTAGACAATGTCTTATTCCCACTTCCACATTGCACATCATAGTCGATAAACCAGGATCGGAGCTTGAACCAGGGTAAGTTTGCTTTCTAACAGTCTCGTTCATTTCAAGGTCCGTCAAAGGAAGAAGAATATATAACAAGAACCGTTGCGAATGACACTCATTCTTCGAGTGGATGGTCAAAAAGTCCTAGTTGTCTGATACGAATGGAAGCATCGGTCTTGCAGATTCATGAGATGGCGTTTTCACTGGCTGATATGCAGTAGCATGAGAACTTCGCTGAGATGCCTTGGTCCTGCTCTCCGCCCTTACGCTCGTCCAACAGCCCGAGCAGCCCACCTCCGCTTCTACAGCACCGAACAGGCTCAACTGGTTCCACGAGTACGAACGTCGAGCGGTGGTGACAGGGCTAAATGGCAGCACGAAGAACAGTATCCGCGCATAAAAAAGCAGGACACCGTCCTAGACTACCATACGTTCAAAGAGCGGTACAAGGATCTGCGTCCAGGAGAATTCAAGCCTGACGATGAAGTGGTCGTGCGTGGTATGACTGCATCCAGTTTTTAAGTGGATTTGGCTCATGCTCTCAAGGAAGAATATGGTCGTTTCGGGTTGCAGGCTCAAAGCTGGCATTCCTTGACTTGTTCCAAAACAATCGGTCTCTCCAATTGAACAGCCATCGATTACAATGCGTGCTTGACTTCACCCATATAGCCCACTCTATTATCAAAGCCGCAGACTTCAAGGATTTCCTGAACCAGCTTCACCGAGGGGACATCTATAGTGAGCTGGCACCGACGTTTTGACTAAGCAATGTCTAATATCTATAAGGTGTCAAGGGGATCCCGCATAGGACTCCAAGAAATGACTTGTCTGTACTAGCGACAGACATACCCCAGCTCCTCTCGCCTTGCACACAATCTCTTCCTGCATTCTTGTTGGACAAGGAAACAAAGATCCGTAACCGGCATGTGGACTTGCTTCTGAACCCGCAATTAGCAGATATCGTTCAGCTTCGATCAGAGATTACGAAGTTTCTTCGTCAATGGCTGTTAGATGAAGGGCACACCGAAGTACAGACTCCGATATTGGCTGACGCAGCCGGAGGTGCTGTTGCGAGACCGTTTCACACGTCTGCGACTGAGTTTCAGGATCGTCAAATTGCACTTCGTATAGCACCTGAGTTGTGGCTGAAAAGACTGATCGTGGGAGGGTTTGAGAGGGTATTTGAAATTGGTCCATCGTTTCGCAATGAAGGTAAACACTCTTGCTCGATGAATCTGGATAATACTGATAATTCCCCAGGTATCGATCTCAGCCACAACCCCGAATTCACCACCTGCGAATTCTACAGGAGCTACGCAGATATAGAAGAACTAATCAACACGACTGAGCGTATGTTTCTTGGGCTATCCAGAGTCGTCACTTCTGTCGTTCACTCCGACTGCCGAGCGCTGATCCCGCCTAAAATTGATTTCAGTCCACCATTGCCACGCCTGGACTTTATTCCAGCCATCGAGGCAGCAACCGGCAAGCAACTGCCAGAACTAACATGGCCGGACGCCCAGGCTCAACTACTCCTGCTGTTCAACGAGTGCGACATTCCTCTTCCGTCTCTCCCAACCTTACCACGCCTTCTGGACAGACTGTCCGCAAAATATCTCGAGCCGCAGTGCTTCGGCCCAACATGGATCATCAACCACCCGGAATGCCTCTCTCCACTTTCAAAGTCCTTCATGCACCCAGATAACCAACAGCGCGTTTCAGCTCGAGCAGAGCTCTTTGTTAGGAACACCGAGCTGGTCAACTGCTATGAGGAAGAGAATTCGCCCATCGAGCAGCGGCGCAAGCTTGAGAACCAATTGCAATACCATGAGGAAGACCCCAAGGCTGGAATCGACGAGGACTACCTGCAGGCGCTTGAGTGGGGGCTGCCTCCTACCGGAGGCTGGGGTTGCGGTATCGACAGGCTGTGTATGCTCTTCTCTGGAACTAACAGGATTGCTGACGTACTTTCGTTTGGGACGCTCAGGAATGTTGTTGCGTTGGGCAGGGTTAGCAAAAGGCCGTGATTGATGCATGGCCGATGCTCTCGTGAGCAGGTGAGCCTTGGGATCAACATCTCTCAGCTATGCTTTTCAGAAAGCCTACCACAGCCTGCCGGCCCTTCGTCTTGTTCATAATCTCGTGATGCAAGGCCCCCTCTACTGCCACGCGCTGCACGTCCATTTCGCCATCCTTGTACACCTCTTCCAGCTCGGCACCGTGCGTCTCTGGTACTAACTCGTCATGGCCGGCTGGCAAAATGAGCACTGTGGGCTTCGCGTTGGACTTCGCTATGCGAAGCAAAGCTTGTCTGCTGTTCCAATGGTTCCACAAGAAAGGATGAAAATAGCGGTATCGCAGCCATGTCTGCGGGCAAATAGCAGTAAGCACACAGCGGATGGATGTGAAAGGGGTCTCCAGCACCAGACCAATGACCTTCAAGCCCTCCGTCTCTTCTTTCAAAGTCACTGCAGATTCGGACTTGCGGCTTTGGTCTGTTCTGTAATTGTGCAGCTACCGCATTAGCAGCAACCTTAGCGCCGAGACTTTGGCCCTACAATACCAATTTTGAGTCTGATTGGTATCTTTGCGAGACCCATTTCAACGCGGCCGCTGCGTCAAGAGCGATTCCACTTTCAGAAAGGCGGCCTCGCGAGGTCCAGAAACCACTACATGAAAGGGCTACGATGGTGTACAAAGGGGGATCCGTTGTGGGCGAGCAGGCGTACAGTCCCTTAAGGACCAGCAAGAGGCCTGGTAAGCGAGGCGGCAACGAAAAGCCATCGCTGCTCGCAGCACGACATTAGCGATAGCTGCACATACTCCTGCGCGTATATACCCCTGAAAAACCAAACAAGGCGCAGATGTAGACCGTGAGTCATAAAACTGAAGCAGGACATGCAGTAAACATGTCTCTTCCAAACCAAACCCCAACAAACATCCCACAGCAGCAGCAGCACCCCACCCAAACACCACCACCTTCACAACCCGTAGACAAAGAGCCGCCACACAACCCCGTCTAACAACCCCGCGCTGCGTCTCCGACCCGTCGATCCAGCAATCGATACCGTCCGTAGCAATGGCGCCGGATATAAATCTCCTATCTCTCAAACGCGCCCGCGAGCGGAAGGGAGAGCGGGATTGGTTTGTGGATTCACGGTTTTTTCTCTGATTGAAGAAATCGTATTGGGGTTGTCGTGGGAGGGTACGGTGGGGGAGGGGTTTTTTGTGAGGTGGGATGTAGCTCTTCTATCTGGCTATATTGATATACTTATGTGGATTAATGCCTTTGTATTGCCAATTTGCATGGGTTTGTTCCCGGTATTTCTCTAGATACTAGGGGGGAAAGGTATGAGGATATGATATATGCGAGGGCATGCTGCCGCTGTTTCTCCGAATACTAGGGGGAATAGATATGAGGATGTTAGATATTTAAGGGTATGCTCCCGTCGTTTCTCCGAATACTAGGGGAATTACCATAAGGATATAATATACTTAAGAGCATACTGCCGCTGTTTCTTCAAATACTAGAGGAAATAGGTATGAGGATGTCAGATATTTAAGGGCATGCTGCCGCTGTTTCTCCGAATACTACGGGGAAATAGATATGAGAATATCAGATATTCAAGGGCATGCTCCCGCCGTTTCTCCGAATACTAGGGGGAAATAGGTATGAGGATGTCAGATATTCAAGGGCATGCTCCCGCCGTTTCTCCGAATGGTAGGGGAATAGACATTGAAACACGATATATTCATGGGCATGCTCCCGCTATCTCTTCAGATACCGCGGGGAAATAGCCATTGAAATACGATATATTTCAGCCTTGAGAGATTAAACAGAATCAGTAATGGCATATTGGAAGGGGATGCTGCCATTATTTTTCAACAAGTGTAGGGCGCTATCGGAGAACAATGGAGAGGAATTTAGGGTTACGGCACGCTGTAACGTGCCGCCGCGTGGGGAGCAGCCCCTTTATGCGCCACATCTCTGTGTGTGAACCCAACCAGAACTGGCACCCTTTCAAGGTAGCTTCCCCCCAGTACTTCTCCTCCTCTAGATATGTGAGCTTAAACGTGGTGAACAAATTAGGCGCGTTACCTAAAGGGGTAACGCGTTTCGGATATACCCGCCTAAACTCGAGCGTCCTTTAGTACCCTTACTTTCTCATTTCGTTTATAATTATTACTCGTCTTTAACAACTGACCACGTCGAACGGCAGCTTCGACCGGAGAAGAACCTCGAAAACGGTTGTCGACGTACCATACTCACTCACTTTCGACGGAACACACGGGCGTTGAGCCATCAAAAGTACGTATTCCGTGGGTAAACAGACCAGTTCAACAAGGGTGCTGAGGTGAGTGAAAACGAAACGGTCTGACTTCTCACAGCCATGCGTCCTCTGCCACCAGCACCGGACCTACCCGACTTAGCCGAAGTCCTTTATAAAGCCACCGTTGAAGGTGTTAAGCAGGGTATCGCCTGGATAAAGAAGGATAAGGGTAAGCATAGCTTCGTTGCTGAGTTAGATTTCTTCGGTCTGATGCCCTTTGTGTTACTTAGAAGAAGAAGAGAGCCGCTTAAAGATTAAATGTGAACGAGATCAATCACCGGAAAGTCTGTTCGTTACGCAGGACACGAATGCTCAGACGGACACTCATGTCGCCGTAACCACACTCTCCTCTGGTCCCTTTGCAGGCTTACGTTCAGCGAAGAAGCGTGTTCGTGAGCATGCCAGCCTAGAGCAAGAATCCAAGGATAGCTTTGGCCCAGCAAGGAAGGTAGTCAAGAAAGCTGCTGTCCGTGAGAATGTCGACTCAGATGAAGGGTCAAAGGCTAGCTTCGGTCCAGCAAAGAAGGTAGTCAAACAGGGTGGTGTCCTCAAGAACGTGTAAGTTCCTTCAGAGAGCATCAATCAAACGTGACTAACCCGTGTCGTCAGTCAAACGATCAACTCGCGCACTACGGACCAGGGTCCGGAATGGTACGATAGCGTCGATCCAAAGCAAACCTACTCGCGCGGAGACATGCAGAATTTGAAGTATCTGTATACGCTTGTCAACAACGCGAAGAAAGACGCAGCGGACGGCAAAGACATGACGCAAAGTCTTGGGAGAATCCGACAGCGACTTCAGCAGATGGAGTTCTACACCTCTCTTTCCCCAATCCTCGTCAAAAAGTCGGGCCTGCTAGACGACGGAGGCCTGCACCTGATCTTTGAAAATCGTGTTCAAGGTGTCTATTTTCCTCATGACATTCGCGCGGACGCGGACATCCTCTTTCGAAAATGGATGGGTGGACAGATTGACCCTCATCTGTTTCGAGGCATCGTGACAAAGACTGGGACAGCGAAAGAAGAGAGAGGCTTCAAATCCCACAGTATTGACCCGAATTTCGCGGGGAAGATCTCAAGCAATTACGTCGGAACTGGAAATCTGGTCAACGGGCAGTGGTGGCCTTTGCAGCTGTGTGCTAAGCGCGATGGTGCGCACGGAGAGAGGGAAGCGGGCATACATGGCCAGGTATGACACCCACGCAACATTCATGCAGCACTCACTGACACTCTCAACAGAAGGGGAAGGGGGCTTACTCGGTTGTCGTCAGTGGTGGTGGATACGCCAATGTGGACAACGGCGATTCGATCAAATACTGCGGTACGCAAGGCACCGAAGACTCGCCATCGGCAGGAACGAACTTGATGCTCAAAGCACACGAGAATCAGCAATCGCTTCGTGTACTCAGATCAGCCTCACTGCCGGCCAGTAACCCATACCGTCCTGCCCGCGGCATCCGCTACGATGGCCTATACCGCATCATCAGCTACGAGGTTCTAGACCAACAGACGGCTATGTACCGCTTTTCTCTGTCGCGTATTGGGGGACAGGATCCGATCCGGAACAGTGGTGAGGGTATCGTCCCATCAAATGCACAGATTCTTGAGCTCAACAAGATTCGTGAGCAGATAGATTGATGCGGAACATCCCCGTCGAATAGCGACTTGCAATGGCGGACATGAGCATAGATTTCTTTTCTTTTCTTTACTTTTCTTTTCTTTTCTTTACTTTTCCAGCATACATAGGCATGATACGGGAGAAGTGGCGGGTTTGTGCGGGGATCCCCGGCAAACATGACGACTCATGGCGGAAACATTACATAGGTTTCCTTCTGTTCTAGCATAGATACCCAATCAAATGAGCTGAACTTATCGGACTGTTCCCCATGAATTGACATGCTGCAAGGTTCAATGTTGTCACAATATGGTCGGATGTATGGGGATCTTACGCCAAGATGATGGCGATTCCACGTTCCCTATGATCAAGAGTAACAGAAATTACGGGGATGTTACCCTAATGTAACGGCCATTTCTCATTTCTAAAGCTCAGTCATATCTTAGAATATTCACAAAAATGGGGATGTTCCCCGTCAAAAAAGTCACACATATGGGGATCTTCCCGCAGAATGGCAGCGATTATACGCTCCTCGAAGCTTGAACAAGGTTAGGTATACGGGGTTGCTCCCCGTACAAGAACCGCTCGCACGGTCTGGTAACCCCCAGAACATGGTGTTGATCGTGGGATTTAACCTCTTTCCTGTCACGTGATAGCGGTAAAGAACCCTGCCTTGCTCCGATTTCGATGGCAAAATCCCTCCAGACTTGACCACTTGGTTCCTGACTAGCACGATAGCGTTGGCTAACAGCTAGGTTAGTAGCCCGTCAAGGTGCAAGGGATGTCGAGCTCCCTGCGTTAGTATGTACAAGCATTGAAGCTCTTCTGTCCGTCAAAGCGTTGAAATGTTAAGCGTTTACCCCACGTTTGTGTTGGGTCTGTCTGTCTGTCTGTCTGTCTGTCATTCATTGTTCTACTCTTGGAAGAAGGGAAGGGAAGAGAAGCAGGCATCCACTGCCATCATCCTGAGGCAGAGTTGTCGGCCGTTTTTACTGTGGCTGCGGTCCAGGTGCAAAGAAAAAGAGCTAGATGCTGGGGCGAGAGCTTTACCAATTTACCGGAACCGCTTCCCCGCAGAGGATAGCTTGCAAAAAAGGGCTTAGCAAGTGAAACAGGAGAGCAGGACCCTTGCTTTGAATGAAAGATAGCAAGCAAAGCTCCCTGCATGAGATGAAAAATTTGCTAGAATTTGCTTTGCTCGCTTCCATATCCGTCTTGGTCCAGGAGTCACCTGATTACGCGGTCCTCCGGTCCACTCTACGCGTGTCCAATGAAAAAGTCGCGTCGAACTCGGTGCCTGTTGCGCCAGATGTATAAGTTTCTCATCCCCCCTCTATCTTTCAAAAAATGCTACGAGTCTCCAGATGCCTGGTTGATGCCTCATACATGAAGAGGCATTTTCAATTTGCTCCGCCATCCGTCAATGCTCCCACATTAATACATAGCACCCCCGACCGGGCAAAGCTTCGTTTCTGAAGCCTTGTGCAGACCAGAAGCTCATCATGTTTGCCCGGCGGACGCACCACAATGACAGCTTCTCTAAGCATCGTGCCAGCAAATCTATTTCCACGAGCAAACAGAAGCGGTCCTTCCGAGACCATGCCGCAGCTGCGAAGAAGATGGAGAGGTCCAGGAAGCCTGAGAACCCACCTCAGGGAAGGTACCCAGCTCCAGACTTCGAGCCTGCATCTCCGCTACCCTACTGACCATCATTCCATTCCAGCACCCTGACCTCACCAATCGTCACCCTCTGCGTCGGCGTGGAGCAACGTCTCTTCGCCGCCCACCAAGACATCCTCTCCACCTCCCCCTTCTTCGCCGCCATCTGCCGCGGCCAGTTCCTCGAGTCCAGCACCAAACGAGTCAACCTCCCCGAAGAACTCCCCGAGGTCTTCTCCTCCGTCCTCGAATACCTCTACAAGGGCGACTACTACCCTCGCCTGCTGCACAACAAGCGCCGAAATGCGTGGGAGCTCGAAGAGACGGCGGCGAGCGGTTCGGAAGCGACCGTCTACCACATGGGATGCGGGCAGATGCTGCTGAAGGACACCCTGGTGTACTGCACGGCCGAACGTTACGGCTTGGACGAGCTCAAGAGGTTGGCTCTGCGCAAGCAAGGCCTACAATCCGGCATCCAGTGCAGCACCATCCTCTCGAGCGCGAGGTACGCGTACGCCAACACGCCGGAGAGTGACTCGAAGCTGCGGGCGCACTACCTGGCCCTGGTCATCCGCAGCAGGGCTACGTTCAAGAGGAGCGGCACCATGCAGATGGAGATGGAGGCTGGAGGCTTGCTGTGAGTCGATGCCGCAGTCTACCACCTGCGACAGCCCGCAGTATCTGACCCGTGCCTTCGACGCAGGTTCTTCGACTTGTTCGTCGCCATGGCTAATCATATCGTACGTGACTCACTTTCCCTTCCCGCTGCATGACCGAGCACGCAACAGGTGACGGCCAGCCTTGGCTGACGTGTGTCTCTCCGCCTAGGACGACATCGCGATCATCACCAAGTCACCGCGTACACCGCACTCGGCTCGCTAGCCTGTTCGACCACGTTTTCTTCGCAACTCGGCTATATCAAATCTAGAATGTCTGGCTCCCCCCATCTCGACTCTTTCGGAATAGAATATTCCTTACTGTCCATTTCTCTCTGTCCTTACATCTGCTGAGCGTATTACACATGTATACTTAGACCCTTTTCGTGGAAGAAGCCTGGCGTACTGTACTGGGACGGGTGGCTGTATATCATCCTGCTCTGCATCCGTGGCCGCCGAACCATTCATTGGCTGGCACTTTTATTTTTTGGGTTGGGAGAGTGATTTGAAATCACGTTACGGCTGCACTTCTTTTCCAAGACTTCTCTTCCTCGGACAGATACCGAGAGCTAAGTAGGTACCTAGCTAAGCTACCACTCAGCCCATCCAAAAACCGAAATCAAAGCTTCAATATTGGCTGCGTGACCACCCACGGCTGTAGAACGGCGCAACTGCTGCCTCCAACCCCTTTTCAGCCCGTTGCCCCCGAAAAAAAATGTTCATGCAATCGTGACTCACAGCGGCAGCGTATCTGCACGGTCCGTCTTAGTCCGGAACCCCGAAGAAAAGTTTCACCGAGAGGAGTCTGCCGCACCAACAGAGCGCAGGGTTGGCCTGCTCGGATGTTTTCGCTTCGGCTAACGCTATGGGGGTGCGCAGGGGGGGGATTGACTCATGGTGACGTGGCGAGTCATGTCGCCTGGTTTCGGTGATTCGGTGGACCGCGGCAGGCAGCAAACGGGGGGGGGATGCCTTGGTGCCTTGTTCTAGCGAACGAGGGGTCGTGTCACATCGCTTGAACCGGCCGGACCTTGGGATTTTGATCGAGGCGGCATCGTGGTGGAAGTCGGAAGGCGGAGGAGGGGTTGTGCGGTGGTGGTGGTGGTGCGAAGGGCTCAGATGCCGGTGCCGGGGAAGGCTCCGTTCTTGGAGAGGACGACGATGCCACGCTCGCGGGAGATGTAGCCTTTCATTAGATTCTGTGGACGTACGTCAGAACATACATGAGTGTCGGGAGTGGAGGGGAAAAGAGATGTTTACCTTGTATATCATGTTCGCAACCAAGCATTCCACCTCATCGTTGTTCTCCCCTGCCGATCCATCCATCTCCACATCCATACCCTCCCCGCTCGCCCCAGACTCACCCAACCTGATGGCCGCGGCGAAGTCTTTGACATAGATTCTCGTGTTCCTCTTCCCTTCTTCGTCCAGATCCCCAGCCAGATAAACCTTCCTGAGTAAGTTCCTCAGACAGATATCCCTTCCTCGCTCTAAGGTGAGGTAGATACGCCGTTTGACAAACTCATGCTCCCCTTCTGCAAGAGCGGTGTCGAAAGCTGAGAGCGAGCCGATGCGGATGGCCAGGGTCAGGGGAGCGAAGAGAGAGCCAAGGGACGGGTAGAGTGATAGAAGGCGGGACGAGGGGAGCTGTTGGCGGGTCAGGAGAAGGGTGGGGATCAGGTAGGTGAGGATGAGCTCTATATTGCGAGTGGCAGACCTATGGCACATGTGCCAGGCTGAGGTGAGGTTTTCTTCTGCCTGAGCGTAATCTTCCTCGAGGAACTGGATAACGCCAACATAGTATTTGAAGGTAACGATGTGGGACCTGGGAAAGGCTTCGAGTGTTGGCGTGTCCGTTTTCGAAGCTGACAGGGCGCGCAAGATGTTTTTGGAGAGGCCGATGGAATTGAGCTTGAAGTAGGTTTTGAACAGGAGATTGGTGGTGTAGTAGAGGCCCCATTTTCTTGATTCTTCTAACGGTGCTCTAGATATAGCAGACTTAGCGAGTGTCCTCTGGTAAATGCGGTATCGAGGTTTCTTCTATTGCTACATACCTATCACTAATGCACAATGTAAACATCCGATTGATCACCCGCGCAGCATCTTCTAGCTTTTCGTTCTTTCCAAAGTCGCCTGCAATATCCTCCTGCAAGCCTCCTGCGTTGAAACTGGTGTCACCCCCACTAGCTCTAGCATTTTCGTCTGCTTTGATTGCAAAGGCTCGAAGATGTTTGCCAGCAGTATACAGTACAGGCAACGTCCAAGCTTCCAATACACCGCCGCTGTATCCCTTGATCACGGTATTCGCAACGTCTTTCCACGCCTCGTAGACTTTAGTCCAGTCGGGCTTCGTTGTTGGGTGTTCTGCCGCAAGTATCGCTCCAATGGCATACCAGTATGCTGAGTAAATCTCGGTCCAACTGTTTATTTCCGGATTTGGGTACTGGATCGCTGCATTGGCGGTTTTCGTGAGGCTGTAACTGATGTCTCTGCTGATCGAGGCAGCATTAGTGTCACCATAGATTGCGTCGAGGCGGTTCAGATAATTCGGAGGTGCAATGGGAGAAATCGTAGCTGCTAGCAGTGGGCCTGATCCTTCTTGGTTGGCGTGCCAGTATTCCCTACATAAGACCTCCATGGCGGTCTCTTTTGACGCAGTCTTGTAGGGCCACGATCATATCATAACCTCTTGTGAACCATCAAGCGAGTGAAAGACTACCGAACCGCCGTTATGCGTGTGGTGAGTTTGTAGAGGAGGAATGCCAAATCGCGAGTCGTAAACCTCGGACTGATAGGGCTGAAATTAGCGCGCCTCGCTAAATCCAAGCGCACCGAAATCACCACCAGCTACGAAAATCACCTCCGACATTGACAACTTTAAGAGTCCCTCGCTAGAACGATCACAGTGAGTAGAGTCTATATGCCTCTTGGATCTCCCTACTGACGAAGGCAGATGGGTAAGCTTCCTCTCAATCCCTCATGCTCCGCCCTGAAACTCCGCTCTCCCTCGGCCTCCTCCAGATCACCTGGGACATAGCATGCACCTTCGGCGATACGAAGGTGCCGGGAAAGAGAAGCCTTTTTCTCAACGAGAATTCAAAAGCGTGTAGCCTACAGGTTACAAGGCGCTGCCACGGAAACGGCTACCGAACTCAAGATGCGGGGAGTGCGAACAATGCACTTGAGGACTTGTTGAGGTCTTGTGCGATCTGGGTGCTAATTGAGTGGGGTGCAGGGCGCCTCAACGAATACCAAGTCATCGGGCGTCATCTGCCAACAGATACAAATGCAACGCCAAAGCTCTACCGCATGAGAATATTCGCACCAAATACAGTCGTCGCTAGATCGAGGTTCTGGTACTTTTTGATGAAATTGAGGAAGGTCAAGAAGTCAAATGGCGAGATCATCACCATCAACCTGGTATGGACCCTGCAGCAGTTCAATGCCGAGGAGAAAGCGATAGCGGAGGGTTGCGAGAATTAGCAGAGCATGAGCTGATGAAGGTGGATATGATTAGATACACGAAAGACGCCCTACCAAGGTCAAGAATTTTGGCATCTGGATCCGCTACGACTCGCGCTCAGGCACCCACAACATGTACAAGGAGTATCGGGAGATGTCGAGGACAGAGGCAGTGGATGCACTCTACCAAGACATGGCCGCAAGACACAGAGCTCGCTTTAGGTCAATCCATGTATGGCAGCACTCCTCTCCCAAAGCACCTCTTCAGCGTACTAATATGCTGGGGAACACAGATCCTCAAAGTCGTCGAGCTTGAGAAGACCGACGATGTGAAGCGCCCTTACATCAAACAACTGCTCTCCAAGAACCTCAAATTCCCTCTTCCTCACCGTGTGCCCAAGGCCACCAGCAAGGCTCTGTTCGCCGCTCACCGACCTGCCACGTTTGCTTAGACGAAGGTCAGAAGGTGGAGGAGATGGTCAGGCCTAGTGGGAAAACAAAATGCTGCACCAGAAGACGTCGAGATGGATGTGTTGCTTCATTAGCAGGCATAAGTAGCATCGATAGCTTGATCATAGCCACTGACAAATGCGAATCAAATCAAAGTTTACTCCATGTTCATACCACCAATTCAGTGAGCCAAATTAGGTATTTCGGAATGCGGTGGCTCAGTCGTATGATCATCCGGCCTCATGTCTATGCTAAACCTGAAGAGTGTCCTCCTTCACTGTGCAAACCATTCTAGGAACAACATTGAAGTCTTGGCCGCAAACGAAGGCGTAAACCTGCCCTCAGCTCAGTACAATGCTCACCCGAGGATGCCGCTTGTAGGGTGCGTGATGCAGTGAGATTGGCCTGCGGAGGAAGAATGGCTGCCATGGCTGAGCCAAAGTTTGCAGCCTTGGCCAAAACAACGCTGTGTGTGAAGTCTGGTGAAGTCAGAGTGATCCTGGCAGCTGAAGAGGACAGAATCTACTCCAATCTTTCCAAGAAGTAGGAGCTCACGCGCCGCGAGTTGGGTGGGTGTGTTGTATTATTGTGTTATGGCTTTGATTGATCTGAGTAGAAGACTTTTCCAGTTTATACACCAATTCTAGAAGGGGGGCGATTGGCGCTTCTTCTCCCCAGATTTCAGCCTTACGACCTGCACTACGTTAGCGCCTCCTGCGAAATCAACGAAATCGCTGTCCTTTTCAACTTCTGCACGATTTTCACCAATCTTCATTGAATCACAATCGCTGCACCACCCTTCGACTGGCGATACTCCTCTAAGTAACACTCATACACTTGCAGCGATTATTGCCGAAGTGGACCGGCTCTCCACCTTTTCATAATGGTATGTCTACAGCTCGCGCCGGCATCCTAACCCTCTCAACCAATGCATTTCAGATTGCTCCAATTATTTGTATTTTCTTGCCTAGTATTCTGCTCCGTACTCTTTTGACGTGACTACCGGATGCTCCTATGCGTTTTAGAGAGTCATCGTTCATCTGCAAGAGTCATGGCTAATACTCCTTTAGTCTTCACCACGCCCATCCTCTCCCACCTCTCCCCCAGCTTCCGCAGGCGTGAGCAGCGGACGAAACTTATCACCACCTGGCGGACCTAAGACTGCCATAAGAAGAAAAGCGGCGGCGGACAGAGCCGATAAAGTTGCGAATGCGAGGCCGACGAGCACAAGGGCGGCAGGGGCTGGAGGAAGCTCCAGTACTATGCTACGTATGTTTATACCTCACGCTGTGTAGTTATGGAGGGTGTGAGGATGCTCGCGCGTCGGACGATCTACTTATGACGAAGTTGAAGGTCATCACGATGTGGAGTGAAAGAGCTTTCTAGCCATGTGCATTGATTGTTGTTGCGGGATTCGGCCCATTGGAATATGAGAGCTGATGAGTTATATCTCTAATCTAGGATTATACACCGATGAGTCCCCTGGACTCAAGGTGGACCCGGTAGTAGTGCTTGTGCTTTCCCTGGGGTTCATCTTCAGCGTTGTCGCCTTACATAGTATGTACAATCCTCCCATTGTGCTTTGGTCGCAGACAAAAGCTTATCGCTTGATCGGAATTGTGCTAACACTCCGATCACAGTCATCGCCAAGGTCACTCGAAAATTCTCATCGTAGGCAGGCTGGCGTTCCTGGGGGTCAGGTCATCTTGGCAAGAGGGCCCACTGAGCGGTGTGGTCTGTGCAAATCCACTGGAGCATGCGACACTACGCGATGGATGAAGTGGCACTGCACCCATGGCTACAGTGGGAGAGCTGGAATCGTCTACAAAAGTGACCGGCTAGAATGGGAAAAGCGGGAGAAGACCTGTAATACTATTGTATACTAGATACCCCAATACCGATGTCTAGATTTCGAATTAGCTTAAAACACAATGCGCTCTCGAGTTTGAGAAATAGTCCACTGCTGTTATTCTACGTGTTGGTTTGCCATTTGCCTTGGCATCGAATAGAAACAGAAATCTGCGCTGGCACCGGAGTTCCAACGCAACAGCAGCACTACTAAGCACAGAGGCAGCCGCTTTTAGCGTGGGAAGCCGGATTGGATTTTTGGAAGGGTGGATGTTACCACACGTACCTTGATGGGCTACTCTACACTAGACTTACCCTTACACTCAATTGATTGCCCAGTCCTGTGATCTTGGGAATGACTTCGAGGTGGTGCATTGGACATACAAACAGCGTCCCGCCCATCTTAACTCCCTGCGGACAAATTGAGAAGAACCCTGGAGCGTTCAAAGAAGTCTCCGCGAACCAATAGTGTTGGGTTCAACTTTATTTCACGTAGCAAAGCTTCGCAACACAACAGCTCGCTTGCCTTTTTGTTTTACTGCTGAACCTCGTCAATCTACCAAAGATGGACACTTCTCCAAACGCACCCACAGATCCCCCGTCCCTCACTAACGGTACAACCCTTCAAGACAGTAAGGGTTGGGATGGCAAGCTTCGAGTGGATCGAAGAGCTGTAATTACCAATGCGGAGATTCTTTCAGATCCAGAATACTCAGACGAGGATGCTCCTCCAGTAGAGCAGATCGTCGCAGACGAGGGTAAATAAGTCTCTGTTTACTCTGCGTTTCTGCTGACTGGAGTTTGCGGTAGACTTGCTCGAAGACTATGAGCCCGATGCTGATGTATGCTAATGCTGCTTTTTGTCATTGTCTTCTTATACGCGCTGACATACTACTGTACCAAGGACATCGATCTCGTTCACTGCCGCGTCTCCGCAATCGAGGCCCTCCATCTTGAACGCTTCAACAAAGTCGAGGTACGACCTGACCGGCAGCCAATGTGGTACAAAAGAGGCAGTAAGAAGCTAAGGCCCGACAGAAATTATGCCTCCGCCAGAACCAGATCTCGTACATCGAACTGCCACCAAACCTGGGCCCGACACTGCACGAAATAGACCTCTACGATAACGTGATATCACACATAAAGGGCTTAGAAAGCCTTGTACACCTTACAAGCTTAGACCTAAGCTTCAACAAGATCAAGCATATCAAGAATGTGGATCATCTCAAAGAGCTCAAGGACATCTACTTTGTGCAGAACAAGATCCAGAAGATTGAGGGACTTGATGGGTTGGCCAAGTTGAGGAATTTAGAATTGGCTGCGAATCGAATTAGGGTAGGGGAGCTGCCAGAAGTTTAGGGTTACCAAAGTTGATTGCGGTACAGGAGATGGAGAACCTGGATACGTTGACAGGTTTGGAAGAGCTTTGGTTGGGGAAGAACAAGATCACAGAACTCAAGGTAAGGTGCCTTCGTTGGATATGCGTGTTTCTTCTTTCATACCATGGCAGAACATATCCCATCTCAGCAACCTCAAGATACTCTCCATACAATCGAATCGCCTACCCAAAATGTCTGGCCTTTCCGCCCTTATCAACCTGGAAGAACTCTACATCTCCCACAATGCCTTGACTGAAATTTCTGGCCTGGAGGAAAACACCAACCTCCGAGTCCTCGACATCTCGAACAATCAAATCACTCATCTCACGAACTTGGAGAATCAAAAGCATTTAGAAGAGTTGTGGGCTTCCTCGAACCTAATCATATCGTTTGAAGAAGTGGAAAGGGAATTGGCAGACAAGAAGGAGTTGAATACGGTCTACTTCGAGATGAACCCTCTGCAGTTGAAGAACCCGGCTTTGTATAGAAACAAGATCCGACTGGCGTTACCGCAGATTCAGCAGATCGATGCAAGTACGTGAAGACGATTCCTGCTCGTCTCCACATCTCTCCAAGGACAAGTGCTGACGACTCGACAGCTTATGTACGAGTAACTTGATAGCTACGCAAACAATTCTGCATCGCATGGATTAGGGTTGACGGCGTTGCATCTCGGACAACAGGCAGGGCACTGTTATCCAATCGTTGTTGTTACTGACCCCTATTTGTTCTGTTGCATTTGACCAATAAGAGCCAACACCAGCCTTTACTATGCGATTCATAACATGCGCTTCCAAGCTGCATCTGTTTTTGCGTTGCCGGAAGCAAATGCCGTTTTATTTCTTGTATACTTTATGTTGATCACTTGATTTATCCATTTAGGCGCTCTCCGTTCCGTTTTGCCTAAAAATCATAAGACTGATTTCGGAAGTTACAAGCGTGCCTACATCTCGCCGACGTAATGCCAATTGTGTGGGGTTCATGTGGGGCAACCGCCCTTTTTCTTTCTCTCCACTTGAGTATTCTTCTTTGACTTGACGAGCAGATGAACATTATCAATCCCTTCACTCGGTATTTACTTACACTTGCCCTGCAGCTTTATACACAAGGAGTGCATCTGACAAATCTAATAGAACCACCTCAATTCTCTTCAAGCAACCATTGCCCATTACTTATAAGTTCAACTCATCAGTCCGTCTTCAAAGAGTTGCATTTAGATCATACGCCAGCATGACTTCTCCTACCGTCAAGCTCAACAGCGGCCACCAGATGCCCCTCGTTGGCTTTGGGTGAGTGGGCCATCTCATGTCGTTTCAGAAAGCATGCTCATCGTCTGCCCAGACTTTGGAAAGTCAACAATGACACCTGTGCCGATACTGTCTATAACGCCATCAAGTCTGGCTACCGTCTCTTTGATGGTGCATGTGGTAAGTCTCCGACGACTCGTTTTCCCACAAGCCTATCCAGCGATCCTCTCGCACTCGCATCCTAATTACTCCCAGACTACGGCAACGAACAAGAATCCGGCCAAGGCGTCGCCCGCGCCATCAAAGAAGGCATAGTCAAACGCTCCGACCTCTTCCTCGTCTCCAAGCTTTGGAACTCCTTCCACGACCACGACCGTGTCGAGCCCATCTGCAAAAAGCAACTCGAAGACTGGGGTATCGACTACTTCGATCTCTACATCGTCCATTTCCCCATCTCCCTCAAATACGTCGATCCTTCCGAGCGCTACCCTCCCGGCTTCACCTACGATGGCAAGAACGTCGTTCCCGGTAACGCTACCATCCAAGAGACTTGGACGGCCATGGAGAAGCTTGTGAGCAAGGGTATGGCCAAATCCATCGGCATCAGCAACTTCAACGGCCAGCTCCTCATGGATCTCCTCCGCTACGCCAAGATCCCTCCCGCGACCCTCCAAATCGAACATCACCCCTACCTCACCCAAGAAGGCCTCGTCAAATTTGCCCAAAGCCAAGGCATAGCCATCACAGCCTACTCATCCTTCGGTCCCCAATCCTTCCTCGAACTCGACATGCAGCGCGCCAAAGACACGCCTCTACTCATGGATAACGCAACGGTCAAGAAGACCGCCGAGAAGCATGGCAAGACGCCCGCGCAGGTACTATTGCGTTGGGCGACGCAGAGAGACGTGGCGGTCATCCCGAAGAGCAACAACCAGGGACGTCTGGCGCAGAACCTGGATGTTACGGGTTGGAATCTCGAGAAGAGTGAGGTGGAGAGCATTAGTGGGTTGGATAAGGGGTTGAGGTTTAACGATCCATTGAACTATGGGGTCCCGCAGCCTATCTATGTCTAAATGTCCGCTGTCGTAGGTAGACGTTCGCGATGATACGGATGCAGGTTGCTTCCGGTGTCTAAGCCTGTTTGCAAGGTGCATTGAGCTGTCATACTCGATGAAATATGGGTTCAGAAAACCCCGTTAGAATATCTTGTTTCCCAAGCAGCAAGAAGCACAGACCGCGGGCGTCCTCCCTTACAAGTCAAGTCAAGTCAAGTCGATATATATAGACATCTGAAATTCGAAATGAGAAAAGAAAGAAGCACTCCAGGCTCAACGACCAAAATATCCCACCGCCTAACCACTCACCCTACACCCTCACCCGCTCGCCCCCGACCAGAAACCCACCCGCTCAAGCCCACAGTCCCCCAAAGAACCCCCCCACCCCCCCACTCCAGCACGACTCCACTGCATCCCATCCCCATCCCATCCCATCCCATCCCATCCCATCCCTCGCCCCAACCGACCACACCACACCACACCACAAGAACCTTACCACCCCCCCCACCAATCCAATCCAAATCCAATCCAATCCAATCCAACCCAATCCAACCCACGCTCGAACCATCCCCGACACCCATCCACGTACCTACAACGCGCGCGAACCCCAACCCCCGAAGCCGTCGCAGGGGCAGGGGCAGGGGGCAGATCCGACCGGGATGTGGGGGATGGGCCCGGCGTGCGGTGACGGGACGGTTGGACCGGGTGGTTGATTGGAGGAGGAGGAGCCGCGGGGGGGAGGGGGAAGATGGGTTGGGTTGGGTAGGGTGGTGTTGGGCTTGATGGATGGGTGTATGGTGGATGGTGTATGTGGGTGAGGTTCGTCAGGAGTGAGAGGATGGTTTGGACGAGGGGGAGAAATGGATGGATGGATGGATGGATGGATGGATGGATGGATGGATGGATGGATGGATGGGATGGGATGGGTTGACGGACTAGACTCTGAGAAATCTTTGGGTTGGGGGGGGGGGGATATAAGGCCTTATGGTTGCGAGCGAAATCCCGCGTCGATGTCTGCCAGCGCGGCGGCGATGTCGGGTGGCGGTAGATCGGCCTTGGGGTCGTGGGGCGGAAGTGGGAAAAAGGCGTTTGTTCGTCATGGGTGTGGTGGGTGATGGGGTCGGTGGTAGTGAGGGGGGGGGGTTGTAATATTTTGGAGGAGGAAGAAGAAGAAGAAGAAAATTGCTAGAGCGGTGGCTTGTCGAGGGCGTGTGTATGTTTTTTGGAGGAAGAGGAAGAGGAAGAAGGAGAAAGGGAAGAATTGCTCTGTGAGTGAGTGAGCGAGGTAGAGTGCTGTGGTATGGAAGTAAGGACGTAAAGAAGGACGTAAAGAAAGAAAGGAAGAAAGAAAGCAAGCAAGAAGCAGACGACGAGAGACATACCCTTCACATCCACGTATCCGCATGAGAGCCAAACCCGTCCGCACTGTCGTAGAGAGAGAAAAAGAGAGGAGCCGTGCCGTCAAAGACCCCATACCGAGCCAGAGCACCGACGTCGGACATATCCCAGCGAGTCCACGCCCGTTCTTCGACCGCGGCGATATCACCATACCGCCGAAATCGTGTCCTCGATTGCGTAAAGACGGACCAGAGCCATTCGAGCCGGAGTAGCATCCGACCGGCCTCGTGATGCGGGAGGGGGAGGATCCCAAAGACTACTGCACGTCCACCTCAACGGTACTGATATGGAGACAACGTGAATGGTTGGGGAAGGGACCAGTGCTATTGAAGGCAGAGAGGGCATCCAACTTGGCCTCGTGATCCGGGAGTGAGTAGTAAAGTATACAGACGGCTATTCCCACAACGACCGACTTTGTCACCGTCCATCACATAGACCGGCATCTTTTTCAGCTCTTATCCCCACCCCCCGTCGCAACGGTACCATCGGACACAACAACCGACCAGGACCTTTAATACAGCAAGGCGAATATCATACAAACCGAAAGCGTGCCACGCTAGTCTGTCCGGATAGATCAGCCACGGCGTCAACGTCGACATCGTCGGTGCCTACCTACACCGATATTTCAATATCGGGAACGGGTTGTAGCATCGCCGCGTCCCAGTAGCAACACTGGGATACGAAGGGGTATAATCGCACGAGTGTGGATGGTGGACGAGAGCTTCAAACACGGAGGGAAGAAAGGAAGGAAGGGGTCGGCGAAGATGATGGCTCGGGATTTTGATCGGATCGGACCGACATGACTCCCAACGGGCACGGCACTGCACTGCGTCTCCATCCGATCACCACCCCCTCCGTCCCGACTCAGACCCACCGGAAGCACGCCCGTCTCCAGCGTCCGCGATACCCAACCCGTGCGCTTTCCCTCCCGTCCCAAACTATACAGTCCCAAGCTTATCCCCCCAGGCTTCCCCCCTTCACAGATCCCGCCACCGCTGCACGCGCCAAGCACCTCCGAACGTGGCCACCGGTAGCCTTCCGGCACGCCGCGGCTTGTCATCTTTGGCACGGTAGCGGCGGATGCGGCACCCGAGTCTGCTCGAAAAAGGGGTGACCTGGGCCACGCTGACACCCACGCCGACTGTCGCTCGGCGGACTCGGGAGCCGCACCGCGCGCCCGGACCGTCGGGGGAGGAGGAGGAGGAGGAGAAAAAAAAAAAAGCATCATCCCCGCCCCCCTCCCCGTGCAACCCCCGCACGAGCCACGTAACCCCGCTCGCAGCGCCTCCACCACACCCAGTAGCATGGTGAGCCATGCAAAATGTCGACGGCAGCGCCAGAGGAGACGCCGCGAGCCGTTTGGAGTCGTGGTCGGAGGGTTACGGTCGACGGTGTGGTTGCCGCTGCGGGGGTTGTTGTTTCGGGTCGATCGCCTGGAGGGGCAATGCTGAGGGGGGCGGAGTGTGGGAGCGGGGGATTAATTAGCACCGTTGGGTGGGACGTACTAGTACGGGGAGCGGTTCTCGAGCGCGGTGGAGAGCGCAGGCTTGCCGTAATCTTTTCATTTGTGTCCATTGCGTGAGCGGCGGCGGCGGTCATGGGGAGGAGGCCGTCGGATCCGTGCGGGTGATGGTTCTGGCCGTGTGTCTCGACGTTTGGCGATACGTGCCCAAAAACGTTGTTGAATAACTAAGGTAGAGGGCCATTCGGTCCGTGGCCCCGCTATCTAAAGTAGTGTCGTACAACCCCCCCTCTTGTGAATTTCCGCTCGTGTCGACTCGGTAATCCTTCGGTGCTTATCAATCAGGAGAGTCGTGTTTGTTGAGAGAACCAAAAAGGGGTCGTTCAAACACGGCGTTGAATGCAAGGATATTCGAGGCAACAAGCGATCCGTGGAATTAGCTGTGGACGATGGAAAGAATGGCGGAAAGAGGATTGCTCGACCACTATGGCATCACCTCTCTGGAAAACCTCGGATAGGCAGGAAAACGCGAATTAACGAAACAGCCTCAGCCACACGGACAAGCATCTACCCTGCGGAAACAGATCTTGCAGCCCCCCCCCCCCCGCCAGTCGATAAGGGACTCCCTCCCTCATAAAATGAGCATCTCCCATCCAACCTCAGACTTTTACCCCCCCCACTTCCCTCCCCCAGCCGCGCCCACGCGACAACGACCGCCCACAGGAACCACCGGAACGCCTAGAAAAGGCGCTCCTCACTCCCGCCCCCGCAAAGCTTCACGCACGCTCGACGCTCCGGGGAGGGGGACCCGGCAACGGTCCAAGACGACCCGGCCACCGGGACGTTCGTTCGTTCGCCCGATCGATCGGGCACGCCGCCTCCGACACGCTCAGCTACGCAGACCCCTCCGCGTCAGCATAACTTCCTCCCGGGAGCGGCGAGAACCGGGGCAGGGTCCGGAGGGCAGGCAGGCCCCCCGCCGTTCAACGGAGAGCGCGCGGCTCACCCGGACCTGTGTGGATTCCCAGACCGGCGAGGGCGGGACTCGGGACGCGGAGGGGACGTACCGTGTGTGAGATGGCAGGCACGTGGAGGAGGCGCCGAGAAGACAGCGGGGCGGGGAGGCAGCCGTCGGTGCAGCGGGCGTGGCCGCACCATTTGTAGAGGCAGATCTTGACGGTGTTTCCGTTGGCTTGGGTGCACCTGCAGCAGGACCAGACCATGATGGGGAGCGGTTTCGGTGACGGTGGCGGTTTGTTGGGGACGTAGGGTGATATATGTCCCGCTGAGGTTGTTGTTGTTGCTGGCGGCGGCATCAATGATTGGTAATGTGGTGAGGGCCAGGGGAGTTGACTTACGCAGGTGGTGATGTTTTTCTGGCAGTGTTTGCTTACGGTCGGAGGGTTTCCTTGGTCGAAGTGCGCAATGGTGCGAGAGTTGATGACGGGGAGAGGGGGGAGGCATTTATATATTCCAAAGCCCCGCTTTCTTGTGTCACACAGCTGCTGAAGCATCGTCATTCCATTCCTTGGCCTGACATCTCCGAAGCGGAGGACTTGCCTTTTCCGTATTCGATCCTCAACCACTGCGTTGCATAACACTGATACCTCTACGAATCCATTAGCGGCAGCCTAGACCGGTCGATGGTGACGATGCTTATGCGTCATCTTCACATCGAGTGAATCTGTATAACCGCGGCCACCGGACACGGTCGTGGATGAAACCAGCCGAGACACGAACCCGTTCGCCAATGTTTGGTTCACATCGAGTGAATCTGTATAACCGCGGCCACCGGACACGGTCGTGGATGAAACCAGCCGAGACACGAGAGCTTACGCGCCACGAGCGGCTCCGTTCGCCCAATGGTTGGATGCACACACCGTCATTGACACGCATGAACACGGATAAGGGTTGGATATCTTCTTTTTGGATAGGGTGGTAGTGTAAGTAGCTAAAAGATTTACAATCTGCCCTTTGCCGACAACACAAATCTTTTTGATGCTCCCAAGTCCACCAATGGGGCAATGCAGAAAATTAGGTATGCGGTTCGCGGCCCGCCAAGGGTAATGGGGTCTCTCTGTAAGGAAACGCCATCCGGATGCTGTAATGACAAAGAAAATATATCACTCGCTGGAGGGTGGGGGTTAGGTCGATATGACTGTGCCGCTAGACCAAGAAACATGCACGCATCAAGGTGCTCCAATCCAGCGCAAATGTACACTATGCAGCCGCGGTGGTCTCGCTCCGATGGTGGAAGTCGAGGTCCGATACCGTGGGCAAAGAAGAGAAGGTTTAGATGCTTATTACAAGAGGTACGTGATGGAAACCATGATCCAGGGCCGGGCTCGCTCGCTGATGATGGTATCTTTCAAATCAGGGTATAATTGAACAGCTCTCGCTTTCGAATGGTGGTCATAATGATACGTCAAGCACCAAGCTCACGTCTCTGACTTGGCTTCCTGCGAGATCTTCGAGCACGGGGATGAGATCCAACAGCTCGTTATCGTGGGCGTCGGAGAACCAGCTGCTGATGGGCACGGCATGTTGGGGATGAAAGATGTACGATGTGGGCGAGTTGTCAATGATGATTGTCTCTCGTAGGTCACGGCCGACTTGGGAGAGATCCTTGATGGAAGTCAGCAATCGCTCAAGCGAAGAGCAGAGATCGATCGATGCGAACCTTGACATAGTTGCCTTGATGGTTGTAGCAGCTCTCACGGAATAGTCGATGGTGAACGACCTTGTGTATGTCCAGTTGGTCGAGCAGTGGATCGCCGTACTAGCATATGTCAGTCTTGAAGCGATCCAATGAATTGAGTGCAGATCCATACCTTTGAGACCGAAGCAGTAAATACAACAACTTCATAGAGCTCACCGACTCGCTTCATGAATTGATCAACGCCTGGTCGCTTAATAACGTAAACGTTGTGAAATTGGCCCTCGATCTCGACAGGTATCGTGAAGTCGGCTTGGTGGAGTATCTAGAAAATTAGCTTATAGAAACTGGAGAAGGAGAATGTGCGCACCTTGAAACTACTGTGGACCAAGGTTTCATCCAGGTCCAAAACTAAGCATTTCCGACCCTTGAAGTGAGGTTGAAGTGGCGGCAACAGCCACCGTTGCTTATCACTCGGCGTGACAGCACTAGATCCTGAAGTTGTCGTATCTTGGCCATTTCGTGGAGGTGGAGGAGGCAGATTCACCTGTGCCTGGGTCGGATCGCGTGTTGTGGTTGATGGTTCTTCTGCAGCTGCAGCGAGTGGTGGAGCATCGACCATGGCAATGTCGCTGTCCGCTTGTTCTTGTTGAGTTGTACGATCGTTGATTGTGGTTCCTTGTTCGGCCACAGATTGATCGGGTTCAATCAATTGAGGTGGTGCGGTAACAGCGATGACCGGCGTTGCGTCCATGCTCTGTCCGGTACTCGCTTCTGGAGGTGAAGAAACGTTCGAAGCTGGCAGAGGCGGTAGTGGTGAATCGCGAGTTTCTGTAGCCGCGGGCGGTTCTGTGGTCTCTGCTGTAGCTGGCACAGGTGGAGCCTGCGCGACCGGCCTTTCTGCGGGCACCTTGTCTTTGGATGATCTTGTGATCATCGTGGGTTTTGCAGCTGGTTTAAGCTCTGAGTATTCTGGTCCTCCTATACTTTCCTCCACGACCTCTTTCGATTCACCCGTACTCGACTCTCCTGCGCTAGCGTTCGCCTTTACTACCGGAGTAGGTTGCCTTCCAGGCTTTTGTTGCAGCACCTTGGCCTTTTTCGCCGGAACTGCCTGATCACCACCGTCGACCGTATTGGCATTTTCTGGTGCGCTGCAACAGTTGAGGAATGACAGTAATCCACCCCTTTTCTTCGGCTTCGTTTTCTTGGTCGCTTGCTCTTCGCGGCCCAGTTTCTCCGGGTCCGTAGCGGTCAGGGGACTCGCTTTCTCCTTTTCTACCGGGTTCTTTTCCACAATGCCACCAACCTGGCTTTTTTGTCTAATGCTACCTTTTGATCCTTTCTTCGATAATGATATTGGGTCTCCAGCAGACTGCTCACTCATTGGTGTTATGCCTGGTGTCTGCGTCTTCGCAGTGGAGGATGATCGTATGGGTACGTTGGGTACAAGCCCTCCTTCCGCTGGCTTCTCCTGCGTGCCAGGTATCGCAGCCGATGACGAGGCTATCTCATCCTCTCCGCCCAGTGTACTATCTATTGGCTCGGGGGGTAAGGGATTCGATGTCGACGATGGGATTGGAGAATCGTAGGTAGAATCAAGTGCCGGTTTTTCTGTAGAGGACGTAGAATCTGCGTTAACAATCAGCACACTTGGCTACGCATATACCCTAGTCGAAGGACATAGCAACTGTTGATCCGGATCGGGTGGGCATGGTAACATACCGTAGGCGTTCGAAACTGGAGGCTCCAGATGGGTGTTTAAGGGTAGGCCTAAGTCGTCTGCGATGGCACTCGAGAGTGGAATATCCTCTGTGGGCGCTTGCGCAATCTCGCTGCTCATGTGGGGCGACCCGTCAACCTCAGTGAGGCTGCAGGTAGTTTATCGCAAGGTGGACTGATGACGAGGTCGCCGTGACTGCGTGGTTAGTGGTGACCTTGTTCCGAGGACGCTCCGCAGTCAATCGACCCTTTCACAGCAAGTCCCAGTATCCAGCACGTGCACAACGATGGTCCCAACTTTTGATCTGTCGTCTTGAGCATCTACCCCAGCACGATTCTCTATAATCCTTGTTGTTTTGGGATGTACAGTCGTTGAATTGGCAAGGCTGGGAGCTGGCACCTGCAGGGTTTGCGGCGGCGAATCAGTCGGGAGGGTTAAAAAGGAGAGGAGCGCAGGCTAATGACTGCGAGGAAACGGATGTGGATAGGACAGTGTAGGGTATCTGGACTAGACGGGCCTGGTGGAGCGTTGACAGCCGTTGTAGCAGATGGAGTTGTTCACGGTGAAAGGTCGCGCGATGGGGCTCGGGGGTTGATTAGAGGCACCAGCCACAGCATTGGCGCCAATTTCCAGGGGTTCACAGAATCGCTCCGCTCCCTACTTTATCATGGATGGGAATTGGAGAGAAAATAAGAAAATATCAGAGTTGTCTTCCTACGAAAATAATTGCGAAGCTACATAAGATTTGTACCTACTTGTTCGTTGGAGTCGATTTAATCTACCTACATTATGTCTGACGAGCAGATTTACGCGGCCATGTGGTTGCAGAAACCTGATGAGTGAAAGAAGAGAGAGAGAGATAATAATAATAATAATGTGGGAAGGGAGAGGCTGCTCGGGAAGGGAAGGCAAATGGAAAAAGTGGGCGGAGACGGGAGAAGTAAAAGTAAAGTAAAGTAAAGTAAATTCAAGTAAAGTAATGTCCAATGAGAAATGACATTGACCCTCCAACGCTATGATTGAGCTTTGGTGGGAAGAGGCGACATTCTGAGCTAGTGCCCAAGATCCAGTTGTCATGCGCCACACTTCTTTTCAGGGTTCGATGATGAGCGAGTAATTACTGAACTTGGTGCAAGCAAAAAGAAATGATGCAAGCGAGCGGTGCTCTCAGAGTCCCGAATCAATTTCCCTCTTTTCCCCTTCACTTTTCACCCTTCACTCTTCAGCAAGTAAACTGCCTTTTCACCTGGAGTAGGTGGTGCTGATTAATTAAATACCTTTTCTTGTCATGCGCGTAGCAGATGTCAAAAAACCATCCTTCCTCCAACGCTGATCTCCCGCAACACATGCATGGAAGGCATGCAACGATTTCGCCAGTAGTGAAACCTGGGGTATGTACACACGAGGTAAGGGTGAAAGATGCATGGACCGCTTCAATTTCGCATCAGAGCTCCTAAACCAGCTTCGTCGTAACGGTAATCTCCATTCCATCGCAATCTCTGCTTCCTGTCTCCCTGCTCCGGTCCGTCTGCTGTATTGGCGGCATCCTCCTTGCTTTCGCCAAGCGGGTACCTCCTCTGTCCAGCACCGGGAGCTGTGCATCTTGCCCGAGGACAACAAACGTATCTTCACATAGCGTAGGGCAGGGGATATGGCATAGCTCCTCATGCTAGTATGCACCAGTCCTGAACCGCTCCATTGAACCGTCGTCCCCCAGACAGAGAACAAGGGCGGTATGCGTAATATCCCGAGCGGTCCCCCTCGGGCCCGCTCGCCGTCTGGCTATCAACAACTTCTCACACTTGCCATCATCCCCACCGCCCACACCCATGGCCTCCCTTCACCCCCAGGCAGGCTGTTAAAATATTCCCACCCCATCACCCCCCCGAACCCTCTGTAGAACTGACTCATCGCTGTCACGGTCCTTTTGAATACCTCAGTATCAACAAAGCCATTCCCATTGCCAGGACTCGTCAGCACACCCACCACCACCTTCTCCGGTCTCCACCCTTGCCTCAGAATGGCATCGTAGTCGATGAAGGACTCGAGGCGACCCCAATTGTTGTAAAATTGCGTGTTGTACCATGCTATACTGCTCCCACGCATGACCTCCAGCGCTTCGTAATCGAACCCGGAGAGGTGGGGACGGCCTTGGAGTGCTGTAGCCACAGGGGCGAGAGTGACGAGGAAGCCAGGCCCGAAGTCAGCTTTCAGACGGTCGATGAGCCGTATGATACCATTCAGAGACATCGCCTCCTCGACGTCCAGATCCAGCCCATCGAGATTATGCTGCCGTATCATGTTCCGCAGGGGGATATAGTACGCTTCGAACTCTCCATCGCTCTTATCTAGCCGTTGGAAGCTACCTGGTGCTGCCCCGCCCAGCATGCCGAGGACTTTGACGCCGATGTCTTGCATAATGGCGACTTCTTCCCACAAGCTGTCATATTTAGAAGAGTCGGGCGGGTCATCATTGAGGTGGATGTGGCCGGGAGGATCATTGAGGTGGATGGCCGCGATAATCAGATGGGTAATGGGAACGAGATCAGCGGCTTCCGTGAGGAGGGGTAAAAGGGAGACGAAATTGTTTCGGTGGTAGTGGGTTTGGTGGTAGAGAACCACGCGTGCTTGGTGCGGTGGATGGTTGGTGGGAGGCATGGTTCTTGCTGAGGGGTACTCGTAGATGGAAATCACGGAGTAAGAGCTGATACTTATAGCATTGCTCTCGACAATTTTCTATTGCAAGACCGCACTTGGGCCCATCTACTGAAGGAAGAATTACAGCGTACAGTCGGCACAGTTTTCATGGTCTATCGAGGCCGAAAATGGCCGATGCATTCAGAGACTGGCCACTTCTCTCTCCATCTCATCGGTATAGTCCCTCACAGCCTCCCAAAGCGTTGGAGAACGTAGCAGCCAAAATGCCCTACTCTGAGCCTCAGCATGGATGTCTATTGTTGGATTCATTGGCGACCTCATGACCAAGGCTTCGCCCAGTTGCGGATCCTTATGCCGACCGTTCAGTGATCATGTCACGTCCAATGCTCCTATAGGAACAACATGTGTGCGAGTAGATATCATCAGAAGAGACGATTGTAGCCGCCTATATTTTCCGTCTCCCGGAATAGTGTACTAAATGTTGTTGTGTACCCCGTCGCCCTCGGTTTCGACCATGACGCCGACCTCTTTGTTGCCGTTATTTCCCATGAGGCTGCTGCCATCGAGCCTGTCGTGGGCGGAGAGCTTCTTGGTCATTGTGTAATTACGCCACGCTTGACAATGAACTCAGTGTCCTTTCAAGTGTGAAATCCTTCTCCACATTCAGTCTGATGATTGGGATTTTGTAAAGCTTCGGGTTCTTTGACTGCATAATGGTCATGACTCTTAGTGTCTGAGCACGATCAGTCGGCTCTTCTCTTAGATCGTGCTCAGGAATATACTTTCGCACAATGCCTAGACATCCTCTCGAAGCTAATCGTCATTTGCCGAGTATTCGTGGTGATCCTTCAAAAGGTGATTGAGGGATCGATAAGGGAATCCATAGACTTTCTCTATCTCCTCCCGGGTATCTAATGCTGCATTGCGCTTGTGCAAACGTCTCTTTCACCCAGTCGCAAACTCAAATCAGGCCCGGCACTTCCGATAGCCTTCGTCTCATGCCTTGACCGCCTCTTTTCCTTGGGTGTCATTGGGCTCCCTTGCGTCAACTGTGTATGAACTTGTTAAGGCGGGCCGTTCTCAGGGAGCACGTCACTATCAAAGCTCACATCTCAAAATCGTTGTTGTCCTTGAAATCTGGGACAGTTGTTCGGGTTCCATCATCATCCGACCCCATCTTCGTCTCAGACGGATCCAGATAAGATGGAGTCTCCAAAAGACCCCGTTCCCCCAGCGAGGAGCCTCTGGTACCTTTGACCAACCAAGAGTGAGATTAGGAGACTTTCCATCTGAGTGCTGAAGATAGAGCGTTCGAACTGGCCTGCTACGAATCCTGATGATGCCAGAATAAAGACGAATGCACAATGCCAAAATCGGACACATCGCAGAGCGATCCGAGCGCGATTAGCGCGCGGCCTAGAGCTTTTGCCGAGAGAGGATCATTGTTTACCTGGGGCTGGCTCGCATCTTCAGTGAAGCGCTGTTGTCAGATCATAAGTCGTTACTGGCCAAGTCTATATCATTGAGCCGAATGATGGTGTTATCGTAATCGGTAAAACAAAGATATGGTGCAGAACTCTCTAAAACCCTCTAAGGCGATACTGAACAATGGGCACATCTCTAGGCAAAGATTGCAAACCAACAAGCGCCCACGTACTCTACGTGCGGACAAAGGCACCGTGAAGCTATTGAAACAACTTTTGGGTCTCAGACCGAATATCGTCAAGGGGTGTTAGTCCCTTTATACTGTAGCAGTTCAAATGCTCAATCACTCAGTGCCTTCATAGAGATAACGACCTCACGCTTGGGAGTCTCGCTATTATGCTTGAGTGAGCCAAACAGTCTGATCAGAAATCTTTGCATGCCAGCTGAAGACTCGCTCACATCTTGATATTCTAACGGAGCATCTAGAGACAAGCCCATTACGACCATGTCCGGCAAAAAAGGCAACTTTTGGTTCACTTGAATAGCTGTAGATGCTTTCCAGAGGAAGACCCTGGAAAACTTCCGTTCTCTCTTACCACTCGAATGGCCGTCATATGGTTTCTACTAACTTACACTCTAGTCAGATCAAGCGTTTTGTGCCATGGTGGCGTGATCGTGTCAAGTCATATCACGCGAGTATTGTCTAATGAGTGGTACACCCTACAGTCTCTATTCAACGTCTTGTACTTTAGACGGTCTGGTATCTCGCCTCGCCTATCTGGACAGATTCCGGATTGATGTAGATCTCGCATTGCAATCCCCAAGAACGGTCGTCGCCAGGAGCGGCCCGGGACGCATGCAGCCGTGTGACTGCCTGTGCGTTACCTTGTGATATTTGGCATAGGTACGCAAGGCAACACATGGCTGTATGAGAAGGCCTGGGTGCCGGAATGGTGTCTGGACTTCGCTAGTCTAGAACCCTCGGTGCTCCTTAACGCAGCTATCGCCGTTTTTTGGTTCTCTCATCATGACTGCGGAAGCAAGTTGAATAGATTCCAGTTCTTTCACGCTTGCACGAAGACGGTTTGCGAGAGGTCGAGACCTGGCTGCACCTCGCTCGGCCTTAACTAAGCTCCGCTAGTCATGGGGACACGTATGTATTTCGAAGAGTGTCGGTGACTCCGGTCAATGTTGTTGGTAGGTAATGGAGAGGAAGGTATGCTATCATAGACACGGTGGTCACTGTTCGCCTGGACGCTCTCCATTGAGTTCATCACACATTTGTCATCGGTTGATCCCTTGTCTTGGCGGCGCTGATCTCTTTTTCGCTTTCGTATGCGTGAAATCTTGCGATGCTCGGTAAATCACGAGCTTCGAAAGGATAACGTTTGAAAATTGCCACACAAAGTATGCGCAGTTGATGACAACGCAAGAAATTTCGCATTCAAGGAGAACCAACGACTTAGGTTTTAGGCAGTCGTGGCCGCAAGAACATAGCCAGGCGCAATTCTTTCGTCGCTCGTTGTCAGTTCTCCGAGGCTGAGGTCCTGAGATAGATGGACGACCAGCCAGATTGCAAAATGTATTCCTGGAGAGCGTATCGGAATTACTTTAAAGCGGGTGGTGGCGGCTCCGTCAAGGGCGCTGAGTTATTGGCTTTCTTATGCACCTTGCTAGAGCCCCATCATCGAGTTCCCTGTAGCATGCATCTGCCTGAAAGACATACAAGAAATTCTCCCGAGCGGAAAGTCCAGCCGGAGCGAAAGTTCAAGGAGTGGCTGTAATGCAACGTGGTGATCCAGACCGTGGCATCGTAGACTCCTGCTCACCGAGAACTCCTAACAAAGCTGTCGTGCACACCGCTAGGAGGCCCTGCATCTCCAGGCGAAGCTCTAAAGGGAACAGCGGAGGATTCGGAATCAAACTAGGCCATCTTCTCGAGCGCCTTGTGATGTAAGCTTGCACCTTGACGCATGCAGCTCATCCTCTTGAACCAGTGAGCTGCTCCCGATCACGGCCAAGGGTGCACAGCCCTAGTGTGGTTCAGGGCTCCACAATGCCCATGCAGACTTCCCCAAGGGCGAAAACGTATAACTCTGTTTGTTCCGTAGTATTTGCTTCTTGTGAATAAGTCATTCGTTTGTGAAAGTAATTTGATAGGTCACGACCGGGCTAAAATGGTGTGAGGACGATCCCTCATGTCTTCAGGCCTAGATGTCCAAGATGGTGAAGACAGAAGTGGAGACACTATGCCGGGTCTATGACCTCGCCGGCCATTCATAGAGGTAAGTTCGCCGAGGTACTCGCCGATAGCGTCGCCAAACGCTCTTTCTGCCACTCGAGAAATGTACTTCGTGTACTGAGTGGATTCGAATTCGCTCTCTGATCTTCCACTTTTTTGGCTGCCCTGGAGTTTAGAAAAGGTGCGGAAGATACGCAGGACCCTGTACTCTCGGGGCTTTAAATGAAAGCAGCACAGAAATCAATTCCGCCATCGCATTTCTCTGTGGAGTGAAGCCAGGCTGTCCCTCTCACAAGCTTCCTCCGTCAGAGGTGATTACTCTATCCTTCGTTGACATAGCTGTTGTGGTCGTTGGTTCGTACCGAGATTTTGAAACTTTTCGATTTGTTATGAAAAGTTTTCGAGATGCCGGAAAGACTTTCAGAAACATCTTCGACCATTGGAGAAGCATGTCAGAGCTCGTCAGAGCTCGTCACAGTCCCTCCATCTGGCTCTTTGACCTTCCAAACAGGCCTGGATCTTTGTGGTATAATCAAAGTGTTGATGAGATAAGAAGAAGAAAGGTTGAAGGTTCTCTATAATTTAAATGTTGTTGCTGGGTATAGGTGCAGGCAGATGACCAAACTCAGGTAAGCATCAGTTAACCAATCATTGACCTTAGTAGGACTGCGGTCTTCTCTGCAATTACTGATGTTGCATCAGGCTAGAACGAGGTAAATACGAGCGACAATGTCTCGCTGGTAATGATCGGGGGTAGCGAAATGATAGATTCTCTAATTGAAGCCGATATTAGTAGGCTCAATAAGCAGGACTTGAGAAGTCTCAACGGTGTGTAGAAAGATTTGAGGGTCTATTGAGACTTCCTGGAAGCAATGCAAAGCCTTCAAGTACCATGAGACCTGCTCTTTCACAGGGAGGTTGCTGCTCTGATTGCCTCGGGGCTTAGTAAAGGTGCAGATTTAGGGCTGCGTAGCACGAGTAATGGCCACATGGCAGGATCCTTGGAAATTAGCTGAACATGGCACCAGACGTAGCTTTAGGATGATTGCGGTGGCGGTGAGCTTCCCGAACTTTGATATCCGATCTTCACTGGCTATTATCAGCCCCAACATGCATCAGGATGCAGCCGGGGCTGATGTGCCTATATGAAGTCATCCCCCACTCTCAAGTGAATGGATTCGTGCATCCCTCTCTTCACGCCATATTGCCGTCTGTCTCTCCGAACGCTCGCTGTGAGATTCGAAGGTGGAGAGTAGGGGCCAACGAAAGAGGTTAGCGTCTCACTTTCCTTGCCGAGGGTCAGGGCAAGCTTCACGGAACGCGATTGGACAAACGCTGACGCTGGAGCAGAAGTGTGAAATCGCGATCAGTAATCGCAGAAAACCAGCATTTGTCATGGACCGAGGGCGCGAGGCCGAGTCAGCAAGAACAAGAAGAAATGACGATTATTATGAGTTCAGTCCCCTTGGCTTCTTGGGAGACTCTTACTTCACCCAATCTCCCTACTACAGCAATAATCCGATTGAGAACGCGCAAGTAGGGCTAGGCCTCGAACCTTCACCGAATTATACGGATCCTGCTCCTCAACTCGTCAAACCTACCGGCTATTCGCCCTACTATCCGCAGACTCCAATGGATCTTGACGTTTTGTCAGCCGAGAATTATCAAAGGGACTATGCGCAAGTCAGTTCGGCTCAGCGGGGAAGAGAGCATGCTCCGCTGTTTGGCATCACTGCCGACAACAGGCTCAGGACAAGTACACCCAGTCCGCCAGCCGGCACGAGAGCCCGCAGATCGAGGAAAGAATCTCTGAAGGGTACAAGCGCAGATGAAGCGAACAGTGCTCGCCAACGGGGCAGACCCAGGCTTGACACCAAGGATCAAACTGCGGCCGACGTATGCATCCTTTCGTGTTCCGACATGATCTTCTGCAATGTGCTTCCGCTCTTCGGCCTCTAACCCCCAGACCTCCAGCTGGAGGCGTCAATGCACTCTTGAACTGACTTGATCCAGCGCCGCCGTACCCAGATCCGACTTGCCCAGCGCGCGTACCGCCAACGGAAAGAGACAACGATTTCTGGTCTTAACGATCGAGTCGCATCCTTGGAAAAGACAATTGAAGACATGCACAAGGCGTTTCTCGAGTTTAATGATAGAGCCATTGCTTTGGGAATTCAGAAAGGAGCGCCAGCACTAGCGCGACACCTCAAATCAACGATGGACAGACTGAACGAGCTTGCAAAGAACAGCACCGAAGAATCGGATGTTGAGGAAGATGAAAACGACCCTGTGGGGTCTGTCCAACCAGTGGCTGCTGAACCCAGAAGTCGACGACAGGGAAGGGGGTTAGGTGGAGAACCAGCGTCGATGCTCGGATATCAGACCACGTTTGGCGAAGATGAAGAGGAAGAGGAAGAAGATGCCGGTGAGATTGCCGCCCCGCTAGCACAACATATACTGGACAACAATGTGCCACTGTCGGACTGGACAGTCACTGAGAAGATGCAGCAGCTTCGGAATGAAGGACCAAAATCAAATACGCGGGGGCTCAATATCAGGCCGGTGCAGCAAGATTGGGTTAACACTCTAGACAACGGCATCGAGCAATCCTTACGCAGCAAGGGGCTTTACCTGGATGGCCAATATTCAGTACCGTTTGGCCCCATTGATCATTCTCTTGGCTCCGAAAAAATACCGCTTCCTGCTGTGTCCCCCTATCGTTCTCCATCCCTAAACAGCAGCGGAGGGCCACATACTCCCAGAAGCACAGATGTACATTGGCCGAATGAGCCATACTCAGATGGCAATCACGTTTTCTGGGATCATACCACGAACGTTTCAAAAGCCTCTGCCATGGACATGAAAGACTCCTTCGACGACCCAAGTATCCGTCTGTAAGGCCTTTGGCCCGGGCTTTGTGGCCAAGGAATCATCCGAGGCGCGTTTTCAGGAGACTCGCTGACCTAGTGGCTCGTTGAGCATTCCGACCTTCTCCCTCTCTCTGACGTTCTCTCATTGTATCATTTTCGAGCATAACATGCTCCTCTCTTTCTCAACACCTGAGTCGTCGAGCGTGTCAGACACGTGAAAGTCCGAGAGCGGTTGCTGAATCGGCTTCGAAGCTGGCGAATACTAGGGCGGTTACAGCTCAGTCTGCTCTGGGAGCAGGTGAGATGGTTGAAGGTGACGTTGCGAGGAAGAGAGGATATGTTCTGGCTGTCATGCTTGGCGGTGTCTTAATGCCTCGCTGTATGGCTGACGGATAGCTCTCTACCATGACGAAAGTGTAGTGTGAACGTAGCTACGCAGATAAGGCCAGTATATAAGATGGTGCTGTGAAAGCAAGCAGCGGGCTGTTGTCAACCAGAGCTCTTCTTTATTAGACGACCAGACGAATTGTTCTTGGTTCACGATGAGGAAAGGTGCGAGGCGTCATGCCGAGTGTGTGATATGCGCAGGGATGGAAGCGCTAGAGCATGACTCGCATGTTGGAAGCTTGGCATTAATAAGAGGGAAGCACGGAAGCTATGGGACGGGGTGTGCTGTTCACGTGTGTACTATTACACGGTATAGAAAGTACCATCTTTTAATTAGTGTGTTGCCGATAAAGAGTACCTATAAGAGTACACGAGTAGGATAGCTGAAGCTCTAGTTACAGCCAAAAAAGAAGAGGGTGTTAGACAGCGCACAAAGCGCAGTACAAAGTTAAAAGTCCTCGTGAATCCGCTTATCATCGCCGGCTCTAGTGAATGCTAGGACAGATCTTGGACATCCGATGCAAGGTCACGGCATAGTAATGAATACTATCTCTCATTCTTCTCTCCTTCTCTTCGTCTTTTTCTCCTTCTTCTCCTTCTTCTTCTTCTTCTGTTCCATCAGTCAGTTCATCGGATCTTTTCTTCCAATACCCTGAGTCCAGCTTGACAGAAAGCGGAAGTCGGATGTACCTTTCGGAAGTACCTTGTGCGGGACTCGACTCTTGTTGACATCCGAACCACTCGTTCCCTTGCGGCTCAATCCCAAAAATCTGAAAGAGGAAAGGAAACCTCCTACCTACCTACATGCACCAAATGCAGTCCACCAACATGCTCTGCCTTTTGCACACATCCCCACACTCCCTCGTTTAGCCTTCATTCCTTGCACGCATCGTCCCAGCAAGGCACGCCTACATATCTGCGAACCTGGAACCTGCGGTTCTGCTCCTTCACCCATTGGCTCAGATCAAACCCATTTCTTGAGCCTGAAAAGAAAACCCCGTCTTCTTGAAACCTGGCATGTCTCTTGTTTGAGATTCCTACAACATGGCCACAGCTCATCAGCCCGCACGGCCTGCGCAGCGCATGTCTTCAGGAAAAGACATACTATCTCGCATGCTCCAAATGGAGAAGCAAAGCAAGGTAGACCAAACCCTTCTTGGATTACACGGCCTGTTTGCCATAGCACGCACGGCCCTCACAAACCCTTGTCTACACCAGTCCGCTTAGGCTTTTAAATGGCAAACGTACTGAGTAGGTTTTTTTAGCAACAACGGTCCTCATCCGCCGGTCCCACCATCCCGCTTTCGCTGAAAAGAACATCATTCTCTGGTCCTTCTGATCAAGCATCGCCCTCAGCTAAAACGACGCCAAAGTCTCCTCTGCCTACGCCTCAACCATCACAGCGCCCTTCTCTCACCACACGCTCGCAAACCCTACCTTCATTATTAACTGACAGAGGACCGTCGGGGAAGCCAATGCCGTCTTTAGCACAATTGAAGACCAACACTTCGACGGACCAGGAGGACTCTACTCCTATAGAAATATGCCTGTCTCCGAGCTGGTCCGATCATGGCGAGAAGAGGAAAAGAAGGGAGAAGAAGAGGATGGAGAAGGAGCAGAAAGAGATTGAGAAAAGGTTGAAGCAAGATCAAGAGAGACAAAGGACGGCAGACATCAAAGCGGGAAAGCGCTTGAGCAGGAAGCCGCCCCCAGCAGCAATGGAGACTCAAAAGATGCCCCAAGCATTGCGGAGGAATTCATGGGTGTCTATGATGTCTTCCCATACATCCTCAGGCGAAAACACAAGACGGTCTTCTCGCGAGGAGAAAAGGCTCTCTGGAATTTCTATCGGCTCTACGGATTCGCAGTCGCATTCAAGATCGACGCCTGCCACCAGCACCGAGGAAGCGTCTGATCCTGCTCGTAGTTCAGGGCAGTCGCATTCAATCATAAGTTCGGCTGCCCCCAAGATTCCTAACTTTGGGTGGTCTTCCCGAAGGACTTCATCCGGCACCAACAAATCACTCTCCTGGGGAAGCGAAGATGCATACGCGAGAGAAGTCATATCTTTTGCCTATCGTTTTGAGGGCTCTCCAACTGACCTCGAACACCCCAAACCCAATGAATCAGAGGCACAGCAAGGATCAAAACATCCAATACAGCAGGCGGCAATTACTCCGACCTTCAGCAGAAGTGTAACCGAACCCAATCTTGCAACCTTTTTACAACAGTCAGTGGCTAGGAGCCCACAACGCCCACCAGCAAAGAGGAAAGACAGTTCTGAACCCAGACAAAACCACGGACAGAAGGATCCACCTGGAGAACGTAGGAATTCAGCTCATTCTCCGAAAGCAAGCCCCAACTTTCAAGATGACCTGGCGGGAGAAATGGAGGCCATCATGGCAAGCCACCACCAGAGGCCAAGTCAAAATCCTCCATCTCCACGGAGTCCACAGACGAGGTCGTCTCACGACGGGAGTAGCTATGTACACAAGCAGCGCATGTACCAGCAGCAGCGTTCGATAGCAGGCTTTGAAGATGAGCAGGCAGTTAAAGATGCGAATGATATGGCGGCGAAGTCTGAGGCACTCGCCGGAGAGGATGGCCAGCGAGCAAAATTGGGGTTAAGAGCGCCCGATACTCGCCAGCAGCATAGTAATACCGTGTCTGTTACACCTGGTATCGCTAATGACCGTGTTCCTGTTAGTCCTATGACCAGAGACTCTGCGATGCAGCCGGATATGAAGCTGTCCCCAATGAAGCAGCAAACTACGGTGAAGCAGCAAACGGACGTCGCGCCTTCCAGCTCGCTAAAGCCAGCTCATACAAATGCTACTCAAAAAGGGCCAGATGACACAGAAATTCGTGCAGGTTCACAATTGGTCCGAGATTCAGTCTCGCTCAACAAGACCCAAATAGCTCCAGGCTTAAAGACAGACAAGATCCTTCATTTTCGGCGGCGCTCGAAATTGGCACCTTCCAAGATCTCCGTACCAGATAATGTTCAGAGTAAAACGGTAGCCCTTGAATCTGTCCCTCCCACTGTAACGATAGTTGAAGAGCCTCCAGGGAAACGTTCAAAGGCGGAACGTATGTCCCAAGACACGAAACCAACGCAAGTACACGCGAGTGTCAGGACGGGGTCTGAAAGCTCCCCCCGCAGTCCGCCCAGAGAGAGCTTACCGGAACCCAACCCCATACAGTCTCATGCCAAGAGTCGCACGTCATCCTCTATGGTATTGAGTGATACTCTACCGTCGCCAATGTCACCTAAATCGACGACTGAGCCCGTTGTGATGTCAAGCAACAAGGCCGCCAAGCAGGCCGAAGGCAATGAAGCTAGTAGGGAGCTGCATCTTAAAGCCGAGCCAAAGAGCCCGCACGGAAAACATATGACTTCCGTGACCACAAATAAGGCTCTACCTGATACACCACCTGCTGCCAAAGACGCCTCTGCCCCAGAAGCTACAACTAGCAAGGCAATGCCAACTACTAAACCCCTTCCAGAAGTCGTCATCGAGAGTACAACTGAGGAAGGTTTAGTACGAAAGACATCAATCAAGCGTCCTCGCTCGAATCCTCAGCTACAAACCCAAACCACAGCCACGAACTCTTTGCCGTCACTCGACTTCCTGCCCCAGCTCAAACATCAGCCACTTGTCAAGCGTCAACCTCAATTCCTACCTGTCGCGAAAGATCGCTTCCCACCTGTCCCGAAAGACTATGCCACCATCAAACTTATGGCTGGTAAACCACCGGTCTCCTCCCATGCTCCAGATATGGAACTCATACCTCGCACGCCTTTCCGCACACCTTCTCAATTTCCTGTCCCGGGACGAACATTCAATCGATCCGTCACAGATGTTGGTACTGTCTCCTTCGGCAAAGGCGCTCTAGCGGAGGGTATGGAGGCGAAACCAATCGCCAAGCTCTTCGTCATCTGTTGCAAATGCAAGTTCTGGCATGACCTACCAAGTAAACTCTACGAGGCGATGGCTCTGCCGAAAGAGCTGCATAAGGATGAGAACCTTGCTGGGGACAAAGGCAAGGGCAAGGTAACAGGGACAAGATTGGAGACAGCAGTGAAATGTCCGTGGTGTGATCATGCGATGACTACCTGGTGCTGTCAGGGTTGGACCACTGTTGTCTATTTACATGAAAGGCATCACTAAAAATCAGTTGGTGCACGTTCTTGCCAATCTTTCTCAAGAATTTTCGAATTTGTGCGCACTTTTTTTTTTACGTCTCAAAAGCGAATTCTTTTTTTGTCTTAGCGAAAGGCGCCCACGTGTACTCCTTTGGGGCTCACCTTTTGATTGGGCTTACTAATGACAATGTACGATATCACGGGCGGCTCAAAGATATGTGTGTTCCAGTCGTTGGAAAGGAACTCTCGACATAAGGTCAACAAAGCTCTAGTGCTTTTCGACGCAAGAAGCTTAATAGCAGCTATGGATCAATCGATATAGCTCTTCCGTTACTGTCGTGTTTCCGGCAATGTCTCTCCTGAATAGCTGATCATTGTCATCTAGAGAAACTTGAGGCTCAAGATCTTCTGGGGTCCTTCTGCTGGTAATATTGAAGGTATGTCTGCGAAGACACTTTTTGCATCAAACGAAACACCTGAACTCAGCAACAGTGGCCAAGGGCGAAGCTTTCTCCCTACATTTGGCTTAGCGCTGTACTGAGTTACACGCTGCACTCACCACACTTGTGCGTAGCCAAGCACTTGACCTTTCTCCGGACGCTGAAAATCATCATCTCAATACATTGACTTTACCACCATGTAAAGCTAATGTGACGAAAGGTGATGGAGCTATGAAGTGCCTGAATGCTACAAGTGCACGGCCCTCAGCCAGTGTCAGTCCGAGATGTCGAGTTTGACCGGTGGGTCCAATAAATCGAGAGCGAAGCGAGAGTCCCTGAATTTTGAGTAAGACTGAGGAAAGAAGCCATACTTCCATTACCTTGCATAGTGCTGGTGGCACCATGGCATTCTCTTTCTCTCGGTCTCGCTGTGAAATACTTGATGACCCTTTTAGTTTCATCGCCTTCTTCCATTAGCGTCACTGACTTGAGCTCTCGATGTAACAAGTTTCAGCAAAGGCGGGAGATCGAGCGACACAGCTCGTCTACCCCAGCTTTTCCCCAGCTCTCCCGCGCCTAATGTTTTGCCTTTAGGGGTCAAAATCCCACGACAGACATTCTACAGAGGTTTCGATATGGCTTCGACGAATAATCTTATCTGGTTGCTTAAATACTCGCAACCGTTCCTCGACCGAGTATAGCTGATCGATTCGGACTCGCTGCTTACCATAGTCAATAATGCTTCGTTCAGAGCCCTTCAAACTGTATCAATCAGTTTCATTGGCACGGCAGAAGAGACCTCTCCGTTCCCGCGAACAAAAACCGGATCGACTTGTTAGGTAACCGAACCTCGAAGTCAGTACGAGAATAACCAGTTCCATCGCTTTAACCAGCACCGGAAATATTTCCCTCGCCCTGCCTTGTTTTACGGGACTCGCACTTTCAAAAATGGCTGAGCAGCTTCTTTAAACATCGGAAGGGATGTCTCGGTCAGAGCTTTGGAGAAGCGCCCTTGGACTTCGGCCGAAGAAGCCCGGTAGCATGGAAGCGGGAAAGCTGTGAAACGCGACATTCCTACACTCTATGTTGCACGCTCGGACGGTCAGACGCTCAAGGAGGGTTTCATGGCACGGCTATGTCCCTATTGTACTTGATCCATGATTATAGCGCACCACAAGGTCTTCAAGATCCATATAGCTGGCCCCTTTACCCGAGCACTATACTGATCCGGGTAGCAATCGCTGTCTCATCGTGGTTCGGTCAACCAGTAACACTTCGTGAGGAGCGTGTTCGATGCTGATCATTCTCCTCTGCGACAGATGAAGCTGACTTGGAAAAGGCCCGAAAGCCGTAAGAACATGGGCTCGTAGCCTCGTCCTCGACGCCTCTCGGACCGTGTTGCTCCTAGAACGCCTGCGAATGGTAGTCCTTGACCGGTCTGTACTCAGGTGCATGGTTCTCGTAGCTGACGTTCTAACTTATGGATTCGGAAACACAACTCTGCCAGGTTGGTCTGATACAGAAGCCCCATGAACCTCAAACACACGCCTCAGCCTGAATCGATATACAGAAACCCATTGTCATGTATAAAGTACAGGCCATCACCAACGGAGCAACGTCCACTTCCCTCTGCATCATATCACGTTCACATAGGACCGAGTAGGCTCCATACACACGCGTTCCCTTTGCTCACCGTCGGTCCCGTCATACCCAGAATCCATACCACGCCCCAAGTATTGGTCTGAAAATGCTCTCTCTGTCCGTCCTTCTCATTCTTCTTGCCACAGCAGCAGTGGCCAATCCACTGTTCAACAGCGATAGTCAAGCCATCATAGTCGAGCGCGGCGAGGAAGAATGGTGGCGGGAGAGGCCTGAACTGCGAGCTCGTTTCGAGCGCCGCAATGGCTCTCCCAACTGCGGATCATATGACAACGAGCGAGGCGACTGGGACGTGCGTTTCAACCCAGGAGTGGAGTCCGGCACCGAAGACTACAAACGCCGCTTCGACGGTTCCGACAAACGCTGATAGGGAGTGTGTAGAGTGCCGGATGGATGCTAGTGCGGCGGGTTGTCGCTTAACAGGAAGTTGGGATGCAAGGAGTGTAGGGAGGTGGTTATTGGTTGGGAGGAATGGGGTGGTGTGGGAAAGAGAGAGAGGGTCTTGCGATTGGTTCGGAAGCGAAAGATTCAGCATACAGGGGACGAACAAATGCTGGACTTATACAGGAGCTCATAACCGAGTTGAGGGCTGGTTGGAACTGGGAAATGTTTGGCACATCCCTCCTTGGGTGCTATCTCTGTTTCAGGCAATGCTGGCACAAGTCCAGCTCGTGTTCGACTGACAGTCATGAAATGTTGCGCATACACCATGTGATTACCACATCCCAAACGGCCAGAGTCTTCGCCTCTTGAGGAGATCGACGTCTCAAAATGCGTCTTCCCTATCCAAAAGGTGTTGTACTGGCCAGAACTGATGCTCTTTGCTCTGCGATAGCGCAGCAGGCTCCGGCCATGATCGTTGCCCGCTGATACATCATCTGTTCTGACTTACATGCCAGTCACGGAGTCGGAAGGCCATTTCCCTGTCATTGCTCCTACTCGTGCGGCTTGCAGCGGTGCTGATACGGCGGTTAGATGCTTGGACATTGCCATCAGTGCATTTACTAATCCTTCCCATCATTCCGAACAAAGTATCTTATTTTCATCGGTGGTTTTTTATCTTTATTCTGGTGCTCCATCGGATCATTCCGAACAAAGTATCTTATTTTCATCGGTGGTTTTTTATCTTTATTCTGGTGCTCCATCGGATCATTCCCCGAAACGTATCTTATTTTCATCGGTGGTTTTTCATCTTTATTCTGGTGCTCCCTTGGCCGATCGGACGCTGCTTCTTGCTTTTTTTTGTTTTGCAACAGCTGCCTCAGGTCCAAAGAGTCGTCTATTTCTCCATAACCCGTGGGTAAGCTTCCGGTTCTGGTCTCTTTTCTATTGGCTGCGTCCTCATGGTTCAGAGAAGTCTGTTTGATTTGAAGACGCGGCCAAGGTGGCGCAGAGGGTCTGCGCGCACCAAATCCTTCGGAGGATCCGCCACCGTCATCAGGTGTAAACGTTGTCGCGGATCCAGAGGCCATTCTTTCCCGATCAATTAGGATTGCCTTTGGCGTTAAGATGCTTATGGCTGGTTTACGACTGCGATCGATCCTGAGATCAAAAATGTCGAGCCTCTGGTAACCGCCTGCGATATCATGGTATTGCTTTCCCTCCACACAGTCGGCTATATCCAGATCACTTGATTACGATTTTGCAGTCAGCATTGCCAACTTGAGAGGGTATTTTGAGCTCTGGAACAAATTTCCAGGGTAAAAGCTCCCAAGGCATACCCTAAGACTCAAGATATCGTCCCCAGAAGAAAATAGGGACACAAAAGGTACGTACGCATACAAGATGTCTTCTTCGTTTTGGATCATTTCCTTCGCTTCCACTGCACCGGTATGCTCGTCTATTGTAAATGATGGATGCAAGCTGCCAGTTGGTCCCAGAAACATGGTTGCAGCACGGGGTGTTCGCTGCAGCGTTGGCAAACAACCAGTATCCCCCGAGATACGCACGATCTCGTCCATATTCTCCTTGCTAAAATGGCCTGCACAGGAGATTCCGAAGCACTTCGCTTCGAAACAGTGCGCAGCTGATCTGATATAATTCGCCGCAACGTTATCGTAATTTCCATTTGGAGGACCATTGGATTTCCCAATTTCAGACTTCGAGCGCCTTGTGGGCCATACAGCGGGCCAAGATGAGATGTGCACATGCTCATCCAATGCCATCAACGCGTACCTAGCTAGGGGATTGGTATTCTCTCCACATATCAGAGCACCGATGTTTCCAAAGGGCGTCATGGCGAGTCTGAGACCGTATCCATCACCAGGACTCCAGGTCAGCTTCTCGTAGAAGGTTGGGACCATTTTTCGGTGATGGACAACGATTTCGCCGTCAGCCCCTATGATAAGATTGGAATTGAATAACGTGGCGGTCTTAATCCCTTCAGATACACCAACACTCACCACCATCCCAGTGTTTTTCGCAGCATTTCTGATGGCCTTGATTTCTTCGCTTCGCATATGAACGGACTCCTCGACCATACGTTGGAAAAAGTCACTATCACAACTCTGAGTCAGCATTCCCTTGTCTAGGTAGATTTTCGAGTCATAAGACATATTCGAGAATAGAAGACTTTAAAAAACAAGCAATCTGCATATACAGCAACTCTGGTGACTCGAATCGGAGATTCGAATCGGAAGAAAACCTCGGAAAAGTGTCTTACTGGTTGTCCGTTGGTGGGAAAAGGGCACTCCAGATGGGGAAAGCTGGAATAAAGGATTCAGGAAACACAACAAGGTTTGCAGACGCTCGAGACGCTCGATTGATCAGAGAAATACATTTATCTGTTGTTGCCCGAGCGTTTAGGAAGACCGGAGAGACGTGACAGGCCGCAGCACGAAGTTTTGGTAGTGGCATGGATCAGGAGGAAGACAATAAACATGAAGCATACAATCTGGAGATTTTCAAGAAGACCGACCATTCGCTCAATCGATGAAAGATGCCCAAAGGTTGCAGAAATGACACGCGCCAGCAGTAGAGGTTCACCTCTCAGCCCTACCACTAGCGCCACCGGACCTGGTTCCTTTTCTTGGCGTCCCTGCAGGCTGTTGCAAACTCGGGATCAAAGGACGTAACAACCTACCTTACTCTTGAACGACGAGAAAATGTTTTCCTCTAGCAGTCTACGAGTCAAATCCCAGTAGCTCATTTGCCCTCTGCAGCGTCTGACGCTCTCGCTCAAGCAGACCCTTCTGACCAGCATCATATCTCGTGAGCCCCATAGCACGTTGGGCCTCGATATCGATATTCTGCATGACAAAGTCTGGAGTCAAGCGGCCTAGATGCTGACTCTCGCCTAAGCCTGAGGGAAAGTCTGGACCTGGCGTTCCTACATGGCCAGATGAGTGAGCTTAGAGAGCTTGTCTGGTGGGTACCAGGTGGAGAAATACCTTCAAAGAACGCCTCCCTTTGACGCACCAGATAAGCAGCGTTGGCTTCCGTCAGCGGGCATGCCGGGATATACATCACGCTTGAATCTTCCTTGCCAGCGTGGGTCTTGTCGACGGCGTGTATCGCTATCCAGAACATCAGCACGAATCACCAGAGTTCTCAATTGTCAAATGCCGAACTTACTGTCACAATGCCATGCTACATAATCTCCAGGTCTGACTTCTGGGACATGTGTCATGGTATCTTCGAGCCCAAGGTGAGGATGTAAAGCCGCGTTGAGTTCTTGACAATTAGAAGGAACGGCCCCCTGCAACACTGAGGTCGTCTCATCTTCTAGGCTCCAATTGTTGGAATCGAGGAAACCTGATCCCAACGCTTCTGTGGGACCCCTTCTCGGTTGGAAGAAAGGTCGAAGCAAGAAGTAGGCCGTTGCCTTTCCCAGTAGCGGATTAACCATCAAGGTCCCTTCCCCTGCGCTAGTGGTAGACATGGACAGCCAGCCTTGGAACATGCGGAACATCGAACAACCCCCTGGGCCGTTATAGAGATCAGAGACAACAGGTAATCGACAGCTACTCTCCCAAGGGTTATAGGCTTCCCAATTGCCCCGAAAAACCTCGTTGTAAACCCCACCTTTACCATACCCGCTCTCTTCCCACCTTTCGCAGCTCCCACCGTCAACATGCGGACCAAGCGCAAACTCAACATCACCGGGCTGCCGTATACGAAGGCGATCAGCATACGCAACCGGATGAGAGGTGGATATCCGGGCAGACTTGTTAACAGAGTGCCAATGAGACATGAGAAATGCTTGGGTTCGAAGAAGGTTGGGATGAGCGCGGGCGAGCACTTGGGAAGGAGACCAGTAGAGCTCGTATACAGCGGGATTACTGGCCGGAAACCCTAAAATCGAATGAGACATGGACACAGAAAAGTGGAGAAAAAGTGGTCAAATTAACGGGTAGAAACGAGAATATCGTAGAGATGATCAAGCTCTCGAATTTATGTTTGGGCGCAACTATGAGGCAAGAGCTTATGACTCGATGCTCATTTGTGAGATAGAGTCGCGTCCTCTAAGCCTCAATCAATGAATCAAAGCGGGAGTGCGAACAAGGATCCGGGCCTCAAGCCCAGAATATGTGACAGATCAGAGTGCATTTCCCTTTCCCTCGGCCAGGAACTCAAAGCACGCAAACAATAGAGGCAGCCCAATATGAAAGAGACGAGATGGTTGCCTACCTTTCGTCGAGGGGTTGGTCTGGATATATCTCTTCAACAGCTCTTTCCAACCCAACGCTTCCCGCTCCGACACTACGCCTCTAATGAGACCCACACCTCGTTTGTGTAGGCCATCACGAAATTCCGTCCTTTTCCCCAAGTTGTGCATGTCCCTAAATTCGAGCTCTGGTATGACTTTCGAGCCCAATGCCTTAATAACATCGATTTCCTTGCGTAAATCTGCCAGCAACCGATGCCAGCTGTCTCTCACGCGGTCTTCATGGCCCTGTATTAGCCGCCTCTTCAAGTCTGCAAATCGTGTAGGCAATGGCGGACTGTCAATGCCAGATAGGGAAGGGAAGACACTCGATATGTCTCCAGCGGCTTTGCTGGGATGTGCAGAGGTTGATGTAGTCTCCCGGCGCTTTGGATTTCTGGGTAAGGAAACGCCTGGGACCCTAGCTCGCGTACATTCCCGGAGATTGTGTACCCTCAGTATCATTGTAGCGGTTAGTTTGGACGTGCATTCAGGTGTAGTTTCTTAATGAGTGGCTTGGAGAAATGGTGAATGCGGAGAAATTGCTGGCTAATCCTCGGCACCATTTATAGCTGCGATTAGAACTTATGGCAACTAGGGACAATTGGCTTGTCCTTCGTGAAATACCAATATTTAGCTTGGGACCATTCTGTATCGGCAATATGGACGGGTTTCCCCAAGTATCACAATCGTATGATTGGTGCTGGCCTAACACCAAGGGTACTGCTGCAAATTCGAGTCTGAACGCTCCCTCTCCTAGTCGAAGCGCATGATGGGATACGCCATGCTACGAGTAGCTCCAACGCCTGTGTAATAGCACTCGTTTCCCTCCCTGATGAAATCCTTGTAATGCCTCTCGATTTACCGTTCTCTTCCTTCCAGAGTCCTGTCATGTTCCCTGAGCTTTCAGTCTAGCTCGCTCCGAGGGATCGTATCTAAGCAACGTATCAGCTCAGGCGTCATTCTTAAATGCTCATAGACTGACTTGAGCAGCTTCTCGATCAAATCCACGTGTGTCATGATCATGCGCCGGCAACAAAAACGCTTGCATCCCAGCTTGTCCATGGCATCGCTACGGACCATGTCAGACTCTAAAGAAACGGCAGCAAGCCAAGAATTTCCTCACCCATCTGCGATGCCTGCGTCTAGCATCCTAAGGTAGCTCTCCCACATATCCCCAATCACCTGGAACGTAGAGTCAGACAAAGCATCCCTAGGCCTGATTTTTGAGGCGCCTGTATACCTTGCCGCACGAGAAACAGCGGACAGGAATGATCATCTTGTGTGATCAGCTTTCCTCGTCGCCGAATGAAAGATTCTAAAGAGCGATAGTTGGCGTGAAATTGTTAAAGATCGGAGTCTCTGTGTTGGTCGAGAAATTTCGGTAGATCCTCGGCATCACATCAGCCTTGTGGCTTTTGCTTTTCGATGAGCCAACGTCGAAAAATCACAATGCCCGCGGTCCAGATGAGCATTACGATTGAACTGTCGCAGACTGCCGAAGCGTGACTCAAGCAGCTCTCCAGATCTTTCTGTGATCGACAATGTCCAAAAGGAAGCGCGAGACGGCAGACGAGGAGTCAGCCACTCCCGGACAACCGAAAAAAGTCAAGAAGCAGAAAACGACCACGACGAGAGCACCACAAGCCCAAACTTCCTCCACTGAGGCATCAAAGCACAGCGAAAAGCAAAGACCTGCTCAGGTGCCCTCTGACAGGAGGAATGAGAAGCTCGCTCGCAGGCTTGCAAAGCGAAATAAAGAAGCCTCAGAGAAACCGCAACGAGACGAGTCCGGGCGTAAGGATGGAATCAAGACAGGAGACGTCGACGATAATACCGGATTGGTAGAAAAACGAGAGAGGAAGTCGTTGGAAAAAGGACAATTCGGCCCATCGAGGAACCGGCCTGAAAGCCGAAGAATAGAGAAAGGAGGCGGTCAGGAGCTGACGGGAAAGCACAAGTCAAATGAAGAGAAGCGCAAGGACAGGACTGTACGACCAAAAGGGAAGGAGAGCAAAGAAAAGGCTGTCGAGACAGCGATGTGGAAAGTCTCAGATTCTTTGGGAGGACAAATGCTTGATGTGGATCCAGTCTTTTCTCCGGACGAGAAGTGGGTCACTGCGTTTTGACAAGCGTACTCTCTCGTATTCTAACAATAGTATTCTCCAGGTTTCTATTGATTGCATATGGCACTTCAATCGCTGTGTATTCGACTGCGACATCGCTTCTTGTGCGCCAACTTCGAATTTACAAAGTTGATAGCATATCAGCATTTGCGTTCTCTTCGACGACGCCGAACCATCTTTACCTTTCAACGATATCTGGGATTATTGAAAAGTGGGACTGGATCGAAGGCTCGAGGCTTAGCCATTGGAGAATATCCTCGTCTATCTACTCTTTGGTGACGGCAAAGCAGAATCTAGGCGATTCTGGTAGCGACCTGGTTTATACAATGGACAGGAAAGGGCAAGGGTCGTGGATGCTTTCAGTACATCGTCTCGCAGGCGGTGAGGATGGCGCGAAGACCGATGTCAAGACACTGTTCACAAATCCGCAAGCTGTATCATCTGTCAAGGTCTTAGAAAATGGTCGAGTGATTGTTGCTACATCTGGATCACAGCTGATGTTTGGGTCGTCCGACGAACCTGCATCATCCTCATTGAAAGACGTTTCATATAGGTGGCGAATCATCGATTGTCCGGAATATATAACCGGTACGGATGTTAGGGTCAGACCGTCTAAAGACCAAAGGATGTCCGAAAGGAAAAGGTCAATGGCAAATGCCATCGACATAGTTGTTGGAGGGCAGAAAGGCTCCATTCATATTTACGAAGATCTGCTACGGAAACTCATCAAAAGAGATCATCGTGCGGGCAAAGGGAGCTCACTAGATGTTATCCCTCGGCGACTGCATTGGCACAGGAATGCTGTTCAGTCGGTCAAGTGGTCCGCAGATGGTGAGTTTCTCCCATTCCAGAATTGGAATCCGCTAACATGTAAAGGCAATTATGTCATATCTGGAGGTCAAGAGACTACGCTTGTGCTCTGGCAGCTAGAGACGGAACGGCGACAATATCTTCCTCATCTCGGGGCTGCCGTCGAAAGTATTGTTGTCTCTCCTTTTGGATCTTCCTATGGCATCAGACTGGCCGATAACTCTGCCATGATTCTTTCTACCTCTGAACTTCAACCAACGTTCAGCATCGCCGGCATACAGATACCAGCTGATCAGCAAGCGAAACTGCCACTGCCAGTTGTACGTACTGTGACTGCAGCGACGCAAAGGAAGGGCACAGTCCAGAGGTCTAGGTGTCCGGCTTGCGTCTCGTTCTCTGGTCCTGGTCGTGTGCTATTAGCAGTGCCATCTGCAACCGCATCGAAACAGTTGTCCATGACGCCATCAAATGCATCTTATCTGCAAACCTTCGATGTTGGAGCAGCTCATCAATTTTCGCGGCAGGCTCTGACGCGGACGAAAGTCACGACCCTGAATATGGGTCCAGAATCCAATATCGTTGAGGAGCCTAACGTCACCCACATTCAGACCAGCTCTGATGGGCAATGGCTCGCTTCTGTGGATGAATGGATCCCACCGAAGAGAGATTTAGAATCCTTTGCTTTCAACCAGGAAAGGGTATTAGAAGAGCTAGTCTTCCGTGAGGAGATATATCTAAAATTCTGGTCGTGGAACGTTGATACAAAGGTGTGGGAGCTAATCTCGAGAATTGACAACCCACATGCATCTCCTTCCGGCGAGCCCTATGATCAGGGTCGTGTGCTTGATCTTGTTTCAGACCCGAGCTCTGTTGCTTTCGCTACTGTTGGTGAAGATGGTACAGTGAAAACGTGGAAGCCAACAATCCGTCGTAGGAATGGTCTAGTAGTGAAGGGCAAAGATGGAAGGAGCCTGACAGCTTGGCACTGCCAGCACATCACACCCCTGGAAGTATCGGAGCTTTCTACCGAGAACGGCCTTCTGGGTGCTAAGCTGGCTTATTCGCAGGATGGGTCAATCCTTGCTGCCGGCCTCCAATCTCAAATGGCATCTCCGATCTACATCATTGACACTTACACGGGAGAGATCAAGAGCGTGCACACCGGACTGTATGCTGGGCCACTACTGGGTCTTGGCATCGTCCACAAGTATCTCGTAACGTTGGCGGACGAGCTTTGTGTATATGATCTTGTCGATGACAAGCTGGAGTATGGTATTGATCTGCCAGCCTACGGTCTATCACCTGAAAAGCGATTCGCATTGAGCCATCTTGCAGTAGATACTCAGGACTCACTTTTCGCCATCGCAATACCGCAAACTGCAGAGACCGGCCGGCGATCGCAGGTTTTCATTTTCGATCCAGCCGATGCCATACCTCAATTTCAGACACCCTTACCCAGCGCAGTCACAGCACTACTGTCTGCAGCAGGGAGAAAGGGGTTCTATGCCATCGACTCCGCGGCCCAGGTTCGATCTATAACACCACACCAGTCGATGCCCTCTGTTCCTATGATATTGCCGGAGCATGAGGCGACGCCAACTCGTGGACTTTATGACCTATTTGGCGGTGGGCAAAGAACGCTGACCCAGGGCGATACCAGCAAGGATGCTGGGCTTACAATGGCCAACTTTGGCAGTGTCACTTACGAGCCACGCCTTGAGAATGACGAGGCAGTGGTTGTCAGCCAGGACAGACTGGCCGAGGTGTTTGACGTGGGTCCGACATATGCTCTGCCTCCAGTGGCGGAGCTTTTCGAACGGGTTGCGGGTCTCTACTTTGGCAAAGGGGAAAGATGAAAGGTGTGCAGCTTGTGCTGGTCGCCAGGTTCTGTGTCTCGTATGTAGATTAGGTGAAGGAAAGGATGATTGATCGGCTAGACAGACAATAGCGACGGCTCAGACGTACGAATAGTCACCTAAAGCAATGAACCAAAGTTTTGGTCCCGCCGGATGGGCTATAGTAGCAAGCTGCCTCACTCTGCCTGGGCTCGCTCGAACCAAAGTGCCAAGTACAAAAGGCTCGGGTGCCCGGGAGTAGAGGGCAGGGGAAAACCCCAAGAAAGGGATTGTATACCACCGCCTCCAGGGGCGAATGAATGCGTCCTGTTCCCACTCGGACCCTTGCTTTGATATTGGCCAGTCAAGAGACGCGGCGCTTGTAACCACTTTGTAAGTCGATCTAGCAACAGCACCTCCTCGGTTATCCGAAAAGGGGCGTCTACCATCTGGAATTGTTAGAGTTGGGACTGCACTGTTCAGTAGTGGCCTGAGGCTCTGAGCAGTACTTTGCTTTATAGTTTATGCATTAATTGTCCAGTGGTCTTGTGCTCCGAATATTCGAGGCGCGCCCTGTTCAAGCCAAGCGACGGCGGACGACTGACGACAAAACTACCTTACTTTTTTTCCCTTATTCTATTTTTCTTCTTCGCGATTTCTAGTAACTCTCTTCAAAATATTCTTTTTAGAATATTCTTAACTCTTCGAGAGGTACTTTTTAAGGCACTCTTTAGGGGCTACTCTGCGGGGTACTCTCCCGAATACTCTCCGAGATATTCTCCGAAGTACTCTCCCGGGTACTCTCCGGGGTATTCACCGGGGTACTCTCTAAGGTACTCTTCGGGGTACTCTCCGGGGCATTCACCGGGGTACTCTCTAAGGTACTGTTCGAGGTATTCTCCGAAGTACTCTCTCGGATACTCTCCCAGGTACTCTTTAGGGTATTCTCCGAAGTACTCTCCCGAGTACTCTCCCGGATATTTTTTCGAGTACTTACGATAAGATAATAATAGGGGTTTTCAGAGTAACTCCGTGGGAATATTCAAAGTGTGGAATTTTCAGATTTCTTACTGTGGAATATTCGGCTACCCTGAACACCCCACTATCAAATAGACCTGATTTCTATGGAATTTTCAGAAATTCGCTTATTAGCCCTAGCCCTAATGGTTATTAGCCCTGTGTCTTCGAGTATTTTCTAGCCTCCATCGATGTGATTGCCTCCACTCCAGTCCTCATAGTTATACGGCTTACTCTCCTCGTCTTATATACGAAATCAATTAATAATAAAATCTACATCTTATTATAATCATTTAATCTTAGAGTTACGAGGTTTTTAAGTATTAGAGGGAATAACGGTGGAGTAACGTTAAGGAGTGACGGTGGAAGTAACGATAAGCTTTCTCTTTTTTATTATGGCGTGTTAAAAGAATATAGGCGTATAGGAGGTAGATAGAAAGAATAAAAAGGCCTAAATAATACTCGAAATTTACCTGAAATAGTTACGTGAAGTATCTACGAATGTCCGAATATTCGAATATTTGAATATTCTATAATAACCGTACTTTTTCGGCGGTTATTCTCGAAGGTAAAATCGTCGGAGTTTCGGAGTTTTAGTGATTCGCCACCAGATTTTGGTGGCAAATCACTGAAACTCCGACACTCCGACGATTCCACGCGGGAAAAAGTTACTCTGAAAACCCCTAATAATTAATACTATAATCGAATATTTTATAAAGTCCTTCGCAAAAAAAAAAAAAAATTATTCTACGGGACTTTACGCGGAATTTCCCGTAAATCCTTACTTCTTTATCGTACTTCGAGTATTTGTTCAAGTGATTTCTCGAGTAACTCTTTAAGAAATCCCTCGAGTAAGTCTTTAAATACTCTCTAAAGTATCCTCCTTAAGTATCTTCAAAAGTATATCCTCGAATAATCTTTCAAATTCCCCTCGAGTATCTTATAAAAAATCCTCTAAAGTATCTCTCTAAAATATTTCTTAAAGAAACCTCTTCAAGTATCTCTTTAAAGTCGCGAGAAGAAGAAATAATTGGTTTTAGTTTTGTCGTAGTGTCAGCCCTCGTCCGCCGTACAAGCGCGGCGGGAACCCCGAGCGGCAATTTTCTTCACAAAATTTCTCTCCGGATGGCAAAAAAAACGTCACGATATCATGGCATTTGGCATTATTGCATCCATCCCTTAATTTCTATTCGCCTCCTTTTGCTTTTTCCTTTTTCCTTTTTTTTTTCTCCCACAGTCTCTTCAGTATTGCATGGAGTTTGTTTGTAAATAATAGCGCTAATAGATCCCAATCACTCTCAGCATTGATGCTCGCGTGCCCACAATGTCCTCTCTTCTCTCCCGCTTAAACCCTGTTCCTTCCTTTCCTGCTTACACAGGCCCCTACAATGTCGGTACTCAGGAGCTAGAGATACCAATCTCAGATCTACCCACGAGCAATCCGCCTCCGGACGCGAACGTAACCACTGTCAGCTTCCGACTTTTCTACCCTTGCGAACCTACGAAGCCCAAATCCGTGTACTGGTTACCGAGTCCCCAAGGGGAATATTTCCGCGCATATGCTCGATTCTTAAGCGCTGGTCCTCGACTGGCATCGTTTCTCAGGTATTTCACTCAAGCAAGTTCCAGGAACCATGGATCTAATATCACTTTTCTAGCTACCTACCAATTCTCCGCCTCGTTTTCCATACCACGATCCCTGCTTCGCAAGACGCGCCACTCCTTCCTCCGCCAGAACAGATAGGACGATGGCCGGTCATGGTATTTTCACACGGCCTGGGGGGAACGAAAAATGCCTACAGCCACTTGACTGGCTCATTGGCAAGCCATGGAATGGTAGTCGTAACGCCGGAGCACAGAGACGGCAGTGCTCCGATATCCGTTATACATTCTACGGATGGATCCCCACGAAAAGTTGTGGATTACCGAGCTCTTCCCCACAAGCCGTCGCCGGAGGTGGATGAGAACCGGAACACGCAGCTGAAAATACGGCTTTGGGAGTTGGGCACAATACATGAAGTGCTGCTCAAACTCGACCGCAATCCAATGCAATTGCACAACATTGGAGCTCGAACTTCTCAGGGTCCTGGTCTTTTGGCCATGTTCGCCTCCGCGCTCGACGTCCACACACCGGGCAAGATCTCCTGGTCCGGCCACTCATTCGGGGCAGCAACAGTGGTGCAATTTATCAAATCGGTCTACTATCATGAATCTCACCCATCCAATGGCTACGCACCGCTCTACCGTCCAACTTCGGATTCCTCACTAGTCTCTCAAGTGACACCCTCTTCAACCATAACCCTCCTAGATCTTTGGACCCTTCCACTCCTGAGTAGTTCGACTTCCTACCTCTGGTCCAAACCGCTTCCCGCTTACAAATCGAGGAGTGGGTCTCCGCCTTTGGCCGTTCTCAGCGAAGCGTTCTTCAAATGGACCTCCAACTTGCGGGAAACGAAACGCGCCATCTCGTCACCTGTAGGGGAAACCTCCGCTCTGGTAGCAAAACCGCACATTTTCTATCCCATCGCCTCAGCACATCTTTCGCAGTCGGATTTTGGCCCATTATTTCCGTGGGCAACGAGAAAGATTTTCAAGGTGGAGGATCCTGAACGTACATTGCGTCTCAATGTTCGCGCGATATTGGAGTCGTTGAGGAGGAGTGGTGTCAAAGTCGCAGACACTTCCGCTTTGGATATGGAATTGGAAATCTCTAATACGCCTGGTTTGGAGCAGCCGGAAGGGGATCAGGCCTTCCAGTTGGCTCAAGACCACAAGATACTGGCGACAGACGGGTCAATCAAAGGATGGATGTCCATCCCACTCGACGACAGCAGTGCCTTTGCTAATGCGAACGGGCATGCCACGGAGACCAAGCACCCTAGCGACGCGATGATACAGGGCGAGGTCATGAAGGAGTAAGTGGCAATATTGAAGATGGATAGATACCCGGTGTTTCACGCCTGTCTGGTGGATAATTGAGCAAGCATTGCATGCATAGCGAGGCCTTCAATCTCATGCATATAGACATGTGATAGCATGATGTGTGTTCAGAAGTCATGGAGGTGATTGTAGCATTAACGGAATCTGTAACCAATACAATTGATTTCCCAACAGTATGTGATTACGATATCCTGGCTGCTGCTGAAATCCTCGGTGGGGGGTAAGGTCTACAAGGTGGGCGGCAGCGGAAACCCCCCATGATTTTGGCCAGAACCGGCGGACTCGGTAGAGTAGAGGACCCGCGACCTCACACGAGAAACGGCGACCGTCGACCCTTCCCCTTCAGCCTCATCTGCACCACAAAGACCAGCCCACTCAGCGGGCCCTCCCCCCTCACCGTGGCCTCGTAGAGGCCGGTGAACCCCCTGGACGACCACTCGGCCATGTCGATGGCGAAGGCCTGGACGAAGCTCCAGGGCACGTCGATGCGGTCGCAGGAGAAGACGAGCTCGAAGTCCCAGAGGGAGCAGACGACGGTGCGGGCCGGGCGGCGGTGGGCCAGCTGGCCCGTTTCGATCTTGGTGGCGAGGATGGTGTAGAAGTCTTCGAGCTGGGCGGCGGCGAGGGCGGTGGGGACGAGGGCGGCGGTCCGGATGAAGCTGGTGACTCTGATCGCCGGGGACGGGGGCCTGGTGGTGGTGGTGGGGGCGCGGGGCCGGAGGGGCGCGGTCGAGCGGGCCGGCGGGCTGGGACGCTGGAGGTTCCCTCTCGGGGGTAGGGCGTTGGCGGTCAAGCGGGGCCCGGTCGACCGTTGCAAGAGGCGCAGGCTCGGGGCGACCGTGATGCCGAACTCGGCTTCTTCGTAGAAAGCGTCAAAGGTGTTGGCCCAGCGGTGATCCGCATAGGAAGAGAATTTCTGCGCAGCGGACACGACTAAGATATAATTTCGGAGTCAGTATTGCCTATCCGACAGGGCATGTTGAGCCTTGCAACATGTCTACAGAGTAGACTCTCAAGCTGTGTCTCAAGGCTCAAGATCTGGTCCAGAGGAGGAAATATGGAATCCGAAATACGTACGCATAGGCCATGGGATTCGGGCTCCCAGGCACGACACGGTCAGCTGGAAGGATCCTTGAGTCACGGTTAACAGTGCTGTTTCTGGTCGGGACGTCCAAGCGTTAGAAGCTTCAGCGGCGATGGCGTCGAAGAAGGCTTTTACACAGGGTGCCGCGATGGAGACTGGCACTATAGAGTCATGGACCTTGAAGGAGATTAGATGAATTTGGTTACGCTTCTTCAAATCCGTTTTTTCAGCAGCCTCTACTGTCCTTGATTTGGTCAGATGGTGTTGCGGCGATGGGAGCTGATTGTTGGCAATCCGCAGGGTCACCCCGACAGCCTGGTTCGCCGCGCCATTCTGGTATATAATCTCATACGTGCCAAGCCATCCCAGCTGCGTCGCGCAAAGCATCTTTGTGGCAAATCTTGCTACGAGAGACCATGGTATCGGTCCGCCCACCGAGCGGAAAAAGAGCTCCAAGTTGCCTTGTTTGATCCAGAAGCTAGGTAACGGGGCTTGTAACGACCACTGCTCGTTGACTTGTGTTAGTGTTGCATTGCAGAATTCCTGGAGCACTGGGACTGCGTAATGAATAGGAAGGATGAGCTCGAGCGGGCGGGCTCTCCATATGTAGAAGTCTCGAGTTCTGCGATGTAGCTTGCAAGATCTGTCTGACGAACTGCAAAGTTTCCTGTTGGTGTTGGACGTTGTAAATAGGGACCTCGACCCGTGTAGGGCTTGAAAACCTTTCGCAGGAACAGAGTCGAGTTCTCTAATCCTGTGAATTGGATTCGCAGTCAAGGTTGAGACCAGGCAGAGGCAAATCAACAATGTGATCTTGAAAGACGACATGCAGACGGCTTTCCGTAGGCTTTTGGTTGTGCCAATGCGGCCGAGTGTCGGTCCAACGCCCTAGGCAGTCTCCCGGACTGGGAAGGTGCGGTTGCTTGAGACATGATTAATCAAGCACAATATAAGTATAGAGACTGAATATTCTTATAATAGATCCTGCATGCTGATCCACACGTTCCGTTCCATAGTACGATCGACCATCGACCCACAAAGCTCGCAGCGCCCATGGACGCGTTTACGTTAAAGCCGCACGTCTTTGATAGGCCATAAATTAAGACCCATGATATCCTTTGATGCATGGAACAACTTACCAGCAAAACAAGCGTAATGAGCCATTGCGGTTGCTGATGATCTCTTTGGTCGTCTCAATGCATGGCTTGAAGCGAAGTTGGCATCCCACCAAAGGTGTTCGTCAGGCGTGGGATGTATTCGCCTGTAAGTAAGGTACACCCGCAGGGCTTAGACGAATACCTCCGCAAGCGATATAGAACGATAGCCACTCCCTATTAGCTGTGAAGCATTCAGCTTCAGGCGCTTGAGATAAGTCACTTAGCAGCACTCGGCACGAATTCAAATTGTATAGAAAAGGCGCAAAGGAGAAGTAAGTGGAAACAAATTGGACACTGATTCATCCATAGAGACTCTTGGCGAATCAGGATAGCTGAAACAATGTAGGAGAACCAAATAAGAACAGACGGCTTCTGCGTAAATTGAGACTTCTACTTGTCCATTTTGCAGCTCTAATCCATCTCGAGGATTGATCGTGCATCAAGCATACTAAGGGACAGCCTTGGTGATCATATCCGTAAGACTATTTTGCCAGCAATGCCCTGTGGAATACAGTCTCATTTTGACTGGCCGGTCAAATATCCAGATGATGGCATCGTGCAATAACAGACAAGTAAGTATATCATTGGGAGCCGTATGTTGTCTCAGCTGTCTGCTCCTCTACCGTATTATACTGTATGTATTCCAGAGCAGAGAGCAGCAGATGGATAGGATGCTGAGGACATGCAGAAAAGCTCCGCCATGGGCATTGCTAGCAGTCAATGGTCGTCAGAGTCGATTTGCATGGACAAGAGAGCTGGGCCTGTGGCACAGGTGGCGAAGTTCTTTCCGGGAGATTTGCCGCAGCCGAGGCTCTGGGGAAAACGAAGTGCATTGGCGACTTCAACTAGAGGGCAACAACTTCACATACTTTATCCCTGTATACTCAATCGTGCTTGAGGAATAGGCTGTGTGGGGCAAGATAGAGTGTAGACCCATTGGCCTTTCTCATTCAACATGGTATTATCGAGCGCTTCTTTGGCCTGGACCCTTCCCTCCTTGTTCCAACGACGATAGCACGTTTGGATCAGTCGGGAATAGAGCACAATGGCAGCTCAGTCGACTCTTCGTCATTCTGTGGATCCTTTGCTAGCGATATTGGGACCATGGGCTCGCCTCTTTCGCTCAAAATACGAGCAAACCTCAAAAGTAACACGCCTTGCAGCTACGCTAGCTTTGCTCATCACCATTATATCTGGGGCTTATGGAGGTCGAATATGGTGGAGACAAGAGTCAAGAAAGAAAGCACAGCGACAAAGACTCCTACGGCGAAATTCTGGCTTGCGTGGAAAGGATGGATCGAGGACAATAATCGTGCCTTATCGCTCCTCGACAGCAGAGGTCAAGATATATCCCACGAGACCCATGACTTTCGATGCTCATAGACGCCTGTTCCTGAACCCCCCTCGAGCGGCGCGCCTTGGAGATGGGCAAGTTGCTGGTCAAGTTCCTCCACCAAATACGAAGCCCGGTCTCAACATCGCCTTCATACACCAATTCTTGAGTCTTCTGAGCATTATGGTCCCGCATTGGAATAGCAAAGAGTCGGGGTTACTGTTCAGCCAAGGACTATTCCTTCTACTTCGAACCTACCTCTCGCTGGTGGTGACCAGACTTGATGGAGAGATAGTAAGGGATCTGGTAGCTGGCAATGGGAGAAGCTTCCTCTGGGGGATTGTCAAGTGGTGCGGTGTTGGTGGTATGTTCCATTCGGAAAAGAGAGAGGCTACGACGTCAATTGACTTCTCCAGGCTTTGCATCCTACACCAACGCTACTATCAAATTCCTTCAGAGCAAAGTATCCATAGCTTTCCGCACAAGACTCACTCGATATATCCACGACATCTACTTAAACGACAATCTCAACTACTACAAGCTATTGAATCTCGATGGCGGCGTTGGCCAAGGAGCAGACCAATTCATCACCAATGATCTGACCCTGTTCACCGCTTCGGCTGCCTCCCTTTATTCGTCTATTGGGAAACCTTTAGTCGACCTTTTCGTCTTCAACTATCAGTTGTTCCGATCTTTGGGACCACTGGCCCTGACCGGTCTTTTGGCCAATTATTTCATCACAGCAACGGCACTACGTCGACTTTCACCACCATTTGGGAAATTGAAGGCAGTGGAAGGACGCAAAGAAGGAGATTTCAGAGGGTTACATGCACGACTGATAGCGAATGCTGAAGAGGTGGCATTCTATGGTGGCGCAGACATGGAAAAGATATTCCTTGACAAAGGATACAAAGATCTTAAAGTCTGGATGGAGGGCATCTACCGTCTCAAGATCCGCTACAACATGCTCGAAGATTTTGTCCTGAAATACTCTTGGTCAGCCTTTGGCTATCTCATCACCTCCCTGCCCGTCTTTCTGCCAGAATGGGGTGGTCTAGGTGGTCATTCCGAACTCTCTCCCACAGAAACCACCACATCCTCACCTCCCGCAAACCGCTCGCATGGCCGCATGCAACAATTCATCACCAATAAACGCCTTATGCTCTCACTCGCCGACGCTGGTGGACGCATGATGTACAGTATCAAAGATCTTTCTGAACTGGCAGGCTACACATCCCGCGTCTACGGCCTCATCTCCACTCTCCATCGCGTCCACGCCTCTGCCTATTACCCCCCGCGCGGCACATCCCCAGAACCATATTCACTCTCCGACATCCTTGGGACTCTCCATCGCGGCTACGACGGCGTACGTCTTGAAAATGTCCCACTCGTCGCTCCAGCCATCTATCCTCTTCCAGGTGACCCACTCATCCCTTCCCTCTCCTTCACCATTACTCCAGGTGCTCACGTCCTGATCTCTGGTCCCAACGGCGCCGGAAAATCATCTATCGCCCGCGTCTTAGGTGGTCTGTGGCCTGTTTACCGTGGTCTAGTGTCACGACCTCGTAGTACAGGCACAGATGGCATTATGTTCCTCCCGCAACGGCCGTACCTCGCCAGCGGTACCCTAAGAGACCAAGTCATCTATCCGCACTCGGAAATTGATATGCGAGACTCCGGCCGTAAAGACCATGAACTCTTAGGCATCCTCGAGGACGTACGACTAGGCTACCTGCCCGAACGGGAAGACGGCTGGGATGTAAGAAAGGAGTGGAAAGATGTCCTCTCGGGTGGTGAAAAGCAGCGGATGGCATTTGCACGATTGATGTATCATGAGCCACGTTATGCAGTCATTGACGAGGGCACATCAGCTGTTTCTTCCGACGTCGAAGGCCTGCTTTACGAGCGATGCAAGGAACGAGGCATTACATTACTGACTATAAGTACGAGAGTCAGCCTCAAGCGGTATCACGAGTGGAACCTAGATCTTGGCCAAGGCGAAGAAGGTGAGGAGTGGATTTTCGATAGGATTGGCACGGAAGAGGAAAAGGAAGGAGTGGAGCGAGAGCTTGAATCCTTACGGGAGACGCTGGGGAAGGTAGAGGGCTGGCGGAGACGCAGGGAGGAGATTGAGAAGGAGCTGGGCAAGGTGTGGGTTGCTGCGGATGAGAGCACGGAGCGAGGGGAGGAGTTACCGCCGCCTGAATATGTAGAGAAGGAGGATCCGTGATTCTTGGAAATGCCATTCAATCCATGTATCCCGGATTTTATGGATAGCTTCTCCCTTTCCATCTATCCTATAAAGCAGGGGGCCCAAAGCCCAAATAAACCAACCATCTCGCGTAAATTACCTCTGCCGATTGCAAGGCCACGTCATCCACGCCGTTTTCCACGACCCAGGTAATATACATCCATTACAAGATCAGTCTTCCGGTGCTCACATCTCCGCCCGATCCTTCTCGTCCACGAAGTCATCCGTGCTCTTGGTGAACATGGCGAACAGATCCACCTGTATGGATGGAATAGGAAAGGCAGTGGGGGGCCGGGGGGGGGAGGCTTGGCTGCAGGCTCGTTCTTCGGGTCCATAGTATCAGAGGAGCTTTCGTGGGCATGTTGGGCGGTAGGCTGTGATTGGTTACGTGTACTAGTACATGCAAAAGCTTATGAAGTTGAGCCTCGATTATACGAACTCACTGTTGCGAAAGAGTTACTTTGAAGATTATTGAGGGGAGAAGATTTTGCATGCTAATGTACAGTAATTGAAGCGTCGTTTGAAGACACTTGAGGGAAGAGCGTGTTGCATCCTGTTGTGCCGTAATTGAAAGGGTTGAGAAATCTGCTGATGTTCATCGCAAATGAAGCGAGAATGTCGTCCATATCATACCCCATCAATAGAGGAGAAAGAAAATCCCATTCCACCACTTCTGCAAGGCTTTGCGTCTCGCCTTTCGATCCTCATTGTCCATGATCGAGTCCGTGTCCCTCGTCCATTTGTCAAAGGTTTCTCCGTTGACGAACGAATAGTAGCGGCCTGACCGGAACTTGGTGGGCTTGTCTTTGGGGGTCTCGGTACCAATGAGCTTCCGTGGGCGATCAACTGTCTCCTTACCAGGGTAGCCAACTGCGTTGTCGCGGTCCACTTTCATCACGATGCTCCTCCAAGAAAGCGGATTCCGCGATCCTAATTCCGCCGAATCATGGGTATGGGTGTCAAGACCCCCCATCCGATCCGCTTCGCCAACTTCGCGCTTACCCTGATAGATAAGATCCAATGCGTGCACACGATCACGGGCCCAAAACCACCTCGGGTTTTCACCCTTGTTGTCATTGGGGTCCCATCCAAGGTTCGGGGATCTCATTCGGGCGAGCTGACGCATCTGCAGAACTCCTTCGTGTCCATAGTTGATGGCTTCTGCCTCCATGTTGGCGTGCCAGAGTCTTGCGAACCATTTCATGACCACTGAAGACACGAAAGTTAGCGAGGTCTTTCGTGAGCATGCTGTCCAACCCTACCTGCGCTCTCGAAGAGGCGTCCAATTACCCTGGAGAAGTCGACTTCCATTTCGTCATCGGGGTTGCCAATGCGGTACCATTTCACAGCGTCCTGCTGTTGACGCATAGCAGGATGGATATTGGCCTCTATTGGGTCGCCTACATGGGGATGGTTTTTGTCTGTAGTAAAGCCGTGTCCTAGCAAATTTGGGAGTCAGCATTTCCCTTCGTTGATAAACATTTGAGTAACAAGACGTGTTTCGGGGGTTAGAAAGGGTGCTAATTGGGTAACTTGTTCCCCCAACATGTCTCGCAACTCAACAAGCAGTCTCAGACAGGAAGAGAGGATTCCGAAAAGTGCCTTACCACGGAAATATAGGCGCTGAAAATCAGCCCTCTTCCCAGTCACGGTCCTCCCATTGGGTTCTGGTTGAATACCGTTGAACCTTAGCTTGATCGAGTTGATGATCAGAATTTCGTAGCATCCCTTGATCTTGAAATTTGACTCGATCCGTACAGCGTCTCCAACCACAAGCAATTCAGCGCCTAGGTAAATCCCGCCGTAGTACATGAGAGCATGTGGCCATTTGGCCCTGACATACTGTTGATATACCAAGGAGAGAGTCGCCATGCGCTCCATCGCACAGAACATTGAGCCATGGTAACTGGAAGTCGGACGACCTTTGTGAATGTCGATGGCATAGGCGAAAGGGCAGATGTTACGGAATGGGACATAGATGGACGCTAGCCCGGTATCCTTTTTTGAAGATGCCATCTCCGGCAGCGGCTCGATCAGATATCTAGAGCCATGCAGAGGAAAGGTTTCCTCTCCATGCTCCTCTCCGAGCATCCTCGGAGTCACGACTCTATCTGGCACTTGAGCTACCACGCCTGCACGCTTTCTTAGTGCCAGCAAACAACGAGTGATGACGGATTACGATAATCTATTGCTTACCTGCAAGCCATGGAGGCCGACCTAGCAGCTTGCCAGTCTCGTGGTCTTCCATCCAGAATTCTCCGTCTGTGTGCTCTTGTCTGAAGGTTGTCTTCGCATCTGGAAGATATGCCACGATCTCACCGATTCGAAACACGTAGGACCCTTGCTGAGGGAGTTCCGTAAGCATCTTATGGACAATGTCTTCCTTCGTGTTGAAGTTCTGACGTGAATCAGTCATACAGTCTCTTGGCTTAAAAGCTGACTCGGAAAGTTGCACTTACTGTGTCTATCATTTGATTCATGGGTTCGTCAAAGCGCTTTTTTTCCTTGATGCGGATGAAGAGTTGCTGATCGTATATCTTCTTGATTTGGGCAAAGAGTTCTTGGTGATAAAGGACATCTTGATCAGGCACGAAAATTTCCTTTTCTCCTGCATCGGAGTCCTTGGGACTTTCAGCTTCAGACCCCGCTACTTCATCACCACCGATATTGAGACCCTCCTCTTCATCGCGTTGGGTACGAACGCGCTTCGAAGGCTTCTCTGACATGGCTGCGAAATGAGACCGGCGCTTTGCCGGATGTTTGGCTATCTTGGGCACCGCTTCGTCCTCTGAGTCCTCACCAAAGATTGCCGCGGCCTTGGCGCGCAGCTCTTCTCGCGTATGCCTTGAGTGACGTTTGGTCGATAGCCCTTTCGAAGTAGACGAGGCTGCACGCGCTTCTTCCTCTACTTCTTCACCAGACGGGATGGGCTTTTGACGACGTGAACCTCCCTTTGCGTCCTTGGAAGACGATGCGGCATCCGTTTGTGCTTTCAGTGCGTGTGAAGGCTTGTCCTTCTTCGGTCCGACTTCTTCCGAAGGGGCTTGATCTTCAGAAGGGCTGATCATGCTAGCTGGTGCCGGATCCGGGTAAACAACGGTTTGGGCAGTGAGTGGGTGCTTCAAGCAAACCTTGCATGGACAATCTTCTGGTGGCTGCTGCTGCTGGAGGAAATGAATGTGGTGAGAGAACTGAGCAAAAGAATCGAATTTTTTGTTGTTAGGGTGGCCGAAGATGTACCAATCGATCTTGGATTTCTGTGGAATTTGTCAATGTGGGCGCAGATGAGGTTGCGCTGACGCTGGACGACTAACCTCTACACCCGATTCACCAACTTTACGTGGACATGGCCACGCACTATAACCGGTGGGAATCTTGCTATAAATGGTGCCTGATATCAACAAGGTTAGCTACGAGTGCTTGCCAGCCTTGATATGTATGTATATATATCGGAAGAGCAAAAAACACTCATGATTAGAGGCGGATTGCGGTAAAAATATCATGGAAATGCATGCTACCCTAGGTAGCCGTGAGTGCCACTGGTGGTTTTGATGTCTTGAGACTCAAATCATTGCTCACTAGGACAAGGATAGTTCTCCACCAACTCCTCATCTTCGTGGCAGCGTTTGGGCCCAATAAACGTGAACAACACTTCCAACATGAGAAAAAAACATATGACTTGCAGATGTAACAACCATATACGAGTGAGCTGGACTTGAACACACTTCGCCAAAGTCCGCACCTTGTGGCCTTGAAAAACAAGACCAGCAAAGACGGTCCTATGCAACACACTCAAAGGACAGGAGGCTCGATTCGAGGTCATTGATCATCTAGAAACTGGGATTGACACAATACGCGTTCTCTGTGATGGTAGGCAACATGATAACAATTTCTGACTCACCCTTACTGATTTTCGTCTCTAGCCTCTTCGCCATCTCGACTGCAAAAATTGAAAGAGCCTTCTTCGTCAGGTCATAGTCGTCTGTGCTCTTGTAGCCTTGCTTCAACTCCGTATCGTTGGGTAGGTGGTTCTGATCACCGTCGGTGAAGAAGAGGGAATAATCAGGTGGTTGAGTCATAATGGCTCGCTGCTGGGTGTTATTGGGAGTTGCGTGCGTTGGGCTGATGTTGTTGTTGTCTTTTCCGGGTATTAGCAGAAGCAAGCAAAGGGTAAAAGTTGGGGGATGGTTGTTGCTGAGCGAGGTTGGTGCTGAAAGAAAGAAAATTTGCAAGAGATAACACCAGGTGTCTGTGGGAGCTAGTTAGGATGCACTAAGGATTTACGAGGATCAGTCCTCGAGCATCCTCGCGCAGATCGATCTGTTTTTACTGGATGAGACTGTCCGACCCAATGCACGGTTGGTGTTCAGCCGAAGCGTCTCGGCATCCAGAGAAAGACAGCTTTGTCGAAAGTGGGACCGTCTATACTTCGGCCGGACAGCGTGGAAGTCCACTGCCTCTGGGCTGACAGATGGTTATGATAAGGAATCAGTGCAAGAGGTAAGAAAGACACCGTCCAACATCAGACGGTGGGTTATATGTGGGTCATATGTGAGTAAGGGCGAGCTGGTCAAAGCAACGATATCCGAAGATTAGCTCCATAGCAGCATATTACATTGTTACGGAAGGGGAAGGATTTCCCCGTCTCTGAGAGAGGAAACCAGGTGTTAGGTTGGGGAAGGTTGGGAAGGCATGCAATGGCATTCTGTTCCATTGAAGCGGCTTATGGTTCGATGAGCAGCCTACAGGAGCGAAAAAGCTAGAGAAATCAGGATCGAACTGTCATGAAGTCTCGAAGGGGTGTAAGACTAAGATGCTGAGAGTCACTGAACGCTTCTGGAGAGAGCGTGGACACGCGAGGCATTGGTCACAGTCAGCAGGACTTTGAGCTTTATTGGGGGCTTAGAAAGCTGTTTTTGGTGTCGGGGAGGCATTTTGCAAGGCAAGCCAATTCGTGGTTAATTTCGTTGGCTAATATCTGCAGGAAAAGGTGCCACAGAGCTCAACTATGAGGGATGGAGAAAGCTCGAGACGAGGTGAGGTCTGCAGTCTTGGCAGTCCACTTGCGCTAATACCCCTCGTACGGAGAAAGGAAGCTCCTAGCCTCTCCTCCTACGGACCTGGCGTATGAGATGGTTGATGTGGGAAGTCGCCATATGTTCCTTTTTACTATGTCTGTATCTCAGTCCATCTATGTTTTAAGGGAGCTTGCGACTTTAGTGGCAAAAGAGGTCTCCGAACATGCGTAACGATTTCAGGACTTTTCATTCTCGAAAGTCTCTCCAGATTCCCTACTAGCTTTGATCACAGACCAGCATCATGAGATTTGCCAGCCTAACGACTACCTCAATATCATCTCTCCCAGCAGATTCGTACATCTATAAGATTGTAATTGTGAACGGCAATCTTGCAGCAATCTCTTCAGACGACTCTCTCCGTCTTCTTGATCTCCAAACCCTGCGAGAAATCGCCGGCGGAGTCCTGAACAATGTGCATGATGGCGTGACCTGCTTGCAAGTTGTGGACCATGATCCCCATTCATTGTTGACAGCAGGCCGGGATGCTGTGGTGCGGCGATACGACTTGCGATCTGGGCAGAAGACCATGCAATTTGGCAGTGGTCAGCAAACGCAGGAAAACCGCAACTACACATGAGGAAATTGACCAGCTTCTTAGACAAAAATGCTCCATACTTATCTCTAGCTTCTCACGGCACAAACATCGCTGCTGGTACAGAGCTAAGTCATTCTCAAGCTGCCGTACTTCTATGGTCTCATACCTCTCTCAAACCCGGAAGTAATTTAAAGACGGGCTCATTACAATTACAGGGACATGCGATCTCCAAACAGACTGCTGCAGAATTATATCGAAAGCCACAACGACGATGTAACAGAAGTGCAATTCCATCCCACTCTGCCAAGATGTCTCCTCTCCGGTAGCACTGACGGCCTCGTCAACATTTACGACATATCTATTTCCGACGAAGATGACGCTCTCGTCCAAGTACAAAACCACGGCAGCTCAATCAACCATGCTGGATTTCTTTCCAACTCGGACTTTTTTGCTCTGAGCCATGACGAGACATTCTCTATGTATCATCTCAATGGGCAAGGAGATTCGACAGATGAGCCTTCGCCGACGGTATTTGGGGATCTGAGACCAAAGCTGGACTCTGAATATGTTGTCGATGTCATTCCTCCTGGCAGCGGCGGCGTCGAAGCGATCGTCGGCGTTGGATCACACAGGTCAGCATCATTGGTCCGCTCTCGCCCCTCCTGCCTCGAACCTGACATATTGTTTCGAGCAGCAAGCAACATCTAGATCTCATACCTCTCCGCCTGATCGACGAATGGTCATTTGATGCCAGCCAAACCATCCGGCTTCCAGGCGCGCACGGAGAGGAGATCGTCCGCTCCATTCATGTTAACAATGAGGTAATCATCTACGAAGGTGTACATGCCTAGCCTAACTGACCACCCTTTTAGGACGGTACTATCTTCACCGCGGGCGAGGACGGTTTAGTAAAGGCGTGGCGGACGTCTATAGGTGGAGGGGGTGAAGAGCAGGAGTAAGCGGAAGCAGAGAAGCCGAGGAAGAAAAAGAAAAAGAGTGTAGCCGATGGTGGGAACGAATCAGGTAGATTTAAACCGTATTGACACTATAATGCTGTGCTTTACCGGGAAGATATCCAGAAGTCAAATGTACAATGACATAGGCCATTCCCTGAATGCACTAGCCCAGGTACAAAGCCCCACAAACATCCATTAGATGTGCAAACGACACCCCTTTCCTGTAGTATCTGACATGATTGCCCCAACGCCTTGCTAATGTGCTTCGCTATGCCGCAACTCCTCGCTTGAAAGGTAAACGCAAGAATCAAGTCTCCATCTAGATATTCCAGCGCGTGGCTACTGATTGAGGTTATCGGAAACCAGGGAAGACAGCGCCAAGGGCTCTTCGCCCTAAACATGGCTGTTAGCAATAGCTTCAAGGCTATGAAACAATGTTCTTGATGGGGGCATACACATGGGCATCCGTGCCAGTCTCTCCGCCTCCGTCTCTTCTATCGTCGGCTCACGCCCCACCAATGCACTCATCCTCCTGCTGATCCATTCTCTTCTTATAGTAGTGTCAGCCGGCGGTCTTGTCTGCACTGCCGACACCTCGGGATGCGGAGCTGCGATTGGACTCGACGCTGCCCTGTTCCCCACGGCGACCATCTCGATCTGACTCGTTGTCGGCGCTGCACTTGGGGCACTGAAGATTCTCCTATCCCTCCCGCATACCCTCCTGAGGTTATTGAAGCGCCCGCTACTCACCCTTCCCTGGGTCCCAACCCATCCAGTCTGTGACCGCCTCATCTCGCGCGCAAGTCTCATCCTTCCAGCTCGACGCTCGTAGCGCACCATTGCATTAGTGACCGGCTCGTATGTGTAGGCATTTTGCTCTTGAGGGACCACTTTAGCTTTACAGACGGGGCAGAGGGAGCTGTTGGCCAGTAGAAAAGGATCGATACATGCAGGATGGTAGATGTGGTGACATGGGAGGGAGCGAACCGTGGTTTCGCGAGGGATGAAGTCATCGAGGCAGATAGGACATGTTGGTTGCGCCCAAAGAGTGTGGTCTGGTGTGGAAGAGGCTGGCGCAGCTGACTCTGAAAGCGCTCGTGAAGAAAGTTCCCCCGGCTCATTGGTGTCAGTTGATTTGCTTTCGTTGGGGACATAGATGAAAGTGGGAAGATTGTTGACGGCTTCTTGAGAGACACGCAACCGCTTGATGCCAAGGGTTTCGAGGTCGACTTCACCGCTTCGGATGCGGCGTTCAAGAGCGCGACGATTGCGTCGCTGATAGTAATGCATCGAGATAGATGTTAAGCCAATGATGAAGAGAACGATGCCAAGTACAATTAGCAGAAATGCCCACAATGTGGGCAGACTGGTGCCACCATTCAATCCGAAGGTCGTATAGAGTCGAACGTAATCTGTAGGATCCAGTTGCTCCTGCGCGAGGATGTTTTGCACCTTAGCACTTGATGCATTGCGAGAGTACTGCGCGAGCTGCTGCATAATAATCCCTCCATCGACGCCTGGTACAGCATAGACGGGGTATTTGTTCTCCGACTTCCATTGTCCTCCATCGTTTAAGTCCCAAGTCCCATCTGATACCGGTGGAGGCGTACCAGTGCTGTTGTTTGGGGTATAGAATATGAGTCCGTCGAGGCCTGGCACCTCACGGGCGGCGGCAAGGTAGGATTTTGTACAGTCTGCAGAGAACCATGGCGCAAATCCCAAGTACAAGTATTGCACGGTTGGTAGATCACCTATTCGGGTGACATTACTTGGGACGTATTGCATCGATGCATTGAAGCAGGGGTCGGACGAATCCAAGTCAGGAACAAATAACAGCCCTTCGACGTCTCCTCCGGCCTGATTGGTGGAGAGTGTTTGGACATGATTGTTGTTGAAAAGTTCAAAGGAAATGCTGACCTAGCAGAGGCTGATTCAGTCGATCGAAGGGGCGGAAATTGCGAGGGGGAAACGAACATTGACCCGTGCTCTCTGGGGCTCAGCCTCATTTGAAAGAGGATCGCTGAAGGCAAGGACGAAAGTATCGACTGATTGAGCGGCTGCGCGACGTTAGCTGCTCCGTGGAATGAAAGTGTGTAGAAGCTATACCCATCGCGCGATATTCACCTCGGACAGCAGCACCCTTTTGTACTTCAGACACTCATCGTCCGGGAAGGCAAACAAAGGAGCACTATCAGGCTATATAAAATTGAATGAGAAAAGCAACATGTCAATGAAGATTAACGAAAGGATGAATAAATTAAATGTTTGGATGGTCAAATGCTTGAATGTTGGTATAACGATAGAATGAGAGAATGAACGAAGGCGGGCGTTTAGGAACTTTTGCATCAATCCTTGTCCTTGATCCCTCGATCAGATCCTGTTCAGCCTTACGGAAAACTATTCGGCCCGAGATCTTGCGCTAATGCGGTTCATCCCGAATGCTTTCGAACCTTCTCACGTCGTGTCTCTACTCTCTTCCCTAATATCATGTACCTACTGATCTCAGCTCCAGATTCTCAACTTTGCTGTCTCTTACTCGCTGATCTTGAGTGAAAAATTACGCTTCATCTCTTCTCAGCAATATGGCATCAAGTGGCACATTTTGACTGACTGACTGACTGCCTGACCTATCTACTGGATTAGGATCTTTACGGGAGGTAATACTCTACATCACAACACCACTGCAACTCTTCATCTACTCTTCATCTGCTTGGCATCAACTTGACATTGAACTGTTTTGCGAACTTTTCATTCTCGGCTTTTTGCTCCGGGCCCCCACCTCTGCTATCGACCGTTTCAATCCGCCTCTGCAAGCGTGTCCCACGATATAGTCTCTACGACGCCCCACATGCCTCCACTGGTAGGGAAGAGCAAATCCAAGGGTCGCGAGGGGAGACAGTCTCGCAGCCGCAATTCTACTCCAACTTCCTCGGCCAGCGGATCCATAGCGCCATTACATACAGCCTTTCTTGATATTCTTATTGGGAATCTCATGGTGCCCTCAAATATCAGCTACGATGATATACTCGAGCGCCATGGAGGCGCTGGAGGCATACCAGATCCAAGCCACCTGACAATTATGGCCAAGGACTTGAAACAGTTGAGCGACTTGGCATCTGCACGAAGCGATACTTGCAACGCTGGCATGCGTGCACTGTCCGAGAAAAGAAAAGAAGCCTTAGACGAGGAAAGGCAGGTGGAACAAGAGGCTCGCGCGCGCGAAGCAGAAGAGAGGGAAACATTAAAGACGCTGAAGAAAGAAGCCGAAGAGGAAGATGACGAGATTAGAGGAAGAAAGGGCGGGAAGGTGAAGAAAAAGAAAGAACGAAGTAGTGTCAGGGAAGAACGACCTTTGGCCCATGGGGCACATGGTCTGGCAAGGCAAGATGGGCTGGACCTGCCACTCAAAGGTACGTCTGTGATTCGTCGGCTATCCGCCAACACACCTTCCTCCAATTTGTTATCCTTCACTTTGAATCCTAAACACTGCATTATCTGGTACATTACTACGATCCTGCATCACTACATCCACATCTTTGGTCGTAAGGTCCGACAATGGAGAGTATGACACTCCCCCACTCAAGGCTTCCCATGCGTTCTGGCATCCTGAAGCGTTAAATTCTGGGGCTTTCCACTAGGGAGAGACAGCGAGATCGCGAGAATGCACAAGTCAGCTCGCGGAAAGATGTCAAGTAATGCTGACACTCCCAAAGCTTCGCCCAGCCAGGCTCCCAAGGACACGCCGTCACCTCGAAAGAGAAAACTCGATGCAGTGTGCGGAAGCTCGTCATCTTTATCGGAAGCTTCACCGCTTGCATCACCATTGACCGCTCCTCCGCCTTTAAATCCAGAATCTGCCCGACCATCCCCATCGCCCAGTACCTCCTCTGATGGTGTACATCAGCCTCCACCGGCAGCAAGCATAGCACAATATCAGACCTTTGGGCCCAACCCCCTCACGTTTGATGATCCTACTGTCTACGAAATCCGACCCATCACAGATGGCATGACCGACGAAGAAAAGAAAGAAATCTACTGCGTCGCTTCATTCCCCCATGATGATCTCCATGAACTTATAGCTGTCCCTCGAGGAGGCATGGACAAGGACTTCAGCAATGCAGTCAAACCAAATAATCAAGTTGCTGCTCATACTTTTTCAGCTTATCTTGACAACTATTTGAGACCTTTGAAAGAGGAGGACATTGGTTTTCTAAATGAGCGAGTAAGTCTAGGGGAGAAAGGAGACACATTCCAAGCTGAAAAAATGTAGGGTGATCGGGTGACTCTATTCGCCATGCCTCGCAGAGGCAAGCGTCATTACACCGATGTCTGGGCTGAGGAAGACGGCTCCATGTCGCGGGACACCCCAGAACAAGACAGACTGCCACCCAATCAGCCTCGCGGCTCCCTTGATCAAATGGACGATGAGCTTGCGGAAACAGATCAGATATCTGGCGGTCCGTTACTCAACCGCCTTCTCTCCACCATGCGTTTCGAGCATCGTACACCACCAACAGAGGAGAAGTCACAGCTAAATGGCCTTCCCAACGGTATCGGAGAATCCTCCCTTACCAATGGCGACCTCCCTAATGGCACCAGTCACGACTCGGCACCTACCGAAGAGTCCAACAATAAATCTCAGACCTTCCCGGCCGCCACCGCCCTCCCGTCATTCGACCGTCCCCCAACCAACGCCCAGAATCTCTCACACGCCCAAATCGACGAACGTCTTAAAGCCGAATTACGCCACATCGGCTTCCTTTCCCCAGACGACGAGCCAGACTATGACGCTCATTGCGATGACGAGATCGCAGAGCGCTTGCGTTATCTGCAGGAGAAATTGAGAGAAGTGAGCGTCGTCAACGGAGCAAGAAAACAGAGAGTCTTAGAGCTGGCTCAGGAACAAATGGCTTATCAAGAGTTTGCAACCATCCTCGAGGATCTCGATGGCCAAGTACAACAAGCGTATCTGAAACGTACGCGCACGTTAGGCAAAACGAAGAAGAACACCAAGAGGCCCGGAGGTGCGGGTGGTGGCAGTCATCCTATACAAGGCGGTGTCTCGACTGCCAATGGTGCTGTGGGTGGAATCAGCAAACCGGGCATTGGTGATGTAGCGAGGCAATTGATGAATCGGAGGGCGAAATGGGAGGCGCAAATCGGGCCTGTATTTCCACCTGATATTAGGAGAGTCAGGGGACCTGGGGAGGGGATCTTTACAGACGCGGTCATGGAACCATTGATGAGGCAGGAGAGGGAGAGGTGGGAGGAAGGTGAGGAGTAGGATATGGTTCGAGAGGTCATGTTGGGCGCTCTTCTGAATAGATACCCCCAAGGCTTGAGATGATTGATATGGCTGCGATGACTTGTTCACGGTGAACGTCGATTCCTGCCCATGCTGAAAACTCATTACATACTCATCCTCCATCAAATGAACCTACGTACGACAGAATAAAGTCCAATTCTGGAAGGCCGTCCTTTCCGGTCCGAGCTCCACAGACCTGCCAATATCATCGACATATAATCTGCACATCCCCCCAAGCCTTCAACCTCGCCGTCAACTCCTTCTCACTAATCATCAGATCCGTACATATCTCGTCAAAGCAATGCGTGCCGTCGAGATATTTCCCCAGATCCACATTCTCCACCCCCCCGCCCATCCTCTCCTTCTTCCGCCCCTCCCCCTGCTTCGACCGATGGAAATTCGCCTTTGTCAATCGCCTCGAGCCGGATCGGTGGATCGACGTCGCCAACGCGTACTTGTGCACCCTGTACAAGAAGCCCTTGATGACACCGAACGTGACGAAGCGTCTCACGTCGATCCGACCCGCCGCGTCCGCATGCTCCATGCACCAGCTCTTGACACTGTGCCCCTGTCTCAACGACAGGTAGAGCTCCGCCAACTGCGTACCACTCATCGCCCTCCCCTGCCCCTCCTCCTCCGCGCCCAACCCATCCCCGTGGCCCAGAGCGACATACCTCGCGCACTCCGCCTGCATCGCCTGACTCTCGACAAAGGCCGCCACCTCCGCCGTCGGCGCGTAGATGGCCCCGAAGCTGAAGATGTCGAGCAAGAGCACGCAGCCGTAGTAGAGCAGGTGCCGGATGGCCTTGCGGACGAGCTTGAAGTCGGCGTCGGCGAGCAGCGCGATCTGCTTGACGCTGTTGACGCCGTCGATCCAGGGGAGCAGGCGCAGCATGGTGAGGTCCCAGTTTTCGTCGACGAGGCCGGCGAGGCGGACGGTGGCGAGGGGCACGTGGTGGGCGTGGAGGGGCGGCGGGGGCGGGTAGGTGGGGAAGAGTTTGACGTTGAGGGTGTTGGAGGCGTCGATGGGGATCATGGCCTCGGAGTAGTTGTTCAGGTCCTCGAGCAGGATCTCGCACAGGGCGTAGACCTTGCCGCCGCCGCCGCCGTCCCGGGACAGGAACTGGCCCTGCTCCTCCAGCGTGCGGAAGAGGGCGTTCAGCTTCCGCACCACGGGGACGTAGGAGCCGAAGTCCGCCTCCTCGGCCAGCACGAGGCAGAAGTTGAAGGTGTAGGCGTTGCGCGCGTAGCGGGGGGAGGCGATGTGTTGCGGGTAGGAGAGGATGCGGTGGTGGGAGTGGGTCAGGGTCACGAGGCCGTTGTTGCAGAGGGTCGGGTGCGGGATGAGGAGGGAGGCGATCGGGGGGAAGTGGATGAGAGGGATGGCGGGGGAGGAGGGGGAGGCGGTTATGGAGGAGGCGGGGACTTGGTGGAGGACTTTGGGGCCTGATGGGGGTGATGTTAGCTGAGGAGGTTTTGGTGGGTTCGGGATGGGAGTGGGGTGGGGTGGAGTGGAGGGGGAGGAGACCTTCGGTGACGTCGAAGGTGGCGAAGAAGATTGCTTTGAGCATTTCAAGGGATTTTGGTACGTTCACATGCCTTGAAGGCGGTGTGGTTGGCGTTGTTGCTCACATCATGGTTATGGAATGGGGTTGGAGGAAGAACGTTAGGGTAGGGTTGACTGCGGTCCCACTACGGCTTCATATACGGTCCGACACCTTGCACCAACATTGTCTCACTGGTCAGGTGTAATAGTTTTTCGACCCATTGCATAACTTCATTGAAAAGGAAAAGGTCTGTATATTGAAGCTTGCTCAAGAAATACGATAGCGTCCGATTCTCGTGACTGATCCCTTCTTAACTTGACAGACCCGAGCCAGCCCATTGGAAAACCCCCCCATTCCAATTCCTCACTACCATTCTTTCTTTCTTCGAATGATTCCCAAAGTACACTTTCGCCGTCGAAGATACTCTTCTGGATTCACTTCTAAGATGTGCCTCCATTCACCCATATGTGCCGCGTCTTCTTCCATCTGTTGGGACTCTGAAACACCCGAAATCTTGGAAGATCGTCTCGATACATCATTCCCCCGGATCGTCGAAAACTGGATACTGTATGGGAGAAAGGTCAGGGTCTGCGAAACCGCTTTCAGACTTATCCGAATCCTTATCGCGTTCATGTGGTTGCCAGTCCCCTGTCTTTGCCCACTTGATCTCATTACCTATATAGTACAGCCTCTCGTTTTCCGATGGCTCTGCTGTCTCGGCTCCCTCGCGCTCCCGCGTCAGCTTGACAATGGCATCACGGTGGGGGTTTATCTTGGTACGTAGTTCCATGACAGTTGGTCGGTCCAGCGGGATGGGTCTAAGGCAATCCTGGATGAGCTTGGAGAGTTGCGAGCTGTACGGAGGGTTCCGATCGGTCTGGCTAGGTTTGATGCCTTCTTCATCGACGATGTCGCCTTGTGGTTTTAGCAAGAAACCGTGGACTCTGTGCAAGGTCATCAGTTCAAACATCGTGGCTCCAATTGCCCAGACGTTAGTGTGTGCAAGGATAGATACTGGGTGTGTTTCGAAAATAGGTAAAGGTGGATCTTTTTGTTCCTGATATCGTTCATCAACTGGCGTGCATGCAGGAGTAAAGAATATACTTACCGGCGGCTTGTACCCCGGAGTTCCAGCCATGCGAAGGTTGCTTGGATTATCAGGATCATTGGCATAGGTCTTGCGAGCGAGGCCCCAGTCGCCCAGTTTAGTTTTTGGATAGAAAGGAATCCCACTTTTCCTGTCCTCCGTGTCCAGGAAGACTGATCTCAATTAGCATGGCAAGAGTTGGGAAGAATTCAGGGGTCGGACTATTTCCGGGCTTTATGTCCCGGTGCACAATCTCGTGACCACCCCAGCTTCCGTCTGTTGGCCCAGACCGCATCGCTACAGCGGCCTCCACGAGATGGTAAAAGGCGTCCCAAAGAAACGGTTCCGGCATGTACAGCCTGCTCAGTTTCAGTACCTCGGCGTCGATCCCAACCCGTGGACAAACGAACCTAAATCTCCTATATCTTTTGTATAGTCTTCTGAGGTCGCCATGAGGGCAGTACTCCATATAGATGCGGTGAACTTGATCATGAAGAAATCTCCTATATGCTATATATCGAACCACAGATGGACATGCGGTCTCTTTCATCATTCTCATCATCTTGACTTCCATGGGCATTTCCGGTCTCCATATTCCTTTGCGGACGCCCATTTGTTTGATTACCATTTGCTTTGAGACTGTCAGGAAATTTGTCAGTCACATAGAGAAGGTGCCATTTACTTCAATTAGGGTTCCATTGCCGTCACGCTTCTCCCATAGACCTGCCTACGCACATTTCGGAGTCAGCGTTGCCTTTTAAAGGCAAAACTCAGACTCGCAAGACAGGCCTCGGGCGTGGAAGAGCCTTCTGCTCCGGACATATGTCTTGCAACTCAGAAATTGCACTATAAAGAAAGGAAATACTCCAAAATGTACGAACCATACCGAACCCCCCCGCACCCAGTGGTCTCTTCCCTACCCAACCATTACCAAGGCCGGAATATGACTTGATGAACTCAGCAGCAGCGGGTTCCCATTTTGCATAATCACTGGCCTCGGCGGTCGCCGCAGCCTTTTGATGCCATGCGACGTCGTAGGCCTCAACCTGATCAGAGTCGTATCCCTCGTCGATATCGTAAGGCTCTGACGGGGTTTTGCTATTCGGTTCGCTTTGCCCTGGCAACTGTGGTGTCTCGAGCCCTAGATTTGAGACCCCTAGAGGTCTTTGTCCGGGTACATGGCCGGCCTCGTACGGTTCAAACCTATTACCTGGCCTTTTGGTGCGCTGCGGACCGATGCCATTATTGCCATGCTCTTCGGGCAAGAGACCGTTGCCCATTCTTAGAGGACCATTCGGTATTCCCCAGCTTGCTACCCTTGATATGCTGCCCTATATCTTCAGAATATTGATAGCGGTTTAAGCCACATACAGTGACTTGGAAAATGGTAGGAGCATGGTCAAAATTGTGATTGTTTACAAGTTCCAGTGGAATCAAACTTCCTCTGCTGATGGTCTTGCTGAGCACGCTGGGAAAGGATAGCGAAACGAGAAAGAGAAGTACAACGACCACCATTGGGGGGGCTATGGACAGAAACTTGCGACAAAGCAGATGGTATGACTGAGCATCCGTTTGCGGCGATGAAAAGTAGCAAGCATCGCTGGAATGTGAATCTGTTTAGATAGACAACAAATTCATAGGAGACGACTGATAGCAGTGAGTGTTGATGCACGAAATCACCTGGAAGGGAAGTATTATTTCAATGTTCACAGGGCAGCAACTTGAGTTGGACTCGAAGAGGGCAAGATAGAGTTCCGACAAATATTGTGTCAACTGATGATAAGGAACTCTTGTGGGGTTTACATTGGTGAGATGGGAGACTTGCGTATATCTTCGGAGATAAGAGCGGAATTTTTGGGAGAAATGATGTAAGGAGGAAAGGAGGAAAGGTTGGAGGAGAATGGGGGAAATGCAAATGGCAGACGATAATATCCATCATTCGTGGGGTCCGGATCCAAAAGAGGAGACTTGCATGAAGCCTCTTTTCTCTTTTCCGAGTACAGTACTTCGTACCGGGGTGTCACTAAGGAATTGATTATTGTGGGCCTTGGTGTTGGCCCGTTGATCACTTGATCAATTCTCCATACTTATGTGGTGCGCATAGATTTCCACGCAGATATTCGGCATTGGCGTATCAATCTACATGTACTTTATCTGGTGGTACATGCGCTTGAACTTGTTATCGAGAGGCAAGGAGGTTAGATTAATTAAGATGGAGAAGGTCGGAACGAGGTGGAAAGCTGCATGAACTAATAAGGAGGATACCGTATTACCGTATTATTGTTAGTCCTCTCGTCCTATCACTATGAGGAATAAATAGTATGAGTTAAGGAAGTTAAGTAATTAAGTACTGTAAAGTAAGATACGTATAAATTTCCACCACAGATCTATAGCCCCCTGCAAGAGTCAAAAGAATCCCGCAATTTAGTGTCAGATCTCAACTCAAGCTGGCATAGTCGCTTGGAATAGAGCCAACCAATTCCTTTTCTTTTTACTCGTCCATCGCTCATCGAAACCCAAATTGCATGAGCCACGACGACAAGCCTTGCCCTCTTTTTGGCCCTCTTTTAGCCCCCCCCCCCCCAGTAATGACTCTCATATCGCCTTACCAATAATTTAATCTTTCCGCTGTCGTCGTCGCCCTCATCACCGCCCTCCCTTTTCCATCAGCCTCCTTCCCAACACCCTCCCACCTTCACCTTCAACCTTCCCACTCCCCACACCGAACCCCGTTTCAATGTCATCGGCGAACCGACGTCACGATGGCTTCAGAGAACAATGACCGTACCCTTCCACGTCATTCAACTAATGCCGGAGTACGTCGGGGCAGCAGAAACGCTTCCCGCACCAGCTCTCTCAGACTCTCAATCATCGAAGAAGATGCCAATTACGTGGCACTGCCTCCCACCTCCCCCCCGAAAACACACAATCGCCCTTTCCACCGGAGATTCTTAGGAGAACCTCCCCGCTATAGCGGACGATCACCTCCTACATATACACTATGGGATGTGAAGGGTCCCAAGGGGGAGAAGTTTGAAGACTTGAGGAACAATGCATATGTCGCGCGGAGAGGTGGATGGCGGCGCATCTGTGTCGTAGCCGTGATCTTCATTGCCTGCCTCGTCGCTCTGGTTGTCGGACTCGCCGTCGGTCTGCATAAAAAACACAGCAGCAGGTAGGTGTGAAGGAAGCGGTCAAAATCCCAATCGGCTGACAACCCCGTGCAGTAGCGCTACCCCTGCGGTGCCCTCCTCGAGCTCCTCCCCCAGCGCCGGACCTTTCCCAATCGGCTCCTATACCTTCATCACCTTCCTCGACACCACCTCCACCAACTGCACTTCCAACCCGGAAAGCTGGAAATGCGAACCCTCCGTCACCTACGCCACCTCCCCCACCGACTCCCAGGCCACCTTCAACTGGCTCATCTCGGCCGCGGTTTCCACTGCCGACCCCGCGTCCAACCTCACCATCTCCTCGACGGACAATCCCTTCTCCATCGACTTCTCCAACGCAACGCTCACCCTCGTCGATGCCGGCACGGACAACGAGCGCTACACCTTCACCACGACGGTCGAAAAGTCCGTCTTCCCGTCCTTCAACGTCAGGTGCGACTACAACGACACCCTGTTCACGGCGGATCTGTACACCAGCAAGCCGAAATCGTATCCGAGCAACTCGACCGGTGCGACGTCGTCGGTGGGCGGCGCTTTCGCCAATTGGAACTATGCCGTGGACGCGACGCAGTCGATCGGCGGCGGGGTGGACGTGCCGGCGTGCTACGAATTGAACAACGGGCAGCCGGGGGACCGGGTCACCTCGGGCTACGACGTGATGCCGGCGGCCGATTTCTGCAGCTGCGCGTACAAGAATTACGATCCTTGATCCCGGGGCGGCGGCCTCTCTACTTCTCCTTTATACATCGCCGGTTTGCATGATATACAGAAAGCAAGGCGTTCCGGGCGGGCAAACCGTGAGCGTTGTCAACAATATCTCCTGAGGAGGGACGGAGTCTAGGGGATATTTTCGACTGGAGTGGAGATACATGTGGTGGATATCTGGAGATTGTATACGGAGTGCACACGGATTGTAATGCGTGACTTGTATCTATCTTCTCTTCGTTGCTTTTGAGCAATACCCTTTTGAATTGATATCAAACTTGAACCGCTCTCCCGATCAGTATCGCACTGACTTGAAGCCATCCATCAATATCGAGCCGTGGGTACTGACGGACGATTCGTCGGCTCTCCGTCCTAAATGTTCCCCTCCGCTACGATCTTCTCCATCGTGGACGCCGTTTGCGCCCGATGCTCAGCCACAGCCGTTGCCACCTTTTTGTCCCACTCGCCGTTGATAGCCTCGGTGACTTTGCGTACCATGGTCTGCCGGTCGTCCTCCAAGCCCTGCCTCAACCGCGACTCCCCTTCCGCCGTCGCCACTTGATGTGCCTGCAGTCGCTCCTTCAGCGTACGCTTGTTCGTAGGCGTCTCTGCCGAGCCGCTGCTGGATGGTCGAGGTAGAACGGTCCAATTAATTCTCTTGGTCTGACCGGGTGGAGCAGTGCCCCGATAGCCATGGTCTATCAATGCCCATATCCGCTCCCCGAGCTCGTAGTTGTCAGCCCTTTTCGCTTCCTCGCGGCTTACGCTTAGATTTTTCAGTTTCAGGTTCCTCAGCTTCACCAGTGTGATTGTCTTGTCGAGCGTTGCAAGTGGCAGAGTCTTTGCATGCTCGACGGCTTTCACTTTTTCATGGCATTCTGGGTATGCGCTAAAGCTAGGATTGCCCATTCTAATACATACAGCCTCGACGGTGGTTTGGTCGTCTTCGGTCTTGATGATAGGTGGCTTGAGAATGAGCTTGACACGGCACATGCTCCCACGTTCGCGGTGCTTTTGTGTTAGAGTCACAGTACCATCAAATCTGATGCCGTAGCAGTTGTGTTGCGGGTCATCAATTGGTGACGGTAGCCTTGTCCATTCAGCCTGGTTGACGGTTTTGTAGAGGAAATCTCCTCTGGCAACGTTGAAGGGGTAGAGCTCACGTGGCAGCGCCGGTGGCGCCATGGGAGAAGAAGGCGAAGCTGGTGGCGCCATGGGAGAATAAGATGGAGCTAGTGGCACCATGGGAGAAGAAGATGAAGCTGATGGCGTCATGGGAGAAGATGAAGCTGGTGGCGCCATGGGAGAGGATGAAGCTGGTGGCGCCATGGGAGAAGAAGATGAAGCCGATGGCGTCATGGGTAAAGGCGAAGCTGGTGGCGCCATAGGAGAAGAAGAAGAAGCTGATGTCGCCATGGGAGAAAAAGGCGAAGCTGTACAAGCTGTCGGTACCTTGGGGATTCTTTCAATTGGAGTCTAAACCTGCCTGGAAGCTGAATGCTATCTTGCAAGATGATGTCGGTCCGATAAGGACACGCACGCCGAGTGACCGAGTGATGGTATCAGCAGGGCATAATTAGTGTGCAGAAATTCGTGGCAAAGAAAGCAGGGTCAAGCGTGATGCCGCAAGCCAGCTCAGTGCAGGAGAGCTGACAATTCAGTATACTAAAATATGTAGACGTACGCTGCAAGAGGATGCACAAGCAATAATTCTGGTCCTAATGGCACATGGCGAGGGGAAAAAGATGAAGGTGAAGGACCAAAAAACGGCCGTCTTTGCTTGGGAAAAAGCTAGAGTCGCTAAGCTTATTGAGACGCAATGTAAATGAATGAAGAAGGCACAACTGCCATTGATTTCAATGGAAGGAAAGAGAGACGCAGCAAATCACTGACAGAACAATTGAATCTTCGCGCAAGACCGCATCATGTCAGCACAGCACCCATCAAGTTTATGCCTGTAGCATGATACACAAAGGGAAGGTAATCACGGTCAAGTCCTCACCGGGCAATCAGAGCAAGCTGTATCGATTCAAGGAAACTCTATCCAGCTGAGCCTTCACTTTTGCTTTCGGCTACGGTATCGTAAGGACTGTAGTAGACTAGAGTAGAAAGTAATTCAATAAAACTCCATCGACCCTTAACTCAAGGGTTTGAGAAGAATGCTGCCGTTCTTCAGCCACACAGAAGGATATTCCAGTAAAGGAATCTCCACGCGAAGTTGCCCCAGATAGTCAGGGATAGCACTGACAGACAGGTCATGATCGTCGACTTCCCAAGATCGTGGCAACCATCACGTGGACGTCCCAAGATCGTGGCAGCCACCGTGAATTCTTCAGGATGGTATCGTGGCAACCATCATGTCGAATTTCTAAAGATCATGGCAGCCATGGCATGTGGCTGGTACTCTTCTAGACATTACATCTACTATTTATATTGACTTTCTTCTTGTCGATCCTCTCTGCAGGAGGGCAGGTGCCTGGAGTGAAGCACAGATCGATGGGCCCCAAAAGGGCGCTTTAAGGTTGAACCAGAACGCTGGGAGCTGGCCATACATAAGACTAAATCGCTGACAGGAGGCCAGACCCGAGCACGCTCTAGCTTGGGAGTCTGGGACCGTCACTCACCGCAATAAACTTTTCCCACCTTTCATCAGAACTAAAAGACTTTCATGGGTGATTCAACCTTTTGACAGAGAGTGTCACGTGTCAAGTATCGAAGTATCTCCTGTGTATATTAGGCTGAAAATCGGACGTTTTCTTCACCGTCTTCACTTGGTCCTTCTGCTTGCTCGGGAAGCATGTGAAAGCATTTTGAAGCCGTCTTCAAGCCAGCACGGGTTATCCTTCCGGAGACGAGGCAATCCGATCTGGTGGCTTTTCTACCGAGATATGACCGTCCCTCTGTCCGACTAGCCTGATCCTTCTAGCCATGGGCGCACCGCCTATCGTTAACGGGTAAACTTACCATGCTGTGACGCCGATGGTCGGGCGAGCATGCCAGGTGGCAATACAGTAAGCCTTGAGCGGAGTATGGTCTGTACACAACGGTGGTATAAGCGACGCCGGACTATGGTGGTCGAAGGATCCTCAGCCTCAGGCAAGTTATGACTTAATAAGCAGACGACGCCGACTACTCCCTATTTTTTAAAGAGTTGATGTCTGCATGCGCAGGAGACAGCGGGTAGGCGCATGTAGGCCTATTGACTGGTCCGGGTATTAAACCGCGTCGGGTGCCGTTGGGTGGTTTGGGCTGCAAGTAGCCGACATGATCTCGATAGGCATGCATCTGGTGGTATCTGTTTGGCGCGCCCATTGGTGGAGACGGGGTCAAGCTTGAAGCTGGCCTGGGTACATTTGGGAAATGGAACGCAAATTGATCTGTTCGCTTGGCGTGCTCCTCGCACGAGACTACCGAACCCAAGGGTGTGGTTGAAGGGATCCCAGGCAGATGATTGCATCATTCCATCCTGCCACTACCCCATTTCCCTGCACTAGCGGCAATATCCATCAGCTTCCTGTGCGTGACCTGTAGGAGAAGAGGCTTCGCCAAACAACGCATAAAGAATTCCGTCGACCCGTGGTCCCACAACAGTGGGAGAGCATTCCGACCATTTTAAAGGAGCCGGAATCCTTGGAGCGATGATGACAGCTATAGGTAGGTAGGTAACTTTTTGGCAGCACCGAGAGGGACTTTCGGCCAGGCGTAATCACGGCCGATGCGAGTTTGTCCGAGGCTCCGGGTGCAATCATGCAGTGTGAAGCAAGCCAAGCGACTTGTCAGTGCGTGTGTCTCCCTCAGCATGGGGGGAGAATGGGGTGGAGGTTGGAGGAGAATAAGGGGGATAAGGGAAGAGAAGGATGTATGAGATCAGCGTGCTCCGGCTCCCGGGGAAAAGCCTTTTTATTTTTTTTCAGTCCTGAGACCTTGATTACTCTACGACCGTAACACCAGGACTTTTTTCTACTTTCAACATGGGTCTGTGCGGGAATGGGGTACATGATTTCCAGGTTCCAAGTCATCTGTAGGTATCCCAGGGGTGAGAAGGGAATGATGCATCGATCGTTGCAACTGTCGGGTCTTGAGAAAAGTGTCTTATATCGTGAGTGGAAATCGACGAGTAGCAATAGGTAGGTTTAGGGTTCAATAGTGGGCCAAACTGCATGGCAAGCTCAGTACTAATTGAATAAGTCCTAAAGTGTTGAAAGCATGGGGTCACTGGAAAGTAGTGCTGGAAAGCGGCCTCTTCTTAGGCTGGCTTTTTTTTGTTTTCAATCAATCAATAATCAATCTTCCCACCGTCTCACCGGCCGAGGAACGGAGAGACGATCGTCAGACAAGTCTGGGTCTTGGCCTAGGCTGATCCCCCTTCAAATCATATGACATAAAGTAACGAGTATAGGGTCCCCGCCCCCCCCGTAGCACAAAGTACTTAATTTGACCTACTTTACTTTTACCCCCCCGATAATCCCATACCTTACCGTATTATTATTATGGGGGCTTCAGGGCAGATCCGGTAGGTCCTGGTAGCTCTGGTGGTACCGGGAAAACAGTATTAGAGACCCCCCCGGACGAGATGTTGGCTTTAAGCCTGTTAGGGAGGTGTGTCGCGGCAAGCCATGAAATCCCGACACTCTGGTTCAGCCTAAGAATGGCCCCTGTTCTTGTTCTTTTTAGCATCATTGATAAATAATATGTTGGTTCTCTGTCCCGGAAGTTCTTCCTTTAATCCTTTTCGTCTCCCCAAAATTCTGTCCCATGCTGCTCAACACCGAGTTGTGAGTAAGACTTTATCCCACTCGGCATAACCTATAAAACCCAAAAAGCTTCCCGTCCATCTTTAGTCTGGATGGTTGTCGTAGACATCCCACCTAAACCACACTCTCGCTTCCCATTCTTCTCGATGCGAGGAACTCATAGCAAGTTGATTCAGATTGGCAAGCAAAGGAATATTATCGTGGGCAGGCTGAGGACTAGAGCTTTCGTGCTTTTGCGCGGGCATTAAACGTGATGAGCGGGCACGTCTCCAGCGAGCGAGCTCGATTCTTTACAACCGTACCATCTCAATGGCTAACCCCCGCTCCCGCTCCTTAGGAACAGTGAACCCCCGCCCTATAGCGAACATGGTCGCTTGTACCACGGTTATCGCAGAGGCATCTATCAATTCCCCTGTGACGAGGTCAGCGATCCACCACGACCACCCTCTCTTTCTCCCTCATCTGTCCTTCATCACTGACGTCAGCCACCTGGACAGGCTGAAAAAGAACGACACGATGCCCTAGACCATATCGTCCTCCTTGCACGCAGGGATGAGTTGCACCGCGCGCCCCTTATCCCCTCGGGAGAGGATTACCCTCGATTGAGGATCCTAGATGTAGGATGTGGCACTGGCATATGGGCGATCAACATGGCGGAGTACGTATGGATTTTCCATGGTTTCAGGATCGAGCTTCATCGCCCGGCTAACGAAGCTGAATCCTGCAGTAAATACCCCATGGCAGAGGTATAGCCTCGGACCCCCAATGCTTCGTAGAAGTCGCTAAATGCCGTCCAGGTCATTGGCATCGATCTCTCCAAAATCCAACCCGACGTGTTTGTGCATCATCTATCCAATTCCCGGCTAGGATCGCGCTAAATTACGCCGCAGGATACCACCAAATCTGCGTTTTCGAACCCCCAGGGATTTTGAGAGCCCGTGGTTTATGGGTGAAGACTCTTGGGACCTTATCCATCTTGCCATGCTTTGCGGCAGTGTTTCAAGCTGGCATGAAATGTACGCTAACGTACTCCGGTGGGTGATAATATGCGGAGCTGTTGACAGATGCCAGAACTGAAAATAGAATAGACACCTCAGGCCAGGCGTTGGCCACATCGAGCACGTCGAAATAGACTTAGTCCCTCGCTGTGACGACGATACACTTAGTCGTAAGGGAGAAGCACTCGAACATTGGTATGCTTACCTGTTCGACGCGACGCGACGTCACGATCGCTCAATTGCATATGAGCATGACAATCCAAGACATTTGGAGGAGTGGGGCTTCGTTGATGTTCAGCATACAAAGATCAGAATACCCATTGGTGAGTGGGGTCAAGACTGGCGGGAACATGAAATCGGAAGATGGTACAGGGTTGGCCTATGTGAGGCCATAGAAGCTCTCAGCCTCGCTCCTTTCACAAGACCCTCCTACAACTGGCCAATCGCAGACGTGAAGAGATATCTTGGCGAAGTCGAGACCATCGTCCAGAGAGCTGATATCCATGCCTACCACGAGTTGTAAGTGACAGCATTCTCCATCGACCTCAGGCGCTTTGCGATTTCTTGGCGTTTCTGACTAAGACGGCCATGGATTTGGGATGATGGATTTCATCATATCCGCTTGCAATGACTAATGGCAGGCAGGCACATTACCACCGCGAGAAAACCTTTCCCTCACGAAGTCAACCATGATCATAAGGCCAGTGGTGGGCAACAACAAAGGGCAGTTTTATGAAGCTGCACACATTTCAAGCTGATAATGACAATTTCATTAGTGATCTCATCGTTCTTCCTCATCTTTTTGGGCTGCGGTCATGCGAGTAACGAAGCACGAAATCGCTCTTTCCTTCGAAATTGATCACGGTTTCAGGACCCTCTCGACGGCCTTTCATCCTTTGGATTGGTTTCGATGCGAGTGCTGTCTGGAATCATTGTCTTGAGGCTTTGACGATCCAGACTGTCCTGTGTGACCCTTTCCAAGAGCGCCACAAGTACAAGATGGTTCCGACGCGCAACGGCTCTTGTCACGATATATAAATGATATGACTCTGACGGCAGCCTTAATCTTATGAGTTAGCCTATGTGGAGGCAAGCAGCCTATGTCTGTTTTATGTTTTGATTCCCTCATTCATTATGGCATGGAAATTAGCGAGATATCCCATCCGTTGGAAACATTTTCAGGAGGAACAAATTGTAGACGAAGGCTCGGAGCAAATAGGAACGACAAAAGATGACTTATGAGTTGGCAAATCATTCTAGTCTCTCGAAAGACCAAATTTTCAGTATTCTGTATATTCTATAAAGTACGTGCTGTCCAATGTCAGCTAAGTCCAGGTAGCGAAAATGTTTCCGAAAACCTCGGAAAGCAAAAATGGTCTTGGCATTCAGCCCTATTGTCTTGACACCTTCCCTACCATTTTACAATTCGACAACTCTTTCTCTTCGCAGTAGGATGTACCTGCGTCAAGAGCTGTCGATATTAGTGTCGTCAATCCCATCACCTTTACCTCCATTGGCTGGCCTACAGGACTAGCTACATAATCTTTCAACTCATTTGCATCAAGTGAAACCTACTAGGTAGTAAGAATGGTGAGTAAGTGTTGACACGGATGAAACAGTGTCTTTACCAAGAAAAACGGCTAATCAATCACCTCCAGTCTCACGCCCACCCATCCGCCTGCCTTCCTCGTCCTCGCGTGCCTTTGGCTGGATCTCCCTTCACCTCCCGCCTCTTAACTTTATTACTCTCCATTATGCCTACTTCATTGGAGTATGTCTGTCGTCGAGTGTCATATTCTGGGGATCCTCTACACCGCCGAGAAGCATTAGCTATGTCGACTCTCTTTTCCTCGTGGTGTCAGCCATGACCGAGGCAGGCCTCAATACTGTCAACCTTTCGCAAATGAACACGTTTCAACAATTCATCCTCTTTCTGCTCATACTACTTGGATCCGCGATCTGGGTCTCGATTGCCGTCGTGCATGTGAGAAGGAAAGCTTTCGAGCGAAGGTTCAAGAGCGTAATCGAGGAGGAACGGCAACGGCGGCGGAATCGCGGCACTTCGAGGCGAAGGCTATCGTTGCCAGGTTCTCGCTCTCGATCGAGGCCTGAAGTTGACGGAGTTGTGGTCAGGGGCAGGGTAATTCCTTCAGAGAAGGACCTCGCAGAAGAAGCTGATGGGAACCTTTCCCGCCCAGACGACCAACTACAACTTAATGACAATGTCTCACTGACTACTCGTCGCTTCCCCAAGCCTGAAGCAGATGCAGAGGATCTCGCGGCAAATAAATCAAGCTTCGATCCTGCTCAAGCTGGACAGCCTTTGAGCATTGACCCTGGTGTGACACGCCGGATTGCATTCGCGTCGCCTGCCTCACCAACAAGAGAGCGACAGCACGGGCGAATCTTATCTATGCAAGGGGTTGGCGCACGGCAAAATGTAGAGAACCATCCCATCAGCTCCGCGAGACCGATATATGTTGACGAATTACCGAGGGTAGATGAAGGGGACGCGGAGAGCCTACCTTTGCCACGACATGGCATCTTGTTAGGAGGTTTCGTCGGCAGAAATTCCCAGTTTAGTAATCTCAGTCTTGCGGAGCGCGAAAAAATTGGGGGAGTGGAGTATAGAGCTGTTACATATCTAGCGGTTATCGTTCCCTTGTATTTTGTTCTGTGGCAACTCCTGGGTTGTCTGGGCCTTGGTGCATATGTTGCGACCAAGAGAGCGAGTACAACTGAGGTCAATGCCGAGAACCCCTGGTATGCTCGAAATGCATGTCCTCTTTTGTGGACATCAGACAGCTGACTCTGCTCCCAGGTGGGTTGGCGCTTTCAACGGGGTTTCTGCTTTCAATAACAGTGGGATGAGTTTGCTCGATGCCAATATGTACGTTTCTTGAAGCTTTCATGACTCTTGTCGTCGCTGGCGTTTCATAAAAGCTGACCTGGATTCTCAGGGTAGCTTTCCAAACATCCGACTACGCTCTTATCACCATGGGCCTTATGATTCTAGCCGGCAACACCTGCTATCCGGTCTTCTTACGATTGATCATATGGGCACTTTTCACTTTACTGCCGGACAATGAGAAGTTCTTGGAACACAAGACCACTCTTCGATTTCTACTTGACCATCCTAGAAGATGCTACACGAATCTCTTTCCCTCCAGACATACCTGGTGGCTTTTAGCGACTCTTGTTGTGTTGAATGGGATTGATTGGGCTGCTTTTGAAGTCCTCAATGTCAGTAAAGCCACATAAAGCAGCCGCCCAGTAACGCTGACCATGCGTCCAGATCACTAACCCCACGGTGACCTCGTTACCCTCCGGCTCTCGCGCTCTTGACGGTCTCTTCCAGGCCCTTGCCGTGCGCAGTGGCGGATTCTACGTTGTACCCATTGCCGGTCTCCGCATCGGTCTCCTGATTCTCTATGTAATCATGATGTACATATCCGCCTACCCTGTCCTCATAACGATGCGCAACTCCAACGTCTATGAAGAGCGAAGCTTAGGCATCTACGCTGATGACCCTCAAGCAAAACAGGGGGAGGGAAGTAGTCAAGGGGTCCTTGGTCGCCTCAAGCGGACTCTGACAAACCAACGAGGACCCACAGAGTCGAGGGGTTACTTTGTCCGCCAACAACTTCGTGGTCAACTGGCTCACGACATATGGTGGATCGTTCTTGCCATCCTCTTCATCACCATCACGGAGACTAGCCAATTCGAGCGCGATCCTGTTGATTACTCTGTCTTTAACGTCGTATTCGAAGTTGTCTCTGCGTATGGCTGTGTGGGCATCAGCGTGGGTTTGCCGAATGTCGCATACTCCTTCTGCGGAGGCTGGCATGCAGTCAGTAAGCTTATTCTCTGCGCTGTCATGTTGAGGGGTAGGCATAGAGGCCTGCCTGTTGCCATTGATAGAGCTGTATTACTACCGGGCGAGCACCTGGCTGCTGCTGAGGAAGAAGATGCTCAAATTAGGTTGGATAGGACAATGACGATGAATAGAGGAGGGAACGTATGAATATAATCAAGAGTGAGTGTAATGAAGAGTAGTGTATGAGAACGAACAAAGGAGAAATTGTGAGAACTTTCAAACTTGGATTCGCATGCTGAAACAACTGTCACGAACTCCGGTGTAAGCAACTACGGATTCCACTCGGGCTCGCAAACGCCTTCTCCATCGACTCAGACAAACGAACCCAAATACCCCAACACCTCATCCAGAGTCGACGGATGTCCAACCAAATACTCCAACCCCAGCACCGCCGACACCCCCACCCCCAGCACCGCCACCTTCTTCGCAACAGCCGCCTTTGCATCTGCGGCCCTCTTCGCCGCATCCCTCTCCGTCATCTCGACCCTCAACCTCTTCCCCAGCCAATTGTCCGGCTGCACGCTCAAAGGCTTGACGGCAGGCCCGAACGTCACGCACACTTCTGCCCTTCCGATCCTGTTGACCCCGAGCTTCGGCTTTGGGCCCTTCTTCTTCTTCGGCCCTGGCCCGTCGGCGGCATTAGGACGGTACGCCACGCAGCTCGGCCACCCCGCCATTGTCACGACCTCCAGATCCGTGTTCCGCCGCCAGTCATCCTCCTCACGGTGCTCGGTCGCGTTGAGTATGTGCATGGTTTCACTCTCGAAAAAGCTTCCGACCGCGGGGTGGGTTTCCCAGTGGTAGACTACGTTCCGCTCACGGCGCGTGGAGAGGGAGAGGGTGGCTGCTTTGAGGAGGATGGTGAGGAGTTGAGGTTGGAGGAGTCCCGGTGGGGACTGAGGGAGGAGTGGGGAAAGTAATTCGATGAAGGAGGCGTGGAGTGCGGTGAGGGAGTGGTGGAAGTTTGGGGTGGGCGTGTTGGGGTCGGGGAGGAAGGCGAGGATTTTGTGGGCGCGGCATCTTTGGCGGTAGAAGCCTAGCAAATAGATCAATACTGAATATACAACGGTGCAGGGCGAAGGGATGGAAAGAGGTACCATCACTGTCGATTAGCTCCATATCCAACTCCCTCAGCTCCCTCAACTGCTCCTTATTGGCCCCAAACATCTCATGTCCAAACACATGCACCTCGAGCATCTTGCCCAGTACGCCATAAACAAGCTGCGCTCTCTGCTCGTTGAAGACGCCTTCCCATGTTCTTTTCTGCCCGCAACAGGATATCCAGTTCGCGCATTCCATTAACTGTGGGGAGGTGTGGGCTAGATGGAGAAGGTTGAGGGATTTCTTGGCTTCGGGGGTGATGTCGGAGAAGTAGTTCTTGACCCAGATCCAGGCGAGGGACTTGATTTCGCGATAGCGCGTTTGGAAGTCGGCGTCTGGGTTTGGGCTCAATCTTTGGGATGGCTCGATTTGCGTTGTGACGATAGCGGTCTCGTCGTCCTCGGCGACATTTTCAGTCTTCCGCTGTGGGCTATTGCTTCTCCTGCCCCCCCTGCCATCTACGAGGCTCGGTAGTTGCACCACGACTTGAACCGTGTCGCCTGAGGTTTGAATGTTACCTTGGGGTTGTTCTTTAGGAGGACGACGACTGCCCTGCGTCGATCCTTGCTGAAAAAATCGCACTTTTCCCGGTGACCTCTTCGCAGGCACCACAGCGGCGGGCGGGTCCTCTACGGCTCAAGCTATCAGCTTCAGCTGTCAGATTGCGCCACCGCATGGGAGGACTTACTGCGCAAAGAAATACTCTCTTCACGTCGCTTAAGGGCTGAAGCCAGAGTTTTGGCTGGGATCTCAACATAAGCTCTTCGGGTTGCACTATCGGAGCGCGAGAGCTTTCGCACTTTGACAGGTACAGCTTGACTGTGGTCACTCCTCGCTGGTCGTTTGTTGAAAGGTTTGGGATTTTCCTGGGATTTCTGCTGAGTCCTTTGGGAACTCAAGACCGTGCTTGTGCGGGTGCTTGTTCTGGTTGACATGGTGTCAGATTTGCAAGGGGTGCAACTGACAGATGGCTACTCGCGCGTTGGACGTGCATGGAGAAAATCAAAGTAGGAGATGGTACTATATGCGATGCAGTACTCTGCAGATAATGAAAGACATTCTGCCTGAAAGCGAATGCTATTGCTTTGTCCTCAATAGTTCACCTTGTGTCCGCATGCGGCCAGCTACCAGAAACATACAAGCACCAGAAAGCATTGGAATACTTCTAACATGTTGAGAGACGCAAAGATCGCCGGAATCTTTCAAATAGGAGATAACATATAAAGGGTAGAGCTCAAGGACAAGAGATTAAAGCAGGCTTTCCGCTTTTGGCATTATATCTAACGCACGCACATCTAACACAACATCCTCAATCGTCATACAACTCATATGTACATCTCATCCCTCGTAGATGCAAGCACCATTCTAAAGGTCACCTACAAATGGGATGCGTGTGGAGGTCGAGACTGAGGCCTGATGCGGCGCCAAAACCCCCTCATCAGCTGTACTGGCACACAATTATTCCCTTGAAGCTCAGACCCTATGATGAGAAGGTGCTTACCTACAGGTGGGCTATTAACTCGATCTCGACATCGGTTCGCATGGGAAGCTCCTTGACAGCTACACAGGTTCGGCCTGCGCACATTTCGGAGTCAGCATTGCTCCTTCAAGGCAAGAAACCTGGGTTATGAAACAGGTCTCCGGAGTAGAAGGAGGGTTTTGCTCCCGAGCAATATCTTGCGACTCAGATTTTGGTTCAAATTGGGAAGAATAACCCCGAAATGTACGTACACTGGAACAGGACCATTATTAGCGCATCCCGTCCAAGCCATTCAAGTAATTGATTATCAGGAACTCATGAGGCTACATACTGGCTTAGGATCCTCAAAGAAGGTATCATACACTTTGTTCATAGCGGCAAAGTTGGCCATATCGGTCAGGAAGACGCCAACCCTGACCACATTCTTCATGCTTGATCCTTGATGATTTCGGAGTCAGCATTACTCTTTCGGGATGAATTCTGAGTCGCGAGATATATCTTAGGAGCTGAGAACTCTTGAGATATGTCTGACGACCCATAAGGCAGCATGAATGGGGAAGAATTCCCTGGGAAGGTATAACGTACCGGCCTCTTCAAGTACGGCCGAGAGGTTCTTGAAGCATTGAGCCTAATGGTATAGATAATCAGAGATGAATATTGGCTTCCTATGTCAAAGCTTACGGTTCGGTCAGAAATACCCCCTTCAACCATTGCCTTCGTCTCGGGATGCATCGCGACCTGACCGGAACAGTAGACCATGCCATTGCAGACGATGGCTTGAGAGTAGACGGGAAGAGGCGGAGGAGCCTTGTCAGTCTTCACTGCGACTCTTGTAGGCATGATGACTGTGATTTGAAGGTGTTACGGAGAGTGAAAGGTGGATAAGAGCTACAAAAGTTGCGGCGAGATCAAAAACGAGTGGCGCATGTCAGCGCCTTTCAATGCCTATTTACCTTACAATAAGACTTGTTTTCGAACTAGCACATTAGAATACCTTTTTCTTCTTCTCTTCTCTCCCTTTCTACCTTTTAACATAATCATAATGCATTCAATTCTAAAATCTAGAGTAGGCATCACCTTTTTGATTTCAATTGCGGCCATTGCATGGCCACACTGTCAACAAGGGTGCTAAAATCTTTTCTCCTGCAACTTGAGTAAGAGAGCAGCAAGACAGCCACAACGCCTGCAACCCTCCCTCTTCGCATGATGAGATCTCAGTCTTCTGTCCAACTAAAACACATCCCCCCTAGACCATCCGCGGCATCAGCAAGGGAAACCACCCGGCGCCTAGCGCTAACAACAATTGTTGAGCTCTCATAGGAGGAGTCGGGCGTTATGCAAGCAGTGATGGGCGAAGTGGAGGAGGGCGCAGCAAGTTGAGACCAAGGCGCGTCTCTGGGGACGAGCTGACATTACTACCACTCAAACTCACCCTGAGCTCGATGGAAGACGTATCTGGAATCGCGATTAGCAGTGAACCTCCCAATTTTGGTACGCTAGCCATGCATACTCTTTGCCTCCAGTCGTCAGTACCCCATCCTTCAGCGTGCACTTCCACTTGTTCTTCACACGTGCCACTTTGTCGTAGGTGCAGAGCATGATTTGTTGTGGGCGTCCATCCTCCGGCTCTTCTTCAATGACATTGTCATCCGGGTCGTCTAGATCAGAATTGATTGCGTCTTCATCATCATCGTCGAAAAGCTCATCCTTGATGCCGGTCTTGTCGTCGTCATCGTCCTCTTCATCTCCATCCATTTGCGGAATCCTAGGTACGTGCTTAGAGTCTGATGATTGGGCCGCCGCTAGATTAGAGTATGAGCTACTAGGGCCAGCTTCTGCGTCGACTGTCTTGCGCTTCTTCATTTGAGGCAACTCTGATTGATCGGCCAAAGGCATCATCAGGCCTCCCCCTTCCATAGAACGGTTCATCTGTTCAACTTGCTGCCTGATAGTCAGATCTGCTTCGTGAGTCTTGTCAGGGTCCTTCGACGCATCAAGACGCCGCTGAGCAACGTAGCCGTCCCATTCGTCAGTACCATCAGTCTGAGCATTGTTGACAATAGGCCTCGGTTGGGTATTGTGGAGACTCTGGTACTGTTGCGCCTGCTGACGTCTCTTGAATTCGGCCTGATCCTGTCTCTGCTGATCGGTCATTTGCGGAGGCAGTTGAATGTTCATGGGGCTTCGCTGTGGCTGACCACCAGGCGTCCCCATGGCCGCCTGAGCCTGAAGTTGACTGATTTGCGCATTGGCACCGGCGCCAAACTTCTGTTGAAGATTTGCTGCTGCTCGTTGCTGAGCAATTGTATTGCCGTAGTTTGGGGGGAGACCATTAGTCTGGAAGCCTTGTTGCTCGTAGCCAGGCTCGGTTTTGATGCGAACCCCACCAGCTCCATTGCTCTGGGCTGGGGTCGAAGATGTTGGCACTCCGGAGGAAGGAACCTGTTGTGGACGTGGAACATTTGATGGGACTGTAGGATTTGCCATTGGCTGAGGCGCTGGGGGAGGCTCCCATGGAAATGTTCCAACGTGAAGTGCCGAAAGCTTGGTCTGCCATGTCTGTAGAAGGAAAAAACATTAACGAGGCGACCTTTGGAGGGTATCGAAGGAATTAGGGCATCCAGTTGTTGAAGGATCGGTTAGAGTTGCAACTTAAATCTCGGCAAGCCACTAGGCAGGGAAATGAGGGAAAAAGGAGCGGGGGCGCAGCATAAAAATGAGTCAAATGCTCGGCATCCCCCCCAAAAATTGGACAAATTCCCCAGGGCCCCCGCTTGCACACCCGCAAAAATCGAATATTGCGACCACCCAGTCTCAGGACTGATGTGTCCTTGAACAGACCAAGATCTCTTGGATCAAGTGACGCTCAACACAGAGACGATGCATGAGCTGCTGCCAGCGACGACATTGATAATATGCTAAATTAGGATTGACCACGACGAACAGCTAGAAGGAAAAAGACCGACCTTTCTCAAGTCATCCAGTGTCTGCTGATTGACTCCATCCTCTTCGAAGGTGGTTTGGCAGTTCTCGATTACATCGTCCATGATGCGCTGGTACACGGTACCCTGTGACGAGCAATCTCGCTTTCAGCATCTGCGTGCTATCAAAGGGATGGGGTCTGGGGCTGCTAGGAGAGTCTGGCAAGAGCAGACTGACCACAAGCTGGTTCGACATCCTGCCCGCAATCGAACAAGATACCGCAAGAAGGCTGGGCTGGATGGAACGGTGAGATGAATTATAGGTTGCTGCCCCAGTGATGTGGAGGAAGAGGTGCTTGATCCGGTCTATGTGAGCCGAAGTTGGTGGTCTTGCTCTGCGGCCGTGTCTTGCAGACACTCGACCTCACCTCAGTCTCTCATTCCTAGACCTTCTCTTTCCCTTTCCGCTGTTGTATTTCGTCCTTGTTGTTGTTGATCGCCGTGGTCGGTTTCACCACTGGGGGTGATGTAAAAGTTGAATTTGGATTGGCGGGAATTGTTGAAGGGGACAAGGTCTGCCAAGATCGCTTACATAATCATTTTTGGCAACATGGCGCATTCTCAGAGTGGCTATTCTTCACTTTCAATGTTCGTGAGCTGCAAAGATTTCCAGGTCTCTGTTTGGACGATCATTAGCAACAGCTTCAAGTTGAATACCAGATGAGCACCGCATAAAGTCGGAAGATCGCGCCAAATACGGATTCAATGTATTTCCCCATTCTAAGAATTGGGCATACACACTCTATGACAAACTTAGAAGACCGTGCCTAACAAGCACAGAACTCGAGGTTCGAATGATATTGTGTAAGTCTTATACTTGAGCGTGCTCTACTTTTACTAAAGCTAAAACATCCGCCCAATAGGCCGACCGCTCAACACAGCACTGGGAGGACGTTCGTACGATGGAATTACAAACCTCCCCCGAAGCTTTCCACCTCCACAACTCTCCACGACGTTCTCTAGGCCTGATGCATTATTTTATTCTAGAAATGAAATGGCCCTACAAGAATCCAGGAAATTAGTCTCCATGCCTCTCCTGGAAAGCGCACGCAGATCCTCGACGAGTACTGTGATCATTCGCGAGACGGCGCCTTCAGCTCAGGATCCGCTCTACGCCATCGCTGATGCGGTCATATCTACACCACCATACCTCTATGTGCTAATTAATCCCCGCAGCGACCTCACAAATTTCTACATCATTGAACAGACCTCTCAACGATTCACTCGGATGGGAACCTTAGAGACGTGTTAAAAAAGGAACCAGGAAAATCAGAGCTACTGGTCTCAAATTCTCTATGGGTATGATCAAATAGGTATCGGGCATTCTTCGGTAAGTCTATAGTGGAGTCCCGCGATACTGGTAATCAGTATATACAACAATTCATTCCTAATTGAAAGACAGTTTCAACTATCTGCCGAGAGTTCATATGCCTCCATCGGGATTGGACCCGAAATCTTGCCAGAAACTTTGAAAGGTCTACGTGCGTCCTCGAATACCTCCAGGAAGTTTTGGGGATGCGAAGGACATTACGACTCACGTACTATTTTAAAGATGTTAAGAGTATGTAGCAGAAGTCATGCATAGGGACAATCTTGCGGCCGAAAACCTTTAAATTACTTGGAGAGAATCGAAAATTTCCAAGTCCCACAGTGCAACTGGCAGACATGCCTCAGTGGGACTCGGAAATTGTGATTTTCCCTATATGCATGACTTCTGCTACACACTCTTACCAACTCAGGGCAAACCAATCGTTTGAGACGCACTAGTAGCAGACGACACGGAAATTCTCTACTGTATCTACTTCTCGCACTTACCGTACCGGATGGTCTACCTATTCTGTGTCCTTACCATGATCATCCTCTCTGGGATGGCCACTTCTTGAAAACTAATAGAGAAGATGATAGAATTCGGGAATTTGGAACATTTCTTGCCATGCTTTATGTTGGTATCTTCACCATCTCCTGGACTTAGGCGATGGAATTCGGCGAATTCCGGGTCTCGCCTGTGGGAGGGAACTCACTTCTGGAACATAAGTGTATTATTTGTATGAATGAGTGAATGAATGACTGTGTTGATTGACTCTTAATGTACAAAATGCTGGCTTTAAGGGAGTGGTATGCATGATTCACATCATTGCCCGGAAAGCCCAAACTCCCTTGCTCAAAAATGGCCTGGAATGATCTAAAATGACCACCCCTTGCAAGAAGACATGGGCAAACAGACATGAACCTCAAACCACCCACAATGCAGGTTCGTGAGGTCTATCGTATCGTCATCTGCTTCACCATGTCACCTCCTTTGCCGGTCACGCCACCTTCCCTCGAGATCGCTGATGCAGATCCAGGCTTCTTCTCAAAGATCTTCCAGAATTTGAGGCTCTCGTCCGCAGCTAATTTGATAGTTAGCTACTGTCTCATCACTCGAACGAGAATACTTTGAACTTACCCGCTGTTGCCAGCATTTGGCCATCGGGGCTCAAGCAGCTATGAAGGACTCTTGTTTCGTGTGCTGGTATCTCGACGTTCCGGACCAAGGTTGGGTAGCTCCAGATGCTGAGGGAGTTGTCAGGGAAGCCGCTGGAGCTGACAATCTCCTTGTAGTGGTTGCTCCAACGAAGGCTCGTCACTTGTGAGCCGGTATCAATGCTGTTCGTCCGGGCACCTGTTGTTGTGTTCCAGAAATGAATGTGTCTGTCGTACGAGCCTCCGCCAGTAGCTAGCAGGTTTGGCTGCCATGGGCACCAGCTCAGAGCTTTGACTGCCGCGCGGTGGTTTGTCTTCTGAAATTTAGGTGCACCTAGAGACCGAGCATCCCAGATTGAAACAAGATTATCGTTGCCGCCAGTGGCAAGCTGGGCACCATCCGCTCTCCACTCAAGACCGCAGACCTCAGATGTGTGGGAGACAAGTTCTGCAACTTTGTGTTGGGCGACGCGGACATCGTGATTGTATACCAAGCCACTTCTCGCACCAGTCGATAGGATGTGCTTGTTCCAGCCCATGACTCCAACGCGCGTATCATGACCATGCATGCTCCGAAGCTTGGTGCCTTCTTCCACATCCCAGATCTGCACCTCGCCTGAGCCAAGACCAACTCCAACATAAGCACCGTCTCCACTCCATTTTACGCTGCTGACATAAGTATCTGCAGCGGTCTCCAGCAAGCAGCTGACTGTGCCAGATTCAGCAGACCAGACGTAGACATTGCGCTCGAGCCCAATTGCTACTTGGTTGCCAGAACTCCAGTCCAGGAGGTTGAGGTAGTAGTCATCGACGAGACCAGGGGCGTCTAAGACTCGCTCAGGGGCAGTGAGTACTCTTCGTCGGAATTGGGCAGAAGCTGCATTGGCAGGCTTTAGTGGACGATTGTACTGTGACCGGAGATCTATCGGCTTTGACGACTCCGGTGGTGCGGGCTTGAAGGCGAGGATGCGGGTATTAAGTGAAACACCACATGCGGTTGCTAATGACGATTCGTACGCTAGGGTATCTGGAGCAGGCTTTGTGTACGAAGAAGTCTCGTCACCGTCTCCTAAGTTAAGCCCCTCAAGCGCTACTGTGGCATCATCCTCTGCAGCAAGGCCACCAAGATCAAATGCACTGACAGCATTCGCCAGAACTGTTGAGCCCTCACCGTTGCTAGCCTTTGGTCGATGGCTTTCATCAAGCTTGCCAGAACCAGCTGTGACTATGCCCTCGCTTGCATTTCTATTAGGGATAAAGCGATCTCCAGCTTCAAGGCGGACTGTAGTCTTGCCTGATCTCGTTCGAAGTGGACCTTTCTTTCGGCTGGCACTCTTTGATGGCGTCTGCCCAACGGTCGTCCCAGTCCCGGTCAACGTCCAGTCCGAGACACCAAGCTCGAGGTGCTTGGGGGATTTCTTCGCTTTGGCAATATTTGACTTTGGTGAGTCTCGGTAAGTATTCCTAGAAGTTGATCTTGAAAAGTAGGAAGTCACATTGCCAAATGCTGACTGCGAGACTATGCGAGTCGACTCGGTTGTCTGGCGAGGAGGTGTAAACGGAGACGAGGTACTTGAGACATTGGTGGCAAGGCTTGTTGTTCTTGTGCGTGGTGACGGTGTGAGTGGTATACGTCCGCCAGCTGTGCGTGTGGAGAAGATGCCGTGGTGACTCTTGAGTGGGGTTGACACCGAAGCGGTTGCCATTGTGAAAGATGAATAGTAGGATCGAATGGACAAATTAATGTATCGATCGGTTTTGCTGTGAAGAAGACCGGTGGTCCTCAGGTTAGTAATAGTTCAATTGACCAGCGAGAGATTGTCAAATGTCGCTGTTTATGTTCCGGACTCGTACGAGATCCCAAGAGTCTCAAGTAAATGGATCCTGGGTATGTTAGTTAATAGTCGATGTTGTGTAGCCGGAAAAGATGCTGTCAATTGGGTTCCTTAGCAGAGAAGCTCTTGCAATCGGTGGGTCGAACAGATCAACAATGTTGGAATGGTCTAATGGATTGTAGAGATGTCTCGTGCGTAAGGTAATGATGTTTGCAATAAATGCAGGGAGTTGGAGATGGGGGAATGTGCGGAGAGAAGAGGTTGGTGAAGGACAAAGCAAGAAGCTCAGTCCCGGCATAAACATAGCAAGCGTAATGGCGCTAGCGTTGTTGCCCAGCAACGGGAACTGGAATCTTGGTTCAGCCCTATGAGGTGTCGATCATTCACCGTCATTATTGCCTGGTGCTTGAAACATTCCGAACCTACTTTAATACAGTAAATACTTTAGAGTATTATTGCAGCTGCAGACAAGATCATGCATTCAACCCAACCCTGCTAACACATCCTGGAGTTCCGAATCTGTAAGGTAGCCATGGACTCATGCTTAGGACCTACACATCTTCTATGAAACGTACAGTACCATAAATTCAACCATGAATCAACAGCCAAGTGGAACAAGCTCTGGCTTCCAACAAGCACAAGCTTATTCCGGCGGTTGGAGTGGCATTGGTCACGGAGCAAGAGCACCACCTTCAGTCGCATCTTCGTCAAACAATACCTACCTTATGCCCGCCAGTCCTTCCAAGAGAGCACGAATGTCAAAAGAAAGCTACAAGCCTAAAGTGTCAAGGACTTGCGGGCAAAGACCCGCCTGCTTGGTCAATGCTTCCGTGACTTATTGTGGAAAGAATCAGATCTATGCATTCGGGGGCTTCGACCAGTATACTGATGAGGGTAGGATTCCCCGTTAATCTATGTTCGCCCGCTTGAGGCTTAATCAGAGACTGAATTGACACGCGAACAGTCTATAATCATGTCCTGAGGCTAGACCTACATACGCTGCAATGGACACTTGTGGACAACTACGGAGATATCCCAGGCGTGCGGATGGGTAAATATAAAGACACAATAGACCTTTGATAAGCATGAGCTAACGCACAGGTCAGGTCATACCGCTTGCCTTTGGCAAGGCTCAAAGCTTCTGGTCTACGGCGGCGAGAACGAGCATCGGGAATATCTCTCTGACGTCGTTATATACGATCTCGCAACTTCTCATTGGACTCAGCCCGAAATCAAAGGTCCCATACCAAAAGGCCGAGCAAGACATGCCGCAGCGGTCTACGATGACAAGCTTTTCATTGTTGGAGGTCTAGCTGGCGTGGAAACCTACACACTAGATGAGATATGCTACCTTGACCTCAAGACATGGACCTGGTCTAGATCCTGGACTTTCGTCGCACGCTTCGACCATTCTACGTGGATATGGGGAGGCCGCATATGGGTCTTTGGCGGTCTAGGGCCTGACATGGAGCGTACTGGCGAATTATGGTCACTAGATCTGAAGAACAGTCCTGCCTTCAAATCTGTCCCGGCACACAGTATTTCTGAGTCCACAACGGAGAGAGCAGGGCCGAGTCCACGTTCGCATTTCGGCCAACACCCTTCAGCGCAGCATGTTCATACAGGAGGAAGCGGTAGCTACACTGCCAATTCAAGTAGCGTGCAGGTCCGCAGCTCCAATCTTGTCGCCAAGCCCGCAGCTCCTGGAGCCATGACGTCCACGAAGTTTGTATCAGGCCCAAATGTTCCGTCTCCGGCTCTAGGAACACATTTCCACGTCTATTCTTCTGGCGCCCTACTGGACTTCGTTACTCCAGCGGGCACTATCCGTCCATCAGAATGTAATCTTTCAGCCCTCGAGCTCGGTACTCAACAATGGCAACGACTTGCCGAAGGTTCCGAGATTTTTGATCCGTCTTACCGTTGGCATTACTGTGCGGTAAACGAGGAGGGAACAACGGCCTGGCTCCTCGGATGTGCAATGGAACCTTCGGAGAATGGTGCTGCAAATCTCGAAGAGTACCTCAGCGATGTATTGGCGATAGACCTCCGCGAATTCGGCTTGCTGGGCAGTGAGTCGACATGGGAGCCTAGTGCGGAGAGTTCCAGAATGCCTGCTTCCGACACACACTCCACCTCACACATGAGCAGCCTTGGTTCAGATCTGGCGTCAATGTTTGATCGGGCGCCAGAGGCAAGTGGTAGCGACTTTACCATTACCGCAAACAACGACGATCCAACGGATGACGACAACGTATCGGCAATTTCTATAGTTACGACTACAGATGCGTCTCAGACGCCATTCTTCTTGAATGCTTCGGACTCGACGTCCACCCCCATCCACGTGCACAAGCTAATCTTGCAAGCTCGCTGGCCGCACTTTAACCGAGTCTATAAGTCGCAGATGTCAGAATTTCATACGAAAAAAATGCACATTCAAGAGCCGTACAGCGTTGTCCGAGCTTTTCTCTACTATCTCTATACTGATAGCATTGACAAGCATCCCGAGTACTGTCCGGATCTCCGAGAAGTTGCTGGCCTTCTTGTTATGTCTGATGTTTACGATATGCCAGAGCTGCGTCTACAGTGCGTTCGTCGGCTCAGTCGCGAGTTAGACGTCGAGCATGCAGCGGTGGTGTGGGAGCGGGCAGGAACGGCGAAAGAGGAGTGGCTTCGAAGACGTGCGGCCAACTACTGCCTGACTCATTGGGGACGTGTGGTGAGGACGGAGGGCTTCCGCAGTCTGAGTCGACACAGCATGATGGAATTATGTGAGGTAATCGATGTGGACGGTAGAGTGATTGGAGGGGAGGAATTGGAGGTGGTGGGAGGTCTCGGAGGTGGTAAGGTTGGTGTTGGTGGATCTGGCAGTGAGCTGGCGAGGAGAAGTGCCAGAGCACAGGGAGGTCATGTTGCTGATGAGATGGATGACAATGAAATGCAGGAAGACGAGGGTATGGAATTGAACTGAGTCGATTTCGGAAGAGCAGGGTGTTGGTGGTGTCTGTTTCTCGGAGTTCAAGCATGGAGTATTGCATGAGTATTGCATGGCTTTGGCGCTCGATGGCTAAAAAGAGTAGAATATGGTGAGAGATTGTATGATAAGCTAGGTTCGAGGTTTCATGCAAGCCGGGAAAAAGAGGCTTGTGCGCAGCATCGTTAAATGTTAACAGCCTTTTCTTCGCCAGTGACCAATTACCGCGTGGAAGCAGCCGTATTTCTCATCTCTAATATAATCCTCCTGTTTACAGTCAGCCATTTTGACTGTGACTGAAGATTTTTTGCTGTCGAATACGGGTATTGTTTCGTTGAATTAGAGCCATTCCTCATCGAGTCTAGTTGCCGCCTCCTCATGTGGCAGGGAAGGGAGAAGAGAGACGCAGCAGACGTTTCTGACATCTACCAGGTCTAATCTACCACAACGACACAATGACACAACGACATCGGTCAACCTGACAGTCCTCACAAACAAACGCGCGCCTATCTTAGTCCTACCTATCACTTCAACGACGCTTCTCAAACTCTTTGATCTTTATTTTTGTCTGGGCCTGCCAAAGGATTCTTCGTCGTCCAACCTATCTCAAACCCTCGACTCCAACCCGTTTCAGATCCTACGCAGCCCTCCGTCGCAGTCTAGCACAACGACGTAGTCAAAGAAGCGGCAGCGAGTCGATCTTGAATTAGGAGGCCAGTTTACTACAGCCGCGGAGCGCATAGAGGTCGAATCTTCTTCGCGGTCTTGACTGGGTCTCCTGGTCTCATAGATCCCGAACACTCCAACAGGAGTGCTACACTGAGGCATCTCTTTCAATTCTTCGCCATCAACCGTCAAAATTCGGGGCCACGAGGCCACAGCTTCCCTCCTCGGAGGCCAGCCATCAGACAGAGCGTACGCTGGTGGTTACCATCACCGCGAAGGTTTTGCGACCCATACCGCTGGCGGTGGTCAGGCGAGATCGAAAATGTATAGGCCAAATTCTGTGTGGACGTGGGCCTTTGTTGGGGTGACTTGTGTGCAGACCGCCATAGTCCTAGGCTTCGAAGCGTAAGTCGACTCAGCCCAGGGAAGATACGTGCTCGCCTCCGACCTTGTAAAGCGCATCGTGATTGAGATTTGCGCAGCCCGGTGAATGTGATATATGCTTACATTGGAGTTGTAGATACGTCTTCGCTCTTTTTCAAACAAGTCTCCATCCACCACCTAAAGGCGCCGACGCTAATGACTACCAACATACTATCCCAACCTTTCTTACTCTGTACATCTTCGGTTTTGTCTACGAACTGATCCTGGCCTACGATGCCCTTCGGCTTAAGAATACAATTCAAATCATTGGGCTTTGCCTTTACAACCTCGGTCTGTTGATATATGCCGCCGTTCAGATGGCTGAAATCGATGACGCTGTGAAAAGTCTGGGTTCTCGTGGAACTTCCACAACCTGGAGTGCTGTCAAGCCGTTTCTCATCGCGATTCCTTGCGTGATAGCAGTAGGCTCAATTGCCATGTCAATTGTGGCACGAAAAATCTACGACGAATTCGCCTGGACCATCTACAAGCATATCAGTGCGGATTTGAGGATGAAAAGGCGGTACCTAACATATCAGGTACATTGAATAGCTTGAAATTTGGTTGCCGAACTCACTAATCTGTGCTCATAGATCTACATCGCCCTCCTCAAATTCGACTTCTTCTTCTTTCTTGGGTTCACCGTCCAATTCGTGGTTGTCGTCGTGGATGTCAAGGATATTGAGTTTGGTCTGACGATCGCCGCAATCCCAGTCACAATCCTCATCCTTGTTATGGCCGGGTATTTTACTCGAAAGGAGAGCTTGTCGGGCATGGTTGCCACCATTGTAAGCATTCCGGGCTCGAGGGTCAAAAGCGAGATTTGCTGACATTGCTCGGCTTAGATCCTTTACTTTGGAGGACTGGCCTACTTCCTCTTCAAGCTCGTCCGGATGTATCAAAAAACCCAAAGGGCCAAGCGCTATCTACCTGCTCGCAAAAGCCTCACTTCTTTTGCAGTGATCACAATCGTTCTGATTATCCTCACCATCATTAACGCCACTATGTGCGCCTTGAACTTCAGACACGGACTAAAGCCTTACATCGCGAATCGAAAAGTGGAAAGCGAAGATGAAAAGCCAAATATGATGGAGATGCCTAATCTCTCGCATGGTCCAGTACCCAGCCGTATGACGATTGATTGAACGGGAAGCACATCTTTCGGAAAGGTTGGCCGGCGTTCTTGTTTGGGAAGAATAAGGGAATTATCAAACAGTCAGGCGAGGCAAGCACAGGAAGTCTTGCCCGGATGTGCATTCGATATCACTGGTGTTTGGCAATTTTGATACCTGAGGCCCTTCGTGGTCGATGTATGCCTATTTTTATCCCTCCGATACTATCTGTTCTATTTCACGATTAGGGATGGCAGGAACTGGTGTGATGTGGCGTTCATGGCTTTCGCGGACATCATGACCAAAATTGACCATTCTCGTTTCAGAACGATTTCACTCCCAATGTTTTAGATGTCGTCTCGTTGGAACTCCAAGAGCGCGGTGAAAAAAAGGAGCTGTTGTGGACTGGAGTAGAGATAGTCAAGTCAGTCCAGGATGTATCGTGTATGAAACGGCCATTTCCCAATACATAGAATGTCAAATAGAATTATTGTGGGCAAAGGTCATGCTTTTAATACTACAAATAATTTATATAGTGCGACAAAATACTTGTCGACGTCGTAGCCGTTATCTAAAGTCATTGTTGACGCGCCGGGATGTTCCAACAGCCGTTATATTAATGCTCCGAGCTCCGAATCATTGAGTCTTTGTTGTATTGCCCACCATCGCCCCCAAACAGAGAGAGCATGGCGTCAGGTCAGCACGCCCGTCCATATACATTTCCGTTCATTCAAGAAAAACACACCACCAAGACCAGAGCCCGCTGACTCTGGGTTCGTAGATGATGCACTGTTAGAAGAATTGACCAAGGATGGCAAGATGGACTAGTAAGCTTGTTAACAGCAGTGGCTAGCACTACGTCCTAGACCGGCACATGGACTGAGCTTCATACAGTGCAGAGTGGCCTGGCCTACTAGACCGCCTGTTGCCCAGATTGGACCATGTACGTACAACCTTTGGAAGCTTACTCGACCGACGGTGACTAACGCACTTAGATCGCCTACAATGACTTCCCTACGCCATCGATACCTTTACCGGGATCCCTCCCACCGTCGCTGAAAGAAGAACATGTATCCATCAAACGGGAACCGCCATTGAAGGAGGAACCGTTCAGAGAGAGACCAAGTTTCCAAGAAGAGTCTGGAGATACGAAACAGGAAGCTCCCGAGAATGAAGAGCAAGCCGGCATCAAGGCAGACCCATCAACAGAAGACTCAAAATCGACCATCAAAACCGAATCCTCTCCAACAACCGACAATGCCGCCCTACCACCAGCAAACACCCTCCCACCCCCACTGCTCTCCCTCCTCAGTACCATTCAATCCACCCTCCGCTCCGGCTTCCCCACCGCCCCACCTCACACGGCCCAACGCCTTGCCGAGCTTCTCCTCTACCCCACCAACCACTATAAAACGCTGCCCTCCTACCTCCGCGCCCTTGACCGAATCGTCTCAGTCGCCAGTCCAGCTTCCGTATTCCCTCTCGCGACGCTCACTCCTGCAGCTACTACGAATGGTCGTCTCCTCAATGGCACGTCATCGCCGAGTCCTGGTTCGGCGGATAAGGATTTCATTGGCGGGGCTGAGCTGACGGAGATACCCTGGATAAGGCTTACGGGGAGTCCGACGCCGATCCATAACGGTCCAACCAGCGACTTGAGGACCGAGAGCACAAGCGTCATCGATGGACCAAACGGAGCTGGATCGGTGGAAACGGTCACGGTGAACGTGAACGGTGTACACAGCGCCCACCCCCGCGACGACAGCAACATCAGCCACGGAATCACCCAAGGAGAACTGCTACGTCAAGAACAAGAAGCCGGAATCGTGCCTGTACCAGCACCTACACCGAACGGAAGGGTCACGCGCAGCAGTGCCGCCGCTTCGGCTGCTGCGACAAGAGCTGTGGGTGGGGATGTCGAAAACATTCTGGACTCCGAGGAAATTGAGTCTGTGCATGCGAGAGGCCCGGATGTGATAGGGATGGAGGACATGGGACCGCAGACTCCGGGAAGTGGATTGGCGGGTGGGATTGACCTTGAGGGGGCGTTGGGACGGAGGGGGGAGGGTGAGACGATGGCAGCTACGGTCGGGAGGGCGCCGGATGAGGAAGAGGAAAAGGGGGACGAGAAGGATGAGACCAAAGACGGCGACGGGGACATAGTCGTTGCGGATGCGGACGGAGTCGCGGAGGGCGACGATGGGGCGGCAGACGAAAGTGGTGAGAACAAGGGACCGGATGCGGTGGATAGTACGACTTTGTGATAGCCGGTCAGTTGGCGGGAGCAAAAGGGATTGCCTCCGTTGACGCCTCAACGGCAGTCAGGAGAAGCAGAGAGCCGGAGACCCTTCCGTCCAAGACGACCTTCGTCCCAATGGTGGTGGGGCCGCTAAGCAGGCGGACATCTTCCAGCATCGGCAGGAACCATTGAGCAGTGGTTGTTGCCCGTCTTTGCTAGCAAGAAGCCAGCAGCAATATGACTGACCATTCATTTTCCTGGTCATCAGACCACAAGAAACGGCCAAGTAGTGTACAGACTCGTCCATTGTTGAGCTCAAGAGCGAGAGAGCGACTCGTCCCAAACAAACTACAACCTTCAACGATCACAGTATGAGCGTCGTGTTTTCGGCGTTATCTCATCGTCTTTTTCATATAATCATGAGTGCCATCACGTAAGATACATCGTTGCCTTTCATGACCGCCTAACAGGATTCTCCTCCTTTGGCCCTCTGTTCACAAGCGGCTCAACCCCATCTCAGTACCCAGTCCTTGCTCCAAGCCCCTGCGCTGGTCGCATTGTTGAGGCCCGTCACCGTCAATGCCTTGCTTGACGCGTTATAATTGACACTGCTACCCCCTACAGCCATGCCGTTCAGCGACACATTAGTAACGGCATCCTGAACGCCTAGGACAGTGACGTTGGCGAGCGGGTTGGTGTCTATATACATACCACGCCCTGAGGCGTACAGAGCGTTGTTTGAAGCGGTGAACTATTCCGGATCAGAGACCGGATCATCGCAGGGCGACAAGTCGAAGAGAGCAAAGGGGCTTACCTCGACGTAAAGCGTTGCGTTCGGCACCAGACTCGCGCCATCATCGACATAGAGACTCCCACTCGCAGATCCCTCCAGACTCAGGGCAGCGATCACACCCCAGGGGTTCTTCCGTGCGTCTCTGGTCACCAACGCCGGCTCCTGCGTCGGTATCACGTTGTTGCCTCGGACGTAGACAGGAATGTGGCCCAACGGTGCGTCAATCGTTACGTTCTCTCTAGCTGATGCATCGACGGCAGCAAGTGTGTACCAATCGTAGTACACCTCACCTTTGCCCACGCCGGGAAAGACTCCGTCGACGGAGGTGGCTCCTTGGTCTAGGACCGGTGTGACAAGAATGGCTGGTCCAAGGAAGAACTGCCGGTCTGCGGCTGCGAGGGAGGGATCATGAGGAAACTCCCAGGCCAAAGCACGCATAACGGTTGAGCCAGTGTTATGAGCCAGGTAGAACAGGGTGTATATGTATGGCAAGAGCTGATATCTGATGTTCATTGCTGTCTTGCTGGCATCGATGACGGATGACCATATGTACGCCTCCTGCGAATTGGCGCCAAGTGTATTGTGATTCCTATTCTGCAGTCAGCATACCCCTCTCATGACACAAATTTAGGCCGTAAGACAAGCCGATGGGGTACAGCGGGGGCAGGAGGCCGTCCGCGCTCCCACAACCTGTCCCACGACTCCATTAGGAGTATTGAGGGGCCAGGGATGACTCCGAGTTGAACATACCGGTAGAAAGGGAAGAAAGCGGACAGCTGCATCCAACGGTTGCATAACTCTTCGTCCGTGTTGCCGTTGAAACCGCAGGTATCAACGCCGAACATAGGGATGCCGAATAAGGAGAACGATAGAGCTTGAGGGATAGAGAAGAACATATAAGCAAAGAGACTCGTATTGTCACCACCCCAGTGCCCTGCCCACTTGCCACTGCCCGCAAAAGTTGATCGACCAATGATGAACGGCCGCACTATTGGTATTGCGGCCAGGAGCGCATGATAGGTCGCGTTCAGAATCTGGTGGCCGAACAAATTATGGAGTTCGTATTCCTGCATACCGTCCGCATGAGTGGCATTCGGCGATATTGCGTGCACCGCAAGATCGCCCTGGACATTGTTGATCACATAGGGAGGGTGGTTGACGTCTCGCACGCCTGGAGTAGGAATAGTCCTTAGATAAATAGTATCACCAGAAGAAGAAGCCGCGGCATTAGCTGACGCCTGGCTAGCTGCTGCGGAAGAAGCTGAAGCTGCATCCGTGGCGTTTGTCAAATTGAAGCCCTCTGGGTAGCCGTAAACAACGTTACCCGGTTCGCCAGGAAGCGCAAAAGATGGGTGCACGGGATTCAAGGTGATGTTCTCCGAACCACAGCTGCCCACACAGAAAGATGAGGCTTCTGACATGTCGATCCATGCTCCGTCAAAGGCCAGCTTGCTATGCCAATTGACCATCTCGTTGATCCACCATTGTCCGGCACCTCCAGAAATCCAATCGGGGAAGACGGTGTAGCCCGGCCAGACATCACCGATGTACAAGCTACCATCTGGATTGGTGATGAAAGCATCTGTCGCATTGCCATTGTCGAATGTGCTGTAGTTATCACTGGCGTTCGATGGGTTTGGAACATAGATGGCCGAGTCAATGATGGGTATGTAATGCTTACCACTAGCATGAAGAGCGGATAGGAAGCCCGCTCCTTCGCTGTAATTAAACCGGATGGGGTCGTTGTCGAAATCTCTATACTGGCTCATGTAATCGATATCAGTCCATATGTTTTCCAACGGAATCCCGAACGCCTCGTAGTTATCGACCACGGATTGGAGTACAGTCCAGTTCGCATAGCCCCATCTGCACTGGTGGAATCCGAACGTGAAGTATTGTTGCATGGTTGGTAGCCCGACAGCACTCATCTGATATGCTGCGGTGATCTCTGGTTGGGTGGGCCCTGCGAAGACATACATGTCGATACTACCTCCAAGGAGACGCCAGGTGATGTTTGTTGGCCTCAGAAGTATCTCTTGGCCGTGGGCGTTACGGTTGTACACTCCATGTGAGTATGATACATAGTCCGCGATTGCATTAGTCTCATTAGTGGTGACCAGCGAAAAATTGCCAGTGGTGTCGGCTTCGTAGTACCTCGTGTCTAAGTAGAAAGGGTGCGAGCCGTACAAATTCCTGGATTTAGGGGATCAGATGTGGAACAAAAAATCATCGAGGAGGGCTTGAAACCCGACTTACGTGTCGATCGTATCTCCTGTATCAGCGGCATACATCGTTTTAGTGAAGTTGTTTCCCAGCCTGAGTGCATGGATTGTCTCCCCCAATCCGTAAAGGTTATAATTATCAGGCAAAGTGCTGGCGAACTCCACGAATTGATCTTCGAATACCAGCTTTGTCCCAAGTGTTGAGAAAAGGGTGTCACCAGTAGAGACTCTGTAGACGGAAAACGAGAATGTCGGATCATTACTCCATACAAAACTCAGATCGCTTGACAAGCTCGTACTGTTCGCATCAGCATCAGGAGTGGGCTGGTGAACAATGTAGCTTGGCAAGTTGTAGTAAGAAGAGTTCGAAGCGTCGATCACCGCTGGCGTAATCCTGATAGCAAGGCGATCTGCGGATTGATACTGGACGGTCAGGTTCAAGGTATGGATATCGTTCCCGTATACATTGCATGATGAGCCGGCTAGCGTCAAGGTCGCTGTCAACCCCAGTGGGTTTCGAGCAACATTAGAGGCAGTGTATCCGGGACAAACATTTTGAGCATCTTTGGCTTGCGGGTCTTCAATGTTAGGTATCAACGTTGCGCCGACATCAGCAGACGACGGCACAGTGAATACGGGTCTGAAACTGGTTGGTGTCCCCGCATATGAAGTCGTCGTTGAAACGGCATTCTGAGCATTGGAAAATCTGCTCAGTTGCAGAGTGCAGAAAATGAAGAGGTTGAAAATGGAGAGGGGAGAATGAAACATGACTGGGCTAGGTGGACGTAGCTTGAAGCAGCCAGTAGCATAAGCGAGAAGGAAAAAAAGGTAGGTGAAAGCCAGCAAAGGTGCTATGGCAAAGGCTCGACCAAGGATCGATATTGATGAAGACAAGAGGAAAACGCCCTCAATTAGCCACGGTGTGGGGGCATCCATGCTCCTTTTGTACCTCCAGGTACTCTGTAGGATAGCATGTGCTATGACATTTATGACGAAGTGGGCCAGGAGATCATTGGACGTTGAAAGCAGGTAACGGCAAGAGGAAAGGCCCGCTGAGGACCATGCTGGGAAGGTGCAGAGCTTTTCCAGAAGATCCGTTCCTTCCAATGGGATAGACACCAGAAGGCCCGATACTGGCAATTGATGTGGATTGGAGCCCGTGGGAACGGTTCTGGTTCAAAAGATGGAAGGCTTGCATATAGCAGAAAGACCAGCTTCAAGTACCAAGCATTGTTCAGATCCTGGCACATACACACATGAGGCGAGTCCATGACCACTGTGGCAGACAGCGCTGTATTTCAGTCGAGGACAGTAGAAGGCAAGGCAAGGGACCAAGGGTAAGGAGTAAGAGTTAAAGGAAGGCATACTCTACCACTAATTAAGGTACTAGAGGATTGCCTATGACTTAGGTACTTTACTTTAGACATGCGATTTGCAATACTACCCCGCCTTTCAACACGCCCACACCCGAGACACCTTAACTAACAACGATGCGGGGAAAGCTGCATGAAGTACTCTACTCACTACCTACTTTACTTACCTTACTCAAGACACCAATCCATTACTATCATGTATCAGAATGCCTCATTTTCAACTAACATCTTGCCCTTTAATCCCGGGGTACAGACTCGTATTTTGGAGGCAGAGAATGATATGTCATTCAATGTGTACCTTGAAACGCCCCAAGAATGGTCTTGTCCGTCCCAACCAAGCTCACATCTATTGCCTGCGAGGAGGCTTCTCATTACAATGGATTAATTCTATCTCTCTCCACCCGTTTTAGACATGCAGCAAGGGAATATTGCACTGTGCCACTGTGATATGTCGAATTACACGCCCCAAGCGCTAGCTTGCACTCTAGTAAAACTGCCCAATGATAAGTATGTCCCAACTCTTCCAGCAAGGACGGAAAAGACGCCTCCTGAAATGCTTTGCTCCAATGCGCCGTACCATGTACAAGCAAGCTCATTCCATCACGCTGCTATATCCTGAATGGATAAGGGGGTATGGAAAGCGCCGAGCAACTTGCAGGCAGCATGGATAGCGCCCCTTGTTGTGTATCCCAGTCGCCCCTTCTCGACAGTCCACCATTTTCTCTCATATCTTTCTCTCACACCCTCTCCTCCCCGGCTCTTGCTTTGCCTCTCCTTCTAAAGAAATCCATCACCCTTCTCGCTGCCCCAGACGTCCCGGCGTGTTGACCCCCCACCCCATAACTTGGATCCGCGTCTTGCTCGTACGCATCTGCGAATTTCCGATTGTTCTTTTGTAGAACATTCGGTCCACGTCCGCTTCGGTTTTGAGCAATCGATGTACCGGCTGCCTCTTCTTCGTATTCGTTAAAACCCTGAGGATAGACAGGCCGCTCGCGTCGATGATTAATAGATATCTGGGACTCTGTAGGCGTGTCCAGATACGATTGGCCCGGTTGCAGTGGCTTCGAAGTGGGGTAAGGATCGTGAGGAGTCTCGGTCTGTGGGTTGTCATATTCGCTCTGCTGCCCACCTCGAGAAGGGACATCTTTTCTTCGCGTCTGTTGTACAGGACTATCTCGTGCACGGTCCCGCGAACCATCATATGTTGCGGGGAAGTTCTCCTCTTGTCCGTAGCTATTGCCTCCACTTTGGCCTCTACTGTATGCCATGGTCTGCGGACGCGATTGAGCTCGGCTTGAAAGGGCTGACTGAACGTTGCTCGACGGCCTCCGCTCAGAAGTTGGTCTCATCTCGTTGCTCGCATCTTTCCCACTGCCAGTGCTGGTGAATCCCTTTAATGAGAAAGAAGCGGGCAATAGAGAGAATCTCCGTGGCTTCTCCTGTTTGGGTAGATCAGTGATCTTTCTCAAATCGCTGCTCTTCCGTCCGAAGCTGAATGAGGGCCGCCGTGAATCTGTTGATTGCCGGGGACTATCAGCTGCTATCGGAGCCTTCATGCTTGTAGGTGGATATCTTTTCTCTCTTTGTGGCTCCCCAGGCGACTGAGGTTGCGACCTGCCACCAGAGATCGAACCTGTCCTGAAAAAGTTTCCCAAAGTATTTGACCGTTTGTGCCCTCGAGATTGATCTCTGTGATCTCCTAATGTTGGAGGCTCATACTGCTGAGTGCTTGGCAGACCGATTGATTCATTCTGACCGTAAGGTCCTGATTGGGGAATCGGCGCTGAGATATTGTATTGCTTGCCACTCTTGGGCTGCGCAAGCCGTCCTTCTGCATTTGTCGGTGCCACCGTAGGTGGAAGTGGTTGACTATAAGAGTTTCCTCTGGAAGGTAATCGACCAGCTGTGGAAGCCATAGACCCTCCAGTAGTGGGCCTGGTTACGGTCGAGGTTGGAAGCGGGCCGAACGCGCTAGTAGATTCAGACACAGAACGAGGTAGATCCTTCGGTGGCCGTGAAGGAGGCGCCATGTCTCGCTGGGAGCTGCTAGGTCGATACTGGGTTCTATTTGGCCCCTGTTGATATGCTTGACTTGACCTCGGGGCCGGTGCAACCGATGCGTCTTGCGGCGAAGACTTAGTCGTCGCACTGTATTGTCGAGGGACAGGTTCCGGCCCTTCGTTGCCGGCCCTGGCGCGAGTCTTCTGTTGACCTGTTGAAGCAGCTTGGGGAGAGACATCTGTAGCGGGTGAGCTGATGAGAGGCAGACCTTCGCCTCTAACTGTCTGGCTTTGCGGAGCGACGTATTCAACTTGCACAGTCCTTCTTTTAGGATCACGAGGTGCTTTGGCTTTTTCAATCGCTTGCTCAGGGTCAATTTTACCTTGATGAGTGAGCGCGCCAACAGGAGACATGTTGGACGGATGTGCTTTGGCTGGTTCTCTAACAGAAGCACTGCGGACGAGCAGAGGAGCATCTTGTGGATCTAGTGAGAACAGAGTCAGCTTTATTTTGGCAAGCAAAACATCCGGATTCAGAGCAAAGGTGGCTGCAAAACACATGTAAGAGACAGTGTGGAAGAGAGAGACTCTACCTGCTGTGACAGTGGTATTCGCAATCTCGCCAACGGTCGTGGTACTGCTTGTGACTTGTGCCACCACATGCGCAAAATCGCTTAACCAACTATGCCTGGCGACCTCAAATAAATCCGCTCGCTGCCTGGGGTCGGCGACTAGGATCCTTCGCAAGAGGTCACGAGCATGCGGAGTGACGTATTCTGGGAAGGTAAGAGCTGTAGTCGTAATGTACTTGTAAAGTAAATTAATGTTATCCCCTTCAGGATTCGCAGGGTCATCGTCAAAGGGCAGGTAGCCAGCCAACATAGCGTACTATAGCAAAAATTAGACTGTTCGTTGACCTGGTTGCTGGAAGAGTGTCTTACCAGGATGACCCCACAACTCCAAACGTCGACCTTCCTTCCGGTATAGAGAGAATCTGTCACTACAAGCTCAGGTGCTGCGTAGCACGGACTACCACAGCTTGTCGCCATCAAATCTCCTCTCCGACTCCCGTTCTGGACTCGCTCCAGATCCATCCTCCGGACAAATTCCCGGTCCGTCAGTTTTTTCTCAATGTCTTCACCCAGCTCATCGCGGGGATCAAAGGTGTTGGCAAAACCGAAGTCCGTGATAACAATATTACGATTTCGGTCAAGCAGAAGATTCTCAAGTTTGAGATCTCGATGCACAATACCCTTCTTGTGTAGGTAGCCAACCCCTGAAACAAGCTGGGCGAATAGCTTTCGGGCTGTGTTGTCTTTCAGATACCGATGATTCAAGATATAGTCGAACAATTCACCACCAGATGCATACTCCAAAATGATACCAATGTAGGGAGGCGTCTCAATCATTTCATGGAGTTTGACAATATTTGGATGCTCGAGGCCCCTCAAGATGGACACCTCGCGGTAGATCTTGGGCAGTCGACTTGGGTTCTGCCCAAGGCTCTCTCGTCGGATGAGCTTGATCGCTACTTGAACCTCCCCATTCTTTTTCCAGCCCAACTTGACTTTGCCGAATTCTCCTTCGCCGAGAGTCTGCCCGAGAATATATTCACCAAATCGCGTCTCTTTTCTTCGTCCTGGATTTCCTGCACTGGCCGAATAATCTTGCCTGCTTCGAGGAGCTGCCCTGCCGACGTCTTCAGCGGTCACGTTATTCACGACCGCTAGTCCTGGCACGGATTCCAATTGCCGTTCTTGTTCGCGTTTGAGGTCGACAGCAGGATCGTCCACCACGACTCGGTTAATTATTTGGCTTTCATCTCTTCCAGGCCTGGTGTGAGACGCTGCGGAGGCTACATTTGAGGCTGAGCGGTTTTCCACGGCGGTGGGTGACTGTTGAGAGCCTGGTTCTCGGGTGCTTGATGCCCTTTGCGGTCCTTCCGACGAAGTCGGCCCTCTCCGTCGTGATCTTGCTGCTGCCGCATCATTGTCTATTCCAGGTTCACCACCACTCAGTGATTCTGCTGCAGCACTGCGGGATGCAGATTGGCGCTCGTCAATCGCTTGACCAGTCTGCCGCGAGGAAGCTGTTCTATCGGCAAGGGGTGCATTCGATGGTAAACCGATACTTTGGCCACGTTGATTTGACGAGGTTCTTGGAGGTGGTGATATTGGTGGGCGGGCTTGATGTGATTGCTGCCCTCGTTGGTCTCTCCGACTCTGCTGATGCGGAGGAGACGAAGATGTAGTAGGGATCATTGGGGATGCATGGGTAGTGCTAGCCATGTCCTGACCGCGAGGGGTACTCGAGTTCGAATGATAGGCCCCCGCAGAAGATTGGTATGGAGCTTGTTGAGAGGCATCAGGCTCCAGAGTTTGATTTCCGTTACCGCTTGGCCGTGTCGATGGTCGTGTCGATGAGTGAGGTGAGCTTCTCGGTTGCGAGTGGCTCTGGCTCTGGTCACCTGCTTGTGAGGTTTGCTGGGAGTATTGCCGTCGTGATGCTAAAGAAGGGTCCACGGCATATGTGCCAGGGCCGACTGGTGATTGTGTCTGTTGCGAAGCTACTTGCATCGTAGCAATCGACAACGTACCTGCTCCGGCTTGTTCCCGCCCACTCTTTGACACAGGCCAAATGTATGACCCTCTTCCGTTGCGACCCTCTGGTGCCTCTCTAAAGTGGCGTGGAGACTCCAATCTCGCCGGGCAGTCCTGATCGACTTGACTCGCGGTGTTCGGGATGTAGCAGAGCCACGGCGAGCTCCACCTCTTTGTAGTCTTCTGGTAATTAGACCATGCAACAAGTCAATTTTCCAGAGAGCTGAGTCTCAGCCAATTAACAGGACCAAGCCGAGACTCTGTGTCTTGGTTGAATGTTCTGGAAGCCCAGCGCTGGCCAATGTGGTAGGAAAATCGAAGACGTCGGCCGTGGATCGTACTTTCTAAAGATGTTGGGTCAGTGTAAAACCAAGGATTTCAGGCTGTATCCTATGCAGCTGGGCTTGACGAAGCTCTTAATAGTAGGAGGCGTTGTCCTGCTCCGATATGGTAGAGAACAGAGAGCGCAATCTTTCTACTCAATGAGTATGCTCTGTCATTGGGATGGTATAAAGACGTCGGTTGTGCGCCAAATCGGAAGGTTTGTATAGAAGTATCGCCGGGAATTAAGAGCACATGTCAGAGAAAGGCAAGGAAACGCAGATGAAGGAGCGTGGGAACGACGGTCGGAAATGAAGCTATACAGCTATCATTGGTGAAATTGGCGTCGTTCAAGAGCCTCGAGAAGCCGGTGCGGCCTGGCCTTGTAAGGAAGCGGTAGGCGGGGGGAGAGTGAAAGGTCAGAGGTGTGCTTTAAAGCTGGATGTTGTTTTTGTTGCAGAGTTGGATCGGTTTCTTTCAGAATCGGTTAGAGTTCCCTGCCGCAATTTCTTTGGAGCATGGGGGGGGTGTGTTCAAGGAAAGCAACTTTTTCTTGGGCGGCCCAGCCCAGACTTTTCGATTGGAAGGGCTGATGTTAGCAAATATATTTACAAAACGCTCAGCTACTTGGACTGATTAATTGTACAATAATAATAATAATCATAATAATAATAATAACAACAATAGCTTCAAAGATAGGCACTCTCACTCTATCTTCAACTCACGTCTCACTGGTCTCAAGGGGCAACTTCAACTTCAAGTGGTTTGGTATCATCAAGCGCCCAAGGAAACGATTAAGATTAATGATTTTCCACCTATGAATAGACTTGAATTTGCGCCTCAAGTCTCCTGCCTGCATGGGATAGGTGTTTCAGCTTCCATCCTTGGACTATGGAGAGATGGGAAGACCCGGGGTAAGCCACAAGCACATCATAATGAGGCCCGAGCAGCAGACAAGATATTATGTAGTAAACGTGCCAGGTCCTAGGCGCGGAAATCCTCCTGCCTTCTGCCCTGCCTTCTGCCCACCGACTCGCATCAAGCCTTTGAACTTGGGTGTGAGAGCAGGTTAGGCAGAGTATCCGACTGACAGCAATTCTTCCTTGGGTGCTGACACCTTCTTCTTTTAGTGACATTTACAGCTGAAATTAACACCTACATTGGCAGCGAGCATGGTGGAAAGTACCGTTGCTCGGGTCCTATGTTGAGGCTTTTTCGCCAAAAGACTTGCCTGTTCCATTGACCCTAATAGCATGTTGCCACATGAATATCTACCCGAGCAGATCCATATGCGAAGCGGTAGTCTTAGCAAATACGTTTTGTCTTGTGTTGCGATGGAGCCACAGGTTGGTGAACGATCCCGGCGGACGCTTTATAAATGATGGGCGGCGTTCGAGCATTGCTCGCCGGGATGCTTAGGAGCCCAGTGGCTCACCCAATGAGCTCGACTTCTCTGTTATTGGAGCAGTCTTGTTGCCAAAGCCAACTTGCGTACCCGACCCCGCGCCCATACTCTGGTTTCCCACCGTCCCGGGTTTATCAGCAGGCATCGCCTCGGGAGGAATGGCCCCGCCATCTCCACCGCCAACTACCAAGTCTCCTCCACCAGGCGCTCTGCCAACCACCATCCCCTTTGCAACCGATCTAGTCGTCCAATTAGCCGTTGTGTCCGAGTTGATAAGCTGTCCAGTGACTGAGACTTACTTGATGACTGCTCTCCGCGAAACCCCCGCGGCATCTACGTAAACAAGACCTACGTTCCTCACGCCACCTGCAATACTTCCGGCAACATTTCTTGCATTTTCTCCGTACCGATGGCCAACGACCTGAGTCGCAGCGCTGGATCCCGAAGCCAAAAGGTTACGCGAAGCATAATCGACGCCGTCTGCGATGGTCGAAAACGCCATCATAGATTTGTTCAACAAGCCTGGTTTGTAGCCTTCTCTGTCAGCTTTATGGTTCTTTTTCTGTTGCTCGCTCCGGCGAGTTAAGGTTGCGCCAAGGTTCTGCGCATGTCTGGTGACTTGGCCAACGGTCTTTGCGGACAGGCCCACAGCGCCCTGGGTGACGCTGTTCAGTTTTCTCACCCTTGCTTGAGTAGTCGGTGTGAAAGTCATAGGTTTGGGGTTCGGCTTCGTCTTCTTAGTGAAGTTGTCTGCCCCGGTGGTCATCTGATCCGCTAGCCATCCAGATCCCGTGACTATAAGACGAGAAGCCACAGCAGCATTTTGCACCAGGGTTGAGTCTTTGTAGGCAGGATGCTTCGCCATCTTGAGATATTCTTCTGAAGCATTGGTGATGTTGATCTGGTTGCCTTCGCCTTCCTGGGGCAATTGAATCTCAACAGGTCCTGGAAGAGTTAGCATGCTTCCTTCCAATTCAATGCCCTTGGTAGGAGAGTTTATCATACTCTTTGAGCCGGCGTGTACATCCTTGCCCTCAACAACGTGGAACCCCTCCCCAAGCTCGCCAACGACTGACCCATCCTCTTCATCCACAAGGACAATGTGGCCCTTCTCAGTGCCACCCAGGCCAGAGCCAACATAACCCTCGCCAGGAGCGTAATTCGCCGGATTATATTTCTTTTCACCCGCAGATGTGAAGCTCGCCCGTTCCAGAAACGCAGTGCATTGTGCTAGAATCGTCTCAAACGTATCTACATCTTCCTGCGTGACCCTGTCAGGTCCAGTCCCAATCTTAGGAAACTCAATGCGAGTGAAAGCACCACTCTCTGGTCCTAGATCCCATCGTGGGATCAGGTAGCTTCTTGGAGGCTGGTGGTAGATCTGAGTTGTCGCAGGTAGGGAGAGGTCGAGCTCTGGGGGGAGATGCAGGTGCAGGTAGAAGTCCTCCTCAGGTGCTGCACTAGAAGGATTGGCGGAAGATAGGTCAGCGAAAGGGGATGATGTTGGGACCATGAGCAAGGACAAGGTCTGCGGTCCAGAGTGGCTGAGAGGTGACTCTTGGCCATCTTGAATGTGGTATGCACTTATGTTGCCGACGCTGTAGAGCAGTTTCGGCTCATTGTGCCCGGCAGACATGGTGGAGAGGGTTGATAGTGGAGCCGGTAGTCACGTAGTGGGGTATGGTGGGGAAACGGTTATCTGTCAGTGGCTGTCAGGGTGTCAGGGTGTCAGGGTGCGTATAAGCTGACGGGATGTCACTCAAGGAAGCAGCTTCAATACTTCACAGAAGGAAAGGGGGAATTTAAAGTCATGGATTCATGGGAATCATGAGAATCATATCTAGACTACATCTCGATTTTCCGAGGCATCAAGATTCAATAGGGTTCACGGTTCAAGGTTTAAGCGCGCCAAGGCTGGATTCTGCCCCTTTCCCTTCCAAGGTTCCTAGCGAATGTGCAGAGCGATCCTTAAAAAAGGCACACGCCAAGCAACCTCACGTTACCTTACTAACACCAATCCCTCTTCCAACTAAACTTCATAAGAGTTGTTCTTTGCGCTAATATCTATATATCCAAGCAAAATCTCTAATAACCTCGTTGGAAATGTGTTTTTTTTTTTTTTTTTTTGTTTTGGGGGTTTTTTTCCCCCGCGAGCGATCCTAGACCATCATTAATATTGGCTGTCAAGATAGGAAGCTTTACAGACATTGGCGCCGCGTATTTACTGCGAGAGTAGCAGTAGAGAGGCTTTTAGCTTAGGCACATCTTCATTCCATTTGCAACGACGGTCATGATTGATTTCATCAAGCAACTTCGAGCGTGAATAATCTCATAGCCAGACGCCGATATGCAGCTTAACCCCGAGTGCCCCTCGGGCGTATCTCATCATCAATTCCTGTCGGTCGAGCCCGAGATACATGCATGCCCCCAACATTACCTAGCTCTCACCCATGTTCTCAGCCTCGTTTGTTTCCGCTTGGCCTCAGGAAGCGGACTAGAGCCATAACAGAGCTACCAGTTTCACATTACTGAGTGCTGCTCTTTTTTCCGCTACCCGAAGCTTTCCAGAAACGTTACCCACGTACTGTTTGCAAAACGACGACGAGCAAAATGACGACGAATTATGGAGTCATCAAGCTTTATGCAGGTTTCAACCCTACAGTGGAGTATGCGCCCTGGTCGTCCAGCTAGAGACCCCAGCCTGGTCACACATTCAGTATTGTCGCAGTTCACGGCTTATGTGGCAATGCTCTCAAGACATGGACATTCGAGGGATGAAAGGTGCCTTGGCTGGGGGACAAGGACATGCTCCCTAAAGCTCTTCCCCACGCCAGGATCCTGACGTGGGGTTACAATGCGAATGTGCATTCTTTCATGGGCAGCACATGTCGCGCAGCTCCAAGCAGACCGTGAGGTATGGCTTCCTCTAGTCCCTGGAACAATTCCTATTCTCTTCTCTCAGTCAGCGAGAAGAAATAGCCACAGATACTTCTCATTTCCTCCAATCATTTCAGCGCTGTTAAAGACATGCCGCTCTGTCATGTTTGTTGACATGAAGCATTTTTACGAATGCTCTTTAATTGATCTACTAACCGGGTCACATATAGATAGAAGGCGCTTCAGAAAAGCCCATTATATTTGTATGCCATTCACTTGGGGGTATCATTGTCAAAAGGGTATCTTCAGTACTTTCTCAATCCGAAATTAGATAGGTCGAATCGACTTGGCTTCCAGGCGCTGGCCTACTCCGCCAGCAGAACCTCGGCACATATAGAGCATTTGCATTCAATCTTCGTCTCTACGTACGCAATTCTCTTCCTTGGGACACCGCACCACGGTAGCGACATAACAAAAATGTTTAGCACAGCTCGGCATATGGTCAGTACAGTAACACCAAAAATTATCGTAGACACAGACGGCCAGCTTCTCAACGCACTTCGAGAAGGGTCCGAAACGTTGCAGAATGTGACAGACCAATTTGCGCCTTTGATGAAAAGGTTTCGTATATACTTCTTCTGGGAACAAGAGAAGACCACGATATCTCTTAGCAAAGCTTATGTATTTCACCTCTTTTGCTACATTCTGTCTGTATTGATCGTGGCTGACAACAAGGAGATTGTCGACGCGAGTTCCGCCGCACCCATTCTTGACAACACGGAACGCTCTGGCATAGCTGCCGATCATTCTCACATGTGCAAGTTTGAGAACAGTGATGCACCCGGATACCGTATCGTCGTAGCGGCATTGATGAGGTATGCGCGGGAGAGTCCGGCGCTTGTCGAAAGCCGGTGGTCTCAAGCAAAAGAAATGCTGAGGACGCAGCGTTCTGCTGAGGCTACCGAATTGACGCGTGGGTTCTAACAGAAAAGGTGTACCCAACGGCCTTTTTTGCAACTATTCAAAGGGTTGAGGTCCGTCATATATATGCCCTGGGTGGGAGATGACTTGATGAAGCGAGACCGCTTTCATATGCGGATATGATGGGTTTGGCTCGTACTTGACGACTCAATCAAGGATTGGGAGTCCGACAACGTCTTGAACACAACTTGGTCTGACATCGACCTCGCATCAGTCAGAAAGACCTAGCCTCTGATGGTGTAGAACCACCGATACAGAGAGAAACCCAGAAAGGTTTCTCTGTGCTTCCCTTCGCTTCAAGTCATTCGGCTGGTCCTGCCTGTTTCAGCAAGCACAAGCTCATGAACGGACATGTGATGTTAATGGGGAATCAAATGGTTTGAGATTTGGGCAGCTTTGCGTCCCAAGTTCGGAGTCTCAAGTCACATTGTTCGGCCTCCTCCAAACGGCCTTGACTTATGTAAATCGCGGAGAGCTGGCCCTCGGCCTTCTTCGTCCAAGGATGCTCAGGGCCCATGATCTTGCTCATCGCGTCAATTAGATCCGAAAATATTACCTCGGCCTCATCCAACCTTCCCAAGTACCTATAGGTACGTGCAAGCTCGGACCTTGCAGCCAGGGTGTCGGGATGTTCAGGGCCAAGTGTTCGTACCTGCATTTCTACCAGATCCGTGAGGGTATCTCGGGACTTCGCCCATTGATGCTGGCCAATGTATGCCCGCGCGAGGTTCATCTTGGTCATTGACATGCCAATATGCTCCTTCCCTAGGGTTCTGGTCACCGTCTCCAATATGTTCACCAGTAGTAGTTCCGCTTCAACGGCGTGACCTTGATCGCAATAGATCTTCGACAGATCGTTAATCGCCCACAAGGTGTAAGCGTGCTGCTGTCCAAGGACTCGCTTCCTCTTCGCCACGACTACTTCAAGAATCAGCTCAGCCTCGGTCAAATTCCCAAGAGCATGGTAGGTCATCCCCAATTCCGCCATAGCCATCAATGTGTCAGGGTTATCTGGGCCGAACATCATTTTTCGTGCCTCATAGACTTCGACCAATAATGGCTTCGCGTCGTGGGGTCGCCCTCGGTGCATATAGACCCGGCCGAGTGTCTCCATTGCCATCAAGGTATCAGGATGACCCCGGCCAAGTGTATCCTGTAAGCCGTTCGCGGCTTTTTCGGCCAGGGGCTCGGCCTCGATTCGATTACCGCAAAGCCAATATGTCAACGCGAGACTACTCATTGCCTTGAGTGTTTTGGAGTGGTTTGCACCTAGGGCCATCGCGCTCGTCTCCACCACGGCGCGCTGTAACTCGAGAGCCTTGTTCCTGCTGCTTAGATTCCAATAGCTCCACGCCAGTGCGGTCATTGCGTCAAGAGTTTCGGGATGCTCTCGGCCTAGAGCGTTAGTCTTGGTGTTCATCGCCTCTTCCTGCAGGTCTCTGGCCTTGATCCAGTCGCCGCATTCGGAATAGATTGCAGCAAACTTGACAATCTTAGATACATGATGTGTGTCATCTCTGTGCGTGAGTAGGGATAGTGATCGCTCTATCTGCAATGATGAATCAATGTGAGACACTAGAGACCTCCGGTACGCCTGAACAGACGGCTCAAATCCAGGCGTTATGGACAGTGCAAGGGTGGTGGCAGCAATTTCAGCCCAGAGCTTCTTATCCGGGGTATCAAGACGCTCGCGAGCCCAGAAATGAACCATTGGGTGCATGGACCACGTTTCGTTTTCTTGGTGCTGTATTATTAGCGAAAACCTGGATAGCATGGCAAGAGCTTGCCTAAGCCGATAAAAGTTCCATGTTGAACCGTGCTGGAGTAATATGTTGGGCAAACGTGGCTCCGTGCTCCAATTCCTTGTGGGGAACATCATGGTATAAATAAGAGCAAATATGGCGAACGACAAGAAGAGTTCCAGTATCTTGGCTGCGAGCGTTTTTGGTAGCACACGCTCTTCCGGACGCTGTGAGACAGCCCATGCCCTTTCAAACATGCTGGCTGGGACTTGCTCAAAATGGACGAAAGCTAAAACTTGTACGCTTTGGATAGCATCCACGGCCGTCTCTGATGCCATACTTTCAATCTTCTGCACCGAGACCTCCCATGTTGTATATATGTTGTACTTATAACTGTCTGAGCCTTGTACAAAGTCGTCATTCACGATCTGCGTTCTGTGTGATGCGAATACGTCAATGTATTCTTCCAAAGAGCATATGCCATGTTTGATTGATGCGCCAGCTTGGATGAGCGCCAAAGCCAAGTAACCAAGTGTCTTGGCGATAGGTCTCGCAACTTCTCTGACTTGCTGGTCATGTGTGCCATCATGATCGGCGGCCTTTAAGAGCAGCGTGATCGCATCCTCTTCCTCCATGTTCCCAAATTCATAGTAACCGATTGTCGCGTGGATTTTGCAATCCGAGTTGCGGGAGGTCACTAAAATATGGCCTCTCTCGCCTGGCGGGAAGAATCTTGAGTAGTCAATCGTGGGGTCGTCGGCGTTGTCGATGACTAACAACCAGGGTGTATCTAGTCCAGTCAACCAGTACATGCCGGCGTCGTGAGTGGCCCCCAATCCCCCAAGCTGACCAATCTGTGACAAAGCCCTCTCTGCATTTTCGATAGTACTGGCATCTATCCAAAAGATACCCCAGAATCTGTGGCAGCAATTAGCATTGTAAGTTTCCTAATTGAAGTTTAGCATGTGGGCCAAAAGGAAGGTGATATGAGATGGAGTGTTTTCGCCAATGCCTTACCTATCACGATTGTCTTGGACGAATTTCAGGCAGAACTGGGTCTTGCCTGAGCCACCTAAGCCATACAGTACGAAGCGCTTCTGCTGGTGTGGTCTATCGGGTACTGGCTGCTCGAGAATCTTGCTTTCAAGCACTCGCGCGACAGCGTCTCTGCCCGTGAATATGCTGCTGACGTTGTGCGGTACGTGGAAATATTTGTTGCGCAATCATGTGTCTGCAGGCGCTTGACGAAGCCTAGGGCTTTCGCAAAGGAATGGCTTGTTATCGTTATGAGCATCAAATTTTTTTGGGGGTTGGGGTTTTTTTTTTTTTTTTGGTTTTTTTTTTTTTTTTTTTTTTCCCTTTTTTTTTTTAATTTTTTTTTTTTTTTTTTTTTTTTTTTTTTTTTTTTTTTTTTTTGTTTTTTTTTTTTTTTTTTTTTTTTTTTTTTTTTGGGGGGGGGTTTTTTTTTTTTTTTTTTTTTTTTTTTTTTTTTTTTTTTGGGTTTTTTTTTTCTTTTTGGGGGGTTTTTTTAATTTTTTTTTTTTTTTTTTGGGGGGGTTTTTGGGGTATTTTTTTGGGGGTTGGGGGGGGGGGGGTGCGAGTGCCTTTTTCACCAAAATTTCTCCAAGACCGTGACATACGAAGATTATTGGCCGTTCCGCAGCGCTGCTAAGGGCTCGGACTGCTTCGAGTTCGGCAATAAGAGTATGAGCATGCTGTTGAATCCTGTCGGCTGATCCGTCTCCAAAGAAAGTTGAAGCATTCGCTTCGTATCCGAAAGACCAGACGCGGGCGGTCAGGATAGTGAAGGGAAGCAAAACTCTCAGCCAGATAACTCCCGTTCCAGGGTCGGTCCAAGTCCCTGTTTGATGACCCCCAAGACCGTGAACGGCGACTATGCTGTGACTTGATTAGATTGCATGTCATTGACGTTACCATTACCACCAACTGCATAGCGACAAGACGAGAAGAAGCAACTGCAGAGGTGAAGAAAAGAGCCACCAGAGCCATGAGGGCGTAGCTAAGACACAGATAGGTTGAGGAGATCTCCAGTCTCCACAAAGGAGATTGAAATGAAGAGACTCACTCAACGTAGAAAGAGTCCAATGTAGACTCGGCGGGACTCGGATGTAAGAGCTTCAAGCCCCATGAGGGCATGGTTGATATGGCATTCGGGTCAAAAGGACATTAATGGACACTCCATCACGAGCGCTTCTGCTGTGAGCATGAAGTGGGAGTTGAGCATCATGAAAGCCAAACCAGATTTGCAAATAGCTTTGGGAAAACCAGATTTAGTTGATTATGCATATCATCTGGACTTTCCATACAACCGGCACAGAGTAGATGGCTATGCAACTTTTCTGAAGTCGAAGCGCCAACAAGGCTTTTCCCCCGAGTTAACAGGATCCCGAGGGAGCGCTGAGCTTGAGTACCGAATGGAGTAGGAGGGCAGCTTCTGGTTGGCCAGCCGCTGTTATGTTCCATCAAACTTCTCCAAATCCGCTCCCATAAGCGTCATGATTGACATTATTGATTGGGGCTTCATGCACATTATTGATCTTTTTATTATTGCACATATCTCGTGGCGCGGCGTGGTATTGTAAAATATCTTACATGTAAAGTAGGTTCCCATCTAAAGTAAAGTACTTTATGCCCGCGGTAGTTTGGCCGCAGTCCACTCGCGTAGGATCCTTATCCCGGGCACCCCCGCTCGCCCCGGCCCCCCTAAGGTACCTTATCCGAGCTTCCCCGCGCTGGTGCCCGCACATGTCAGTGGTCACTCTGCTATAATGTGCTTCAGCGCCAGCCACGGCGCGTACACGAGTCGTTTTGCATTTCCTCTCCTGCATGAGGCCGTGCTACTAAGATGCAACCTAAGATGATTTAACTACTGCTCTCATATTATTTCCCTACCAAATTGCGCTGTCCACCTTTCCTTTCCCACCATTTCCGTCGTCATGTCAAAAAATTCTTCTCATCTCGTCTCAATCGATTCATACACTTTTCAGGGTATATCAATAGTGCGGGTAACCATCCTCTGTCTAGTAGCTTGGTACATATATGTTGCCTCTAAAAAGTATATCACATATAAAGTAAGCTTCTGTTCATCTCCATAACCCTTTACATGCAGTTGGCAATATTTGACGCCCGATGTCATATGACCTCGATATCTGACATCTGTTAGTCGGACAAAGCATTAGGAAAGAGTCATGGCTGCTGTCCTCCCCCCCGGCTACGAAATGGATGGCCATGGGGTATCGATCGCCTCATGCAGATTTTCGATGCTGATAAGAACAACCGTCTTATGGAGCTGTTTCTCTTTCACTTTCAAGATGTTGGGAATACTTTGGAGCAAAAGTTCCTAGGCACCCCAGCATTTGGTACCATCGAGCCGAGAAACCTAGAGGCCATGTTCTCCACCAGGTTTGGTGGTACGTGAATCGTCCCAGCGTGCTTCAATTGTTGGCTTAAATCTTGATGCTTCCGTGGGCAGATTTTGGGTATGGACTTCGTCGTCAGATATTCTTTCCATTGCTTGGCGATGGTATATTCACCCAGGATGGCGCTGCATGGAAGCATTCTCGACAAATGTTACGCCCGCAATTCTCCCGCCAACAGTACCAAGACCTTGATATCTTGTGTGAGCATGTGGACGATTTGATCAGCTGTATCCTGGAGAAAGGACAAAGCCTGGACCTGCAGCCTCTCTTCTTTCGATTTACTCTGGACACAACTTCGGCATTCCTCTTCGGAGAATCAACATATAGCCTAAGAGCAAATCAGTCGGGAGAAGATATCCAATTTGCCGAAAGCTTCGACGTTGCTCAAGATTATGTGGTCCAGCGTTATCGATACTTGGATCTATACTGGTTGATAGGCGGCCGGCGATTTCGAGAAGCCTGTGCCTCAGTACACCACTTTATCGAGAACATCATTGACCGGCGTCTCACCAAAACAGAGAAGTCTCGTGATGAGGACGGTCGCTACGTCTTCATCGACGCCATTGCTGAAGATTCCCGGGATCGAAGGGCTTTGCGCGACCAGCTCATAAATATTCTGCTCGCGGGCAGAGACACCACCGCTTGTCTCCTATCGTGGACTTTGTAAGGTCTCATTCTTTCCAATAGCTACCTTATGACTGCTTACATCGGCTTCAATTTTAGCCATCTCTTGCCACGAAATCCACATGTCTTGAAGAGACTACGGGACGAAATCCAATCGATCGCTGGGGACGGAAAAGATTTGAAGCGGAAAGACCTCAAGAAGATGACCTATCTGGCCAACGTCCTCAAGGAAAGTAGGTACTGCCGTTCCAAAATACTGTGGAGATTGATTTCCTGATAGGCGTTATGTAAACAGCTCTCCGCTTATACCCTTCAGTACCGGTGAATACACGGACGGTGCACAAGACCAGTATCCTACCAAGAGGTGGCGGTCCCGATGGGTTGTCGCCTGTGCTTGTGCGAAAAGGTGACAACGTGGCTTTCTGTGTGTATGCTATGCACAGGCGAAAGGACCTGTACGGAGAAGACGCTGAAGAGTTCCGTCCCGAACGTTGGGAGGAAGATTTACCTCTATACCGTGATGAGGTAAACGCAGCTTGGGGCTATCTTCCGTTCAACGGAGGTCCCAGGGTGTGTCTTGGCCGTAAGTCACTTCGATGTGCAATTTGACCCATGGGAAGTGATGCTGATGGACACAGAGGATTTCGGCCTTACCGAAACATCTTACGCAGTTGTTCGGATATTACAGACATTCTCAGTGATAGAAGCCGGACCATTTGAGAGACCTCAGGCTCAGGAGTGGCTAGCCTACTCATCGCACAGTAGCCATGGTCTCAAGAGGGTAGCAAAGGAGCGACAAAAGATGACTTTGGTCATGTCAGCCAAAGACGGCTGTCCAGTGCATTTTGAGCGGTGACGACTTTTACAGAATATATATGTTTCGATCAAAACGTTGGCCAAGTCGTTGAATGAGAAGAGAAGGCGAAAGCAGTTGTATGTAAAATGGTAATCGAAAGAGAAAAGAGTACGTTCGAGGGTAAATTCGAGTTTCAGATTTCATGACGACGGGAAGGTTCGTGCTGTCCAAAAGTGAGTTACTTGATAAAGCGAGGACACCAATAGATCAAGCGACATCCGGCTTAGTGGAAGAGTCTATTGGTGTCCTCACTCTATCAAGTAACTCACCTCTGGAGAGCACGATTATACTTTCGGGTAGCATTGATGCCGAGGTACGGAGTATTGTATGTGGGATTTGGATATTGTCATTTGATCCAGAGTTGAGTTGAGCCTTCTCCATTTTGCCCTTCTCCTTTCTTCTCCTTCTTCTCCTTCTTCTCCTTCTTCTTCTTCTTTTTCCTCTTCCAGTTTCTCGACGATATACACTACTTGTCTTGTCTCCATCCTATCTTGTTCTTCTACAATCCAAGATGTCTGCCTTCACCAAAGCACTGCGGCCCCTCGCCCGTGCTGCCTCTCGCACTTCTTCCCTAAGCATACGAATAACGCCCAAGTCTCATCAATGGTACCCACTCTGGTTGAACCTCTCACTATATCGATTAGCATATGCTGAGTGCAATCTAGTCTCCGTACCCTCACCACCACGCCAAACCCGCGTCAGGCCGACCCTCTCGACATCTCGTCCATTCCCCCCACGCCCATAACCCACCTTTCAGAGACCGAAAGTTTGATGGCCGACTCCATCCGTAAATTCGCCACGGAAACCATCCTGCCCAAAGTTCGCGCAATGGACGAAGCCGAATCTATGGATCCCGCTTTGGTAGAACAGCTCTTCGAACAAGGACTCATGGGCATTGAAATCCCGGAAGAGTACGGCGGGGCCGGCATGAACTTCACGGCGGGCATTGTTGGAATAGAAGAATTGGCAAGGGTGGATCCGAGCGTCAGTGTGCTGGTGGACGTCCACAATACCCTTGTCAACACAGCAATATTGAAATATGGGACTGAAGAGTCGAAAAGGAAATGGCTGCCAAGGCTGGCAACCGAGACAGTTGGAAGCTTCTGTCTTTCGGAACCAGCATCTGGCTCTGATGCGTTTGCCTTGAAGACTAAAGCTGAAAAGACGGCGGATGGCTACAAGATAAGTGGATCGAAGATGTGGATTACCAACTCCGTGGAGGCGGATTTCTTTATCGTCTTTGCGAACATGGATCCAAGTAAAGGTTACAAAGGCATAACAGCATTTGTGGTTGAGAAGAGCGCAAAGGGTTTCTCGATAGCGAAGAAAGAGAAGAAGCTGGGCATAAGAGCGAGCAGTACCTGCGTTATCAACTTCGACGACGTGGAAATACCGAAGGATCAATTACTGGGCGAAGAAGGTCAAGGATACAAGTACGCCATTGGACTGCTGAACGAGGGCCGGATCGGCATTGCTGCGCAAATGACCGGTCTGGCTCTAGGGGCCTGGGAGAACGCCGCTGGCTATGTTTGGAACGACCGCAAACAGTTCAACCAACTCGTTGGCGAGTTTCAAGGCATGCAATACCAACTTGCTCAAGCTTACACCGAGATCTGCGCTGCCCGTGCCCTTGTCTACAACGCTTCTCGCAAAAAGGAAGCTGGCCTTGACTTCGTGCGCGACGCTGCCATGGCCAAGCTCTACGCCTCGCAAGTCGCGGGGAGAGTTAGCGGGCAAGCGATCGAGTGGATGGGAGGCATGGGATTTGTGAGAGAAGGGATTGCGGAGAAGATGTTCCGGGATAGCAAGATTGGGGCTATCTATGAGGGGACGAGCAATATTCAATTGACCACTATTGCCAAGCTGCTCCAGAAGGAGTACACTAAGTAGTCATAGAAGACATGTTCTGAGTTACAGGACCTTTTCTCAGCTTGCCCTCGTATCCATCGGTGTTTTGACGGTAAAGCAGATCGTGATTGAACCTGTCCGCTGTCCATTCGGGTATAAACAAAAGATGATTTCTGCCAAGAGTCCGAATGCTGGTCTCTGGTTTTGTCTGTGGAAAAAATGCACAGCAGAGGGGTCTAAATCCAAGAATCTGGCAATGTTTGGTGACACCGAGCCCGGTAGAGCGAGCATTTGGCAGGTTGGGAATCTGTTCTTTGTAGGTGTTGATTCCCAACACTCCGGGTTTGCACCACTCTCGACGGTCGCTCTGATCGGCACCCTGACGCCGTTCCATGACGAAATAATTCATATCAATGCGCTCGTATCGCCTGCGGTCCTTCCGTGACGCCCGCAGCTTTCTCTCGTGTCTGAGACGCATCTGCCTCGGCTAGCCCTTCTTCAGCCTTGGCCCTAGCAGCAGCTTGCTCTGCCCTAACCTGGGCCAGTATCTCCGGGTACCACCTCTCTCCGACATCCACGTGACTCTTGACCCGATTGACCAGCGTCGCTTCGCCCAAATGTCCCCATCTCCCCTTTGTGAATGTGAATTCCACATCATCGATTCTTTTGCCTCCTCTTTGCCTCAGCCTTTCACCTCTCATTGCAAGAATCTCGGCCGGAATATCCACACTTTCGAATGTGGCGTCGTAGCTCACGCCTTGAAAGAAAGGCACACTGAATCTCGGGCCTAGTCCTGCTTGCGGAGAGAGGACGCGATGTCTGAAAAATAGTTTCAGAGTCAGCATTGCCTATCCGAAAGGGTATGTTGAGCCTTGGAGCAGGTCTACAGAGTAGACACTCTCAAGACATGTCTCGAGGCTCAAGATCTGGTCCAGAAGAGAAAATATAAATTCCGAAAATACGTACGTAGTACTTTTGCAGACTCCATGGGTGAGCGCTTCCAGACCTTGGCCGATGGCTACAACGAGGGTGAATGGGATAGGCGGGCAGTCGATCCAATCTCCGTTGAGGTTCTGGGCTTGAAGACCAGTGTGCGGGGGCACTTGGAGGAGGTATGAAGTGAGCATCGAGTCCTTGTGAGGTCCGACGCCTTGGGTTTGGTTCGAAGAAGGGAGAGAAGCGGTGTCAGGGTATTTGACGACTTTCAGCTTGTGCTGTTGATCCTTGTCGAAGAAACGATCAAAAGCTGAGGGAGGGAGATTCAAGGATTCGGCGATTAGGGAGGTGAAACGGGTAGAGAGTGAGGACATGCAGGAAATGTAGGTCTCAAAAGTTACTTGAAATTTGGGAAGGAATTTGGGATTAGGCCATTGGTTTGGGGAAAGGAGATTATGATAGAGTGGTGAAGTAGGGTTTGGTAGAGGGTGTGGTGTCGAGAGGTCTATCTGTTCACGCCAATCCGTCTTCAGAGCTGTAATCTCGTTGCCGAGCTTGCTATAACCTGGAGACAGCCATTTTAGCAATCTTTCAATCGATTAGGGAAGGGCTTGAATCTCACCAAGGAAGCTGGGAACGTTTTTCATCTGTACCTCCAATTTCTGCTCCTCTGGGAGACTGAAGAATGCTTTGCCTTGTTCAATGACGTCTTGAATCAGTGCATCATTGATGCCTGTATCTTTGATATAGAGGAAGCCCACGTCAAGGAGAGCGTTGCGCAAATTTACGAGGAACGCTGGTTTAGTATCCGGATGCCGTGAAAGCGAAAGGTCAAGCACAGGGATTGCATCGAAAGACATGTTTGATAGAGATATTAATGTTGTCACATTAAAATGGATTGAGACACAAAGATCACAAAACCAAAGAAACGTTGGAGTGTCAAAACCCGTACCTTATGCGGGAGTGATGGCGCAATGTGGGGGTTGGGGTCAGGTTGAGGGGGGGCCGCCAATCACTTTGGGTTCGCTGTACTGGCCAATGGCCTTAGCTTCGTTCTCCCATCGAACCATGTCTGTGGGCGTGGGAAGCATTTGCACATCGCAACTTCGACGACTTGGAGGTCCTTCGTCTTGGCTCCTACTAAAATCTTGTGTCCCGAAAGACTACACTTTTTATTAGCAACAAGTAGGTCTATATTGGTTCTTCGCTCCTTCATATCTTCGATATGTAAAGGTCGTCCTTCTTCTTGGCTTCCTTCTGTGTCTTCCGGCCCTTGTAAAATTTCTCTTGGATTTCTTCTTCCGAAAATCTCCGGGTCTTGGTTCTCAGCATATCTGCCAGCTCCTGCCTCGACATGCCAATTTGATCTCCAATTGGCACTACACAATCAGCCAGGTACAGATAGTCCTTCGCCAAAATTCGATATGTCATCATCAAATAGTCGATGTTCTGGAAAACCAGGGCTCGCCCATTGGTGTACTCATTCTTTGCCTTGAGGAAAGCTCTTGGGTGATCCTTCCAGTGACGCAGAGGGTTTAGGTGGTGAGAAGTATGCCATCCGTCATTGAAGCAGTGTCGGTTGCTCTATAATTCCACATCGACAGTAAGCTTTCGACGAACATCCTGGATGGGAAAGAAAACTTACAGGTACATCGATCAGTGTGATGCTAGACCGGAAGTCCGAAGCGGGGTCAACGTCGTCAACCAGAGCATGCTGACCGTAATTGCCAACCATCAGACCAATACGCATCATGAATAAAGGAATAATGAGGACGAAGAGCGTCGGATAGAAGTTCCTGCGGGCTGCAAGGTAGATAAACAGGTACGCCGCCATCTCGCTCGCAGCAGCCTTGAAGGCAAGGCCAGGTTTGCGCTTTCTCAAGAAGTATAGAGGTAGTTCAATCCAGATAAAGGCGATGAATCGGCCGACATACATCAGGAAATTACTCAGTTCATCTCGCTGATAGCGTATGGTCGAGGAAAGATCCTCCGGCCCGTTGCCTTCAACATGGTGATGCTTGACATGATGGTAGTAGTAAGAGTCCCACGTGTGGCCCATCAGAGGTTCGAGTATGTATGGCCAGGTATTGTCAAACCAGACGTACTTTTTCTTCAAAAGACCGTTGTTGTGGATGTGGTTGTGGAGCATCAAGGTGAAGGATCCACAGTACGACAGCTGTAACAGGCAATGAAAGATACCATGGGCCCAAGTGAAATGGTAATATAGGAATACTGCGCTAGGTATTGAAGTACTGAAATAGAGTATTATGTGTGTGAGGAAGACGACGTCGACAGGATTGCGTACAATTCCTTGGGCCCAAGTAATGTATTTGCCTAGGATCTCTGCTCTGAAGCCTTTTCCAGCTGGTAGATCTTTCAGGTCCCAGCTGGTGAAGACGGTGGTCTCATCATGGACCTCGTCCAAGGCACGCATAGAGGATTGATCATTGTGAGCTGCAGAGAAATCCGCAGGATCGTGACTGTCTGTACCATTGTTTCGTCTTAGGTCTTGTAGTAGATTCTGCAGGACTATGAGATCGGGTTTCAACAGCAGAGGGTTGATTGGGGCGTCCATTCGATTAGGCGGGTGCAATGAACTCAATCCTCTAAGGATAAAATCAGCTCATGTGTCCTCAGTAACCGCGTGATGTGCACGTACATTACTGTTGAACAGCTCAAATTGGTAGCGATTGTTCAAAAACACAATTCATACTAGCGTGAGTTGCTTCTGGACCCTGATCCGCTAACGGCGGGGACCCACTCTACCAGACTCGAGGAAGGAGAAACTCCCCTGATTCTGCCCATTGAACCTTTCTCGTAGAAGTAATGTAACGATACACGAAGCAAGCGGGCTGTTCTATTGATTAGGAAACAGGTGGTCAATTGAGTTAGTGTTCACAATCCCGCGCTTGATCGCGCTTGGATCTTCTACTCTACAGGTAAAGTAAGTAAAGTAAAGTAGAAAGTGTATGAAAGAAAGGAAATATAAAGTATCTGACTGTTCAAATTTCAACGTCAACCGTGCTTGAAAGAGTCTAATAATACACAGTAAAGTAGCCTATCATAGAGTAGAATTGGCGCTTCTTTATCAGTCTCGCTTGAGCTTAGCCTACCATCTTTTTAGATCCCCCTCCACAACTCCCTGTTCCCTGCTTGACTTTTATGAGCGTGTTAGGTACTCCATTGTGAAGCCATTGTGAGCCATTGTGGGCCATTGCTTCAAGTAGCAATACACTGTCGTTATCTTCAGAGCTTGTGTCGGTGGTCTAACCGCCATGGCGGTGCAAAAGGGCCAGCTTTTTGCCAATTGGACCACCAGGAAGCAGATAGGTCCAACGATCCCACTGCATTTTCTTCAGAACCAGCCTAACACCTTTCCAGTGGTCTCATGGTCCCTCATTCTCTCTGTGACGATAATACACTCGCTAGTCCCCCTTGTACGATCGTATACCAGACTCTTCTATGAGTTACCTTATGCTCAAGCCAATGGACAATACATCCAGGGATCCGACGATGCGCTTTTCGTCCTCGGCTGGCTCGTCTTGATGACGGCCATAAGAGCTACAATCATTGGGTGCGTCTACGAGTTTGTCACACGGCTTCGCGTCATGTCCCGCAAAGCAAGCATGCGCTTTGCCGAGCAGGCATTCCTCCTTACATACGACTTCACCTCCTTCTCAATGGGCATGGTGCGTACTCCGTTTCTTCACCTCCGCCAAACCAATCTTGACTTTTGATAACTAGAACATCCTCGTAAATTCTTCATACTGGCTCAACTTCGAAGAACTATGGTCCACCTGGCCGTCTCGTGAAATATCTGGAGAGCTCAAATGGTACTACCTGGTCCAGCTCGCCTTCTGGCTGCAACAGCTCCTCGCCATCAACCTGGAAAAACGAAGAAAGGATTTTGGGCAGATGTTCCTCCACCATTGTGTGACGAGTTTCTTGATGTACGTCGCATACGCCTATCGCTGGACGAACGTCGGCAATGTCATTTTGTGCATTATGGACGTGGTTGATTTCTTGCTGCCGGTATGTAAGCAATGCGGAGCTATCAGATCTAGTGTATTCGCAAGCTGCCCATACTTAAATGAAGGCTGACGCAAAACAGCTTGCGAAAATGCTCAAATATTTGCACTTCGAAGCTGCCTGCAACACCATGTTCGGCATCTTCTTGACAACCTGGCTCGTCGCGCGCCACGGTATCTACGTCAAACTATGCTGGTCTATATATCGTGATGTTCCTCGCGTCATGCCCTTTGCGTGTTATTCGGGAGAAACCATGGAATTGGAGACAGATCCGAGCAAGCTGAGTAGATGGAGGTACTTTGATCCGTTCTTTGATCAGAAGGGAACGATATGCCTCGACAGGAACGTCAAATCAATATTCCTGGGCCTGCTGCTGATGCTGCAAGTGCTGAGCATTGTTTGGTTCGGGATGATTATCAAGGTGGCATTGAGCATGTTGAATGGCGAGGGCGCAAGTGATACCCGCAGCGGCGACGAAGATGAGGGTGGAGAGGACGAAGAAGAAGAAGAAGAGGAGGAGGAGTGCGAAGCACGCTCGAATGGCAAGCCGACCCAGTCTGCAAACGGTAAGGCCAAGGCCTCTGGCAGCGAGGCGCCTTCACGCCAGACCGGACTCTTCCAGAGAGGCGGGATACGGGTCCCCGGGTCGAGGGATAGGAAAGAGCTGATTGGTCGGGTGGGGTGCAATGGATGATCAAGGCGGTCATTGCTCCATCTTTTTCCTTAATTTCCCCTAGACTTTGCTTCAAAGAAGGATGAATTGCCTGTTGAAGCAGGGCTAAAAAGCATTCGGTTGCAGTCATTTAGAGCCATGATACCATCTGATAGAGTCTATTCAAGCAGTGTCCTCGTTTGCCGCCAATAATTTGATATTGGGCGGTTTCTTTTTTTCATATTACGGTGTTATGAGTATGATTCATGTTAGATAAACCGACAGCAAGTGAAGCTCAACATTCACCCATCAATTCAGCAAGCAAAATCATTTCATTCTGACTCCACCCATCTGCCAGCGACGTCTCATGTCACCTTCCCATCCGAACTCGACACTGTCCTATCTTCAATGGAAATAAACCCGCCGCCAGTCGTCTCAAGCGATTGTCCCTCATCTCACAAAGCGAAGATTACCGAATCACCTCCAACATCGGTTCCTCAAGGCGACCCTGGCATACAACGTCTGCCTCCCGAGCTCCTACATTACATCGCCTCTAAACTTCCCCATGGCATCTCGCGTATACCTCCATTGCCATGTCCCCGCGGCTGCGCTGCCCTCATCGAAGTCTAGGCGTACAAGCAGATCAAATGTCAAGATGCCACCGTACCCACTCAGCATCGAGCTCGTGTGCGATGGACGAACAGACGGGCATTGTGTGCGCATCCTACGCATTACGGACCGAAAAGATTCTTGCCAGCTCCGGATGGAGTCACAAGAACGCTTTGCCTTTCGCGGTGGAGCGCCGTCAAGGAGGCAGCCACGGGCGTGTTTGCTTATCCGGAATGGAATGAGCATCTCGCACTACAGGCATAAAACAACGGGACTTGTCGGAAGGTGTCCAAGAGAACTTCGGCCGTGGGACGAAACCAATGGACTGTTGGCAAATCTGGATGAGCAGATGCAAAGATGACTTGGATCTTCGAGCTTCATATTGGATAAGCTCAATGGACACACCGTAGCCTTGATTGGAGGTCTAAGATCTCGCCACCGTATCCATGCTCCACAGGGAGGATCAATAATCCATTCCTCTGGGCTTGTAGAGCTCAAACCTCTGCGAGGAGGCCGGTATCTTGTATGTATACCCTGTCTACTTATAGAGAAATTGAGCTTTCAAATGGTGTCATCAATGCACAACACATTGGAACATGCCTCGAAAACCTCCTGAACTTGCATTCACGTATGCTGAGTATAGTTATACGACAGGTAAGAAGCCTATGATCCTGTAAATTTGAATGTTAATGCTACAGTAGATTCGCTATTGACCTCTGCCGTGCTCCCGAAATGCAGCATCAAATACATGGCTCTCGGCCAGCGCCATGCTTTCCTTCGCAATGCTGACAGGACTTTAGAGGCATTAGTGTCATAACTTTCAACCCAAGAATGATGGCAGATGCGTTTCTACGAGCGAGTGGCGCCCTTGATTGGATAAAGGTATTTCTCCGTCAACCCTTCCACCTTGGGGATGAGATCCACGATGCGAAATGGTTTGGAAACGACATCGTCCTGGTATGAGTCAGTTCTGCTGTTCATCGTTGAATTCGTATGTGAAACGTACCATGCCAACATCCATAGCCGCATCAATCTGCTCGCTGCGCGCATTGGCAGTCACAGCAATGATCGGCACATGGCCGACTACATCCCCTTTCTCCTCCAGCTTACGAATTTCTTTCGTACACGTCAAACCATCCATAACTGGCATTTCCTGATCCATCAGTATAACGTTAATTTCCAGTCCGTCGCGCTCATTCCCTTTCCAAAAGGTGGACTCTTTCAGGCGTTCGAGGCATTCGCCGCCGTGGTTGGCCACGTGCACAATGCAGCCCATGTTACGGAGCTGTTTGCTCAATACTTTTTGATTGACGAGATTGTCTTCAACGATGAGTATTTTGAGGGTACCTTTAGGGACAAGCTTTTGCGATAGAGAGGTTTGCGAGGTCTGCGAAGATTGAGCGACGCCGTTGAGAGACGTGGGCATTACAGGTTTAACTGTGGACGGCTTAGGCGCGCCTGCGCCAGGGAATTGGTCCACGTCATCTTTGGGAGCTGTAGATCTTCGAGCCTTGATGTAGAAAGCAAAAGTGCTTCCCTCTCCTGCCCTGGACGCTACACCAATTTCACCCCCTTGCAATTCTACAAGCTCGCGTGAGATGAACAAACCGAGGCCTGATCCGCCATACTGTACGTGCGTCCTAGGGCTCGCTTGAGAGAAACGAATGAATAGAAGCTTCTTTTCGTCGTCAGTAAGGCCACGACCAGTGTCTTGAACGGCGAAATGCAGGTAGACTTTTTCGCCTGTGCCCCAATCTGGGCTTTTGGTAACGTCCTTTTTCTTCGACCTTGGTGGAAAGTATGAGACTATGCTGCCGTCTTTTGAAGGCCGCTCTAGAGATGCTGCAAGGGTCACATTGATGATACGTTTCTCCTGGGTTGTGGTAAATTTGATTGCGTTCGTCGTAAGATTAATGAGGACCTGTAGCAGCCGTGATGGATCCAATTTCACCCACTCTATGCCAAACTTCTCGATGGACTCATCAATCTTGAAATTTAGCTTGATATCTGCCGTGTGCACCTCACCATCGAACATCTTCAGCGCTCGCTGAACCACAGTTTTGGGCATAACATCGCATGGTGTTACCAACAGCAGCGCAGAGTCCAGTTTCGACAAAGTTAGAATATCATCAACAATTCGCTTTTGGTGTTGTGCACAAAGAGCAATAATTCCGGACGCATCAATTGCGTTTTGCACCAACTCCCCAACCGCCCCTTGCGAAAGGTTACTCCCTTGAAGATCTGTCATCGACGTCGTGATCTCGTCTGCGCACTGCAGAATAGCGCTTAAAGGATTTCGCATTTCGTGGCTCGTGATATCAATAAAATTCTCCTGTTGTCGTTTCATCTCAACTGCTTCTTCCATTCTCCTCTTCTCAAAATGTTCTGCCCACTTCTGCTGGCTGATGTCTGTAATGCTACCAAAAATGACCTTGACTCTACCGTCTGCGCCTCTTTCTGGGAAAGCGCTGGCCAGTGCCCATGTATCACCTTTGTTACCGTTTTGGTCAATCCACGTTGTTTTGAAGCGAATCTCAGCATTCAGCGGGACCGCATTGTGAACGAGGTCTGACCACAGCTTCCTTAAAGTTTCCTTGTCCTCATCTTTGACAGAATACATCCATTCGTCAGTGCCATCGAGGTCTTTCGGTACTCCCGATATCTCGTACCACTTCTCATTACAATATGCAATCTTTCCCTTGGAATCCGCAATGAAGATCCCGACAGGAGCAAGTTCGGCCATGCGGGTAAATTTGGTCTCGCTCTCCACCGCCTCTTGGGTTCGTGCCGCTAATTGCTCCGACAGCTCAATCCGATCCTGAGCTGCGAGTCGCGCAGCTCGCCTGCCTCTAGCAATCTCCTCTTCAAAAAGAACAACAGAAGCCATGGCTGTGGCCAATTGCCGACTCAGAAGCTGCACATAAAGACTATAGTCATCATCATAGGGTCTCCGAGGATTAACGCCCATGACCAGGAAACCCATCGTCGACTCGCCGCCGGTCAAATGGACGGGACAGCACACAGCGGCTGTACATGGGTCACCAAACCCTCGCCATTCGATACCTTCAAGATATTCTGCATCAAGCGTGCCATCCTCAACCGACAAGAATATTGGTCGGTCGCCTTTGGTGGCTTCGCGGAAGACCCTCGCGAAATATTCGCTCCCATTTCTAAGATCGATAACCGGCGTTGCCGCGGGATGGCCATTGGGTATTCCGAGGGAGCCCTCGAGTACGCATTGCTTGATTCCCACACTGCTCTTGGAATGCATCGATGACGAGTCGCTGTCAGGGTCATCCGTAATTGAGTACAAAAGTACGAATGGAGAATCATGCTCGTTGTATTCCAATCCCCTCAGACATTGTTGCCAGAAGCTCTTCAGATCCCGCGCCGAGGTAGTCTTTTCCCCTATTTCTCGAAGGGTCAACATGCGTCGCTCTGCAACTTTCCGCCGGGTTTTTTCGAACGCCGGATTGTACAGACCAACGACAGACCCGTCAGACCCGACAAGAGGTATTATCGACCAAGAAAAGTAAGTTTCTTCCAAGTGCCCCTGTTCAAAGGCCCTTTGGATAAAAAGGCAATCGTCGTCCTTCATTGTCGCTTGCCCTGTTGTAATGGCGTTTTGAAAGACCCCTTCTACGGAGTCCCAAATTTCCGGCCATGCATCACGATAGCTCTGGCCCATTAGTTTGGGATGCTTCTGTCCCGCCAGCAATATATAGGCTTCGTTGTAGATTGCAATCAAGTCGGGACCCCAGTACATAGCGGCAGGATGCGGGCTCGCCATGATAAGGTTGCACATGCTACGAAGTTCTGGTGCCCACTCCTCGATTGGGCCCAGTGGCGTTGATGCCCAGTCAATACTCCTTGTGAACTGGATATGACGAGGTAGAGCCGGCGAGTTGGGTAGTCGAGTCCAATCAAAGAAACCTGGCTCATTTTGCGGGTGGACAAAGTAGTCGAGATCTCCAGCACAGGCAGCTCGCAAGATAGCTTCGCTGTTACGTGAGATCTGAGGTGAGCTTGTTACTGAGTCTGGTTTTGAAGTTGATCTTATTGGGAGATCGTGTCGTCCGCTACGCATGTCAGCTTTTTGGTTCTGTTGTTGGCGTCGGCCGGGCTCGCTCTTCTGTCCTGACGGACCACTTCGACGAATCCCCGTGCTGCTGCGATGATCGTCCACCGACACAGAGACGCGGGCGTTGCCAAAGTAATCTTGCGGTTCTTCCTCGACCTCTTGAACCCTATCAATGGGAGTAACAACGAAAACTTCGCCTTCTTTGCCCAAAGACGAATTGGCTGGGAATCCAATAGATGGCGGACTCGAGACGAGCCCGGCCTCGGCGGAATCTGGGTTGCTCTTAATCACTCGAAATCGTTTTCTGAGTGAGCAACTGGTCCAAGTGGCTCCTGCGTAAAAGAACGAAGGAAGAGCAACATCAAGAGACTCGTGGTCTTTCACATAGCTCATAGACCAAGCTTTAAAGTCCGAAAAAGCGGTTGTTGCAGTAAGGCCGGGTGATACCTGACCCGCTCTGCCGGAGATCATCTCTAAGGCTAGGGGAGAGGCCCTCAGTGAAGCGTTGGCGAAAACGATCTTGAGTGGTCCAGGTTCATAATTTGATTGCTCACCCAGATTCAGGATGAATGTCGGACGCTCATCCTGCTCCAGTAACTCAATCACGCCCACTTGGTTGAGTATTTGGACTGCACTATGCTTTCCTCCACTGTCAGGGGACTTTGCTGATTTACTTGAGGTGCCTAAGTAGCTGCGACCACTGCCACTCGGTGTACGAGGAGCCAAGGGTCGAGCTGGACTACCCAGACTCACAGAACCCCGCGCCAACTTCAAGGTTCTTACTCCTCCTGTGTCCTCTTTGCTTGCCTTGCTCAACATCCTTGCGCCTGCCTCGGAACTCGAAAGGCGGTAAGGCAAGTTCGGCCGCTGTTGGGGCTGATTTTGAAGGAAGAGAGGCGCTGGAGCGAAACTGTCGTCAGAGGGGTGGCGTCCAAGACCGACAGAATGGAGGTCGAGTCGAGATCGATGCCGAATATCTTGTTTCTTTGAAGGGGGCGGCCCACCTGCGGTGGAAAGATGTGGCGATACCCGAGACGAAGCACGCTTTTTGCTTGCCGAAGCAAATAACGGGTCACTGCAAAGGTCACTGCGGTGATTCGAGTTCCATGGCGCGCTGTGGGCTGACTTGATAGATTCCGAGGTGGTTTGAGTGGCGCCTGCGTGCTCAGAAGTGCTGTCCCGGAGCCCAGTGTGAGTACTGGGCCTAGGAGTACTTGAATTTCTTAACCGCTTGCCGAGCGTTGGGGAAGTGGATTCCCGGCTTTGTTTACTATTGAAGCTATCCGGCGCCGTGAAGATGGACTGAGAAACATTCATAGAGGCTGCGGCGCAACCATTTGTGCTCCGGAACAATGTTCATGAGGGCGCAGAAAGGGTGTTCTGGTCGGGATCGTTGCGCCTGACATGGGGAAGGCTTCACAGTATTCCAATGTTAATGACGGCCATTCCCATGCCGATGAGACCAGTATTGCCTTGGAAGGTGGTGCAGATTGGTGCAAGGTGTAGACTATGGGTATAGGATGACCGGTAAGATTCGAAAAAGTGACCTACCTGTATTTTGATAGACTTGCACACAAAAGGGTACTTTAGGTATGTCGAAGGAATGAATGCATACGGGATGAGTATTCTACTTTGCTCTAAAGTACGACATGCTCGGGAGCACCTTCCAAAAGTCAGCCACAGCCGCTCTACGCTTGCGCTAGAACGTCATATCGCATTTCGCATCTCAAATCTCACATTTTAAACCTTCTGCTTCATATCGTCTCTACGACATACCACTGTACTCGTAGACCGTAGTCAGTCACAACAACATTCATGTACGCGTGTTAACTATTCAAGTAAATAAGTCCGGGAAAGTGTTCGATCTATACATCTCTTTCCTTGCTTTACAAACTGAGTGATGACCCTCATCTCATTGATAGGCAATCAGAACAAGTATTGGAGCACGGAGCTGGAGCAAGAGCGCGAGCGACAGCGACAATGGGAGACTACGACGACGGGCGCAAGAAACACGATGAGAGTGAAGAGTATGTTGAGGAAGAACGAAGAGAATTTTCTGCCGATCTGGAGCAAAGGGAATATCTACGAGAGAGAGAGAGAGAGAGAGGATGTTGGAGACGGAGTTCAAGAGTAAACCAATCAGCAGACGTACCGTATGGCTACCTATGCTTGCCCGTCAATGCTTGAAAGCTGCTACAAAACTTAAAATAAGGTACGTTACGGAGTACTTGTACCTTTATTACGTGCGCCAGGTCTCAGATCGCGCCTAAGCTAGAGTAAGCTACAGCGCGGAACCTCCGCTTAGAGAAGTGGGCTAGTGGACGCTCTGGGGGGAGACTTTTTTCCAGGCCTCGCGAAAGAAATCTTTTGCTCGAAAAGCAAAGCAAAGTGCTCATGACGCGCTAACAATAATGCTCGCTTCACCAAGGCAGCTGCCTTACGCTCCCACTCCATACAGCTACATGCCAACTTCATCCCTCTCAGCCAAGATCAACCTGGACGAAGTATCTTCTACACCATTCATGAAGCCCACCTTTCTCTCGCTGAACAACCAGCACATCCAGGGCTAATATGCTTGCAACCCAGGAAGTGAAGCTCTCAGAGACAGCTGTGGAAAGGGATCTGAATGATTCCCTCGCAGAGATTTACAGCATCATCATTACCCTGGACGGCCTGGAGAAGGCGTACATCAAAGATTCGATTCCTGAAACAGAATACACTGAGATATGCAGTCGCTTGCTAAAGCAGTACAAGTCGAATCTGAGCGATGACACGGTCGCTCGGTCCTTCGGAGATTTGGAAACGTTCAAGCGCCAGTGGGATGTATGATCTCCACTCCAAAAGGCTGTCCTTTTCTCTAAGCGACATCTAACAACGCCAGATCGAATGCCCCCGCGCAACCGAACGCCTCCGGGTCAATCTCCCTGCCACCATCGCCGACCCCTCCAGTTCACACACCTCGACTTCCACCCCCCATCCCTCGACCGCCCCCTCCCAACCTTCAGCATCAGGCTCCAAGATCCTGCTTGCAACCGAAAACTTCATAACCTTTCTTGACGCCTTGAAGCTCAACATGCTTTCAAAAGATGCTCTACATCCGTTGCTTGTCGAGCTCATCCAATCCGTAAATGAGGTAACGTTGGGAGACTTCGAAGGGAGACCGAAGATTATCAGCTGGTTGATTCGCTTGAATGGGATGAGGGCGCAGGAAGAATTGTCCGAGGGAGAAGCGAGGGAGTTGGTGTTTGAGATGGAGGGAGCATATGCTGGCTTCAAGAAGACGTTAAATTGAACTTCAGGGACGATCCTGCCATCAGTTAGTGGGTCCCTCTGAAGATGCTACCCTGCGTAGACGCCGTCTTTCGGGGGCTTCCGCGTCGCAGTCGGTCGAGGCAAGCTTCGTGGACCTTATGTTCGCTCGAAACGATGGGCTGTCTACCTCGTTGTGGCACTTCATCGACCTCCGCCGGAAAACTGTATTGAGCAACATAAGGGACAGGCGTTGTGTATGTCCGCCGAGGGATGACTGCGAATAGGCGTTGAAGCCTAGGAGGAACGGTCTGTTACAGAAGCATGCAAGGGGTGGAAAGTTCACCTCCATTGGTTTAGCGTATTTTCAAAAAAGCCGGAGTCAAGTCAAAAGACTTTCTTTCGATATCTGGTCATCTATCAGATGCAGCACCTGATAAAGGCATCGAAATACCGCACGATGCGTACCACCGCAGCTAAAAAACAGTCTTTTGACACAGAGGATGCCTAGAAACTGAACATGGAAGAAAATCGTAATTCATGGTGCTGGGTACATGACCTTGCGAGCCTCGGTAGTGACTGTGCTCCTCGAATAGCTGGAGATAGTGCGTCACATTTACCAGCGCCAGGCGCGAACCGCTCCCCTACCCCTTCAAAGCATTCTGAGCAACTTTCCCACCCCATCTGCGCCACCAATCGTACTTTGCTCATCCGAGTCCGGGTAGAAGAACGCCGCCAGCGCAATGATCACATAGGCTGCAATCAGTAACGCCCCTTCCAGATAGTTGCTCCGCCCGTCTAGCACTAAGAAATTTACTATGAATGCGCTCACAAACAAGCTGATCGTTTCAAACAGCGAGAAATAGAGACTCATGTCTTTGTCTAAGATCCAGCCAAGCAGCACAATCACCGGCGTCACAAACAGTGCGATCTGAATGCTGCTCCCCACAGCAACACCAATGGCAAGGTCCATCTTGTTCTTGCTAGCGACAGTGACAGCCGTGACGTGCTCGGCAGCATTGCCAACTATGGGTAGGATGATGAGACCCACAAAAGCTTCCGAGACGCTTGTATTGTCCACGAGATAATTGATACTTGCCACCAGAAATTCAGCGCAAACGGCAACGAGTCCGGTCGACACGAGAAGCAGGATTATGGCTGAGGTACGAGACATGTATTTTTTTGGCGGAACAGCCTCTTTGCTATCAACGGAATGCGTTGAGTTGACTGGGAGCACGTAGGGTTGAGGTTGCAGTGGCGGTACCGTCTGGGCCTGGCGTGCTGCTTGGACTTGATTGAGGCGACTGGGGAGAGAATTCGACCGGTGCAGCGCCCGAGGAGTGATATTAATAGCTGGAGCTCCGCTTGGTGCGAGACCCGTTGGGTTTGCGGTCGAAAAGACGGTGCTCGACAACATCTTGGGCATTGCTGGCATTGCCGGCACTACGTCGCGAACAGAGAGACCACGTATGTTGAAAGGACGCTTTGGCGAGCTTTCGGGTTGACTTTGAATGTCCTGTGCAAACCCAACATGAGGAGTGACTGCCCTATTAGCGTCCGATGGTCTCAAAGATGCGGCCTTCTCAGATGCATCTATCTCCTTCTCACCCTTGTTGCCCGATTTCCGATACCTCTTTTTCGATTTCTTCTTTGGCTTGGTTTCGGGTGATTTGCTACCAGGACCTCCTTTCTCATTCTCAAAATCCCGGAAGTTGATCGTAGTTTCCCTTGTAGCGGCGGAGACGACGTCATGCTCACCGTCAGTATCAGCTTCGTCACCACTGGTAATGCCGCCCAACCCAGGTGAGGGTAGAGCAGGGTGATCAGTCCGAAGGTCTGCGAGAGCTATATCGTTTTGTTCGACGTTGTGTGCAAATGTGGAGGCTGACGGTGTACGCAAGGTTGAAGGTACGGAAGGCGTGTCTTTTGAGCTTACACTGGATTTACGGCGCCTCCGGCCTCTCAGAACTCTTTTAATGCGCTTGGCGGTCGTGTTCGATCCCGAAGATCCATCGGTGTCGCTACCACTGGACGAGCTTGAAGTGTCTGATGAACTAGAAGACCCCAGTATTTCGGCCAGAACGCCAGGATAAGACTCTTCGTCGATTACATGCTGTGGTGTACTTTGGTACATGTACGCGTGCGATTTCATTTGAAAAAGCAGGTATAACACATACACCAGAAGTAGAATCTTTCAGAGGTAAGCGGCGAAGCGGCATCGAGAGCTGTTTGAGAACTCACAATACTTGTACCTCTGCTGATTTGCAGTACCGCCTTGTCCGCGGTCGTGTTATCAGTGAACGAAGCATGGAAAGCAGTCTATAAGCGCCCACAGCAATCAGTCTCGATGAGCATGAAAATATCGCCATCATAGGTAGGGGGTACAAGTGCAGGCAGTCTTCAAGATCCTCTTGAAGTTGCTTACCGGCAAAAGTAGGCTCATGACGCTCAAGGAGAGTAGACATGCGCTCATTTGCGTGACAGTGCTGTTGTAAATCTGCAACTTTCTTAGCCTTGATCGCGATCCTAAAGAAGCCTCACATACCTGTTCACGGAAGCGAAGCCCACCAAACAAGAAGCACATGCCAAGGATGAGCAGGAGGTTGGCGAGGATCGATCCCAGAAGTGAGGCTTGGACAATCTGGATTTCATCCTTTGCAAAGGTCAGTCTGAGACATGGGAAGAATTGAGTAGAAATACGGACCTTGGTAAGAGCAATGCTGTGGTTAATAACATGAGAAGGGTAAGCTTATGCAACATGTACCATCGAACAAGACGGAGGACACAAGGGGCAGATAACAAAAAACGCAATCGAGTTGCAGGTGCTTTTTCGGGCTACCCATGGCTCTCTCTTGTCTGCTGTCCATTAGGTAGAACATACATGCTATAGAGCGGTTATTAAAGATATCCGATCCGGAGTGACGGAACGTACAAAATGATGAGCTCTACCGCATTGCCGAAGGTAATGTTCATCAGGGCTCCAATGGTGTCACCCAAGTCGCTAGCAACGCTTTCCGTGGCATGACTCAGTAGGCCAGCAAGTGGTATGATGGCAATAGCGTTGATTGCAAAGACGATGGTCTTATTTACACCAGCTGCCTGAACAGCTATGCCCACGGGGACAAATACCAGAAGGATGTTGAGCCAACTCGAGAGGAATATTTCTTTACAGGCTTCGTAGAAGCGAATCAGGATATTGGGTTTTTCTTCTGGCTCTATGGAGGAAGATGCCTCTCCATGTTCGGCGTCAAGCGGAGGAGGAGCTGCTGGTGGCAACGCTGACGAGGTCTTGTCGGCCACATGATTGCTTGTGGTATTCGCGGAGGCTTTGTGATGGTCTGAACGGACCCCTGAGGATGGGGGTCGAGCGGGTACATCTGCATCGCTATGGGCAGATGGGTTGGTTAAGGGGATGGCTGGAGGCTTATGGTCTGCTCCAAACGGGTCGTCCGAGGCATACGCTTTGCGGGGAAAAGACCTGATACGATCTAATAAGCTCGGCTCGTCAGAAGATTCCACCATCTGGGTTATAAGGAAGAAAGATGTAGAGACTAGAAGTTGTTGAATAGTGTGCAGATGGGCAAGCACAACCGTTTGGTCGACCGTATGTTCGGATTATTAAATATTATCCATGTTGACGTATTATTACTAAAACACCACTAAACACATAAATGACGGTGGTTCGGTATCTGTCCAGACCGGGGGAACAGTCGCGCTAGACCAAAGGGGTTTAGAGCAGACTGCAACCTTGATTTACCTTAGGTACATCACATGCACCATGTGCTAGGGTCCGGAGCAGCATCACGCAACCAGTTAGAACAAAAGTGAAGGTTCGCGAATACGAACGGTCTTTATCCTTTAGTCCTTACCTTACACACACTGTCTTCCTCAGCTAACCTTATAAAAGTCTTCACAGCCCTCGCATTTCATGGCAGAGTGGGCGAGACAGAAGCGGTCCTTACACTTGGCGCCTTATCTCACATCACTCAAGGAATTTGATATACGAGTACATATAGGGAGACAACCACTATCATTGTCATCCTCATCATCACCATCATCATCATCATCATCATCGTCACTCGCGCCAATTCCTTAGATTCTTACAAGTGCCAAGGAACGAATATTTTGTATGGCTGCCGCAATCATCGAATCATACACTGCCGCAGCTTGCTACCCTTAGAAGTGAGCATGGTCGTCCATCCTCAGTACATGACGGGGTTGTCGATGTCAATGCCGTGGTGATGGACGCTCCCTCTCTACAGCTTCACGAGACGCTCATTGGCTCCGTGCAACGAGCATTGCTATCGCACCGACCAATACTGACCCACCTCAATGCGGATACATCATGGCTACTGCAGTTGCCCTATCCTTCAGATGCGGAACGGCCTCCAGGACGATCACGATGGAATATCGTTTTTGATCCATGGCTAACTGGTGGCCAGTCTGATGTCGCATACTGGTTCAGTCAGCAATGGCATGCAGTCGCATCAAGTGTACAGACTATGGCTGAGCTTAATGACTTGTTAAGGGAGATCGAGAGGATGGCGCAACTCGGTGCATTAATTTCAGGGGAAAGAACTCAGGACTGTTTTGACCAAGATTCGAAACGGTCGTACATTGATGCAGTCGTCATATCTCATGAATTCACAGACCACTGTAATAAAAATACGCTTCTTGAACTCGAGTCTGATACGGCCGTATTTGCAACGAAGCCCGCGGCCGATTTGATACGATCCTGGGATCATTTCAGACTGGTCCAAGAAACACCACCTTTTTCCGCAACAGATTCCGACTGGAGAAATACTTCAATCAACCCATTGCCCAAGTGGCTAGGGATCTCGAGAATGGTCACTCAGAGTGATGCGTTGTACTACCACTCAGCCATATTAGTGACATTCGATTTGCAATCGATAGACGTCATGGGACCTTCGGAAGTTTCCACGGCAGCGGAGGCAATTATATATACACCTCATGGTATCCATGCAAAAGACCTCAGTCATTTACCTTCGGCCACTCCTGCTATAAAGACTCTCGCGCTGCTCCACGGCCTACACGATATCAAGATCAGCGTCAAGCAGCTCAATCTTGGCGCTCACAATGGGCTTCAGGCCCAGAGAATGTGTCAAGCTAAGTATTGGGTGTCGACGCACGACGAAATCAAGAAAGGATCTGGCTTGATTACACCTTTCTTGTATCGAACGGTACTGACTTTGCAAGAAGCAATAGAGGAGGAGAGGAGAGCGAAAGGGAGGATTTCAGACGAAAGCGAGCTATCAGATGTGAGAGAAGTTGCGTTCGTGGAACTATCAAACGGCGAGAGCTTGCTACTCGTCTAAGCTTATGCTATAGGCCTGGGCCATAACTAGACAGTCCTGACCATGGATCGTCTTTGCATGATTAGGTGCTACTGGGATTGTTGTAGAGGGGATAATGAAATGCTTTAGTATGAAGCATCATTTACCGCGAGCTCGCACCTGATCAATGACTCAACAATCAATGCAGCGCAAAAATGTCCGAGACATTTTCTCGAATCAAATTGACACAGTCCAGTAGAGACCAGTATGTACAGTATTTAAACCCCTGCGTAGGTGGTTGATCCCTGCAAGGGTGGTCTTCTCGTGACGGCCCGTTTTTTTGCGCGTCAAACCGGCGGTGTGCTCCTACCGTCCTACGTTCCTACACAGCCTTCTTCCACTTTTGATTCAACGACATCTCTTCTTATGTCTCTTGACTTAGCCAGTATCTCACATTCCCTTGCCCAGCTATAAGCTCTCGATCTTTTATCGACATCAACGCAACCCTGCATGCTTTGTAGCCGACAAGCCATCATGGGTTTCTTCAAGCCTCTCAAGGGCGACCACTCGACGGCACATGAGGAGGCTTATCCCTCTCCTCCAGGACCACCACCAGTACGCGAGCCGACATATCAAGCACCTCCAGGGCCACCGCCATCACATCAATTCCACGATTCTTCGGCTCACGGCACATCACCTGGAGGAAACGAATACGCTCCACCCCCAGGCCCTCCACCAGGCTGGCAGAAGAGACTTAGCCAAACTCCCTCGGCTCCGCCTAATACCGACGAGGAACCTCCGCCATATCAGTACGTATTTTTGGAGTCCATATTCCCTCTTATAGACCCAATATTGATTCTTGAGACAAGTCCTGGGAATTTTTATTCTCGAAATATGTTCCAGAGCTCTATAGCCCCCTCAAATTAGCAATACTGACTGCGGAATTATAACCCAGTGACTGGACAGTTGTCCCTGACAACTCACTCCTTCCACCACCGCCAGTGTTGGGCCACAGAAAGAGCCCTTCAAGCAATGCCAATCTATCCGATGCAGATCGAGCACATTATTGGTGCAAAATAAACCCGATGATAAGACCGCATCAGCCCACCCATCTTCAGCATGTTGCAGTCCTTAAAGGGGATGTGCGGCTTCTGAAACCTCCGGAATACAAAGGCGATTTGTTGATGCCGAATACCGGGTTTTGGAAAGGCTCTACGCGAGCGGGAAGCAAGGATTCCTGCCTCCTAACATCTTCGCCTATTTACTTCGCCTACGCGGACTCCCCTCTTCGTACGAGAAACGCCAAAACAATTTACTTTGAAGTCAAAGTGCGATCTCTAGGCCTTGGACGAGGGGCAGACGAGAGCTCCATTGCTCTCGGCTATTGCGCGATACCCTACCCTACCTGGCGTCTACCTGGATGGGAGCGTGGCAGTCTTGCCGTGCACGGCGACGACGGACGGAGATACATTAATAATACCTGGGGGGGCAAAGATTTCACTTCACCGATCAAAACAGGAGATACGGTTGGCCTGGGTATGACATTTTCAGTTGCGGCTAGCGTTCCAGGCTACGAAGCTCAGCCGAAGTGCGAACCGACGGTCAAGGTCGAGGTATTTCTTACAAGGAATGGTCAGAGAAACGAAAGCTGGGACTTGCATGAAGAATTAGACAAGGACCAGGATCTTGGCGTCGATGGGCTCAATGGCCAGTTGGATCTATACTGCGCTGTGGGAACCTTTGGGGGGGTTGATTTCGATGTTTCCTTCAACAATCGGAATTGGTTATGGCAACCTAGATGATTAGCGAAAGGTACCCCTTGACTTCCGCAGCATACCATGAGCTGAGACTCACTGTTAAAAATCTACTGGCAGATCGAGGACTCATGCTTATTCCCGAGCACGCCAACACGGCCCTCTGCCGCAATCTAATCCGTCGTGCATAATGTACATGGCTACATGCATTCTATCGCGTCACAGGACTACGGCTTCGGGGGGAAGCCGGAAACCTGCGTTAACGGTCGATCAGGGTTTCAACAACAATACGGAGACCATTTTGCATGAGCCTTCTGGAAGCGAGCTCCGATCGGGAGACAGGACTGCATTACAAAAAGCCCGCTACTTTGCTACACCTCATTCGGCCAGAGTTGAGAGATCTATCGGAGAAAAGGGCTTTCAGCAGCCAGCAACTCCAGAATCGCTTCTCCTAACTCAGTTCTACGAAAGGTAGGTTATCCACATGGTGCGCCACGCGGGTGGCAGAACTGTAGTGCTACGCAACTTACAGGAATGGAAGCGGGCCTATGGCTGCATAAAGAACGCATCGCCGATGAAATCTCCAATACTAGGGATTCATGCCAGCTCTGTACCTATCATTGAGGCGTCAATCCTACACTATCTTCGCCATTTGCATGTCTCACCCCCAGCGCAGTGGTGATCGATCGTCTGATTGTTGATGAGAGAAGAGATGAAACAGAGTTTGCCGTGCTATGCGGCATCTGGCCCCTTTTTTCTCGTAACGAGGTGGGCCTATCGTATAACTGAAGAGTCGCTATGTCAGCCGTTGATGCATCTAGCGTGACTCTGGATGGCGGCTTACGAGTTGTGGGTCCGTGGAAACGTGGAGGGCACCTCGCTCGTCTTCCATGCAGAGTCTTCCGTGCAGAGGACAAAATGGAAAGTCGAGTCGTTTTGAAAAAGATCTTCACGGGCCGGAAGGGCAATGCATCAGAGTACGCACGTGATGATTGCCCATGTCGATGACTCGTGGACTTGTTTGACTCCTGGACCAGCTGTCTTGTCCGAGAGAATTTGGGGCAGGCGGGTAAAGATTGTGCGCGCGCGGGGTTGGACGTGGATTTGGGTTATCCTCCACCCCGGCGACTAAAATGGACCAGGTTGCGGCTCGCAGTGTTGGTTCGATTTTAAGAAATTTAAGAGGGGCCACTTGGTCTGGGCGAACCAAAACCTGGCTTAAGCTGCTTTTAAGCTGCTTAACTTTGCCCTTTTCACAAAACCCACTTTCTCCCGCTCATGCAGAATTATGTATGTGCTCTGCCCTTCTTTTCTCAACGGTGAGTGCGGGACTGGCGATCGTATGATTATGCAACAGACTCTGACCTTGAACAAGCCGGAATGGTCCCATTCATAGTGTCATGCACCTCTCCATTTATGGGTGGTACCAAGTTACTTGCCTTTCTCCCAACCCCATTTCATTTGCGCTACTCCTCTGACCCTACATCAAGCCACTCTGCTACGCGGTTGACTAGTGTACATGCATGCAAAAGCAAAACTTTCAACAAATTCCATTATATCGCATGCCTCCATTCTCGCTTCATTCCCACCTCATGTCTCTTTTCACTTGTCTCCCTTGCAACAAGGGTCGGTGCATTCTCTACAGCATCACGGTCGTTGCTAATTCTCCTTTGAAACCGTCATGTTTTCAGCTTTCAATCTCTTCGTGTCACTGTTGTATGTCTGACGGGCCCCTTCCACGTCCCTTCGGATCGCCCCATACGATGCTGACTGTATCGGATGTAGCCTATATCGATATCTTCGCCTAGTCGTGAATCTTTTTGCCTTCAGCAGGCTTCGACCAATACCCATACCGGACATCCCACGATTGACATCACAAGATGTCACTGTCGTCATTCCTTCAATAGAAGGGGACGGCGAGGTATTGTGGGAGACTATTCGCAGCATCCTCGCAACCGAGCCCTTTGAAATCATCCTGGTGACCATCGACGCGCATTTGACTCGGGCAGAACTAATGATCAAGCACATGTGCACCTCTAAAGTGAGAATACGCAGTGTGTCGTATCCCAATAAGCGCCGACAGATGGTTCATGCTTTGCCCGATATTAGAACCGACATTACAGTTTTTGCAGACGACGACGTTCTCTGGCCGCCGAAATTGCTGCCCTGGATGTTGGCACCGCTGGAAGACGAATCCTATGGTGGCGTTGGCACAAATCAGAGGCTCCGGCGTGCGGAAGCTCCAACTCTCCAGCAAAGGGTTTACGGCTACTTGAATGCCTTGTATCTGGAAAGGAGGAATTTCGATTGTGCATCATGTATGTACATGGACGGAGGCCTGCCGTGTCTTTCTGGACGGACGGTGGCATACCGAAGCAACATACTCAAGGATAAGGCTTTCATCGAAGGTTTCACCCAAGAAGTGTGGCTTGGGAGATACCAGTTGAATGCAGACGACGACAATTTTATTACAAGATGGCTGGTTTCCCATGACAAGAAGATAGGCTACCAGTATCACAAAGAAGCGGAAATTTTGACTACGCTTGAAGACAATCCCAACTTTGTGAAACAGTGCTTGCGGTGGTCTCGGAGCAATTGGCGGAGTAATATTACGAGCATGTTCTGTGACAGACATGTTTGGAGGTTAGCGGCCGATCCCCAGAAGCCAGGGCCCGACTGGTGGTCCATGCTCATCGGAAGCTAACGTCGAAAGTAGAAAGCAGCCATGGAGCACGTACGCCGTCTATCAAACGACACTGTTGCAGTGGGCCTTTGTCTGGGATTGCCTGCTTCTGTATCTCTATCACACAAGCACTTCAGCTTGGAGTTACGACGCAAGGATGCTGGGCCTCGTCACGCTCCTGAGCTGGATGTTGATGAGCAAATTTCTCAAACTGCTGGGCCATTACATCCGCCATCCGGTTGACTTTCTCTTATTGCCCGTGTCAATTATTTTTGGTTATTTACACGGGCTAATCAAGGCTAAGGCCATGATATCTCTTAATGTCGTAAGTCAATCCGCCGGTTCTCTTGGCGCTGCCGGTGATGTCTCCAACGGTCGGTGACGCCTCCGTCCATTGCCTCACTGACAATCTTCATACAGACCGCGTGGGGTACCCGCGATGGAGCAGACGACGACGACGGCTCCCGCATGATACGGGTCAATCGAAAGCAACAGGAGGCCGGCAATACCTTCTCTATCCTCGAGACATCCTCTTACCCAAATGAGAAATGCGAATATCAGCCCAACTTCCTACGGTGTACAACTGTTTAGAGAGACGAGGGCTGGGAGTGCACGGTCGCAGGATTGAAGATTGGAAGTTTCCTTTCTTAGCGTTTGTATCAACACCAAACACCATTTGTACGAGCTACTACCCGACAGCCTGTGTCTAGCGTTGGCGTCCTGGTTCTGCAAAAGTCTTTTGGTTTTCTCGGCTTGCAACAAAAGCCGGCAGATGATGAGCTAGGATTTTACCGTGATAATAATAATAATACATAGACCATTTTTATTCCATCATCATCATCATATGACTGCTACCTACCTGCAGTACTTCATCGAACCTTGTTGATTCGTTGTCAAGCAAACTCCGTCTCAGGATTTCGCGGGCGGGGAAACTGCCTAGGCATCGCATCCTTGTCTACCTTCGGCGGTCTTTTCTCCCGCACTCAGTCGCAGGTACCTCATGCAGCCAAGAGAGTACTTGAGGCATAGGATCGCCCAACTCGAGCTGATGCATGTCTCCCCTCCGTGGGCAGGTACGGTGGGTAGTCATGCACTCTGACCGGTGACAAAACAGCTCTATCAATGAAGTGATGAACCTCACTTATTCGATTGCTGGTTGTTCGATCACGAGCTTTTGACTTTGCTACATAATTTCTATCTATCTATTTTCCCGTTCCCAACCGAGATCCATGAAAGTATGCTCCCAGGCATGTGATAGCGATATCATGGTCCATTCTTCATCATCATCATCACAGACCGTGCACGTTTGCCTCTTCGAATCATGTTCGTTTTCGGTTCGATTTCGAGAAGGGAGATTGATTGGTGGCTTGAGCGCCTTGATTGGTGGCTGCATAAAGTATATGTATTGTCATGGAAGTTCGATAGACATCGAAGATTTATCCATGGGGGCGTGGATCTGTTTTCTACATCTGTAGAGTACCGAGTCAACCAAACAGTGTGTTCGCCCTAACGTGGATCTAAAAGATTCCTCGTCCTTTTACTCCGCCTTCCATCGACACGACATGCTCTCGGAGAATTCATCGGCCTCACCACCAGTCCGCATTTCGAGTCAGTATTATTATTATGATTAAGAATATGATTTTGATTTTGATTTTGATTTTGATTATGATTATGATTATTATTATTATGATTATGATTGTTATTATTATGATTATGATTATGATGATTATTGTTCCATACTCCAAGAGAAAGCACAGACGCATTTATTTTCCCCATCCCACCACATCACCCAACAATCACCCCACCTTACTAGTCTACCCGTAGCCCCACCATGCATCGACACCACCATCATCCATGGAATCACACCAACCGAAAGGCAACTCCCGCCCTTACAGAATTCACGAATCACGATACCGGATAAATTCATACCACAAGCTAATCGCACCATAAGATTAGCGGCCGGCAGAATTGACTACGAGGTACCTAATGATGACTTGCATTGATTGTCAGCCACCAAGCAGCTCGCTATGAGCGGGAAGTTTTGATCTGCCAGGACAGGGATATTCTCCCATGCAGGTCTGTTAAGCAAAGCAAATCTACGGTATCTACCGAATAACGTTGAAAAGCAGTCGGCATCTTCTCCACCCATCTTCCCCACTCATCTTCACCCACCCGTCTTCACCCACCCATCTTCACCCACCCATCTTCAACCACCCACCTGCACCCACCCACCTGCACCCACACACCTTCTCCATCGAGCCCGCATGCTTGGAATCGTGGGGGGCCGAAGCTTTGTCCACACATGCTCGGCTGAGGCTCCGTTAGTCTTCAGAAGGGGTAACAACAACGACAATGACAACAACAATAACAACAATCACAACAAAAACAAAAACAACAACAACAATAGTAAAGAGCCACCAACACCAACATTATTATTTACCATGACGGTGGAGTGGAAGCGATTCGCCTTACCAACGGCAAACACACAGGCATTTGCGGAGGTCTGAGCGGACGGCATGTGAGTGGTCGGCTATTTTGGTACGATGAGGGAGAAACAACGCGCCTTGTTCCACCATCGAGCCATCGAAACAAGCAACTTGTGGAGAACTATGCCACGGAAAAAGCCGCTTCCATCGGCCAAGACAGCATCAAACGAGGCGTACGCAGCTGTTCCTTCTGGTCCTGAATAATCCATCTCTGACAATCGGCCGTCTCTATGTACCGTATTCTGTCGGAATTTCGAGCGGCCACTACTGCACGTAGGCGAAAGGGCAAGTTGTCAACGGAATTCTGCCTGCTGAAGGCACTTTCATGATGTTTTTGAAGCTACAAACGATGTCTTCATTTCAAATTCTACATTCGGACCGCCCAAGCTACTGGATGTTCCCCGTCCTCTCCTTAGTCTTTTCTCTCAGATCTCTTTGACTACCCAGCGGTGCGGGCCATACGCTTCCTAAATCATCTTCGGCCGCTGCTACAATCGTGTTGCAGGCAATGATCGGCGTGAAGCTGAAGTCAATGGGTTGGTATTCTTGACGTCGCACGGTCCGAGTCTTTCCTCGTGGTTACAGCTTCTGTTGCATGAAGGCCTGCGCAAACCTTCGCTGCTGGTTCATGGACCACTGCTAGTCGTTCATCACCAAGGCTGCACTTCACCAGCTTTGGCTTTCTGAACGCGAACTATCTTGTCGCAATTCAACAAGCATAATGGGTCAAAGGCTTGTTTCAACTAGAACATGAAAGAGTCAGCTGTATTGGCTGAATGCAGTATGCTGAGGTTCACCTTTCTCATTGCATCGACCGTGGTCTCTCCCATCTCATGGGCCAAGTAATCACGCTTGATCAAGCCTACCCCGTGCTCGCCGGTCACGGTGCCCTCCATCTCAACCGCACGCTTGACCATCCTGTGAACGACCTCTTCGGCTGTTTTTCGTTCTTTGTCGTTGAAGAGGAGGATGGCTAAGAAGGATCAGCCTCGGTCTTCTTCAATCGGATTCATGCCAGCTCACCATGGAAATTGCCATCACCCACATGTCCAACCATGGCCGCCAACAAGCCACTGCTAGCCATATCTTCTTTTGTCTCCTCTATGATATCAGGCAATCTGCTGATAGGAACCGCGACGTCAGTTGTCCAAACATGATCGCTTTCGTCTCTTCTTTTCGCCATTACACTCCAAAGAGCCTCTTTCCTTGCACTCCAAAGCTCTGCAGCTTCATCCGCGTCTTTGGCGAAATCGAAGCTCTTACTACCTTTGCTCTTTGCCAAATTTTGCACTAATCCAATCGACTCCTTCACTGCCGACTGTGTGCCCGAGAATTTGAAAAACAACGTCGGTACTTCCTTCCATGCCCTGCTGGTGGAGCCACTCTCGTTAATACAACGCATCTGGACATCGTCCAGAATCTCGACTGCCGCAATCGGCACCCCTTCACCAACGACCCGTGACACACATTCGGCTGCCTCCCGAATAGTCCCAAAGCTAGTCACCGCGACGCTTTCGTGCTTCGGCTTCACAGTGACTTTTAGAGTAGCTTCAGTGACAAGACCCAGAGTGCCTTCGCTTCCAATAAACATCCGTGTAAGATCGTATCCAGCGCTACTCTTGCGCGGTCGTTGCCGTGTTTTTATGACAGTCCCATCGGCCAAGACCACAGTCAGACTAAGCACCCAGTCCCGCATGGTACCGTACCGATATGCATTAGTACCCGAGCATCCTGTGCCGACCATGCCGCCAATCATTGCGCCTGGTCCGGGATCAGGGGGAAAGAATAGGCCCTCTTTCCCCAACTCCTCATTGAGGAGCTCCCAACCCAGTGCTGGCTGAACGATGACATCTAAATCCTCTTTATGCAATTTGAGGATCTTGTCCATCCTAGAGAAGTCCACACAGATGCCACCCCTGGTGGCCGAAAAATGGCCTTCCAAGCTTGTGCCGCCAGAATAGCCCGTTACAGGGATTTTTCGCTTATGGCACACTTTCATGATCTCGCTGACCTCTTCCGTTGTTGAGGGGTACACAATCATGAAAGGTCGCTCACTGTCCTTGGTAGTGTACGAAGACCAATCAGATCCCGAGTGGGATTGCAGATCGCCCTCTTCTGTAGATACATGCTCTTTGCCAACAATTGATACCATATCAGTCCAGCAAGCTTCAATATTTGTAGGCGAAGTATTGTGCTTCGGTCCTTTCGGCTCCATAGATGATAGAGGTGCAGTGGACAATGGCGATACTTTGTCCGGTTTCATGGTTCCAAGCCAGTAAGCTAGGGCGCATGAGAAGACGATTGCTGCAGGAGTCAGCTGTGAAGAGTCCCGCTGCTGAGACGTGCGTACCAAAGGTGAAGGCGGATTGGCGGGCGAAATCGCTAGTAGGACTCATGGACGCAAAGCGAGCTTCTGCTTCACGCTGAGCTTGGATCCTTCGTGCCGTGCTCTCGTATAGTTGACCTCGAAATGTTTTCTCCACCTCGTTGGAGAAGGACTTTGGCGAGGTGTGTAGATTACGCCTGCCTCCAACCGGAAGTGGTCGAGCGCATTGACGCGAAAGGGGCATATGCCTCAGGCTGCGCAGAGTGAGAAAAGACGGATAGGACATCTTTCCAGTCATAGTAATAGAATAATGACCTAGAGAATGGAAAGGAAAAAGGAATGCTATGGATAACGCTTTTTCCATAGAGCAAAGGTGGGGAAGCTTCGAAAAGGTCATTCGCGGGTCGTTTTCCCCGTTTTCCCGTTTTCCCGCTCCAGGTCTTGGCAATCCTTCTAGTCTACTTGGAGAGTACCTACCTTAGGCAAGGTACCTACTCCGGTTGAGCGTTACAGCTCATTCTAACACTGCAATCATCAAATCTCTGCCTTCCTTGAATCAATAAAAACCTTTACAGGCACACCGATGTAGACAGCATAGAGACTATTTTATTTCTCTCACCATTTCCTCTCTTCTAGAGTCTGTGTCCTGCTGAAGCTAACATTCATCTGCTCACCTATATCTCCTTCTATAACCATAATGGCAGAAAATCTGGCTTATATTAAATCTGGCTACTATGGTTATCCTGAGGCCAGAGAAGGACCCAAGATTCCATTCTCAAACACGCCAGGATCGAATCCCGTATTGCGAGGTCTTCCGCTGGCAGTAGCAGGTTCAGCGTGCGTCAATTGTTTCCTACAATGACATGTTCCCTGTTAACGCTCTGAAAGTGTTGCAAACATCCGTCTTCTCTCCACTCTGCTGTGGGGAAATGCTGGGTTCAGTGCCCTGCGTAACGTGGATCTCGATGGTTACGATTCGCGCTGTGATCCGACCGTTGTTCCAATAGACAAGTCTGATGCCGACATTTCTGCATCAATCAAGGCTCTCAGTTCGTCTTATAACCCAAATCTAACAAGCACAAACCGTCATTACAGCATTAAAGATTACCACTCCGCATACGAAGCGGGCAATGTGACACCCACAGCGGTTGCTGAGGTTTTGCTTGATCTGATCTCCAAGCATCCTAAACACAGGGATGCATTCTTGGAAATAAAAAAGGAGCGTGTCATTGCTGCAGCTGAGGCGTCTACGCAAAGGTACAAAGCAGGCAAAGCGCTGGGCTTGTTTGACGGCGTACCAGTAGGTGTGAAGGGTGAGAACCTCCCTTTCTGCCGTGATAATTGGCATTTTCCCCTTCGTTTTCGCTATGGGTCTTTAAACTTCTACATAGTCCTTTAGACCCTATTTCCCCTTTGAGAGTGTAATCATTGATCAGGTGTTCAGATGAGGTCGATCTCCAAGGCTATTCTAAGTGTTTAGGCTCTGGCGTGGACTTTACGAGTACGAAAGGAACTGTGACAAGCTGGTGTGTGCAAAAGTGGGAGGAAGCAGGAGTGGTAATTCTAGGGAAGCTCAATATGCATGAGCTCGGTCTTGGTAGGCATAAGACCCTTCAACCTTTTATATCCTCCGTTGTTGGAGTACCGCATTCGCTGATGGCATAGATACTACAAACAATAATCCAGCTAAGGGGACCCCACTGAACCCTCATAATCCGCATTACTACACTGGTGGCTCGTCCGGAGGCTCAGCGTATACCGTGGCAGCTGGGCTCTTCCCTGTAAGCCTAGGTGCGGACGGCGGCGGCTCCATTCGTAACCCATCCGCATACTGTGGTCTCTACGGTCTCAAACCCAGTCATAGTCGAGTATCAGGATTTCCCACTACAAGTCTTGCTCCGTCATGCGGAGTCCTCGGTCCTATGGCCTCCAGTATGGCGGACCTCGAGTATGCCTACCGTATCATGGCGATCCCTAATCCCTCAGACTCCATATCGTCAATGTTCCCAGTTCCTGTCCCAAAATCCGTCCGGCAAGATAGGGTTATAGGTATATGTAAACCTTGGTTCGACCTTGCTGATTCTTCCGTGCTGAATGCCTGTCATGCCGCCATTTCCCATTACGAATCATCTGGTTATAAAGTCATAGACATCACGATTCCTTATCTTTCCGAGGGCCAACTCGCCCAGGCCGTGACGATCCTTAGCGAAATAAGCACAGGCGTACCCAGTGTCTCAGGCTTGACCTCGGCCAACAAAATTTTAATATCCGTGGGCAAGCAGACTCCTGCCTCGGACTTCTTAATTGCTCAGAAGATGCGTAATTTGCTGATGCAGCATCTTGCTTTCTTGTTCGAACAACATCCCGGTCTCTTAATTGTAACACCCACAACGCCGAATGCAGGATGGCATATTTCTGGTGGGGCGGCAGACCTGAAAACCGGCGTCAGTGATGCAAATATGAGTGTCAGGAGCATGACTTATGTCTGGCTGGCCAATTTCTCGGGATGTCCAGCGATTTCGATTCCAGTGGGCAGAGTGGATGCGAAGGAAGGGGAGGGTAAGATACCGGTGGGATTGATGGCCCTTGGAGAATGGGGTGCGGAAGATTCGTTGATAGAGTGGGGGAGAGTGGGGGAGCAGTGGGTGTGGGAAAACGGAGAAGACAGAATGGGAAAGCCGGAGAACTGGGTTGATGTGTTGGAGTTGGCTAAGAGCAGACAAGATATCGGAAAAAGTGACAATTGAAAGGGTACATATCCTCCAAGACTTGGAACAGAGCTGCATCAACAAAGACTCTTCTGGGCTGTGTAACGCTCCTTTTGGCGCAGCTTTGACCATGAGTGACAAATGACTTGGGGCTGATGCTCAAAATCGACAGGAAAGTCGTAGTGTTCAACGGCTTCATACTGCCACTTGTTTCCACAACTTGCCTGGACGATGACTGGTAAGGCTCAGGTCATCGGAAGGTCCTTTAGGACATGTGCCATGCAAAAGAACAAAACGCGGCTATGTTGCCTGAGCCGATCTCTGGCAACGAGGACAGCCATTTGAGAGTCCCACATATTATCATTTTGAACATTCGTGGCTTGTAGCCTGCGCGATCCCACATTGAAAGCCCACTCGGAAACCTAGACTCGAAATTCTAGAGACTTAGTCCATCATGTTCGAGCCGCCAATTTGACGAATAGAGGTCTCTTGTCCCACGTGAACCATGCCTTCTTTTCTGCCCAATCCGACCCAGTCTCTGCACACAACTCCATGTCAAACTCCCACAACATCCGAACTATCACCAGGCGGATCTCTGCCATTGCCAGGCTATAACCGGCCAGCAGTCAGCATGTTTCTTACTACAACAGCAGGATTGACCCTCTGCCGTTGAATCACGGCATGTCTTTCTCCAGCCAGACTGCAGTTGAGGCCTCAAAACTACCGTTTTAACATGGCTAGTAACACTCACTTCTTCCCAATACAGTTCCTCGCCCCTACAGAGAACGGCTGCAGGACATCCTTTTTGTCCGAGTCGAAGCGAGGATCGCCAAGCCAGCGTTCTGGGACAAAAGCTGAGGGATTGGAAAAGTTGTGATGGGAATGGTACGCTGCGTACTGGTTGATTTGAATGCCGGTCTGTGTTTTGCATTGTACCAATACGTTAGCAGGATGCGTGATCGAACGAGGTTGTTTTCTCATCTTCTTGAACTGGCGTGCTACTGCTCAAAGTTGTGCAAATGGTAAAAAAAGGAACATGGTCATCCAATTATACTTTAGCTCATATCAACCTTCGCCCTATCGTCAAAGGATGGACGAATCAGAGAACAGGCTACTTACACCACCCGGGACCCAGTAACCGCTGACGGTGTCACCCTCCCCTGGGGCTCGACGTGGCTGGCCGGCCAAAGCAGAGGGGTAGATGCGGAAGGATTCTGTCACGACTGCTTGAAGATACTTCAATTCTCCTATCTTCTGGACATTGATCTCGTCTCTCGTCCTGAAAGCAGCTCGAATCTCCTCGTTTAGTCTTGTCAAACAATCACGATTCTGCAGTAAGAACCAGGTTATGCCGTTCAACGAAGCTGCCGTCGTCTCGCTACCAGCGGAGATGAAAGTTGCAACATTCTCGTGGATTTCTTCTCTTGTCATGCGACCTTTTTCGTTGTTGTGAGCCAAGATGTAGGAAAGGAAGTCAGGCCTTGTGGTCGCGGTCTTCATCCTTCGCTCCACCTTCTCTGCGGCCAGTCTATCATGATCGGCCCTGGCTTGTAGCGCCTTGTTGGAAACGAAAAGACGAAGCAGTCTCTGCAATGGGGGAAAGCGTAACGTGACGCTGAGGAAGACGACGAATTTGAGATAAGACATGAGCATTGCCACCCAAGGATGATAATTTGTGTCACTCAAGCAATGGAAAGATTCTCCAAAAGCTAGGTCGCCGATGACATCGAATGTGGTCCAATGGTACCAATCGGACAGATCCACCTTTCCCTTGGACGGCCCTTCAATCTGCTTCCTGAGACCATTGATGAGGATTTCCACTTGGACTCGAATTAAGGCTTCCTGTTCCTTCAGTGCTGTATTAGAGAAAGCATGACTGAGAAGGCGGCGCATGCGATTGTGGTCAGCGTCATTTGCAGTAAGGATGCTATTTACCCCGGCATAAACCCTGAGGTCCCTGGGAAAGCTGGGGCGTCCCTGACGATGGCCGCACAAGTCTTCCCAGGCTGACGGGGAAATAAAGGAGAGCTCATCGGGAGATATGCGTACTACGTCAGTGGAGTAGCGTTGATGAAGGTCTCTAAGCCAGTGAGACAAGGTCCCGTTCCAAGAGACAACGGCGATTGGGATCTTGGTCGCCGCGGCCAGTCTAGGACCGGGAAATGTGGATAGGGGATGGAAGTATACGTTGTATAAGCCTTTGAGGAAAGCATAGACGATAGGCTCAACACAAAGGCCATTGATAAGCTAGCAATATCTTTAGGAAGATTTGATGGTGCTCACCACGGCCAAAAGAACAGCAATATATATGGATGAGTCGCCCATATTCAAAACAGATGCCATCCTGGGTCGGTTATTTCTTTCCTGTAGGTGGACTAGAGTCTATTTGCGAGATGAGGACAGTCTGTCTTCTGCTGGGGAGTAATTCAAGTGTTTTGAGCTGAGCGGCATTAAGCGCCATTTAATGGGATTTGAATGATCAATCAGTTTTCTAGTCACACGAACTAGCCCCACGTAAGTTTATATGCATGATGAGGTCAAGAATTTCGGCTCTTCATCTTCTCTCTGACAGTTCGACGAGGTATCTTAAGCCTAGGATATTGATTGGAAAGGCTGTCGCACGTAATGAACCATACAATCCCAATCTGTACTTCATGTAGCCGACCACAATAGTTCGGGCTCCTTCTCGCTTCCGTCGTCTTTCAAGGATATTCAAATGCCAGGCGTGTGAATTCGTCATTGAACATCAGACACTGCGAAGATCATAGCACAGAGTAGGGTATCTAATCATCAATACCTTCCCACTCCTCATCTTCTAGCCTACTTCCTTCCTCCTCCTGTACCAGTCGCTTTCGGCTTCCGTCTACCACTCCCTTCTTTTTGTTCTCCAGTCGTCGATCATATCCGCTCTTCGTGCTGATTCGCATCTTTCTCGCCCCTCTGCCCCCTGCGGCCTCGGTAGTCGCTCTCCTACTTTCCACCCCCTTCCTCTTCATTTCCTTTCTCGTCTTCTTACTAACGTTTGGGAGTGCGTCTAACAGCCACTTCTGCATGCCTTCTCCCTCGTTATCAGCAACGTTATGTTTTTCCTTTGCCCTCTCACTCGCAGCGATCACATTAGCCACGTTTTTTACATAAGGAATATCCTCCTTCGTGTACAAGGTGACTGCTACTCCACCCTCTCTGCCTTGCCTCCCTGTCCTGCCAACGCGATGGACGTAGGAAGCACCAGTATTTGGGATATCGTAATTGACGACCCCATTCAGGCCTCTGAAATCTACTCCACGTGACAAGAGGTCCGTGGTGATGAGAATCCATATCTCGCCTTTGCGGAAACCCGCCATGATGTTTGCACGTGCGGAATCTGAGAGATTAGAGTGGAGAACAGCTATACGTGAAGAGCCACCTGCTTCGAAAGGGATGTCGTAGAGAAGCTCGGAGTGGAGAGCTATGGCTCTTGGTATTGTCTGCGTGAAGACCAAAAATGGTGGCTGCAACGACGGGATGGCGGCTGCTGGCGCTCCAGAAGGATGTAGAAGCTGGCGCAGAGCGAGAAGTTTACCTTGTTCGGATGCGGCGTAGACGAGGCGGTGGGCTACATTAGGAATGGCAGAGTCTTTGAGACCGACAACAAGGCGAACGATGTAGTGTTGGGAAATCGATGAAGACGTTAGGCCCAGATTACGCCGCCGGTCGAGGATGAAGGTCTGAGCTAGTGACTCGATGGAAGAACCTATAGTGGCAGACCAGAGAGAGGTACGCAGAGAAGCGTTAGTGCAAGCGGTCCAAATACCGAGTGTCTGCTCTCGAAAAAGCGGATCAAGGAGAACGTCCGCTTCGTCGAGGATGAGGAAACGAATATCTGGGAGAGAAGCTGCGCCTGACTGTTTCGCTGAGATGGCATGCAAAAACAACAAGGGGGTGCTGACTACAATATCCGTCTTCACCAGAAAGTCATGTGTGTGTCCTCCGGAGGTATCGTCCGTCACGCCCTGCGTAGTGTCACCATGTTTCAAGCCCACAAGTTCCGGGTGCAATCTCATGCCTTTCCTCAGCCCGGAGATCTTTATGCCAGTACCTGATGCGAGCTTTCTTCCCTCGTTGACAATCTGGTCTGCGAGCTCATGAGTGGGAGCAATTATCAAAGCCTGAACCCTATGCTCTGACCTCTTGTCTGCCTTGGTTTCCCTTTGAGCCTTCCGGCTTTCAAGCAATCCCTGCAGTACATGTATCAAGAAACCCAAGGTCTTTCCGCTACCAGTTGGAGCAATTGTGAGTAGATCAATGTCAGCTCTTGGCTCTGTCTCGCTCCTCTTATCCCGTCGTGATATCAGCCCACGATCCTCGTCCGTCCCTAGTAAGAGCGGTAGGCTGCCCATTTGAACTTCACTAGGCTCCGTATACCCTTGAGCGTCCAAGTTCCCTGCAAGTTTTTTCGAAATGCCGTACTTACTCCGTAGTTGTATGAACGAAGTCAAAGGCTGTGGTGATATTTGAGGATGTGCGTTCTTCTTCCCCACAGGCTCTGAAGTTGTCCCTTTTTGTTCGTCATGGTGACTACTTTGGATTCCAGATGCGTCCCCCAGAACGGTAACTTTGAGCTTGTGTCTCTTCAAGGTTCGCCAACCCTCTTCCTCACTCAAGTCTGGAATGAAAGGATTCGTAATGTGAGCATCCTGCACGTCTAGTTTCCTGGTGGTAGCCCCTTTTTCACTATCCATGGCCTGCTTCTCTGACGAGACCGGAGATCGAGCGCCACCTCTGAAGAAATCCAACTGCCCAAGGAGCTCATCGTCATGCTTTTCCTCCACCCCACTTCTCTTCCGCTTTGTGCCTCTACTCTTGGCTTTCTCATTGCCGAAGAAGGCATCACCATTCTCGGAATCTTGATAAGGATGACCTGAAAATCCATCTGATGGGATCTGACGGCTAGAGGACTTTTTGGGAGCTGGAGCAGATTTTTGTATATTTGAGGATCTTGTTAACAACTTGAACATATCCATTGTCTTAGCTTTGGGCAAGCGCACTGGAGTTATGCAGTATCATGACAGCCTCATGGATCCTAAGGTTGTTTGAATGACTCTCACGGTAAATTGTGCGTGAAAGCGTACTTGGGCAAGAATATTGTTCGCTTCACAGTTATGACACTGCCCAATATTAACCCCCAAACTGGGCCTCGAGTGAGCGCCGCCTGGAGACGCTAAAGCGGCACCACCGGTGATCCGACCCGGGTGACCTACGCGCCAGGGTGATCCGGATCAAGGCCCAGCGCACCGTAGCAAATCAAATCGATTGAGAGAGTAGAGTCCCAGAAGGCTGATTCCCGCTCTGAAATCTGTTATCATCTTCGATATTTTCGATATTACAGTACCAATATTTTGATAGTTTCGATCCATCTAATGCTTAGTTTGTCAAGCTTCATATGGGCATCCAAGAAGCTATGTATCGGACCATACTCTACTGCTCAGAGAAATATTCGAGCCACACGCAAGAGAGGATAAAAGTAGAGAAAAGCGTCACTTGGAAATTGCTACTCGAATACATCCATATCATCCGGTCTCTCTACCACATATCCCTTTTTATCAATGAATGTTGTGCTGAATCTTTGACCGAGCTGTACTGTTGCGTCTCTTCGTCCAATGAAAATGTATTGCAGGGCATCTGTGCAGTAGTAAGCAATCAAGATATTTCACAAACGAGGCTGCATAGACATCATTTCAGGGTGGGATGCTGCCGTTCAAGAATTTCCCACCCTTCACGGAATTGAGATGCCGTTCGCGGAATCTCACGTCGCCATCTTGTCTCGCCTTTCTACATCGGTTCCTACCCCAATAGCAAATTCGGCCGAGAGGCCATGACACGCGTTTCTTCTTGCAGCATCTTGGAATGCATTCCTGTCGGTCACGATTTCAAGGTCGAAGAATCTCTGGACGAGGAAATTTTAGACGGTAGTCCCTTGTGAGGATGAAGCAAGCGATCCTCGAGAGAGCTTGAAAGATTGGCTGCTGCAATCGGCCTATCTTTGAGGACTTGGGGGCCACGAGGTCACTTACTGCAGCTTCGGCAACGTAATACACCTCATTGCGTCTAGTGACCTGCACCCATTCCTTTCAATCTACTTGCGAGGCATCCTTTTCCGGCAGCGAGTAGGAGTCTTAGGTAAAGAGGAATTCAGTGAGCTCGAGGGCAGATTGATCAAGGCTGGGCAAGACGCGATCAGCTTTTTTATCCGTCGCAGTAGGTCCTGTCGTCCTGTTCTCCCGTTGTTCCTTTACTGTTGACATTCCATACCTGTCTAGCTTGATAGTTTGCTCTCTACTCACCGGTTTCGGCCTTGCGCATCCAGTACTAATAGAATAACTCTACTATTGCCAAGCGACTTTTACGTTCACATCTTCTATATATCTCAACCTTAGTCAAAGCGGAAGCTTATTTGGCAAATACTGAGGTACTACAGTATTAATCTTCGGCCGTCTCACCTGGGGTTTTGCCCCTCTTACCCATGGAGAATGCCAAAGTGGTGGAAGGAGTCGCGGGCACACTAACGCGAGTTGGGATCCTGGAAAGCCAAGTACTGTCTGCGCAAGATCAACAACGATTCATACATACTGTAGATTCTGTGGAGAGGAGCGGTTGGACAGAAAAAGCTCTGTGATGCTCACGAGGGTAATTCAAGCAGCCTTTGTAAGCTTCCCACGCTCCCTCTATATACTTAACGCCAGCGGACTAGACTTGGAACAGCCTCAAGCGACAGTGGCACCGACAGCCCACCCCCCTTCCCCTCCACCTACGACTACGATGACGCCAATGACTATGCCACAGACCTAAGCAGCCCAAGAAGTCTGAGTCCCCGCTCGGATGACAGTGACGAGCGGACGAGATGCAGCGTGTGCCGGTCGTGGTTCGAAAGCAGAGATGAGTACAATGATCATACTGAAGAGAACGATTCGGGATGCGCAGAGCACAAATCTATTTTCCTTAGTAGCTACAATTGTTAACATGCCAAAGACGAAGTCCAAGAATGTTGCTTTGTGGGAGGCTGCGGTTCTGTGTACGAAGATGTTTCGGATTGGTCTCATAAGGAGATACTGATCATATCTGGAGTGAACACACGGCTCGTGGATTAACGTGATGGATGGGGTGTCGCTTGAAGAGAGTCCGCATCAATCTGTTCAGGCATGCTGGTGTCGCGTCACCCCAGTCACCCAGCTAAAAGCGGCACTATCTTACGTATTCTGCCAAGCTCTTCAGGGTCCCATGGTTCTACGAATGTAGTCTCTATCTCTCTTTCTGTTCCGCAAAAGTTCATTGCTTTTGGTCTGTTGTACATGATAACATCTCTAGCGACATGGTATGTGCAGATGCAAGAACTTGCGACCCCGAAGTCCGAATCTTTTCCAGCGTCTCGGCGAACCCTTCTAGCACGCCTGCCCTTCGCGACTGCAGCGTATTATACTTGATGGCGAAAAGTATTCGAACTATGTTGAAGTCGCGGTCTCGTGATGCTCAGTATCTCCGCTGTAGCCGACCAGCTTCATTCTCCCAATCATTTCACCCACAGTAAAGAAACCTAAAACCTCTGCCCCAATCACCGCTGCTGAGACCAATTGTTGCCTGTTGACATTCCTGATCCGGCTCAAAATTCCCTCAGGGGACATGGTGCTGGCAGTATCGGTAGTGTGATTGAGGAGGCCGGCGGGGTTTCGGATGGCATTAATGACCGGCTGAGTGTATCTTTGGAACGCCGCGAGATCCCTGGCATTGAATCAAGCAATCAGCTACCTATACAAATACCAGCCATCTTACGAAGTTTGAGGACAGGGAAAGAGAAGAAGAAGAAAAAAGACTGAAGACTCACGGTGGGTTCATCTTCTGTCCCTTGAAGACTAGCTTTGAGAGCTCAAAGCCAACTTTAGAGTAATAGATCGCAGGGGGTACCATTGCTGATTTCGCCAGTCAGCAACCTTTTCTGATGCGCTTTTCAAAGCGATAACATGAAACTTAAGGGCTATCAATGTTCAAAATAATAGAGAAACAGTGCCGTAGTCCACAGAATGTATCGTCCAGTTTTGCGTGGGTAGAGCTCTGGGTGCCCCAATTGATTCGCAGAACGACCTTGCGAGCGACTGGCAGGCTTTGACTCACACTGCACGAAAGATATCATCCTTCCTGTCCGTCCTCCAATGTTGCCGATAGCTTTGCTGACCCCTTGTGCTGCACCGCTCACGGCTGGTCCGGCAGACGAAGTCACTCTTGAAAGGCCTTGTGAAGCTTTCGAGGTCGCATTTGAAGCTGTCTCTTTGGATTTCGTGGCCGTGTCTTTGGCCGCTTCTGTGGTTGAGGCATGTCGCCTCGTGGTCTGGCGTGCGATAAAACGGGTGTGCCGAAGCATTATGCGAGATGGTGCAGCTGTCGACATAGATGAGAGATGGCCAGGCATCATGAGACGAGTTGTTCCGATCGGATTGGAGCGAGTTCTAGTGCATTCGGCGATTATGAAGCTGTAGACGAATTGGACAGACGAACTCAGAGCAGAGAATTGAGGCTTGAAGCACCTTAGCGGAAGCCAAACCGTCGCCAGATTGATTGGTTGGTTTTATCTTACTCATCATTTCTTAGCGCCAGTGACGAATGAAGCATCGATAAGGTAGCTATTCGTACGTTCGCTATTGACTGACACTCATTGTCGGTGAGATGTGAGTCTTCACAAAAGCTACCTGGTCCTGCCAGGCCCCATCATAATCCAATCACAAACATCAAGGAACACGCCAATATGGCGCGTCAACGACGAGGATCCAATGTTTCGAGCAACTCATCGGTCAATGACCAGGTAAATAATGCCACGCTCCTACTTAATAAATCTGCTAACGACAGGCATTTCCTTTCAGGAACTTGGAAGCATGTACGATTATCTTGCAAAGGTCATTCTTCTAGGACCAAGCGGCAGCGGCAAGTTCGTTCATGCCCTCAGCTCCTCGGCAAACCCTAGAGCTTATCTCGCTCCAGGTCCTGCCTCCTTCACCGAATCGTCAAGAACGAATGTCTGTAAATTTCTCTATGCGTGTGTCTTCCTAGAGGCTGATAAGCCAAAGGGCGAGTATTGTCCAGCCAGACAATCGGCGTTGAATTTTCCTCCAAAATCATCAAAGTTGGTACTGGCGCTCGGCGAAAAAGAATCAAGCTACAACTATGGGACACAGCTGGGACCGAAAGATTCCGCTCGGTATCGCGATCTTATTATCGTGGTGCAGCTGGTGCGATTTTGGTCTATGACCTCGCATCTCATGCTTCGTTCAATGCTCTTCCAACTTTTCTCTACGATGCTCGAGCTCTGGCTTCTCCAAATCTTACGCTTCTCCTAGCTGGCAACAAATTGGATTTGGCATCCGAGTCTTTACCCAATGCTTCCGCGTCGGCCAACAGCGCGTCCAGTAGGCAATCTACATTTTCAGATGAGTCTATTGGGGCAGGAGCCAGACTTAGTTCTAGTCATTCCTCCATAGGCTACGGACTTGGCTCTCAGCTGACTGCCACCGTCGGTACTGAAGGACGCGAAGTCACCGTTGAAGAGGCCTCTCGATGGGCATCACGCTCTGCGATACCTGTCTCTGTCGAAGTAAGCGCATTCACTGGTGATGGGGTAGAAGAGATCTTTGCGCGTCTTGCAGGCATGATCTTGACAAAGATCGAGCTAGGCGAAATTGATCCGGATGATCCAATGAGTGGAATACAGTATGGGGATAGTGGAGGATGGGAGGACGAGGGAAGTGTTAATAGCGCGGGGACGATAATCGAGGAGGGAGGTCTGGGGAGGAGAAGGCGGAAAGGGCAGAAGAGAGCGACAGCAGGTATCGGAGCATGGGGCGGTGGCATGAGAGAATGGGAGGCTGTCTTCAGACTAGATGGAGCAGGAAGGCGAAGAAGAGGAGGCTGCTGCTGATCTTAGTCAAAGTCTTGCGATTCAAGTAGCTTGGCGCTGTTGGTCCATGTTGGATTGTGAGTAGATTGGGTATCCTTGGCGGAGCAACATCGCTGAAGCGTGACTTCTGTGTGCTGTTGTCGTTTGGAGGGTATGTTGCTCCTTCAAGGATGTGTTGCGGTCGATAGAAGAGCACTATGGTGCCGCCAATGCATAGAGCTCCGAGCTCTTTGTCCTCTAAACCTGGAATTATATGCACTGTAGACGTAGTTCTGCCTTGCCAAGTCCGTTCTCCGTTGCGTTTGCCCAACCGCTACAAACAGCCGCATCCATATGGGCGCACCGCCACGTTAACATTATAGATGTTGGACAAAGCATGCGTGACTGGACAGTGTCGACTCAAATTTGAACAGCATGGCTACTCGAAAGATTTTCGCTCTTGACGACAGACAGAGTTGGACATTTCGCCGGGCGCACTGTTCAGCTTCTGAATGGATGGAAGTTCTTGATATGCCAACTAATGTACACGTGGATTTACTTCACAATGGTATCATCTCAGATCCCTTGATTGGCAAGAGAGAGAATGATTGTCAATGGGTTGGTGAGAAATCTTGGGTCTACAAAGGCACTTTTCCTACACCAATTGTAGGTCCAGATGAGAAGGCCGTACTTACTTTCGACGGGTTGGATACGTATGCAACGGCAGTCCTCAACGGCAAAGAGATCCTCAAAACCAAGGACATGTTCATTCCCGAAAGGGTCGTCGTCACAGAACTCCTCCGTTCAGAGGAAGAGAACATCCTGGAGATCACCTTCGATAGCACCTACTTGATCGGTAAGAAGTTTGTAGAGCAACATCCAGATCACCATTGGGGTTGCTGGAACGGCGATCCCAGTCGGCTCGCCGTCAGAAAGGCTCAGTACCACTATGTGATTTAATTCCTTCCGCAGTCTTCAAACACTCTTACTGACCCCAATGCTAGGGTTGGGACTGGGGACCGTGTTTGCTCACCTGTGGTCCATGGCGGCCAATAAATCTAGAGGTCTATCATTCACGCATTGCAGATCTGTATTTCACGACAGAAGTGGGTAAGTCATTGAAATCGGCTGAGGTGGTAGCCAAGGCAGAGGTCGAAGGGGGTGGAGATGGAGATGAAGTGATTTTCGAAATCTCACTTGAGGGAAAGATGATGGGTGCAGAAAGGGTCATGGTAGAGAAAAGCTTCGCAACGGCTTCTTTCAAGAGTCAGAATCCAAAGCTGTGGTATCCTCATACCTATGGCGAGCAACCGCTCTATGTTCTAAGTGCTACGCTAAGCCGGAAGAAAGAGGTTTTAGATACAGCAAGCAAGCGCTTTGGGCTCAGGAGAGCCGAAGTCATCCAGCGCAAGCTTGACGATGCTCCTGGTAGTACCTTTCTTTTCGAGGTCAACAACATCCCAATATTTTGCGGTGGTAGCAACTGGATTCCTGCAAGCTCGTTCACCCAGTCAATCGGTCGTAAGAAATACCGTGACTGGGTGAAAATGGCGGTCGACGGGCACCAGGTTATGCTTCGAGCTTGGGGCGGCGGTATATTTGAAGAACAAGATTTCTATGAAGCTTGCGACGAGATGGGGGTCCTCCTCTGGCAGGACTTCCCTTTTGCTTGTGGCAACTATCCGGCACATGAGGAGTTCTTGGACTTGGTGAAGCGTGAAGCGGTGGAAAATGTAAAACTTCTCCGGCATCATCCCTCCATTGTGATCTGGTCAGGCAACAACGAGGACTATCAGTATCGAGAAGCAGAGAATCTGGAATACGATCCCAATGACCAGGACCCTGAAAATTGGTTGAAAACCACATTCCCGGCAAGATATATATACGAAAAGATTCTCGTGGACGTAACCAAGGAGCTTGTGCCAGGGACGTTTTATCATTTTGGGTCGCCTTACGGTGGGAACGACACGACAGACCCCCATGTCGGAGATATTCATCAGTGGAATGTGTGGCACGGTACGCAGGAAAAGTACCAGGACTTCGACAAGTTGAGTGGAAGATTCGTGTCAGAGTTTGGCATGGAAGCATTTCCGAACATTATGACCGTTGAAAGCTATCTCCAGGATGCCAATCTCGATACTGACAGGTATCCTCAGTCCTCGACAGTAGATTTTCACAATAAGGCCGCCGGGCATGAGCGCAGATTGGCTCTCTATCTAGCGGAGAACATACCGTACACACTCGAACCCTTCGAGCAGTACGTTTATTGTACGCAGCTTATGCAGGCTGAGTGCGTCTCCTTCGCATACAAGCTATGGAAACGGCAATGGAAAGGTCCAGGCCGAGAGTACTGCTCTGGCGCATTAATATGGCAACTGAATGACTGCTGGGCTTGCACATCATGGTCGATTGTTGACTATTACCTACGACCTAAATTGGCCTATTTTGCGGTCAAGCGTGAGCTGCGACCCCTTACTATCGGTCTGAAGCGGACAGTGCACACGACTTTTGCAGACAAATACACCCGCGCCTACATGAAGACTGTACATAGAATTGAAATGTGGGCGTGTAACCTCTCGCTCGATGCCCACGAGGTGTTCGTTCACGTTAAAACCTGCAATCTAGTGACTGGGGAACAAGAAGAGCATGGCAACTTATTCACCAGACTACTGCTTCCTCCAAATCGCAGCACGGAGATCTCTGAGTTCGATATCCCAGTGTCTGAAGAACACAAGGACAAGGTCCTGGAATTGACTGATGGCCATACCATGAGAAGTGAAGATGAGCAGCAGACGGTTGTAGCAGTATATCTCTGCAACGAAGATGGCGACCACATTGCTAGAGCGGTCAATTGGCCGGAACCACTTAAATATGTGCACCTACCCAAGCCGAAACACGTTAAGCTCAAACTGATTCCCAATGTCCGCGACCTGAATTGCGCACATGCTCCTGGCACAAGCGAGGACTTCAAGCCGCCACAGACGGCTGGAGCTATAGAGATCTCCTCTGATGTGCCTGTCAAAGGGCTTGTGATAGAGGTGGTAGAGCCGGACTGGGGAGAAGATCATAATGTGGGTTTCGACGATCGTGGTTTCGATTTGATACCCGGAGAAACTATCTCCATTGGAGTCCAGGGTCTGAAATGTGGCGATGAGGAAAGATTGACCACACGGTACCTAGGGATGTGAAGACGCTTCGCTTGATTACACAACAACACGTACCCACCAAACGTGAGTTGAATTCTAAGACAAATTATGCAGCTTCAGCATCTGAGCCCCGCTGTAGAGCCACGCTCGTGGTTGCTTCCAGGTGCGCAACTACTCTATTACAAGGAGATGAGAGATCGAATATGCGCACGACGAATGCCATGTAAGTAGAGAAATGCTCCGATGTCAGTCTCAATTGATTGGCTGTTGCTGGTTTCAAGCTACTTTCAATGTTGCGCGACTGGGAGCGCATGGGTCGCAAACGCATATATGACCTTGCGCTGTAAGTGCAACTGTTTGTCTTGAACGATTATCGCAAAAGTCAAGTCATACTTTATACTTCCGACATGTAGGAAGAAAGGATAGCCGTGATTCGCTAAGCGGTGCATTTTTCAGATAAATCAAGAAGACCTCCACGCTTCAAACTATTCGAGATCAGACATTCTTGTTTCGAACACGGAGCGAAGCACAAGAGTACTTTTTAGTGAACGTCGATGTCAACAATGCAAGCACTGAAAGATGTATACGAGGCTTGCCGCCGCCGAACAAAAGGCCTGGTCCAGGTTCATCTTTACCTACGAAGTAGGACCCAAAGGGCCATTATCCGCGAATTTGACACCACATTTTAAACATGCTGCATTCGCCTCCGCCCCCATGATACGGACACCTCTCCACCTCTGGCTCACATTCTCGCTCTCCTTCACCGTTGCTGTCGTGATGGGTACGGCTCTTAGTCATCGTCGACGACCCTCTTGGCAGAGTAGACGCCCTGAAAGTCGGCATCACCTGTTGGGGCAGCTCCTGTAGTCTCTAGCTCAACAGCGGCATCCACCACAGAATATTTCACCTCGCCGTATGGATGTCCGGCTCCCTGAACGAAGGCGACGTCTACGCTCCCGGCAAGCACCTCGCATGCGCGTAAACATGGGACTCAGACACTGGATTCTGCATTTTCACAGTAGGGAAAATGCCTCTGCCGGGCATCAGCGATTCGCTGGCCAAGGAGTAGATGGCATAACTGAGGGAGCACGGCTGTTTCGCTTGCGGAGGTGTGCCATTGGATGATGATAATGATCCTTAGATGATGGGGGTTTTGACGTCGAACTTTTTGAAGTATAACTCATCAGTTCCTCGGGACGCAAGTTGCGAACCGACGAAACACGGTGCACGATCATCAACGACCGCGACACCATATCATCCGTCGGTGCGGAAGTTCAACGCCTCGAGTGGCCTGGAATTGGGCCTCGTTGGATTGAGCGGAGAGAGACGGCCGAAGAATCGGGAGACGTAGGATGCGGCGTTACCAGCGGAGATAATCAACCCATCGCCGCTCAAATGCTGCCTCGCCACAGGATTGGCCCTCAGAACTCAGTCATCGAGCGCTCTGCGGTGCCCCGGAGTGTCATAAACAAAGAGGGCAGGTGGGACCGTGAATCGAGCTGGAATGGAGCTTGGGACCTGACATGGTGATGTGGTAGAGCAGTTCGGCTGTGTATGGCTTGAATTCTTGAGGAGGGTTTGATGCCATGTGTCTTCACATTGGGGCAATCTGCCCGTGAGAAGACGAGAGATTGTAAATATCTACCCGAATACTTTCTATTCCGGCAAAGTGTCGCTTGTCGTTCTTGACCGAGCTCGTACAAAGCTTAAGGTACGAATTAGAAGAGGTCAGAGTTCCTTATTGCGACTTTGCCCTCTCTTTTCCGGTAAAGTGGAAGGCCATTTTTTATGCAGGTCCCGCGACCGCATTTGCAGATGCAGATAAAGCACAGTAAGTAGGGACAAACAGCGTGACGTTTCATTCATTACAGCCCTAAAAGACAATAGATCCCGAGCTGTCGACTGACCAAATCCCAGGACGTCTCACGACGAAAAGATGGCGACTCTCACAAATAGTCATCAACCTCGCTAATTTGGGCCTGAACGACAATCATACTCATCCAACTCACTATCGCCTCCCTTTTCTCGATCTACTCCTGAAGCGTTGCTGCATCAAATCTTCGAAGCTATCATCCGTGAGACGACTCCTACTTCTTCCTCTCGGAATGGGTGTTCTAGAAAGTGATCGCCGACCAGCTCTAAAGCCCGCAGTGAATCTAGAAGAGCCGTCGGAACTGCGACTGTCATCCGAGGAAGTTGATGAGATCGAATACTTCTGCTTGTGACCTCCCGACTTTTTCGCGTGCGCTTTGAGACCCTGGGGTAAATGGGACTTGGGGGGCTTTAGGTGGATGATCTGAGGCTCAAGATGTCGGTGATCGTCGTGTCCGTCGTGGCCATTGTCACCCGAGTCCTCGACGGCAATGATATCGTCGTCGCTATGATGGGATCGACGGTCCAGCTGTGGCTGGTGTCCGTGGTGGCCGTGTTGGTCAACCCCGGGTTGAGGGACATGGTGGCCAGGTTGAATTTGATGCCATGGCCCCGGATCATGCGGCACTTGTGTGATTTGTGGGTCATGGTGTCCTTGAAGCTGTGGGTGGGGCATAGGATGCACGAATCTTTGGTCCATTTCTCGCGCTCGTTGCCGGTCCCATATCTCCTGCTCTGTAGGTCTTCTTGGGCCTGGCGTGGGCACCCATTCGTCGGAGTCCCGTCGATGACCTCTGACGAAGTTGAGACGCTTGCGACGGGGCTCATTCCAGGTTCGCGGGCGTCGTTCTTCGACTTCGATGCGGCCGGCAAGCTCGGGCCAGCACATCTTATGAAAGGCCTGTTTTCGAAGGAGAGAGTGGACTTAGGAGATGCAGATGAATGATAGACAGAGGGTCTCGTCTATCTTGATCTCAGGAAGGTAAAAATTTGAGCGACAAGATCAGGGAAAAACAAAGGGCATGAAGAAGTGCAAGAGAGAATCCTCAGGATGTCGCGAAGTTTTGTGAATTAGGACGCAAGGCTACATTCTCTAAATAACCGGATGAGACCCCAAAAACAGAGGAGTTGCTTATGGATTCCATAGCCTCGTCTCCAGGCTGCGTACATTGGCAGCAGAAGCGCCCGGAAGCAGTGGCTGTTAATCATTCCGATGTAAAATTGTATCAGAAATGGCAGGCATTGGTTTGTAATTGAGCCACATCAATAGTAACATGGAGTTTGTGGGTTATTTTTTTCACCGCACAGCGGAGGTGACAGGGCTTGGTTGCCTTAGGCCGCTGCGCCCCCACGAAAGAGCACCGCAGAGCCTCCAGGCTGACTGAAATCCTTCCGATTAACTGCGACCGGTGAAACGTCTGCACTGAAAATATACGCAATGTGCCACAATTCTGGCCTCATTCTTTCGCACATTTGCATTCTGTCAGTTTTCGTGTGGCTGTGTGTACTGTGTGTCCCGTCACCTTTTTTCTCCTACACTGATGTAAGCACCCAAGGAAAATGACGGTCGCCGAGATGCATTGTACTGGTAGCCTTGTCTCGCCTCGAGCCTGCTTGGACGGAACATGTGTCATTAGTAGCATGCAACATCGCGGTGTGTCCCTGGGCAGTGTTCGGAAGGCTCGGACAAAAAGACGGTGGACTTCCATTGCCGGATGCTCGGGCTTGAGTAGGGAGAAAAGTCTTTCATTAGGTTCCCAAGCTTGATGGAAAGGCTGTGTGGCGCGGTCACTGTTAGGAAAGATGAGGACGAAGATGTGAGGTCTGAAGTTCTCTGGGGATTCTACCCAAAGTATCTGGCCTTTTCACCTCATGGTAACCAATTCCTCAGCACTTGTTGGGTGAATGGCCACGCATGCATCGAAATCCCTCTTCCTAGCTCCCATCTTTACTGCCACTCCAAAGCCCTGCATCATTTCACTGCTGCCAGCTCCTAAGATATGCATGCCTACAATCTTCTCCTCGCTGCCCTGACATATAAGCTTGTACTCCGTCGGTTGCAGTTTCTTTTCCTCTGCAGGATGGAAAGAATAGAACATGGGTGTGAAGCGTGTGTGGTAGGTCTTGATGTTATCCTTGCCGTATTTGTCGATAGCAGCGGGCTCAGTCAGTCCGATTGTACCAACCTCGGGATGGGCGAAGACAACCGTTGGAATGTTAGAGTAGTCTATTTTTTGGGGCAAATGAGGCCCGCCGGACGTGTGCTGCGAGCCGAAAATTCGGTTTGAGAGGGCGCGACCCGCTGCAATGGCCACTGGCGTCAACTCTGCCTGTCCGGTTACATCTCCCAGAGCGTAGACGCCTTCGACATTGGTGTTTTGATGCTCGTCGACATCGATATGGCCCTTCTTTGCGAGATTGACCCCAATTTTTGCTGGATTCAGCTTTTCAATTTCTGGAGCTCGACCAATGGCCCATAATAACTCGTTGACTTCTAATTCCTCTCCGCTACTCTGAACGAGTCTGAGTAATTTCTCTTCCCCTTTCCCTTCTCCGAGCCCGACAATCTCTTTAAATCCTTTGTGATTCTTGTGGATTATCACGCCAGCGTCTTCATAGCGCTGAGTGAGGGTTGCTTGGACCATTGGATCGAAACTTCTCAAAAAGGTGTTGCCTCGAATGAACATATGTGTCTCAACTCCAATGGCGTTCATGACCCCAGCAAGTTCGACTGCAATGTAACCTGCACCGACAAAGGCCATCTTCTTTGGCAGGTCTTCGATATCGAAGAAGCCATCGCTGGTGATACCGAGCTCTGCTCCAGGAATGTCTTGAGGCTTGATAGGGTATCCTCCCGTTGCAATCAAGATGTGCGGCGCAGTATAGACGGCCTTCTCCCCGTCCTCCAAATTGACCTCTATCTCCTTTTGACTCTTGAACGTAGCAGTGCCGCGGACGAGGTCAATCCCGTCGCGGCTCCAATTACGCTCGTAGGCCCCATTGAGGCCTTCAATGTTCGCATCGCGCTTCTTCTTGAACTCGGCGAAGTCGAATTTGATACCTTGCGGGATCTTATAGCCGTAGTGCACGCCATCCTTCAGCATTTCTGATACGCTTGCGAAGTTCCAGGTGATCTTCTTGGGCACACATCTTGAAAGCGGCGATTGAGAATTAGCCTGGGCGCGGAATCGGAGGCATACTGTCTTCCACCAACCCTACATTGACGCACGTTCCACCATTCCGTTTGTTCTCCACTAGCAGTGTCTTGGCTCCATACCAGCCAGATGCTCTCCTCGCAGCGCCGGAACCACCACTACCACCACCGATGACGATGAAGTCATACTGCTTGGCGATGGGGGCCATGATGGATAATTGTCTGGAGATGCTTGCTAACCTGGAAGAAGCCAGTGTTGGATAGAAGCAGACTAATTGGGGCGACGTCGAGATGAGACGAGTTATATAAGGCATCGGCGTAGACGACGCGATTCTGGATTAATTACATGCGGCAACATTGGTCTTATGCAAGACGTCATGCTGGGAGTAATCATCTGCCGGGTTCGGGGGTATGTTGTGGAATCGACGAGGATGATTGGAGCAGCGGAGGAAAGACCGCTGGACCCTGAGTCCCTACGAATGGCGAGCTACTTATAAAAGAGATTTGGAATCTTTTGGATTTGGTAATCTCCAACTACTTTACTTTATGTCCTGTCCTCTTGACTTTATTAAGCATATGCGGCCTGATAACTCCTGCACAAGCATCTTCCATTGCATTGATGGCGGGGTCTTGATAGTCCATCCATCCACACATACATCCATACATACATACATCCATCCATACATCCATCCATCCATACATACATCCATACATACATCCATCCATCCATCCATCCATCCATACATACATCCATACATCCATACATCCATCCATACATACATCCACTACACATGCAACTCTTCCCATCTCCTTGAATCCTAAATATGGAGCTGTTCCGGAGGGCAGTACTCGTTGGCTTGGCTGGCTTTCCTACCTTACCCTTCCAATGTCAAACTACTTGATCCTCCTATGAAATTGTCTCTGCAATTTCTATCTTCATGTTTCCTAATCTTCGTCCGTCCAGCCTTGGCTGCTTGCATACATGCTGCTTCTCCTCACTCATGCTCTCACTGGGAAACGTCAATGCTATTACCCGTACCGTTATGTTATTGGCCTGAAAAATTCCCTCTACCTATGGGCCATTATCAGGCTGATTGAGCCGTGCACACGTCGAGCACTTACGTTTGAGGAGATGACGCTCCTGGCGTAGATTCAATAATCCCGTTCTTTGAACGTCTTTCAGCCCCGAATGTTGTCTTGCATTCGAGCAACGATGGACCCTTCTATCCGGTTATATATATACTTCGTGTCTTTCTCTTTCCTCACCAGAAATACATGCACTCCATTGAAGTAAACGGTAGAAATATTTGCAACTGGTCAGCCGCAACAATGATGAGCTCCGATGCTGCTTCTCCTTCTCACCTTGACATGTCCGACTCTATAAGTCCGGGCGCAGATACCACGAAGATCGCTGCAGACCCCATGGCTGCTGCTGGTCATATGATGTCTGCTGATGACCCTGACAACCCACAAAACTGGCCGCTCTACAAGAAAGTCTATGTCTCAGCGGTGGCATTCGCATTTGCCTGGGTGGTGTAAGTCATAAATTCAGTCCCACAATACATGATACAGGCCAACTAAGCATCTATAGTGCCCTAGGTATCACCAGCTACACAGCTGGAATCTCCGGGGTGATTGAACGCTTCGATGTGACAATGCAGGTTGCAATACTCGGTTTCTCCTTAAACCTTCTGGGAATCGCCTTCGCGCCAATAATCACACCACACCTTAGTGAACGATTCGGGCGTCAGGCAATTTACTTGATTTCCCTACCGACCTTCAGCCTTTTCATCCTGGGCGCCTCATTTTCCCGCTCTTTCGCAGCTCTAGCGGTATGCCGCTTCTTCGCTGGCTTCTTCGGAGGCCCTTGCCTCGTCTTGATTGAAGGGAGCTTTGCCGATGTTTGGTCTGCAAACACCACGGTGGTTTATTATTCGTTCCTCGCTTTGGCTTCGTTCATAGGAACAGCATGCGGTAAGCTTCACCCGATCCTGTTCAACAAGCTGGCAGGCTCATACCTCTCGCAGGACCTCTTATCGGAGGCTTTGTCGTCGCATATGGTGGCTGGCGATGGACTCAGTGGATCGTTCTGATCCTTGCTCTCGGCGTTTACCTCTTTGGCATTGCGCAGCCGGATACTTATCCACGTGAGATCCAGAGACGCCGAGCCAAACGCAACGGTATGCCTCTGAAGCTCCTGGATGCCCAAAGTGGAGTCACCCTGCAAGACATGTCGATTGTAACATTCTTCGTACCCTTGAAGATGTTGGTCACCGAGCCAATCGTCATCGCACTGAGCTTAGAAGTAGGCTTCATCTTTGCGGTCACCTTCCAGTGGTTTATCGCCATCCCTGCTGTCTTGGAGACCACCTACAACTTCACCGTTCAGCAGGTAGGCATTGCCTTCAGTGCAGCTATCCTCGGTGCCTCGCTATCCACTGTCATGTCTACTATCATCGATATTAGCGTTCCCCACTGGTGCACGAAGAACCACGACGGCACAGTACCGGAGGAATACCGGATGTTGCCTGCAATGATAGGGGGACCCCTTGTCATGACGTCACTCTTCTGGATCGCATGGACGGCGAGCCCGTCGATTCACTATCTGAGCCCCATATTTGGCACCGCGGTGTACGTCTGGGGCGCCCAGTCTATCATCGTAAGCTAAAGTCTCTGGGCATATTAAACCTGATCTAATTTTGTGACTCAGATCTCCTCGATCTCGTATCTCTTCGATGCCTACCCACCGCGCGGTACTCTGTCTGCACTCACTGCGGCGGCTTCGTTCAGACTGGTCCTTGCGGCCATAATACCACTTGTGATCATCCAGAGTAAGTCGTCTACCCACCCAAGCTCTTTTACCATAACAGCTAATGGAGGATGATCATAGTGATCACTAACTTGACGGGTGGCTGGACATATTCGACTTTTGGTTTTATCTCAGCTGCGTTGATACCCATTCCATGGATTCTGTATAAATTCGGTGCAAGACTTCGAGCGGCCAGCAAGTACAACCCTCCAAGGCCGGGAGGCATGATGAAGGGCGTATTGGGCCGTGATGAGGAAATGCAGATAGAAGAGGCTCAGATGCAGGGGACAGCTACCGGGATGTAGAGCATCTGTATCATGGATGATATGCCCGGAGACAGTCTTGGATTTCGAGGCTGACGAAAGCAAGCAAGGTTAGAAGGCGATGTAATGGAGAGACTTTCTATTGATCCGTTAATGTCTTGTGATTGGACGGACAGCTGAAGCTTGATTTGGATTGCTTAACACCCAGCAAGGTATTGATTATTTAGATTCTACGAGGTACAAGAAATTTCCTACCCCCCCAATTCCTCCGATGTCGAATGTGAAATGGCTGCAAATGGGTATCTATCATGGTCAAACCGAAATAGTCATATCCAATCCCCTCGAGTAGGAAGGTTCATCACCCCTCGATCATCTCACCCCTCGATCATCCTTTCACTTCCTTTTCCCTTCTCCAAAGACTTCTTCAACTCTTCATTTTCTAATTCCTTCGCGCCTTTCCTCCCCTTCTCCAATCTCTCCACGCCCATCTCAATATTCTCAATATGCAGACTAAGCGGAACACCACCTTTCCCACCCAGCAGTTCCACCCCTCCAACCCGCTCCCTCAACTCTTCTAACTCAGCGCCCATTCCCTGCAGCCTCACCAGCGTCCCACTTACGTGAGCTATTGCATTTTGACGATAGGTGTTCACTTGGCCCAAAAGACGTAGCTGTGAATCGAATTTGCCTAGTTTGTTGCGGTTACCACCAAGCATTGTCCAGAGCTGCGACAGCACCTCCGCCCTGCTACCGTGCGCGTGCAGATTATCGCGTACTGCTATGCCATGAATGACATCAAGGCGGTCCTCGAGATTCTGGAGGACAAGAAGTAGAGCTTGCGCTTCCACCACAAGACGGTTGATCTCCTCTTCAACGACGCGCGTGTGCTGAATGTACTGATCTAATAGAGCATCTTCTGTGAATGTGATCGGCTGGAAAGGCGCCAGGAGTTTTTCGTTGAAGAATGATGTTATAGCTCCTCGAGATCCGTCACGCTCAGCGATGCCATCTAGGACACGCTTCGTCCAGCGAGCAGTAGCAAGGATATTATCGACGCCTCGGCCAACATGGCTATTGAACTTTTGTAGGTCGTAGGATGCAATGCGAGCAGTTTCTATGAAGCCGTCGAACTCAAGAACAAGTTCGTTCTTGGAGTGTAGCTGGCTAAAACGAACAACTTGTCGTAGGTCGCGAATCGACGTTTCACCTCGTTTCATGTCCAGCGGGAGAGACACGCCGCCCGCGCTTTCTTGCAGTACCGCTTCGAATTTGTTCTGCACGGTCATAAGCTGGTCGAATTGGACGGGTGGCGGTTCCTCGCCAGAATATTGAATGGAGACTGGGGACTGGCACATTGGAAGATTAAGGAACGAGGCGCCGGGGATGCGGCACACGGGCGACAGTGCAGAGTAGACGGAGTTGAACAGCAAATTTCGCAGAAAAACTAACAGTCCAACAAGGAGCCAGCCGGCGATCAGGTATGAGATTGGAGTCTTCAACGCATGCAGAGCCCCACCGAAAACATCGTACGTCCACATAAACATTGGTGTTACAAAGCTTGCAACGTCTTCTGAAGCCTTGACGAGCTTCTCTTTTCCTCTTTGGTCCTTAGAACGGTAGGTTGTAGACATGCCTCTGTCTTCGGGTCGTTGTACCCTTTTACTCGCTTTACTCGATTCCCTCTCCACCCTCGGTTTCTCTTCCCCGAGCCAAGACTCACCAACGCTGCCTTCATGTATGGAAGGCATGATGAACTCCGGTTCAGCACTGGGTCTGGCATTGACACGAGATGGTCTTTTTCGTGGGCTCTCTGCAGTCCCTGCTGTTCCCTGCGAACGTCTTATTCCATCCGCTTGCTTTGACGGAGGAGTGTATTCATCGTCGCCATCGCTATCAACTACCCAGGATTCGCCCAGTTGGGATTTTGGTCGATTCCGAGCAGGCGTACGCTCTCTCACCATTGTAGCGGACCCCCAGATCTTATATATGTTGTAGAGAATTCTAGTATTGCTGCCTTGTCGAAGAATTGTGTAGCGGATGTGTCACTGGACTTGCTCATGGAGTCTTGCGGAAAGGTGTCATAGAAAGATCACATGAAGAAGAAGCAGAGACAAAAGTGGAAGAAGGGAACATTGTAATACAAGCAAGATTGTGACTTCGCGTTTCTTGCGTGTTGTCAGAGTGAAAGTGACGTGACCTTGCGCAGATGATTGGCCTTCTGGGCTTGGCGAAGCGCGCTTCAAAACCTTAGTCATACGAATTTAGAGAATACTTTTGATCGTCGATGATATGTAATCGAGGTACATATCTTGAGACTGAGGACATCAATCAATTCATGAGGTTTGCACGGCTCTTGCAGCCTAAACAGAAATCTCAATCAGCATGGACTCCTCCTCCTATTACCGCCAAGGGGCTGTCCCTTACAGCCCGACGCAGTTGTTCTTGCGGTGCTCCCGTCTATTTCTCCGCAACGGGTCCCCTACGTGCCCAAGATAAATCCAAGCGTAAAATAGCATTTGGAAGGGGACAGACGGGCAATCGCGGTGAGAAGGTCAAACCCCATGCCGAGCTTGACCCTGCCCCAGATCATCGTACGATTGGTACAGCTCAATCCCTCTTCACCACCCACACCTCGAGTCCTGGCGCGCCCTTCTTCCAACCCGATGGCACCCACATATTCAACAAACTCACAGCTTTCCTCCGTGCCCAGTATCCGGCTTTCGGCTTTCGTGAAGTGCTTACACCAACAATGTATAAGCAGTCCTTGTGGGAGCAATCTGGTCATTGGGCAAATTACAAGGATGATATGTTTACGGTGACCAGGAGTTCGTCACACAAGCCTGAGGCCGTACCGGTTGAGTTTTCCGATGGGCGGATGCAACCGGAGAAATATGTGAATGAAGATACCGAGCCGGAAGAATTTGGCCTCAAACCCATGAACTGTCCGGGCCATTGCCTACTCTTTCAGAGTCAACGGAGAAGTTATAGAGATTTACCAATTCGTTACGCTGATTTCAGTCCTTTGCATCGAAACGAGATATCAGGAGCCCTGAGTGGACTGACTAGGGTCCGGCGATTCCACCAAGATGACGGGCATATCTTCTGTCGGCCAAGTCAGGTCAAGTCTGAAATTTCAAAATCTCTGGATTTTGTGCGCTTAGTATACCAAACGTTAGGTTTTCAAGATTATGCGCTCGTGCTAAGCACGAGACCCAAGAAGGATTACATAGGCACACTAGACGAGTGGAATAGAGCTGAGGATCAGTTGAAGGAGGCTTTAGATGCTAGCAAGAAGCTTTGGAGCACGAACCCTGGAGATGGTGCCTTCTATGGGCCAAAAATTGATGTTATCGTGCGTGACAGCGACGGGAAAAAGCATCAGACAGCCACTATCCAATTGGATTTCCAGCTGCCAAAGCGATTTTTGTTGGGGTACGAGGCACCAGCACCTGAGCTAGAAGCCAAGGGTGAGCCGACTACGAACTCCGTTTCGCGGCAAACGATGGGTACAGTTACACCAGTTATGATTCATCGAGCTGTGCTTGGGTCTCTAGAACGGTTTATGGCTCTCCTACTCGAGCATCATAACGGTCAATTACCATTCTGGCTCAGTCCTCGCCAAGTCATAATTCTGACTGTCACTGACAATTCCCCCGTCATACGATTCGCGGAAAATCTGAAGGATAGTCTGTCGAATACGGCCTTAGACAACCTGCCAAAGCAAATACACTGCCGAACCTACACTGTCGACGTTGATGATAGTGGTGATTCGATATCTCAAAAGATTGCGCGGGCCAAGAACAAAAAGTACAACATGATATGCGTTGTTGGGGAGAGAAATATTGCGGGCGCAAAAAAGGAAGGAGAGTGGCCAACGTTGGATGTCGATGTCACCGCTCAGCCAAATCAACGGAAGACATGGGATGCCATTGAAAAGATAAGACCAGGCTCGCAAGCTCCCGTTCAAAAGGATAGAGGCGTTGGTTCAAAATTTAGGAAGATGAGTCCAGGTGTTCGGCTTAGAGTGGATCAATGTAAAAAATTGATGAGGACCCTGACTGAGGAGTATCTGTAATTTACAAAAGACAGCGTTGTGTGCTTCTTCGAGGCACAACGCAGAGAGCTTGGGTCACTGGGACGACCAATCTTTTATCTAGTCTGCTGCTAAAGCTTGGTAAAGATGCCATGTTCTCACTAAGACTGTTAGCATACTGTTTGCAAGTTTCTGAGGAGAAACCTTTCAAAGTCCGAACTCACTTTCATCTCCTCGATTGTCAAGACAGCCTTGCCAAAGTTTTCCCCCTTCAGCATCCCTAATAAACCCTTGATGGCATTATCAATTCCTACGGTTACGCTCTGCTGTGCCTTGAAAGTCCCTTCCGAGATCCATTTGGCGACGTTCTTCTGGTGATCTGCGGCGTACTTGGGGCCCATGTTCGCGTCGCCGACAATGAAGCCTTGCATTTTGAGACGCTTACCTACTACCGCTCCCAAGTTCTTGACTCCGTATCTCTGATTCGGGTCTGATATGTTGTACTGCGAAACCATACCGCAGGCAACTGTCGAGATGATCAGTTATTCGAACGGTCAGACAAAGCTATCCAGGTTGCTATACTCACTAATGCGACCGAAGTTGTTCATTGCCGCAATAGCGGCATCCAGTTGCTCTCCCCCAACGTTTTCGAAATATACATCAATACCCTTGGGCGCCAACCGCTTCAGGGCATCGCTAGGATTCTCCTTCTTGTAATTGAAACCCTCGTCGAAATTGAGCTCTTTCCTGATGAAGTCCAATTTGTCGTCACTACCCACACTGCCGATCACCTTTAATCCCTCATGCTTCGCAAGTTGCCCAACAATCTGTCCAACAGCCCCACTCGCGGCGGAGATGAATATAGTCTCTCCCTTTTTGGGTTCCCCTATTTCGTAGAAAGATGAATATGCCGTCAGGCCAGGCATGCCAAGGGCGCCAACAAAGAGCTTGGGATCGAGATCATACGGATTGTCCAATTTCCTAACCATGTTGTTGGCAACCTCGGCAGAGATGCTCGAGTACTCTTCTGTCGGCAAAGCCCCAGTCACAATATCACCCTCCTTGAACTTCGAGTTGTTGGACTTGAGCACTTTTGACACTGCCGAATTGGTGATGGGCATCCCCAGCGCAAAAGGCGGAGAGTAGGATGCTATCTCCGGGGCACGCATACGACCACGCTGATAAGGGTCGAAGGAAATGTAATAGTTTTTGGTGGTGATTCCATCTTTGTCTGGCTCAGCGTCGAGATCGAACCCTCGATCCTCAATTGTCAAGTCCTTGCCTTCCACAGGCCAGTCCGTCGGGACTGACTTAAAAATGAGACCTTTGTTCTGTACCATGTTGGCCAATGATCCCTGCTACTGGAGCGAAAGACCGGTACACAGCAACGTACTCTATCTGCAGACAACACAGAGCTATATGCAAGGGAAATACGCTGTACTTAGAGTAGGAGAGGAAACGAAATACACTGACTGTACTTTGAACATTGAGAATGAGATTTGTAAGAAAGATTTATAACCAGTAGGGGGGGGGGGCTCAAAGCAACGTCATGGCACACATTATGGCTAAGTACTCTACCCGCATCCACGGATCTATGCGGCCGGAAGGGGGCACTGCCTCCCGATCAAGGGAGATCTTATCTTATCTACGGCCGAAGAACCGCGCGCGGTAAATAAATGGGGGAAAAACCCCCCCCTTTTTTTTTTTGGGAAAATTTTCCCCCCCTGTCAGTGGCTTCCAGCTACATTATACTTTAGCATGTATACTGGATTAGAGTACTTTAGTAAAGTACTTGAAAACATCAAAAATTAAATATTCAGGTGATTCAATTTACTTACCTCGAACGACATGACAGATGCAAAGTATGCACCTGCACCCGCAGAACCACCGCCGAGCTATGAGACTGCCGCGCAGCCACCTCCACCTTTACGGCTCCCTCTCCCCCTAGATCTCCCTTTGATCAATACCCTTCGTGACAGAAGGGTAATTCTTGCCTCTGCTTCTCCACGGCGGAAGCAGCTGCTGGCACAGGTTGTCCTCCTCCCACATATGCTTCGACCGGAGCTGATTTTGTTAGATCGGTCTCACCAAGCTCGAAATCAAACCCTCCACTTTACCCGAAAACCTCCCAAAATCACTCCCCCCTTTCGAATATGTTCTCCAGACCGCCACCCAAAAGGCCATGCATGTCTACTCGTCTGAATTGGATAACACCGAACTTGGGGAGCCAGCTGTCGGTACGTATCTATGGAGTCCACCTTGCCTCTTTTGGCCAAGTCTTGAGTCTTGAGACATGTCTTGTGAGTTTCGACTCTGTAGACATGTTCCAAGGCTCGATAATCCCTCGAATAGGAAATACTGACTCCGGCATTACGATCTAGTCCTCGCCGCAGATACAATCGTTGTTTCACTTTCAGGCCAAGTCCTCGAGAAGCCTCGGTCCGAAGCCGATCACATCGCCATGCTCAAGATGCTTAGAAACAGCGGCTACCATAGAGTCTATACCGCTGTAGTGGCCATGGCGCCATTGGCTAGTGCGCGACATCCGGGATACGCCTCGGAAAGCACGGTGGAGGAGACGACGGTAAGATTCGGACGTGATACTAGCGACGAAATGCTGTTGGCCTATGTGCGAACGAGAGAAGGAGCGGATAAGGCAGGCGGTTACGCAATACAGGGTGTTGGCGCCATTCTGGTGGAGAGGATCGAGGGGAGTTGGGACAATGTTGTGGGCCTACCATTAAGAGCAACGCTGGAATTGATCGAAAAGGTCTTGGGCCAAAGCGAAGAGGAATTGGATGACGAATCTGCTGGGCCCGAGGATTCGGATGAGTGAGGTAAAAATAGGCGCAATGTTCAGTGCGGGGAATAACATCGTTGGAGGAATGTCAGATCAGTGCGAGCGGTTCGTCACTAGCACATGCACAATTTGAATCATATGCGAATGCGAGCGAATGCCTGCAAGCCGAGATCGCTGGGCGTGTATTGGGGTACGATGTGAAGACGCAGACAGAGAGGTCCGCAAATTGGTCAGAGCAGCTGGTCCATCTCCGAATCTTCTGCAACAGAGCTAGCTATCGGAGACACAAAGGTATGAAGGTCTGGTAATCTTCAATCAGTCAACGTGAATGTCGTGAACAGCTTGTATTCGCATTGGACATTCTGACACCTTCCTCACGATCAAAAGGCTTGGGTATCATATGCTTGGCTGTTTCGGCTCGGGGGTCCTCTCCGGGTTTCAGTAATAGTACAACACGCGACTCTGCGGAGAAGCTGTTAGCGGAGCCGACCATCCTTGAGTCTGCGATTGGAAGAGGGCAGAACGAGACGAGCGAAGGTGTGACGGAATCTGGAAGCAGGTCCAGCGTCAGGCATGCTGTGATATTTATTCACTTCAGTCCAGGAGGCAGACCAAGTGACTGATTGCTCAAGGATCGGGGGGAGATCTGCGCTCGGAAAGCATTGAGACACCGACTGACTACCCATACGCATGATGTCTCAAGGACACTTAGTGCAAACGGACAAGGTGGCAACCAAGACGACTCTATCGAGTCAAAGCCATAGCTTCTTCGAGTATCTAGCAGCTATCTAAGAATACATGCACGAAGCTGTGAATCATCATCTAAGGAGCATCTCTCATGAATCCAGCAAAGTCAAGCCCGGCCCCATAGCCATGCAAACCCCTTCTCCATTTCACATGACATCGGCAATCGACTGCCTCTCGATGCAGGACTTTTGCTTTTCGTTCCTGGAAACACGATAATAGTGATCGCAGAAGTCGGGACATTTCATAAATTTTAGAAACTCTTCGTCATGGGTGATAACGATCAACTGGAAATTCGACTGGTGCCGTCGGCTCTCGATGATGTCGTGAAGTGATGTGGCGAGTGAGCGAATGTTGTCCCGATCCAGGTTAGTCGTCGGCTCGTCTAGAGCAATGAGGCCGCAGTTCACTCCAAAGCACTCCGCTAGCGCCAGGCGAATGATGATGCTCGCCAGCACCTTTTGCCCAGCGCTACAACGCCCTCGCATGTCCATCTCCGCGTCTTGTTTGACCATGCAAACCCGATAATTGTACGATCGGTTGCCTTTCGCTGCTTCGTTGTCTGACCGAATCAGGATGGTATCCACATCTGTGCCCTGATACGTCTTCTTCCACAGCTCTTCGATGATGCGATTTATCTCTTCCATCTTGATACTATGATACTTCATGATCGCTCTATATGGATTTCAGCTTCAAAAAGGTAAAGCCCGCGGATTTGAGGAAACTCACTTGTCCAGGGCACCTCCATAACGTCCCAAGTCTTCCACAGCGGCTTTGGTCGTCTAGCAACAAGTTAGATGTTGACATTGCAAATAGTCCAGGTTTTGACTCCGACTTACCTCCACCTCGATATGTGCTTTCTTGAAATTGTATGCTGCATCCTTGTAATCGACTTGCCATTCATTTATCAACCTCAGGAGCTCATCGTCTTTTGCTTTTGCAGAACCCCACTTGCTAGTCTTCTGCGTCTTGAATTTATCATGTTGGCCCTCCCAATATCTTGATTCCTTTTTCCAGTGACTCTGATCAGCTTCGGCATTCTGTGCACTTAGCTGAGCTATCTCGGTCCTGACATCTTGCAGTTCCCGTAGGTTTCGGCGATACTTGATATTATCAGCGATGGTACGTTTGTTCGCGTCGTGGTTGGTCAGCTCCTTCTGGGTCTTGTTGATCAGTCTAATCACGCGCGTCTTTTCCTGTTCGGCAATGTCCTTGTCTTTCTGGGCACTCTCGATCTCTCTCTGACATCGCTCCAACTTCGCAGCGCCATCCTCTTGGTTATAATCGTCAACATTCTGGTTGGCGATTTTGAGCTGATGGAGGCTTTCTGACAGTCTCGTGGCTTCCTGCCGCAAGTCTCTCTCCTTGTCTGAACCACGCTGCTCTATGTCGGCAACTTTAGTCTTCTCTGTCTCAATCCTGGGATCTAATTTGTCAAGCTGGGCATCTAATTGTTTGACCTGGTCGCGGAATTCTCCATTAAGTCTTCTTAGGTTTTCAACATCATCGAAGATGTCTGCCTTTTTGTCAAGCTGATGTTGGGCACTGGTTAGATTGCTTCTCGCTTTGCTTAAATCCAATTCGAGAGTGACGATTTGCAAGCGCACGCGATCTTTGTCATCTTTAAAAGTCTGGATACTGTTCCTCTTGTCTTGAGACTTGCCGCTAAGCACTCGTATCTGATCTTGAATCTCATCTGGCGTATGAGAGATTCCGGTATCCTTTTGCTCCGCGGTAAGCTCTTGAACTCGTCCAACGTATTTGGTCAGATCTCGGTCGTATTCGTTGATGTTCTTGACCGAACCCGCAAGCGACTCTAGATCTCTTCTAGCCTCTACCCGGTCCTCGACAATCTTGTCATGCTCCTCATTCTCGCGGAGGATGTTTTCTCGCTCTAGTCCTAGTCGTTTCTCATTGGCTAGTATTTTTGGTAGCTCTTCTCGCGAATATCGTACCCACGTCTCATAGCTCGGACCAGCATCTTTGGTTTTCTGCAGGTCATCTTCAAGGACGCTCAACTCCTCGCGGATCTGGGTCATAGTTTGCTTGGCTATTTTCTTTTCCAATCTGGAAATGAAGTCCGTCTGCTCTTTGGCTTGAAAATTCCGCAAGCATAGTTTGCATTTGTGCTCCTTGTGAGCCAACGCGATGCCGTCTGCGAAGTACTTGCGCTCGTTCTCATAATTGTCGATATCTGCTTTGAGCGTATCACGGTCCTTCTGAATTTCCGAGACCGTTTTAGGGTAATCTTCAGGCTCACCTTCGACGTTATCGCTTAGTTTCTTGACGCATGCAGCCAATTCTTTTTCAGCCTTGCTTCTGTCAGACCGTGCGCTACTGAGCTTAAAATCAAGTTGCTCCAAACGGCGAGATACCCCCTCACGTTCTCGCTCGGCGTCTCTCACTAGACGAGACCTCTGATCATGAACTTTTCGGAAGTCGGCCTCAAGGCTTGATGACTGCCAGCCGTGCCCCAGGATGGCTTCGAGTCTCTCGCCGTAAACATCTCTCATCTTCTGCAGATTTCTTTGGCAATCTGCAGCCTCTTTCTTCGCAATGTTCAACGCCGCCCGATCTTCTGCTTGCTTGGACACTTGAGCGAGATCTCCTTGCAACTGCGCGATCTCATCCTCCAGTATCCGCAACTGGCTCTTGCCTTCTTGCAACTTGCTGTCCCACGAGGCTTTCTTCGAGTCATCCCTGGATTTGCTCAGTCGGATTTCAAGATCCCTAATGCTGTCTTCAAGTATTGCCTTTCCGCCCTCATCGGCCTCAATTTTGTTGAGATCTGACTGGAGAAAATCAATTTTGCGGTCATTAGCAACAGACTGGTGTTTAGCACTCTTTTTGCGTTCGTTCAGAGCTGATCGCTCTCTATCGAGCTGAGTGAGAATGCCCTGTGCCTTTTGCCTTTCGAGTTCTTTATCGTTGCGTGCTTTCTCGACCGCGGCATTTTGTTCCCTTGACAGATTCAAGATCTTCTCCATATACTCGTTGATTCGCGTATCGTCAAGGTCGTGTTCATATCCTCGGATTTTGTGATCACTTGAAGTTTTCTTGATCATAGTCTTGCGCTTCTTAACCTGGTCTACGTGATTCGCTCGCTGTGCCTGATATTCGCCAGCTTCAGCGTCCTTTCTGCGCAATTGCTTGCTGATTCCGTCAATTTTCCGCTCGAGATTTTCGTAGTCCTGTTTCAGTTGCTTCTCTTGCTGTTCATGGGCAGCCATACGCTCTGCGTATTGATCGAGCTCAGATTGTAGCCATTCATCAGATTCCTTGCGCTGCTCTTTGAGATCGTGACCCAATTCTTGCACGGTCGTCTGGAGCCAGTCCTCTCTCTTCCGACTATGCTCCATGTCTTTGATGACGCTCGTGTACTGTGCCCCCTTGTTCGTTGCTTCTATCCATTTGTCTTCAGCCTCATTTGCCTTATTGTCAAGCTCCGTGATCTCTTCTCTTAGGGTTTTGAGCTCCATGTCCAGTGCTTTCGACCGTTTCTCGGCCTTGTCACCCTTGTCCTTGATGTCTTTGGTATATTGTTCCGTGTTCTTGAAAATTTTCAAAGCCTCATTCTGCACTTTCCGCAACGCTTTGATGTTGTCAATGGCTTTGGTATACTTGAGAGCTTCGAAAATTTCATCAAATTTTTTTTTGAGCGCGGAGGGTTCGCTCATGGGCCACAGACTCTCGTCCTGGTGGCAGAAAATGACCGAGTCCAGGATAGCTTTTGAAACACCGAGGTTTTGCGGCATGATCTGATCTAGCTCCGCGACACGTGAAGACAGTGCGGTCCTCTCGCCGTCCTTGACGACTACGAGCGTACATTCGAGCGTTTTTTGCTGCCGAGTGTTCTTCTTCACTGTGAGTAGTAGATTTCGGTTGATTACCATCTTCGCTCCCGAAGTGCCGTTGAACGACATCTTGACCTGTGCGTAGACCTCCTTCTCTCCGCATAGCTACAAGATTGTGAGTGGGTGTCTGGAGCGCAGGATCATATCAACGTACATTCGGATCTTGTATGAAAGCCCCTCCTTTGCTGTTTGGGGGCAGATCCCCTGTCGTGGCATACTTGAGACATTCAATGATAGTCTGGGAATCTAGTCAGTGGGCTTTTCATTAACACGACAGGCGTTCGTACCGTCTTCCCCGAGCCATTGTAGCCGACAATCAAAGTCAATGGAGTGTGAAACTGGATGGTCTCTTGGCGGGTGTTGTCAAAGGACCGAACTCTGGAGAAGGTCAGAAGAGGGACATAGCAAGCATGATAACATATTTCCATGCCCCATGATGGAGAGCTTATTGATCTTCGCTAGAAAACGTTCAGTCAACTTTGGCACAGAGACTGGGATGCGTTCACTGCTCAGCATGCTTACACCTGTGAAAGACATCTCGTAAGTCAACCCATCTACGTGAAGACTGTAGGCACACTTACATTTTGTTTCTTCCAAGTACTCACGTCAATTACTGTGTCTGTGTGTGTGCCATGGGAAGAGGGAATTTGGTGTTCGAGAAGTTGATGTTTTTGGAGGGAGAAAAGAGCGTTTCAATAGTAATTGTCCAGGATTACTTCAGTGTCGAAAGAAACCTTGACTTCACTACTACTATGTGCTTCGGGCTATGAGTGAATGTGTTTCCCTGAAATATTAAAAGTAACGTGTTGAACACTTTGATGCAGTCGCGCGAAGGCTATTTTCCCCGCGTCTTCACAAGTTGCCGCACCTACCCCCCCGGCACCCCCCATGCGCGGATTGTACATTTCCTTTCTACTTCTGTTCTTCTGAGGAGTAATCCACCACCCAATGTGGCCCAACCGTCATGTCGATGATGTTCGAAAATGACCAAGGCGGCATATCTTCTGCAGTTGGGAATCCAGTGAGCCCTCAATATCTCTTTCCGCTATCACCCACACAAGCCTGATACTTAATTTTATAGATGGAGGCAATGGGCGGTGGGGATGCCCACATGGCAGACATGCTGGATCAGGGTGGAGATATGATGGACGGCTTGGATGACATGCTTCCTATGAACATCGACATGCGACTCAACAATGCTCCGGATGCCCAAACCTACGGCGCAAACGAAGCGCAAATGGACCCACAGCAGCAGCTTGTCAATGAGGCCAATGAGGATTCTACAATCGCCAATGGCATAATGACTGGAGCTGGTGCTGGTCCATTACCGACAGGTTTTGGCACTCAGACCAATGTCAATGGCGGAAGTACGTTGACAGACTTCACCAAACGAAGAAACTGGTCTCAAAGGGTACTCGAAGAGCTCAAGGATTTCCTTCACATCCTCACCCCGGATGGAAGGATTCTCTATGTCTCACCATCGGCCGAGAGTTTGACAGGCTATACTCACGAAGCGCTCATTGGGAAATTCATTGTAGAGTTCATCCACCAGGACGATAGAGGGGTCTTTGTCCGCGAATTCAACGAATCAATAGCTTCGGGGAACACTCTTCGATTCTTCTATCGCTTTAAGAAGGCTGATGAAACGTACACGATATTTGAATCACATGGACACCCTCACCTGACATCGGATGCCGCAGCTTTTGGACCAAATAATGCAACTGGGTTTTGCCGAGGCTTCTTCATGATGGCGCGGCCATATCCACCCAAAAATGCAAGCCTGCTTGACTCGTTTCTTGAGCACAAGATCGAGAACGAGCGTTTGACAAAGCGAATCGCTGAACTTCGCCGAGAGGAACAAGAAGAAATTGAAGCACAGCAACGCCATTACCAAAAGAAGCAGGATGGTCACGGCAGTGTTACACCATCTGACACCCAAAGAACCGAGAGCGAGACCCCAGGCTCGGTCTCAATGACATCCGTGCAATCGAATGGCTACAACGGCATGCCTCCGCCAGCCAAACCTAGCGTCTCGAATACTGCGCTCACCCAGCAGAATCTTGACGAAGCAAACGCCCGCTCTAAGCCTGACAGCATCAATGATAAGATGGCCCGGTACGAAGGTGCCACTCACATCGAAACAATTGAGATGCTCACAGGTTTACGCTATCGAGATGGGGAGCGGTCACAGGGCATCAGTACGGGCGACGCAAGCCCAGCACTAATTAGAGGCGACGCAGGTATTGCCATACCGGTCGATAAGGACAATCGCGGGGGTGACAAAAAGAAGAAGCTGAAAGTTGCTGACGAGTATGTCTGTACTGACTGCGGGACTTTGGATTCGCCGGAGTGGAGAAAAGGTCCGAATGGGCCTAAAACTTTGTGCAATGCGTGCGGGCGTAAGTAGCATGCTTCCATTGAAGTTTTCGATTCGCCATAAACTAACCTCTTGAGCAGTACGGTGGGCCAAGAAGGAAAAGAAAGAGCGTACTACCGTTCCCAGACCAAATCCACCTGACGCTGTTTGATATGTATTGTATGGTGTACTGAAGCACGAGTCTGGGGAGCAAAGGAGCGATGGAGTAACGGACTTTTAGCACGGCGGAGTGGGTTATTTCGGGTCCATGGATGATTTCTGAAAGGCGTCAAAGCATCTCGGACGATGATACCCTCATACCATAGCTATCTACCTTATCTTCCATTTTGTAAGAGACTATATGCAACCGTCTATCCACACGTTCGCCGCGCTATGTTGTTTGAAAAAGAACAGCCAGTCGATAGCGCAAAATTCAATTGCCTCAAGAAACGTGGCCTGCAAAAGCCCAACGCTTTGCCTCCGTCAGAATCTCCTAGCTTGACAGATGGTCTGATTTATTTCGGACCCTTGGAAGTATGATTTAGACGACCAATGGCCCCGTTAGGCGACTTACCAAGTTGAGTTCCTGGCTGACCCATCTGTTCTAAGGTGGCGCACGAATTATAAGGCTTCTCCATGTGGGCCATGTTACGCCCCACTTATGGCGGGCGGTCACGAATACTTGTCATGCTTTCCCTTTACCTTCACGTCCAGGATGGCTTCGTGATAATCACCCTGCACCCGGGCCTTCTTCAATCTCCTCACCTCATCTTCTTCTAATCTTCTGCCCACCACTTCCTCCAATTCCTTCCTACTAATCTTCTCCCGAGTCTTCGACTCTTTGTTGGCCTTGAGTCTTGGCTTGAACCGCGCCTGCATTCGTATACGTAAAGTCGTGTTGAAAGATACTGACTCTGCGTCGCCACGTATCTCCGGTACTTTGCTCTCATCAACAATAGTAATGAATTTCTCTCGCGCGGTTTGGACGCTAAACATGCCAGGTGTCTCAGGAGACGGAATACAAAGAAATGACTCCTCTGGGGATATAGCTTCGCGTGTCGCGGAAAGCACACCAATCCTGTCACAACTCAGATAGCTAGAGATATTAGCCAATATACATGCCCATTGCAGAACATAAGCATTCACATACCGTCCGTGGTGACCTTTGAAGCTAATCTCGTCGGTGCCTGCAACCCTGCTTGCAATCCAAACCTGCCGAACATCGTGAGGCTCTGCCGTAGCCAAGTCCCCATGGACTATGTTCTCAAGTTCGCTCGTATAAACTTTGCCGTTTGCATCACATCCGATGCAAGTCGGCTTCGTTGAAGGTAGAGCAAACATGATAGGTCCGGTGACATCTGTTGCTGCCTCTGCTGTCACCCAGCTATCATCTTCTTCTGCTTCGGCTGCCGGGTTCTGTACAGTGAGAGCCTTTGTATCGCCGTCTTCAAAGGTCAGGCAGCTGTCTGGGTGGGGATTCTTGCGCTTCTTGGACTTTCTATCACCCTTGAAAGCTAAGGGTTTCACCATTCTTAGTGATTGTTATCGGTCAGGACACTTTCGACACCCTGGTAGTTGTGTTTTTATTATAGCTCTGATCATTAAGTTGCATGCTCGTGTTCTAGCTCACGGAGAAGTTCATCCATCCCAAGCTTCAGGCGAGGCTGCAAGCTACTTTACTTTACTCACTTTAACAACGGTCAACGGATGCAATTAGTACGGCGGACGACGGCTGACACTACGACAAAACCAAAAAAAAATTCTCTTTTTATTTTTTCCTTCGCGATTTCTAGTAACTCTCTTTAAAATATTATTTTTAGAATATTCTTAACTCTTCGAGAGATATTTTTTAAGGCTTTCTTTAGGGGCTATAGAGGTCTACATCGAAAGTCCTACACTCGTTAAGACTCTTATACTTAGACTTCGAATAATATCTCATCTAAAGAGCTATCTAGATAATATATCTAGAGTTCTTTAAAATCGTATCTAGCTCTAGCTAGGTTTTAAAGTTTAATACCTCTATTAAGTTAAAAGAAGTATCTAAAATTTTATCTATACGCTATAAGAAGATATTTCTAAACTTTCTCTCTATAAAGCCGCTTTTTAAAAGTAAGATTAAGGCTATATTAATACGTGTATAGAACTTTCGATATAGACCTCTATACTCTCCGGGATACTCTTCGAGATACTCTCCGAGGTATTCTTCCGGGTACTCTTCGAGATACTCTTCGAAGTACTCTCTCGAGTACTCTTTCAGATACTCTTTCGAATATAATACTTTATAAAATTCTTCGCAAAATAAATTTAATTTTTTTTTTTTTTACGGGACTTTCCGCGGAACTTCCCGCGAATTCTTTTTTCACACTTCGAGTATTTTCTCGAGTGATTTCTTAAGTAAATCTTTATATTAAGATCGATAGAGGATTTTTTATAATAGTCTATATAGACTAGTTAGATAATAAGAATATTATAAGTATTATTTATAAATAAAGATTTATTATAAGATTTAACGTATCTACTCTAAAATCCTCTTAAAGAATCTTCTTATATTAATTATTTTTTAATCTTATAATATCGTAGCTTAAGATTTCTCTCGAGAGTCTTTTAAGAAAGCGAGTCTTCTATAATTATTTTTATAAATATAAATATTAAGTCTTATTTTCGAGATCTAACTATTATAAATTATATCTACGCTTTTTAATTTCTAACTTTAAATTTAAGCGATTTAATTAAAGTTCTTATAGAGATATTATTCGCGATATTTTACGAAGAATAATAGAGGATAATAAGATATAATAGAATAAGATATAAGAAAATAGAGTATAATACTACTATAAAGTAGTATTATATTATAATATAAATTATAATTTAGTTATTAATAATAGAACTAAGAAGATCTTCTTATTACGAGCGTACTCTTAATATATTTCTTAGTTCTATAACTAGCGAGCCTTAGCGAAGATATTCTCTATTATATTATATCTTCTTCTCATCTATATAGTTCGATATCTTAGTTATCTTATTTAATATATCTATATTAATATTATATTTATACTAATTCTAATACTATAACTAAGATTAATCTACTTATTTTATTTATATTAGCGAATAAATTTAAAGAAACGCGCTAATAGAGGCTTTAGTAAGAAATTAAGTTAAGTTATTATATCTCTAAATAAGTCTATTAAATAGATAAATCGATTTTAAAGAGCTTAAAAAAAATAGCGAAACGGTTTTAATAAATAGTAGTTAAGAAATAAAGAAGATATTGGATTATTCGTACGGCTAGCGAATCGAAAGAAATAGTTAATATTATCTTATATTTCTATATTTAAAATATATACTAGTAATATTACTATAACTTTATATATTATAATATCTAGAATTTTAATAAGATCTTAATTAGATAAGAAACGATCGAGTTATAGCTAATTAAAGATATTATTCTTTAAAACTTCTTTATATATAACTTCTCTATAAGATAAGAAATTCTCTAAGCGGAGTAAGTATACTCGAAAGACTACTATTTAAAGTACTTATAGTCTTCTTAACGTCTTAAATAATTAAGAAATAAGTATATTAAATCTTTATAAAGAAATAATTATATTTTAAGCTTTATAGTAAAATTTTTTATTCTTAATATCGAATAATTTCGATACGCTTTAGAGAGGCTTTACTACTCTCTAGTATATCTAATATCTTTAATACTTATTCTTTCGAAGTATTTAAACTTCTCTTTACTTTATTTTAAATCTTTCTTTCTTTTTTTCTATAATAAAGTCTAATATTAAAAGAATAGATTAAATTAAGATTCTACTTAAATAAACTAAGTTTTAAAGAATATTAGTTCTATTAGATAATATAGTTAACGAGTTTAATTTAATAAAAATATTTTAAGATATCGCTAATATTTTATAATTATAATATTAAATTAAGTATTAATCTAACGAATTTATAATTATATTAAATGAGATTTATTATATTAGAGATACTATGTAAGAAGTATATATATACTTCTAAAAAGAAGTTTCATAAAGAAGAGAAAGATGTTTCTTGATTCTGATTGGGATTGATTAATTGAAAAATGCTTAAGCTATAAACGAAATTGAAGAAAGAAAGCGATATACCAAGTCACGCTAGTTAGATTTCTCACGCTATACTATTCTCGAAGAAAGAAAGTAATATATTAAGTTACGCTATACTGGGAACGTAATAATTACCCTCCCTTATAAAAAACTATATTATTCTCGAGCTTTTCTTATTTCGTAAAGATCTAGATATAAAAGTGTAAGTATTTCTTCTCGAACGGAATTAAGATATCTCGTAAAATATAAAGTATATAAGAGAATTAGACGTGAAGATATAGGAAAAAGATATACGATTTTCAAAGGAAGGTATATACTTTTCTTAAGAGATATAAAAGTATCGCGGTAAGACCTAGCCGAATCTAAGGTCCTTATTTTTATTCTTAAAACTCTATAAGAACGAGTACGAAGAGTACTAGATCTGAGATAGAGAAAGAAAAGCTTTCTTTCTTTAAGAGACGCTTAGAACTCTATAAGAATAAGTATAAAGAATACTAGATCTAAGGTAGAGAAAGAGAAGTATATTAATAAAAGTATCGCGATAGGCCTAGTTAAATTTAAGATAGAGAGAGAAAAGTATATTAAATCTATATCTTAGTCGTAGTATTAGAAATAAAAAATTCTTTCTTTTACTCTTCAAACTCTATGAAAGGCTTTTTATCGTTATTATAAATGAATATTAAGATTACTAGATCTAAATATTCCTTAACGAAGATCTTTTACGCTTTATTTAAGATATCGAAAATCTTATCTAGTAATAACTTATTAATATTCTAATATTTCTTAATACTCTTAATATCGATTTTCTTATTTTTAATTTATTTATAGTCTTAATTTAGAAAAGATAAAAGTTTTATAACGCCTTTAATAAGTTTTATTACACTTTTATACTATACTAAAAATAAAATAATTATTCTATAAATTCTTTTCGTCGCTATTAAAAGTGCTATTAATTTTTTTTATATTTCTAAAAGAGTATTCTTTAATAAGTTAATCTTCTTCTTTATATATACGTAATTATTATAAATATTTATATTCTTAACTTCTAACTCTAAATCTAAATTCTTAAAGATAAATAATTAATAAA